GTTATAATCAATCATTAGTTACACTTTTACGTTAAGTCTTGGTGGTCGAGGGCTGCCACTTAAAATTTTACAATTTTTCAAAGATTTAATAAAAAATAAAAGAAAAAATAAATCAAAACTGAGAGTAAAATGGAACGTGACTGCAAAACAATGGAAATAGAACGATTGAAAGTAAAATGAAGTAGCAAGCAAATTTAAAAGCAAAAGTAATTGCATTATCAAAGTAAAAATCATTTCAAAATTAAATTGAGATCCAAGGGCAATTCACGTCGAAATAAGAAATAAACTCAACATCAAATCAAAGCAAAAGTCTAAGTGAATATCACTGTGGCCGAGGGCTGCCACTACCGTGATACTGTGCGGGCGTGATTGTATGTCCCATCGTGCGTTGTGTCCATTTACTCAAGTTGTGAAATTGTTTTTATCTTGATTTATTTAGAAGAGTTTTTTAGTCAAGTTCCATTTTACTTTCAGTTTTGATTTATTTTTTTCTTTTATTTTTTATTAAATCTTTGAAAAATTGTAAAATTTTGAGTGGCAGCCCTCGGCCACCATAAACCTGCTACCAGTCATTCATATGAAACTAAATCGGGTAATTTTATCGTTAACTCAGGGGGAGGGGGGGGATTACAAAATAATTTGCTTATATCATTTGAGTTGATTTCATCCAGTTTATCCTTGGACTTTTTCTCCTTTCGAAAATCCAGCTTGCTTTGGCATTAGAACGAACTGCGCAGTTTTCCTAAAGAGTGGAATCTAATCGGTTTTATTTTCATACCTGACACAAAGTTACCAAAAGCGATTGTGGTCAGCAACAGAAATTTGATAAAAAATCTGGCACAAAAGAAGGTAACTGTCTTCTTTTCAATAAGTCTATTTTCCTTCGATAGCATTTATTTTTAGACTTTTTAGCCAGTTTAGTTGGTCAGCTAAGAAATATGAATTTGAAGAAGTCTGAGATTTCATTGCAAATGAGGATACAACTTATCTTGAAGAGAGAAGGAGAGAGAATGCATGGACGAACACGACAATTTTTTTTTTAATTTTTATTTTTATCCTCCAGGTTTGAAACTGTCAATTTATTATAAGGAGAGCTCTGACTGTTTTTTTCACGGGCCTTGGAAGTTTACCATTTTAATGTAAAGGAGAGCTTAGGTGTTGGTGGCTTACCGAAATGGGTTTTCTTAAAAGTTGAATCCGCTCTCCCGGCTTGAGGTAGCGGTGGCTTTACGATTAACGCGCTGGACTCCAGGTCGAGAGGTCCTGATTCGAGACGAAGCCTGGTCATTGTGTTGTGTTCTTGGGTACGGCACTTTACGCAAACAGTGCCCCTCCCTCTCTACCCAGGAGTATAAATGGGGTACAAGCCAACTTTCTGAAAAAGCTGACAAAATGTCAGGGGGTGACCTGCGATGGACTGACATCCCATCCAGGGGAGAGTAGTAATACTCCTGGTGTTGCTACATGCTATGGAAACTGGGATAAGCTCAGCTGGACAGGCCACGTGGTTCGGGCGCAGACTTTTAAACCCCCCTTACCCCTCCCCCCTCCCTCCCGGCTGCTCTCAAACTGAGGCTTTAAATTGTTGACTCAACGACAATAAGTTAATGAAATAAACCCCGATTGGCAGGGCGTTAGAATTGTAGACCTGGTTTTTGGTAACTGGTTAGGATATAGAAAGGGGCCTTAAAGTGTTATTTTCTGTAAATGTGTTGTTTCGAAGATGATCCCCACTGTATTGGATTGGTTGGCTAAGGGATCTTTCACCCAGACCAAACGCCCCGAAAAATGCTTATATTTTTTATGATTATTTTTAGGGTTGAGTCTGACGATGACGACTCTGAAACATTTGTGAACGGTTCTGAATCCCAGGATCACAGTGAGGCTGCGTCCTTTTATCTTGGTGATAAACACATACCGGTTTATGCCTCAGAGATGAAGGAATTGTCAAACAGCGACATTGCACGGCTATTACTAGATCCTCCTGAAGATAAAGCCGCTTCGAAACCACCCGTAACGTGTCAAGAAAACAAAATTTTCATCATTGATAAAAAGTCGCCGTATTTTCGAAACCCAGACGACTGGAAAGCAGATGGCCTTGGAGTCTACAAAAACGATGGCACTCATGTTTTTGCGTATTACGAGGACAAGAATCCGGAAATCCGCTGGATATCCAAAACAAAACCAGAAGATTGCAAACGCTCCACAGTTCTTCTCAAGAGAACATACTGGACGCACGCACAACATCCTGATTTCCGCAAAAGAGCTTATGAAATACTCAGATATAGTGGGCACAGCTTTACGCCCGAGCGATTCGTACTTTTACTGTACAGTTTCAGCGGAAAACCACATGCGATCACGACCAAAAAACACGGCAATTCTAAGTCCGAGAAAGCTTTTACTCGCACCAAACCTGGAGTTTTGGACAGCATCAAGGGAAAGGTGAAAGGTTCTGCTCCTCCGTCCAAAGTGTATGACGAAGTGTTTGAAGAGGCTGGGGGCCTCCTCAAGGTTTGCAGTGTCTCAGATGGTCTCAGAAATAGAAAGCAAGTGGAGAACGCAAAATATAAAGGAAGGGAAGTTCGAAGTCAAGACGAGTTATACGACCAAACCCTCAAATCAAAAGGAGAGGAGGAAACGGGAAAAGTTTATATTCGACGCCTGCAAGTTGCACCTAGTCCGGTATGCGTTTTGGCGTCTGATAGGCAAGTTCATGATGTTAAGCGGTTTTGTGCCAATACAACTAAAAAATTTCCCTCATGTTCCCTTCTCCACCTACATCGGGAAGTCGCACGCCCAAAAGGAGAAGATCAATAGGAGAGTTCGTGAAATTCCAATGGAGGCATTTTTACAACTGAAAGAAGGCTCGATCAATAATGCAAAGGCTAAGAACAAGAATCTGACCAAATGAGCTTACAAAAACATGCCAAAGTCAATCGGTGGGAAACCTGGGGAAGCCGAACGGAAAAGAAAACGTAATCCCCAGTCCGAGCGTTCAACTAGCAAATGTACAGAAAGAGTTCCTACCCCTCCGAAACCAACACTTAACACCAATACCTTCAAAGTTAAATGGCTCAAGAACTCGAGGGTTTACAGATGTTATGGGCGTCGGCAAAACATCCGTCCCAAACCCCAGAAAGGCGAAACGGAAGTTGTTCCTCCACCACCTTGGGACTTTGTTCTCGCACGACTGGAACTCCGGCTAATCCCTAATAGTGCTGGTGAGCTGAAGATGTCCATCTAGCCGGAACCAGTGCATTATCACCCAAAATTGTCCTGTATTCGCAACACCCACGGCAAAAAGTATTATCCGTCGGTGGAAGTAACGGATGCTGACAAGGAGGTGATGGATGATATTCATCTTCGGCATTTACGAAGCGAGTTCGGTCTATGAACAGTCTGCGCAATCGTGGCTACGAGGCCATAATAACCGTATTTTCTCGAATAAGCGCTCACCCCCAACGCCTTCAGACTCAACTACAGCACAATCAGTGCAGGTTAATAATCTCCTATTAAGTGCCCCCCTCGATTAAGTTCTCTTCTTATAGTATTTCAAATACCTTGGTGTTTGTGTTTTTATGTAAGCAATTGTAGCAAAAGTTTTCTTTTGAGTCGACCATTGTTTATGTTATAAGACGAAACCTGTGTGAAGATGATTCGTAGACAGGTCCCGTTAATGTTAGTTATTGCTGAAATTATTTCCAGTTTTTTTAAATCAACATCATTCTCACTTTTAAATTAAGCAACCGTGTGGCATATTTTGTCTAAAATTCACTCATTATTATTAGGGTCAGTTGGTGAAACCTGTGTTAAGATGACTGACATTGACAGGTCCCGTTAATATTAAATAATGGTATTCCTCATTGATTTAAGCTCGATATATTTTCACTGATAATGTCGGAGTTTTAGTTAAGATTGCGTTAACAAGAAGTAAGTCAACGCTTGTGATTGCATCACTGCATGTGGACAAAGTCAAACCCTGACAAGCCTAATGTCAATTTTACTCAAAAAAGAGAGGTTGATAAATTAGTAAATGAACATCCACAGCATGATATTAAACATTACTACGGGCAAAGATATTTTTTTCCGGTATTGACTTAATATCCGCGGAAGTTATCCTCCTAAGGGGAAATTAGTGTGGGTACACTTGATTTTTATCTGGCTCTCTTGATCCTTTGGCCTTGCCTATCATTCCGTCTTTTAGGCTTTGGGGTAATTTTCCGCCATTCCGTCTTTTAGGAGTTGCTGTTAGCAAATGACTGGAAAAAATGGGGTCGAATCCAAGGGAAATTGGGTCTTGTTCGAGTAAGCGGGGGTTTCGAGTTCGCGGGGTTCGAGTTAGCGGGGTTCTAGTGACAAGATCTATTCTCACCATGCAAATTAGACGAATTAGTGAAATAGCCTTTTTTGTCCAGAAAGTTAATTTCTTCCGCTGATATGTAAGCCGTAAATTTCACAGTAGGATGGTGGTGTTTTGGACACCTGGTCGCGAAGAAATTCTTCAAATTCTTCTTGACGGCTTCCTTCTGCTAACTTTCTTTTGTCCTTTCACGCCATGAGAATTTCCCACGCGCGTGACACCCTGCAAACCTCTCTTAGTGTTACTCAAGTCCCAAAACTTATTCGTGGATGAAAAAACGCTCGTATTGAAGGGCTCATAACGAGGGCTTGCTCTCACGCTAGTCTAAGTTTGGAGCTGGGGCTGAACGTTGTCATATTTTGAGAAGCCTGAAAACGTTCCTGTGATGTTCTCACATTTACAAGCATATGAGATATTATTGTTTCAATAAATCAATGAAGACGTGACCAGGAAACGTATCAAAGTTATAATTGTTTATTGTAATGTGGTATGTCGAGTTGGTTTTCACATGCTTTGCGACTTTTTATGCCGCGACTAAAACTCATGGCAAATTTAGCATAACAAAAGGTAACTAAACAGGTTTACAACGCGAAAACGCAGCTATCGTTCATGCATAATGGTTCATTATTATTTATACCACTCAGTAAAAGAAAAAAAATTAATAACACTTAATTTTAGTCACGCGCGTTATCGTCGTGGGGATAAATGAGCCAAGCGCTTAGTGTTTTTGTACAAAATTTGCAACATGCCCTGACATCCGTTCCGTGTTTTAGGATTTGGGGTCATTTTCCGCCGTTCCGTGTTTTTTAGATTCTATCATTACACTAAAAATAGATGCAAAGAACTCTTATAAAACTAATTTCATTGTGGTTTACATTGATTAAACGTCGTTGATTGGTACATCATCATAAAAACTCTCGAAGTGGTTCCGAAAAAGAGGCCCTGTCGAAATAATAAGAGCTGTCCTTAGAGCTGCGATTTCAGTACAACCATTCTAAAGTTCGAAGTACAGAAGTGATTGAAAAGGAGCTTTAACTTTCCTTTGATTAGTTTTTGTCAAAAGGTAGGAAAATTTAGACAGATAAATAAATAAATAGATAAATAATGGATGAAAAGATATGAGTGAAAATTGAAGAATGAAAATAAATTAATGAAAACGAACGAGTGAAGAGGTGAAGGATAGAATTTCCAAATATCAAATTAAGACGTGGTGTGGATGACACAGTAACAACTATATATTTACAAAAATTAACATGTAGCCTGTGTAACTAGGGGTTGAATGTGTGTTTTTCAAAACCCCAAATGGCAGAAGGCAAACCATTTGGCTATTTATAAGCATGGTGGAACTGTTGAGCTCAGAACAGTTGAAAGGCAAATCCAGACAACTGTTAAAGCGTGTCTCGAACCTGGAACTTCCGCATTGCGAGTACCATGCACTCACCCTGCCACGCTTTCTCTGCTGGCTAATTTCGTCACGTTAGCCCACTGACAAGAAGTCAAATACCAATTTTATATTTTTGTTAAAAAGCAAATGCTTCATCCAGTCCTTACCCCATAGAGATTCCGGAAAAAATTCAAACAGCAAATCTCTAGACCATGGTCGTTCCTCAGGGCTCCTACAATTGAAACAAATATGAATAGTTCATCCTTACTACCTCTAACATTTCCATATACCCTTAGACCATACAAACCATGTCAAAGCAGCCGTAATAAGATCCTTGGTAGCTTTTGATATATCCTCCGGCAAGTTTGGTTCCGTTGGCTTGGATCCAATACGGAACATGGCCGCTGCTGGCTCGAGGTCACCCAGCGGAGGTCTTCCCGTCAACATTTCCACAACTGTACAACCTACACTCCTTTATAGGAAAGAAAGAAAGCATTTCATTGAGAACAGAAATGCATCTTAAACAATTATTTAAATCAACTTTAATAGTCGAACTCTCATGAAACTTGATCCTCTCTTTCATAAAAAGCAGATCCAGGGAAAGGACTGATAGCCTCAACGTAAAGACAGCTATTGGCGGAATAGGAGGAACGCGAAGGAGCAGGTCTATCATAAGTAGTTAGACAACTAGCTTCGCAGCATTCCCACCTTATTCCCTTACAGCACTCTCTCTCTCTGTGTCTCTCTCTATCATCTTTATGTGTGTTTTACTTATCATGAAGACAGTTAAACTTACCAAATGTCTACCTTTCTGCCGTATCCTTCTCCCCTGAATATTTCAGGTGCCATCCAGTAGGGAGTGCCGCAATAGGATATAAGATTGGTTTTACTCCCAATTTTCTGGGTATGAATGAAAGAGATCAAGAATCTTTTATCTTTTTTCTGGCTGATTTGTTTCAAATTATGCTCTTACCACGTCGCCCTAGACCAATGACCCCACAGGTCATATTCAAAGACAGTTTCGGACGTTTCGGGTGGGGTTTGCAAGGAATTATATGCAACATTTGAAATCGTCAAATTGCGAGTAAACAAACAAGTTTTCCACCTCCAAATGTAAAATCAATGAAATACCGTTAATCACTACCCTGCTCAAAGAGCGCAAAGCCCTACTTGTGGCGTGTTAAAATTGTGAAGAATCTCTTCGTGTGATCGCATTATGGTTTTTCACAGTAATAAAATCAATACACAAGTTCTTATATCGGTTTATCGCGGCTTATAGTCTTCAGCCGTCTGTTTGTAAGGCTCAAGAAATGCATTGTCATGATATGTCTGATATTACTCGTGTGATTTCGTGAGAATCCTATTCCTGCAAAATCAACCAAATGAAGTGCACGTTCTGTCTGTATCTGGTCAATTCGCCACCACAACAAACTCGCCAGCGCAAAACTCGCCATGCACCACTGAAAGTCAAATTGCCACCGGTGGCGATTTGACTATCTCGATATGTGTAGCCTGTCGCATGAAACGTACATTAAATGAGAGCTAAGATGTAGTATTGTATGGCGAAAAGGGAAAGGGACTCAGAAGTTGTATGTAACCTCTCAAATATGGAACGTTAACCGTAAATGAAATAGAACTTGTTGATACCACGATGATCAGTTTGTGTAAAGCGAAACCAGAGTGATTTTCACCGAGTGATATTCGCCAAGTGATTTTCGCCGATTTTTATGAAATCGTATGAAACTTACATCAAATAAAGGCTAAGAAGTACTAGCATATTGCGACAAAGAGCTCGCACAAATACGACGAAGTTTACGGAAACAGACTTGGCGTCTTTTCTTTCTTTAAAGCACAAAGAATGTCGACGTGACCTTCAACACGAGTTTTGTCGCAACAAACACATTTCTTAATCAAACCTAATGAAGATTACATCATATGAAAGCCAGGATTTTGAGAGTTGTCTCATTTTTCAGTTTTGATGATGCGAAATTGAGAGTGTGGGCGAAATTTTGCTGAAAGCGACATTGCGTCCTCAAGGAGTCCCTGAGGGGCAAACTTTGATGTTCCCTTCGACGGCCGCGTTCGAATTTCTCGATCAATATCGTTGCAGGATAAAACTGACTTTTAGACTAGGGAGCACACCCTAAAGGTAGATCCCGAAATGCCAAACAAAATTTTGGCTGTTAAATTTTCCCAATTCTGAGGCGACGATCGATGAGTTAATCAGTGCTCAAATTGTCAAAAATGCGCTTCGAATTCACTTACTCTCACAAATTACTTTCTCTAGCTTTAGTATCTTGACTGGCTTATGAAAATTGGGCGTTTGTAGCAGTATGTGAAGGCCAAAATAGGTACTGAATTATTATAACTTCTGTTTGTTTTTAAGATTCGATTCATATTTTATTTTGTTCGTTGTTGGCTAGTGAATTGACTTTTTTAGCATTTGGTGGTTTCTAAAGGAACCCTTTAATGAGAAAAATTGTTCATTTGATAAAAATGTGCAGTTAATGTTGCAAGGTACTACATCCTAGTTTTCATTTGATGTAAATTTTCATGCGGTTCCTTAACATCGGCGAAAATTACCTGGCGAATATCACTCGGCGAAAATCACTCTGGTTTCGCTGTACGCAAAATAATCATAATCTTCTTGATATCAACAAGTTTTATTTCATTTAATGTGAGATTCACTCGACAGGCTACGCATAACGAAAAACTCAAATCGCCACCGGTGGCGATTTGACATTCAGTAGTGGCGAGTTTGTTGTGGTAGCGAATTGACCGTTAACCGTTCTACCCGCTACAAACACAATCCACATCAGGGGATATAATTAATTGAAAGGATCCAAAATATCATAGAATTGTACCTCAATTATTTTCGATAGTCCGAAGTCTGCCAGTTTAACATTTCCATGTTCATCTAGAAGTACGTTTGATCCTAAGAATATATGAATGAATCAATTAGAGATTAATGAAGACTTCAGGTGATGCACAGCATACGGCAATTGACATGAAAGCGAAGTTTACCCCAGCTAAAGTAATTAATATCGGTATCAGACATCACCTCTCCCTGAACTTTTATTGTGGATTAAGTACTTGAATTGTGTGAGGTAAATTTCAAAGACTATTGCAAATAAAGACCACGTATGAGGAAGAAGACAAAAACTGGCATCTCAGACAATTATTTGCGTGATGGCTAATCAATGTATTTACTACAATATTTAATATGTATGATCTATGCACCTTTGATGTCCCTATGAATAATTTCTTTTGAATGTAGAAAATATACTCCTTCCAACATTTGCATGGTGTACTTCCTCGACTCTTCTTCTAAGAGAACTTTTTTCTCCTTTATGCGATCAGACAATGATCCCTATCAATAACATCAAACAATACTTAGCATGCTTAGCGCCAAAATTTCGGTATTTTTCATGTAGATTAGATAAACAATAGCATGCATTTAGTGCGAAATTGTGCTCGTATACTTGTCTTTATCTGTTCCTTGAAGAGAACAGTTTTCCGAGAGCGAAGCTCGAGGAAAATTATGAACTTCAAGGAACTTTTATTGTCCAAGGACAAACGTACGAGTATAATTTCGCGCCAGATGGAGGCTACTGTGTCTATCATCCTATGTAATATTTTTGCAGCGCGGAAGACTAAATGTCCACAACTAGTTTACCTTTCACTGACTGGGATGTTCACTTTTCAGTGCTCGCTGGTACGACTTCATAAACAAACAAATATGTCACTTTTTTGCAAAAACACCAAAACACTGTCTTATCTTGAATTTTATTCTTAACACCGACTTTAGGGACTCACTTAGAGAATATTACCCGATTTTCCTTTGTTTTCGGTGGGGTATATCTAGTAACGTGACGTTTTGAGACCAAAGGCGCTCGAGCAAAAACATTTCATGGATTACAATTCACAGCTATTCATTAAAGTGGAGAAGGCTAGTGGTGGATATTTACCGGGCCGCTACTGAGCCACAGACACAGAGGTAAATAGTTGCTTTAGTATATTCAGGAGATTATGGGCAATTTATAATCTATTGGTATAAACTAAATCAGTGAGGTAATATCAGATGGCACAAGAAGATGGGCCTCGTTGGCTATCTATCATCTCACATCCAACGTGCAATCGTGGAATGATTGCTAAATATATTTACAATAGTAATGATGTTAACCAAGGTGGATTGAAGAAATATAGAATCAGAAAAAGTTAATGTTCGCTATCCAGAATTGGAAGTCGCTTAGAGAAAGCGTTATCAGCTGTATCCTGAGCTATAGTAAAACTTAAGTTTATTTTGATTTCAGTAACGCCCCTCATCTCAATTAATACCCATCAAGACTTTAGAACACTCAAAAGGTTATAGTAATCATTCATCAACCGCAGAGTCATTAAATATTGCTCCTCTTTAAACTTACCCCTGTCATCAATTCCATAAATAGATGGAGATGATTGCCTTTCTTTGCGCTATCATAATAGGCCACAACTCGGTCGTGTCTGATTTCTTTCAAAATATTGATTTCATTTGTGAGTTGCTCCACCTCCTGGAATTTCGAAGAAGTAAATTTTTCAAGATAAATGAATTCTTCGTGAATCCGAAGAGAAGGCTCAAATTTTTTGATGTAGCAGTAACCGTATAGCTAAAAATCGGACGTTTTCTTAAATGAAAACATTTACATCAGAGGGTACAAGACTAACCTTTTGCGATTGAGTATACTGAGACTCTATCTGGACTATTTTTAAAGCACACGGGCCTCCATAGTTTCCCCATGGAAAAGTACACTCATATACCTGAAAAAATTGCCCAGATTAAATCGTTTATCAGTTGCCGTTTTTAAAAATAAAATCGACTATGTTAGAATGTGCTACACAACCTTCTCTACGCTACAAACAGTGTTGTCTTCGCAACAAGAATGGAGTGTGCCTACGGCGAGGTTACCCTGTAAGAAAGCAAGTCTGTTCTCTGTTGGAGTTGTTGCAACGTGGTACGTGACTTCCTCACTTAATTCTGTAGAAATAATATTGTGAGACTTCTTCGAACTTTATTACCGATGACTAGGAATAGCTCTAAATTTGCGTCGAATCCTTCAAATTTTGTTTTATGTTAAATTCCTTCAAAATAATATATATATTTAATCGAATTACGGTTAGATCGCTCCATGGTTAGATCGCTCCAAGTCAGATCGCTCCATACCGAAGTCAGATCGCTCCACTCGAAAGTTAGTTCGCTCCATCAAATAAGTTACTTCGCTCCATACATAAGTTACTTCGCTCCATACATAAGTTACTTCGCTCCATGAAGAAAACTAACGTGGAAGGTTGATAAAAGACAGAAGGATAAGGGAAAAGAAAAGAAAGAGTATTGTAACGCGACTAAAGACTCGCCATTTTTAGCCGGAGTCGAACCCAGTCTCACTCACGGCTGGATTTGACAACGTTTAAAAATGGCGATTCTTTGAAAGCAATATTTATAAATCATATTCATTGTTGGTCATTTCTTTTATTTTATTTGGTGGCTCCTAAAGGAGCCTTTTGTTTGTGATGGTTGTGGTGTCTGCTGCTCTTTAAACAGGACCATTTAGACAATAACTTTATCATTTATTACACACTGAAACACTTATTTCATCATTTATTACACACTGAAACACTTATTTCATCATTGGTAATTCGCTTTGGTGGGTTCAAGTGAACGAATCGTCGATCACTTTATATTTCAGCAACTTGATCGCAAGCAACATCATCAACTATAAACTACAAAGATCAGAAGTAGGTTAGTTTATTAGTTTTCTACGTTCATTACACACTGAAACACTTGTTCCAACATCGATAATTCGCTTTGGTGGCCTCAAGTTAGCGAATACGTCGATCAGCAACTCGATACACATCATCAACTATAAACTATAAAGATCAGAAGTAAGTTAGTGTATTAGGTTTCTACATGGAGCGAAGTAACTTATGTATGGAGCGAAGTAACTTATTTGATGGAGCGAACTAACTTTCGAGTGGAGCGATCTGACTTCGGTATGGAGCGATCTGACTTGGAGCGATCTAACCATGGAGCGATCTAACCGGATACCTGCTTACCTTATTTAATCAAGCCTAAAAGCGGAGCTCCTGTAAGTTTATTTTCCAGCCCTTTATTATAATAAAAACTGTTATAAAAGTCTTCAGCACTGGTTGTAGAAGAGTTTCTTCAAGGGGATTTAGGACCAGTCCGGGGAGTGGGGGGAGGATTTGACAAGGTCACGCCACCTGCCAAATTGTACCATGTCCGACCATTTCCCTGGGCGAGTAAATAGCGACAGAGAAACCAAACAAAGGTTTGTAAACATACCGAGCGCCGTAATTTACGTCATTATGACGTGAGCGAGACAAAGAAAACGCAATTGACAGTCCGAGTTTTGAAGGTTTTTTCGCTCAGTTAGATTGCAGGCTTACGTTCGGTAGTAAGAATTTAACACAGGTAACACCCGTGAAGAAAGTATAGTTTCATGTTCAAAAACAGAACAAAACAGGAATGATGGAAGATATGGCCAAGAGGCACAACTGTTAGAATTCATACTAATCATGAATCATGCCGAGGTCCATCGCGGCTAGCTCAACTTTATGATCTCCGGTCATCTCAGTGAAGAAGCCTTAGAAATAACATCGGCCGCCCTTCGAGTGAACAACTAAGAGCTTGCTCTAACATACTTTCCGATGCGTTGAGTGGACCTCAACGCATTGGAAAGGATGACGCATCAGCCACAGCAGGCGAGTTTTATGGCGCTGTCATCCTGAGCAATCTTTATGTTCCTGTTAATTCGGCTGTAGTTCATTCATGAAGCACAAGCCTTGAACAATTTGTTTCTTAATTGTCATGTGAAGAAACTTACGTGTTTTTATAATTATGAACTTCACTGAACATGTATTTCAGTTTCTATTTTAGAGACTTGAAACTTCAGGCGAAAGTGTCAAATTCGACCTGCCTATCAGTTTGTAAGATAGTGCAGATTGTTAAATTCAATTTTGTGGTTTGACATTTTTGACAGCTTTAGTTCAACCAATCAGATTATTTGAACCATTCTAACAAGGATTCTAATCGGCTCATTGTAGCATGCTTTATGAGAGTGTGGAACATGCTGACGACACTTTTGTTCGCTTTAGAAATAATATTTGTTTAAAAAATTGAAAGCAATGCGTGGGGAATTCAACAGATTCTTTATTATAAAAAAAAATAGAGAAGTTAGAATAGAGAGCCTTAAAAATAGAGCCTTAACTGTGCTCTTTACCGTTGTAAAGCACTTAGGAAGCGGTAGGAGTACTCAAGAAGTGGGAGAAACTAAGAGATGTGGACGCGTGTTTCACCCTACTCTTCTTTCGTGCCTTAACCGCTTTCTGCGCGCTTTACAACAGAACAGAGCACAGTCAAGGCTTCTCCATTTTTGAATTGTTGATCGCGTGTGATCACGTGACCGAATATGCCCCCCCCGGTAAATTGGGGAATATCGTATTTCCTCGAATAAGCGCCCGCGCTCAAATAAGCGCCCTTCCCCGAATAAGCGTGTACCAGTTAGGCCAAACATCAAATAAGCGCCTCCTTCGAATAAGGCCCCCCCTCAATCAATTTCAAATAAGTAGGGAAATAAATAAAACCTGGTTCTATTGCCAATTTATTCATAACCTTAAACGACAGCGGGATCAGCAAAGGATAGTAGTTTCTCTTCTATACCAGTTATTTCTAACTCTGTGATATTTGTGTTATCTGTTCTTTTAAATTTTGTCATGTTGCTGCGCTTTTGGCAAATGCCGTACTCTTCCCAGGCATAACTAGACCATTCTCTGGCCTTCGAGGACCAGTAATTTCTAGTATTATTGAGTTATTGGGATGCGTTTTAAGAACGTAGTTGATAAGGAATGATAGGTCAATCAGAATGCGACCAACAAGCTATAACCTGTCAGAGCCATGCACATGCTTCACTTTGTAAGTTCTAATTACATCGTCGTCATACTTCTTTGCCTCTTCCCTGTCAGCTCTTTAAACAAATAAGTCTTTCCTCATTTTTAAACAAAAGATTTAAATATTGACTTCACGTATACGTATATGGAAGATGTGGCCAAAATAAAGTTACAGTTCGTTAAAAGGAAAATTTAATAAGCGCCCCCATTTCGGCCGAAATTTCAAATAGGCGCCCGGGCGCTTGTTCGGGGAAATACGGTATTTATGCATTGTTGATCAAGCGTGAGGTCAAGATTGGCTGGATATTGGACAAGTTTTTTTTTTGCATTTTTACGGACCGAGACAAAGTAGAGGTCCATAAAAACACACACAAAAAAAAAGAACGGGGTTAAAATCAAGCCATCTTGACCAAACAACCTTGGTCAATAAAGGATTTATTGTACAGCAAAAAGGCTTCGCTTCAATTTTAATAGAATCAATAATGACTTATCGAATTTCGAGCAACAGTTTTTGTAGCACAATAAACTCACGAAACTCGTTCATGCCTTTTTTGTTTGGACTGTCCTCTACCGCTAAAACTCTCTGGCTAACATTTCAAAAAATTTCCAAACTTGTTAGTGCATCCCGGGCAGTTTTTCCTTTCTTGCGCGGTATCAAAACGGGAAAGCGCAAGATGGGCTCGTCTTGCCCGCGCGGGTAGCTAATCGGAACGCAGTATTCACTTCATATTGCCCACGGGTGCTGCCTGCCATATGGTAACCGGTGATATTCCCCAATTTTCAAACCTTTCCGTCAATCACGATAAAAGCCTGCCTTTAAAATGTATTCAAGATGAGAAAATATTTTGTGATCGTTACAGAAGAAGAGATATATTTGTGTTTTCTTAAATTCGTAACAGAGAACATTGACAAGGGAACAAGCAAACAGCAGGCTGATCGTTAACATTTTGTTTCACGCGCTGCAAAAATATTGAAGGATAAGAAACAAAGTAGCCTTGTTACTGTAATCTAGAGACCGTGATTCTAACCTCCGCGAAGTTAGAACTAACTTGAGCTCGGTGTTGATTTAATAATAGGGCTACTCTTTAAGATTACTCAGTTTCAATGAGAAGCACATTTTATCCAAAGATTGTAGTCAAGTCTCACAAAATGTTGAGTACAATCCTGTTATTTTCTGGCATTTATTTACTTTTACGTCAAATCCTTGATTACAATTTAAGTTAACGTACCTTGCCAAAAGCTCCGGCTCCAATACATTTGCCCAATGTCCACTCACGAAAAAGATGGTCTTCAAGGAAAGTTGTGAATGTGTTCGGTTGTTGGGTTTCTGAATAGACAACAATTTATACGAAAAAACTTTCAGGACTGACTATTTATGCGCCATATCTATGTTTTCAGTTATTACCAACAATCCAAGACAAGATGGCGGATATCCCTCATTATGCAGGCTTTTCGGGCCATTTAAAAATGGCTGCCGCTTAGTAAGGCCTGTGTAAGATCATAACTTTTATGCCGGGTAGCAGCGTTCGTGATAAATTTCTGAAAAAAGTGGTGTTCTAGCAATGATAATCAAACCTCGGTACATTCACCATTACCAAAATTTAAGGCATCTTTCAGGGTTTTAAGCGGGGAAATACAACTCCCAAGATGGGTAGGGCAGAAGCGGTAAGTAATTGATAACTTTTATGTAAGTTTTTGGGAAGTAAAAACGTATTTGTGGCGAAATTTTGCTCCAAATATGACAGGTAAGTAGGCTCAATGCTGCATATGGAAAATATGAAAACAAAGAAATGTCTACATATTTAGGTGGACTTACTAATGGACTAAACAGCTGAGGAGAAAAAAATAAACACTTGACGACGCTAACCTCCAGAGAAATGACATTTAGCTACCAGTGACCATAAACTCCCCTGGAAGAAAACGTTTGCATAAGGATATCAAATTTCACTTTGAAGCTAAACGGTTGACAGTGCCAGCATTATACTTAGAATATAATCTTCATTCTGAGAAATGTTAATGCTATGATAAACGAGAGGCATTAAAGAACACTTTCTAAATTTGATCTGACTAGCTGGCCACTGAATAAAAAGATCGCGTTAAGCCTTCTACTACTTTTTAAATTGAGGAGACTAGTCTATAAAAGCAGAATCGGATATCGAACAGGAAATTCCATGGTTCCATTGCCAGAATTTAACCAGTCACAATTGGTTACTTTTTCCTGATGATTGGCTTGGTTAAAACCAATTCTATTCAGCTATCGCTCACTCGATTTTGCTGGAGAAATTCTAAAACTTATTTATGAAACTATTTTGCTTTAAGCTATTGAGTACCAAAAAAAAAGAAACAAAAACAAAAATCAAACCTACAGTTAAGCATTTTCCTTACCCTGGGCGACTCTGATTCAGGGACGGAAGCATAACCGAAGCATGAAAGAAAGAAGAAAATCAATACCATTAAGATGAATATGACCCCTCCTCGCCAACATTCAGTGCTATAAACTAGTGTAAGTAATTGTGACTTCTCATAGATAAACTTCACTCTATTGATGATCTTCCTATGAAGTTTTAGAACAAATAGATTATCAATCAATGCTTTTAATTTTTGCGTCGAGGTTTCTTAAACAACGCTTTTCATTAACGTTAGCCTTTAGGGGCGTAAGTCACTCTTTGAGACTGCGAACTAAGTTCTTCCATTTTGACACTTAAAAGCGTGAAATCACCATTCTTCGACCTCGACTAATCGACAAGAGGCAGAGAGCGACGTCGTAAAAGCCAACAGATCACAAAGTGTTTTGGTCACGGGCTGTTGAGAATGATGCGAGGTTTAAACAACTTAATATATAGACAATCAACACTTGATGACACTAAAGAAAGCAAAGTCTCTTTGCTAAAACAAACTTATTCACACTTCTTCTTTTAATATCTTGGACTCAGAGTACTCAGTGACGGATGATAAACTGAGTTCCCTTTCTTCGAGTGTAGAATTAAAATATTTCTTCCTCACCTCTTCAAAAGACTATGTGCCAACACCACTTGCAAGGTAAAGGAAGGGTAAGGAATAGCAAAGTTTACACAAGTTCGATTGCACGTTATAAGCCCATGGCCACGACATGTTCTCAATCGTGGGTTATAGGCATAACAGTTCTTTTGACATGTAGGTCAAAACAATAAAGCGAAAAATCTAGATGGACATACTGATGGACTAAACAGCTATGGAGAGAAAATAAACACTCCATGACGCTAACCTTCAGAGAAATTATATTTAGTTTCCAGTGACTGTAACGAAATCCTCTGAAAGAAAACGTTTGCATAAGAATACCAAATTTCACTTTGAAGCTGAACGGTTGACAGTGCCAGCATTATACTTAGAATATGATCTTCATTCTGAGAAATGTTAATGCCACGATAAACGAAAGACATTAAAGAACACTTTCTTAATTTGATCTAACTAGCTGGCCACTGAATAAAAAGATCACGTTAAGCCTTGTGCTACTTTTTGAATTGAGGAGACTAGGGCAGAATCGGAAAACGAACAGGAAATTCCATGGTTCCATTGCCAGAATTTAACCAGTCACAATTGGTTACTTTTTCCTGATGATTGGCTTGGTTAAAACCAATTCTATTCAGCTATCGCTCACTCAATTTTGCTGGAGAAATTCTAAAACTTATTTATGAAACTATTTTGCTTTAAGCTATTGAGTACCAAAAAAAAAAGAAACAAAAACAAAAATCAAACCTACAGTTAAGCATTTTCCTTACCCTGGGCGACTCTGATTCAGGGACGGAAGCATAACCGAAGCATGAAAAAAAGAAGAAAATCAATACCATTAAGATGAATATGACCCCTCCTCGCCAACATTCTGTGCTATAAACTAATGTAAGTAATTGTGACTTCTCATAGATAAACTTCACTCTATTGATGATCTTCCTATCAATCAATGCTTTTAATTTTTGCGTCGAGGTTTCTTAAACAACGCTTTTCATTAACGTTATCCTTAAAGAGCCTTAGTCACTCTTAGAGATTGCGCATTACGTTCTTCCATTTTGGAAATTCTTCCAGTATTGTTTGGTCTAAAGAGCAATGTCGTAAGAGCCAACCGATCACGAGGTGTTTTGCTCACGCACTGTTGGGAATGATGTGAGGTTTAAACAACTTAATGTGTAGACACTATTTGCTCTGATCTTTTTCTGAGTCTCAATAGATTTTAGGGCTCTCCCTCTCGATAAAGACACAGTCTGAAAATTATGTTCTGCCTGTCTAGGGCAAGCATAAGAAATTGATTATATGGCAGCTCTCACGAGTTTTATCGGCAAATCGACAGAACACAAAAATATCAGCTTTCTAGGAAGGACAGGTTTATTCAAAGTAATCCTTAAAGACATTCAAAAGGTCAGGCTGAAAAGAACAAATTTTTTACAAGACGCAGGAGTTCGATGTTACCAAGAAGTTGAATGCCGGATGTGCAAGCGAAGACATCTAATACACCGTTGTTTTTGGTAACTTATTTCAATGACACTCGCACCTTATTAAAAAACAACCAAGGAATTTTTTAGGCAATTGTTTCACGAAGTGTAAAATAGAAGTATTCGTAAAATATTCATTCCAAAACAACACCAAAGACTTTTCCTTAATGTACTTTTGTATGAGAGCTTTTGGAGGTGGCAAAATCCCAAGATTAAACGGATTTTTTGAAACTGGACGGCAAAGGTTACCAACGGCCTGTTGTCACTATTTCCTTCGTTTTAAATGCGCATGCGTGAATCGTGACTTAGCCGCTTTAAGAAATATCTCGAAGACAATAAGGTACCCGAACTGCAGTCTTCATTTTGAGTTTTGGACAAACGCCATTCAGTAACGCATGATAAGTTTCTATTTGCTTTTCATATAGAATTTAGTTCGCATTTCGCCTTCACCTCATCAGAAAAATTTTGCACCGATAACACTCGAAGAAGAGTTAGGAAAATCACTGTCGTACAAGTTCAATCAGTGCACGGTGTGAGCCCATGGCCACGAAATGTCACTAACAGTAGTTTATGGGTATATCAGTACTTGTGACGATTAGGATGTTATCTAGTTGTATCAAGATCAATATATGGACAGCTGAGAAGGAAAAAAAAGAAAAATAACCATTCGCTAACGCTTACCTTCAGAGGAAGAAGAGTTAGACCTCCCTATATCTAGGGCAGAACGTGTGCGCCGTAATATTGGGCTACCCTGTGAAAAAAGTCTTAAATTACTATTTGGTTGTCGTATATCTTCCAGAGTTTCTGCGCACGCGTTTCAATTGTATTATCATGCCCCGACAATCTAAAAACAGCGGTCATGTTGGATTTTCAAGCCACGCGTTGAGGCCAAGGTGCAAGTTACTTCTTTACTTTTATGGCTCTTGCAATAATTATTCCATATGTTTCTGTATATTTTCAGCTCTGTTTCGTTCCCTTTGTTGTGTATATATTATGTGTTATTTCGTACCTTCAGCTGACACCAGGTTGCATAAGCAATAAGAGTAATGCCGAATGTGTATTTGATTATTATGTACGTGCTGATAAACAGCACAAATTCTGATTGGTCGAAGGGGTTTTCTCACAAATGAGAAGTAATTGTGTGACCGATCACAGGCCGCAGGCGGTATTTTCCATCAGTGAAAACAATCGTATCGGTTTTCCTGCCTTTCGTGGCGCTGCAGCTCGCCAAAATGATTGAAAGTGAATTTTAGAAACGTTCGCTGCTTTCCAAGAAAAAAACGCAAAAGTGTTCAAAGCATAACCAATTATTCGGTGGTACCTAAACAAAAGCAGGTGAAATGTCTCGTACTTTGAATAAAGTAACAAAAGAGAGCTTAGAGAAAACGTCATTTAGAAAAAAGAGGTGTTTCATGTGATCAGGAACTTAGTAAGATACCACTAAACAAGTTAAGAGATGATGTCAGCATCCATCACACAAATTTGAAATATTGTGGCAAGTCGCCCAAAATTTCATTTCACTCCTACTTTCATGTTTTGTAGCCCAATATGTCCTAATAATTGTGGTGTAGTTTTTTTGTGAAAATATATTTTAGTTTTTGAGAACTTATTTTTTTCGTTCGACCGCTCAAATACGCAAATTTTCACCGTGAATATTACCTGAGTTGTGTGACCTCATGTAACGAATAACCTTGACCTCAGGTTTTTCTGTCAACATAATCCTTTGTTTTATTATCTAAACTATTTCCTTTGTCATTACTGGAGCTGGCAAAGTAATATTTATTTTTTTGCAAATATTTTTGTCCGACATACTTTTCCTATGTCAAAAAGTAGCATCAAAACAAAGACAGTTTTAACAATGACCGATATGACAGAATCTACTGAGCTTCGAGCTTTTAAAAGACAAAAGGATGGTTAAAAAGTCACTGAAAAAATTTCGTTGTGTATTTGTGTTGTTTTATCTTGAGACGAACTCAAAGTCCAGCAAAATTTACTTGCTAGCGACTATGAAATATGCATGGTATGCCTACTTGTCGTCACCGTTTACTGCCATTAATCACTACAATTTGTTAAAAAATCTACCATAACACTCTAGGTTATGATTTTATTAGCTGTTTCGATTATTTTATAACGCCTGGGTATTACTTTTTGACAGGAGCCCAGGTTTTGCGTTGTGTTTTCCCCTCCTCCATTTACATCATAAGCTAATCACGAAATAATTCATACTGACATAAATGAATATTTACCCTGTATATAAATTTTTGTTTATGTTGAATTGAAAATATTAGAATATATGCCTTTTGTGGTAACTGATCGTTGTTTCAGTGGTAGCGAAGCAGTTAAAAGTGGGTTGTTGCATCAACACTTTTGAAATTTACAGTATTTCGACAGGAGAGCAAAGCGTGATGCTCTGGGAATAAAAACTTTTAGGAGCCTTTTAATTACATGATATCGGAATGAGTTTTGTTCAAGAATGCCACATAATACCAGAGTAAAGTTTATCCGAAACGAGTCATTTCTGAATGGGTTTATAGGGGTTTTCACTCCAGAACGAAACATTCATTCTTGTACCTGTATAATATAAACGCGGTACGACTCTTATGTCTGTATGAATCCTCTTTAGGAGCGAGGGAAACATAGAAAAAGACAGAATAGGACATAAATAATTGTTTTTACAGGCTAAGTTATCTTGTATGTAAACGCGGTATGAAATTCATTTCGTTCCGGAACGAAACTCATTTCGGAATTATGTAAAAGGTATCTTAGGGACGGAACATTAGATTTTTGAGGTGGGGGGCGACTGAGGCAAATCACTTTTTTTTTCACTGGGGGGCAAATCTTTGTTTTTAGGTGCTGACTGGGGTGGAGAAGGCGATCGGAAATGGGTAAGGATGCTTGTCGTAACTTTTAGGGGTAAAAAAAACCAGAGACCTAGCTGGTACGTTTTAGGGTGTTTTTCGCTCAATAAAATACCTGAAATAAGCATTAAGATTTTAATGATATGACTTGAGCCTCTAGAGCACATCGATCAAGGAATTTTTATTTTGGGGATTTTTCAATTTTTTTGCTTTTGAATTGGTACTTTTAGGGGTAGACATCAATTGTTGCCACTCCCACACAGATAAGACTCAGGTACTTTTTATTATTTTATAAGGGTCGTTTTCGAAATTTCCGGCGCACACCCCCGCCCTCTTACGTAAAGGTGTCCTCGGGGGTGATGATACGTGCAGCACACTTGAAATTTAGCAAGGACAAATTTTGATGTGATTTTGAGTGAAGAGAACCAAGTTTTGTCAGCGTCTAATAGCTTGTGCGGAAGGGCCTTTACCATCGTGTGCATAATTACGCGTCCCGCCAAACGGCGGGAAGCCAACAAAGTGTTCAGACATTAGTATAGAAAACTCCGCCTCTGTCTGGATTTTTGGTAGCCTATTGACCAATTCCCAATCGAGACTTAAGTCTGACGGGACGCGTAATTTTGCTCAACATCAACAAAAAATACAGAGACCAATCTCTCTCATTAATGTGGACAGCAAAATGGCTTCTGAGGCGTTAGCAAAACGATTAGAACATATTCTACCTGACTTGATTCGTTATAACCAAAATGCGTATTTGAAAGTTAGATCATTATTTAATACGGTCAGGAGTATCGATGATGGATTAAACAAAACAAAACGGGCAGTCTAATATGGCATAGGTTAAAATATGGACTGGACTATTTTTTGGACTCTTTTTAGACCATTTTTTTAACCATTTTATCGGGGGGAAGCACACCATTAGTACAAAGGGAGGGGTGGGATGTAGTCTCATAGTATACTGAGGAAGGGCTGGGAGGCAGTGTTATTACTCAGGGAGGGGTGAGAGACGAACTATGATTACACAGGGAGGGGTGGGAGGTGGTTGTAATAGGAAACGCTACTGGTTAATGGAGCGTTTACTCGATCATACAAATTATTTTAATCGGTATTTCCACTGACCTTTTTAATGCCAAAATTTTTGCGCTGGGCCGAGAATTCGAGACTGTTTAAAATTGTTCTGTCCAGCTGGACAATGAGAGTCAAGTCCAAGTCAGAACTTGTTATATTTTGAACTTTGAGGGAACTTTGGAAACGAGAGCAGAATCGGAATTCGAAACAAGAAATTCCATGGCTCCATGGCCAGGATGTACCCAGGACTTACTATTTCTTTACGGTTGGCTTAGTTAAAACCAATTCTATTCAGCTATCGCTCAATCGATTTTGCGAGAGAAATACTGAAAGTTACGAGTAAATTTAATTTGCTTTACATTATTGAGTTCCAAAAAGCAAACAAACAAACTAGCAAAAACCAAACCCACAGTCAAGCGTTCTCCTTACATTGGCCATCAATGGTGGTGGGATGCAATCATGAAGGTCTGGAAGAAAGAAAAAATCAAAATGCAATATCATTAAAATTGTAAGATACCTCCGCGCCAACATTCACTGAGTGCTATCAACTAGTGTAAGTAATTATGACCCCTCATAGAAAAAATCATCCCATTGATAATCTTCGTATGAAGTCTTAGACCGAATGAGTTATCAATCAATGTCTTTTTATTTTTTACGTTGAGGTTTCTTAAACAAAGCTTTTCATTAACGTTATCCTTAAAGTGCCATAGTCACTATTTGAGATTGCGCATTGAGTTCTTCCATTTTAACACTTATAAGGGTGAAATCATTATTGTTCGGCCTAAAATAACAAGAGGCAGAGAGCGACGTCGTAAGAGCCAACTGATCACAAAGTGTTTTTCTTATGTGCTGTTGAGAATGATGCGAGGTTTAAACAACTTAATATGCAGACAATATCTGCTCTGATCTTTTTCTGATCTTTTTTTGATAGTCGGGGGGTTATGTTCTGCCTGTCTAGAGCAAGCGTAAAAAATTGATTATAAGCCAGCTCTCACGAGCTTTATCGGAAAATCGACAGAACACAAAAATATCAGCTTTCTAGGAAGGATAGGTTTATTCAAAGTCATCTTTAAAAAAGGCATTCAAAAGGTCAGGCTGAAAAGAACAAATTTTTTACAAGACGCAGGAGTTCGATGCCAGCAAGACGTTGAATCCCGGGTGTGCAAGCGAAGAAGTCCAATTCACCGTTGTCAAGGTGATATATTTCAATGACACTCGCGTCTTGTTAAAAACGACCAAGGAATTTTTGAAGTAATTGTTTCACGAAATATAAAATAGAAGTATTAGTAAAATATTAATTCCAAAACCCAATACGTATCCCAAATACCACGCAGTAACGCATGATAAGTTTCTATTTGTTTTTCATGTAGAATTTAGCTCACATTTCACCTTCACCTCATCAAAAAATTTAGCGCCGACAAGACTCGAAGAAGAGTTAGGAAAATCACTGTCGTGCAAATATTAATCTGAGAGTACGGTATGAGCCCATGGCCACGAAATGTCATCAACAGTAGGTTAAGGGTACATCAGTACTTGTGACGAGTAGGATGTTATCTTCTTGTATTAACATTGATATATGAAGGACAAAAGTAAAATAACTATTCGCTAACGCTTACATAGAGAAGGAAGAGAGCCGCACTCCAACTTCCACTTCCTTGAGTTTACAGCCCCAACTTCATCGCGTTCAAAGTCTTTTTGGACACCCTGTGGAAAAGCCCAAGTCTAAAATTATCATTTGGTCGTCGTATATCTTCCAAAGAGGCTATTCCAGAGTTTCTGTGTATGCGTTTCAATTTTATTATCACGCTCTAACAATCTAAAAAACAGCCGTCATGTTGGATTTTCAAGCCACGCGTTTAGGCTAAGGTGCAAGTTACTTCTTTACTTTTATGGCTTTTGCAATTATTATTCCATATATTTTTTTAATGCGCCGCTTAGTATATTTCCAGCTTAGTATATTTAGTATAGTATATACTAATATATATACACTCAGTATATTTCCAGTTACTTATTCTTTATTGTGTGTTATTTCGTACCTTCGCATGTTGTTTACTCTAGGTTGCACAAGCAATTACAGCAATGCCAAATGTGTTTGAAAAATATGACATATTCGATCATTATATACATGCTGAGATTCACTCCAAGGGAAATTGTCTCTTAAAATAATAAAAAGCACAAATTCTGATTGGTCGAGCAGTTTTTCACACAAGTGGGAAGTAATCGTCTGACCAATCATAAGCCGAAGGCGAAATTTTTCATCAGTGAAAACAATCGTATCGGTTTTCCTGCCTTTAGTGGCGCTGCAGCTTGCCAAAATGAACGAAAGTGAATTTTAGCAGCGCTCGCTGCTTTCTAAAAAAAAATTGTTAAGGTATTCAAAGTATAACCCAATTATCCTGTGGTATCTGAACAAAAGCAGGTGAAAATGTCTCGTACTTTGAATAAAGTAACGAAACAGAGCTTGAAGAAAACGTCATTTAAAAAAAAGAGCTGTTTCATGTGATCAGGAACTTAGTAAGGTACCACTAAACAAGACAAAACGTCGGTCACAGAAAAACAGAAAGCTGATATTTTGCGAATGTTTCCCATGGTCCTTCGTTGTCTCTAACTGATGAGACACATGGCCTGATTTAACTATATTCTCTATCGATATTTAAAACAACATGCCATTGGAGCCTCAGGATGCTCGAATTTCATGTCTGGCCCCCAAAATAAGTCGGAAAATAAACAGTTAGTTTACTCAAGGAGGGGTGAGAGACGGACTATGACTACGCAGGAAGGGGTAGGAGGTGGTTGTAATAGTAAACGCCACTGGTCAATGGAGCTTTTACTCGATCATACAAATTATTTTAATCGACTTTTCGACTGACTTTTTTATACCAAAATTTTTGCGCTGGGCGGTAAAAAAGTGATGAGAATAAAGAAAAATATTAATTGGGGATAATTAGTTGTTCCGATTCTAAATTCTCTAAGCTAACATTACAAGAATTGTATAGTTGACAGTAAGGAAAATTACAAATTTGATCTGGGAGCTAAAGGGTTGACAAAAATACCTCTTTCTTTTTTAATGCTTCAATCTTTTCTTTTTCTCTTCTCGTCATTTTGTCCTCTTTTTCTCTACTACTAGATTCCTAAGAGAATGAGAGAGTCATAAAAGCATTTTAGAAAGGTTGAATATTACTAATTTGCTGTTAAATAGAGGGAACAAGACAATTTCCACCAAAGTTTCCAAGGGCTTTATAGACTACTCACTCACTCACCTCATTCTTTGACCGCTCTTTTCTTCTATCAAGATCTCTGCTTTCCTTTTTCCGTCTATCACTTGTCTTCCTTTCATCCTTATCAGAAAAAGATTTCTTCCATTTTTTTATCATGCGAATGCAAAACTGCCACCTAAACACTGGACTTGAATCGTTATTGAGTATATCGCTTCTACGATTCTCCACTGTTGGGTTATGCGCCTGACTTTTGAGCAGAATTGTGCACCATAAGTTGCTTCACGTTTGCCTTTGTGTATACAGTATATACCGGTAGTTACTAAATTTTTCTACCTTCCTTTTGTCATTGACCTTAGCAGACGAGATCACGGAATTTTCGGTCCTTAGCCCTTAAATTAGCAGCATAGAATTCATATGTGCTATCACAAAAAAAGCCACACTTAACTTAGAATTTTGATCGCCCAAAGAAATGGTACACTCGTGAAACATTACGGAAAGTGGGAATCTTTCATTCCCGTACTAGTGTGAGCAACTCCCCTTTCTACCATTCTACCATTAGTTTTAATGTAATAAGCCTAGTTTATTAAACGTTCTACTTCCCTGCTCTCCGTAGTATTACGTACTAAAGAGTACTTGCAATGTTAGCAATGTAGTAATGTTTAGTTTAGTAAGTAATGTTACTTTTAGAAGATTGCCTAGTTAAAGTCGTGTAAATAAAATAAGTGCTGTAAGTATTGTTGCTATTGTAAGTAGTACTAGTTTTTGAAAGTAAAGTTTGTTTTTGTAAAGTAATGTGAGAACGTAAGAAATGTCATTAATGTTAGTACCGCTTACTTTGATGAAAAGGACGCATTTTAGCGAGTTGTCCATTTCGACGTTTTCAACGTTCATAAGAAAAGCCTTTTCTTACTCTTCAAAGTAAGCGGTCAGATAACAAGCGTTACGCTGTAGAAGTAAGGTGAGGTTTTTTTTTGAGAATTTGACGCATTATTTTATTCCTTAGGGCGGCCGTAAATATTCCCATACAAACTCTTATAATTCCGCCATGACTGTTATTGCACAAGATGATCATCTCACAGCTGGAGCTTGGGCCGCCTGTGCGCAGTCAAGCGACAAGTCGTGAGTCACACGATATTATAAAATAATTCAAATAGTACGCGCGCTCTGATTAGCCATAAAACCATTTTATATGAGCGTATGTAAACATGGTTTTCGTTCCTCTTTCATTAGTTATTTTATAAAAGAAATGTAAAATGGTTTCCGTGTTTACATAGCCTGATGGATGCTTCGTGTCGTGGTTTCCTACGCTTATCTCGTGTTCTCCCAACCTCCCGCGTGTTTACATCAGGCTATGTAAACTAGGAAACCATTTTAGATTTCTTCATTCGTTCTCGTTCTCGTACCCTTTCGTGTCTCTCAAAGTCAAACTACTTTCATTCAATGATCAGCGTTGGAAAGCCTGTTGCATTTATGAAATACGACAGAAAAAAAAAGATGTTGTCGCGCAGGCTGTTCTGTGCATCCTTGTTCCAAAAACGTTGTTGACGTGTAAACGCAAGAGAATATAAACTGTTTACATTCTCCTGTTGACACATGACAATGCCTAAATAAAAAAAAGGTTTCTGGATTTTTCTGAACTGAGCTTCACCAGCAGCTCATTACCTAATGGGCCTCTGGCTTTATTTATTACTTTCAATATAACTCATTAGTTCAATCTCACTTTGATTACTGCAGCCTAGTCTGGGGTAATTGTGGCAGAACATTATCTAACAAGTTATAAAAACTACAAAACCGTGCTGCACGTGTAATAACTTCATCAAACTATGATGTAGATGTCGATTCCTTGTTTCACAAATTAAACTCAGCAGGAAAGACTTGAAATCTCAACGTAGAATTCAGAACGCCGTAACGGTTTTCAGGTCTTTTTACGGTCTGGTTCCCAAATATCTCACGTCTAAATTTAGAAAGCGAAATTAATCAAACTATTCTCTGAGGGACTCAGTAAACAATGAACGTGTTGTCCCCTTTCAAAGAACTAACTACATGAAAAAATAGTTTTAGTTATAAAGGCGCAACATTCTGAAATAGCTTACCCTGTAACATTAGAGAGTCTGGTTCTTTAAACCAATTTAAATGCCTTCTCAATCATAATTTTTAAACACGGCATTCATGGAAATCAGGTTTTTAAGTGGCACATAGTTGTAAGTTAATATAATGTTCGGTTTAGGATTTGTAGGTTCTTAGGATATCAGCCATTGTATTGGAATTTTTTGTACCTGATGAATTTTTTTACCGTGTATAAATAATGATTAAATAAATACATTAAATAGATAAATAAATTTCAAGTCAAAAGGCGTGCTGTCTAACAACGAATATCAGGAAATATGTAAATAAAAACATTTTGTCAGGTTTCAATTTCTTTTGCGACCATCGGCACTTGTATTTGGCACGCTAAAGGCTAATATTGACAAGGAATTCGAAGGGTTCATTTGGTGAAAGTTCATTGAATGAAAATTGAAAAACGTATCAGGAAACTATCAAATACAACTTTGCGATCACCTTATGTTAATATTTTGTCTTCCCAGTTTTGAGTTCACAATCAAGCATTTTACAAGCTGTAAGTAGCAATTTTCGCGTAACAATCGAAGTTTGTCGAAAGATCCATGGTAAACAACAAACCATGTGGCTGTGCCATTCTTTTATTTAATGAAGTGAAGAAGAAAACAGTTTTCAGGTAGGTATTTGCGAGGAGTGAATTTGCCATGCGTCTGTAATCGAGCAGAAGGGGTTAAATAAATTATGACCGTCCCATTTTGATGCAACCCAACTGCAAAAAGAAAAAAACCTTAATCACGTTAAAAAAAGAAAGAATTGGAAAGTTTTCAAGCTCCTCAAGCTGTTGTTCTAATTCTGTTTCCCTTTTCTCTCCATCCAACTACGTTAACCCCGTGTAATTCCACGGCGAAATGAGTTCAGTTAAATTTTGAAAGGCCTGGGAAGCAGTATGACCCAACTTCGACAACAATAACTCTGATTACCCAGATAGACATCGCGCACCAAGAGGGCGAAAGCAAGACAGCCCATATTAAACAATCTTCTTTCGCACGCTTATAAATATTGCACGACGAGAGACCGAAAAAAATATTTTAAAAAAACCAAGGTAATTTGTTCCTTCTTCCGAATATTTACAGGACGTGAGGGTTGAGGCTCTAAATGTCTACAGGCTTATGGGTTATTGGCCAAGCAGTTTACTGCGGGCAGCAGGCGCCTAGATGATTGAGTGCATGGGTCTTAGCATCGTGAAAGGCTAGTCCGATCAACTGTCAACTCATCCAAGGGAGAGACAGAGAAAGAGGGGGTGGGGGGGTTTGTATTTGTTAGATACTTAATGCTAAATAGGATACGTTACCAGGCCAACTGGTGTCCTGACTGAAGGCTTAAAAATGCATAACTGTGTTAAAAATTACTCGCTCTTTTCACTAACGTCAAACAATGTCTTCATTTTTCAAATGTGATTCTCTGGTTCTGGAAAAAAAAATTATTTTATGTTTCATAGTTGCAGAGTAACGGGGACACCATGTATGTTTGATATCATGAGCTTGATCCGGTCTTTACTTTGAATAGTTTATTTTCTGTGCATTTCTCAGAGTAAATCTGAAATTTGAAATTAGGAAGGTCATAAGGAAGGTCATTTATTTGAATTTTGGATATAATTCAAAGTGTAAATATCACAAGAATTTTCTTGAATTTTTTAATAATTAATCTTGAGTTAAGAAAATATAATACTCAGATACCGACTGTTATTTTATTGACATGATCTTTATACGCAAAGATCTTTTTTGAGCTAAACAAATTTTCTGTTTTTCTTATTTCTCTTCGGGAACATCGGTTTTAACATAATCGGTTGCCGTCAAATTTTACCGCAAGCGCTGAATGTTTATTCTCATGTTTGTACCTTAGGCGAAATTATCATCGGGATACCGCTTTAACAAACACATCTTTGCGATATTACTTTCAGGATCTTAGATAAACAATGCAGGTGCCGATGTTGAAACAGAAACCTCGTCGCCAAATCAATTAACGAAAAAAGAAATTAATAAAAAAGTTGCGCTGGTGAGAGGAATTGAAATTAACGATCAGTCTGGGAAGACTTGAAATAAACCATAACTGCGACCTTCGGAGAGAGCTGAAAACGCAAAAGTAAGTTTCTCTAATAATGACTGAGTGCCTCGTATTCCAAAACAAAAACTTTGAAATTTAAATTAAAAATCTGTTGGTGGGAAAATGAATACTTGCTATTTTTAAAGTAAGAATTCTTGATGTGTATAATTCTGAAGTTTCCCGCGCCAATCTCAATTTTAGGGTGTACACATTGAAACAAATAACCTTCAAATTGCCGAAACCGCTCGATACAACTTACTAAATGCTGTATCTTTCGAGCGCCAATGATTGGCGAAATTCGTACCAGGTTAAAAATTGAATTTATCAAAAAATCTCATTTTCGGTGTTTTAATTTAAAAGCTTAGACAAAACACGATTTACAAAAATGTCACTCATATCCGTTAGAATCAATTATTAGTTACACTTTTACGTTAAATCTTTACATAAAGAAAACGAAAAAATTTAATGTTTCATGTCAGTGAACCTGCTACCAGTCATTCATATGAAACTATACCGGATAATTTTATCGTTAACTCAGGCTGGTTCTCTAAGATCAAATTTTAAGGCCGAAGAGTTACCCCGCCTCGAAAAGTGAGTTCAAAGTAAATAACTTTTGCAATCCTTGAGAAATAATAGCCCGCTGAATTAGCAATGAAATTTATAATATTCAGTGACGTGCTTTTCGTAATTCTTCAGAGTGACTTTTCAGCATTTCCAATTATCAAACTAAATGCTCAAAAGGTATCCACCGGCGTAAATAATAAAAGTGATACTACTGGCATTAATGGCAGGGCTCTAAAACGCCTCTTTTATTCTATATTGGCAAGTTTTTTGGGGAGTAATCTTCACGAATAAGTTTTGTTGAAAAATTAAAGGTTTTCCTTTCAGGCAGAAACAGTCGTCGTGGAACAAAAACAAAATGCCCTTAAGATTGAAATGCAAATTTTGCGCAACGTGCATTGCTTTCTGTAAACAATAAGTAGATTCATTACCTTCCGTAAATCAATAACCCACATAAAACTTTTTAAGTAGTATCACACCCTAAGGAAAGTCCCATAATAGGGAATTTTTAACAACGGCCACCACAGCCCTTACATAGGGTCTAAGAGGAAACCATTGAAATTTTTTTAAGAACGACATTTTTCCCGCTTAATTGTAAAACAGCGGGTTCCGATTTCCCAGGTAATCTTAAATAATTCGAAAGAATGAACGCGCTTACCCCTTTTTTCGCTTTTCATGTTTAACGTGCTGGAACTAGACACGTTATAATGAAGACACATTCCACTTAGATTTATAACTAGCGGTGAGAAAGCTGCCTCTGTTATTTGGTTGAAATAACGCTTTAACCGAAAACCTTAGGGCTTTTTTTTTCATTACCAACAGCTGCCAGCAAGAAGGAATTGAGTAGAATCAACTTAGTTACCACAGAATCCTACGCGCTAACAGAAGGAAACGGCCGCGAGAACTGACACTAAAAGAACAGCTGTAAACAATTCTGGTGAGTTTTTTTCTTCCCTGCCTATTGAGAGTTAAATGAGAGCTGTTAATTCGTCAAGTCGCTCAGGGAAAATATGAAAGGTATTAAAGTCGCTCGGCATATTCTGGGACCCTTCGAGATTTTTCAGCTAACTATTATAAACCACAAAATTCCATTTAGACCTTTTTGCTAGAATCAAATTTTCTACCTCAGTTATCGACTCGTGTGTTGATTGCCTGATCAATTCGACTATAAGCGTCATTTGGGGAATATTTATCATTTCTTTGGCGGCTTTTTTTTGAAAACTTTAAATAAATTTACACGAAAATGACAAGTGAACGCAAATTTGAAAACTGGTGGTTGCGAAAAAATTAACCAAAATCTATGCATACTATGCATAAAAAAACATTCCGCACCACTGAACTAAATTATCTCATTAGTCACTTTCTCGCTCAAAGAGCTATTTTTCTTCTATTAAAGGATCTTCAGCTTAGTAGAGGATACATCCCTTTAAACACATTACTGCAATCATGAAATATCTGATAATTACAAAACCTGCGATCAATCAATCGTGAAATGAAAGGTTTTAGAATGAACCGAATTGGGTTTTTTCCTATTTAATTATCGGTAATTATTTTGTGTTTTAAAGGTAAAATCAATCTTACGTAGGTGCTGTCATCGAAAGTCAGAATAAGGTACGGTAGAAACCCACAAAGAAACACATCGGCTCATAAGCAACGGGGGAAAATTACCGTGCGCTGCGGGAATGTCGAACAACACGGAAGCCGAGATGACGAGCTCTATCGAGCAAAACGTTAGCCTAGGTTTCTACATCGCCATCATTGTAACTGGTTTAATGGGCAATAGTTTGGTGATCGCTGTCATTTCTGGCAAGAGGAGCAAAAGGTCCATATATGATCTGTTTATTTTGAATCTTGGCATTGCCGACTTGTCGTTCATCATCTTTTACATGCCAATCCTAATTTACGAGGGGTATATCAACATCATTTACAAAACTGTCTATTATTGTCGACTTGTTCAGCCTTTGTTGACAATCTTTTATTTCTTGAGCATCTTCACCATCTCTTCCATGGCAATCCATCGTTGCAGGCTGATTACAAATCCGTACAAACCCAAAATGAAAAAACGAAGTGGTTACCTATGGATCGCTGCTATCTGGCTCTCTTCATTAATTATCGTGCTGCCATTGTCCATTGTCACAAAACCGAAAAACGGGCGATGTAACGAGGAATGGCCATCACTGAACCATCGCAAAGCCTACACACTGGCTCTTTTCATTCTTCAGTTTGTTATTCCGCTTCAGATAATCGCTGCAGCGTACCTTAAAATCGGTATCTACTTGTGGCGCTCACCTGTTCCGCAAAGTTCCCTTTCCACTGCTAAGAAGAAGCGGGCACAGAGAAGAAAAAGGGAGAACGTGCAGGTTATCAAAACACTGGCTTTGATCGTGATTCTGTTCACCATCTGCTTACTGCCGGGTCAAATTGGTTATCTTTTATGGGAGTTTGGAGATGAAGAAGACCATGCCACGATGGACATCATTTTCAAATTTTCCATTATTCTCGATTGCTTTCACGCTTGTGTGAATCCGATCGTTTATGGACTGTTAACTGAACAGTTTCGCAGAGAATACATCAGATATCTGTCGTTTTGTCTTACGTGCGGCACAACACGGGTGAACACAATGCAAGAGACCCACAACGTAGAGAGCACAATAGAAATAATTTCGCCATTGACAACAAAAAGAAAACTTACCAACGAGGATGTAAAGACGATACCGAATGATCTGAACGAGCCACAGTATTCCAAAAACACAAATTCGCACATAACGCGATCCTCGACAGCATGCTCCTCTACGCTGCAGGAACCAACCCTTATCAAATATATTTATACACCAACTGACTGAGTACATGATGTTATTAGTTGTGACCCAGTACTTCGACTGTGACTTTTCCAACCTCGTCTCCAAGCCCTTTTGCTTTAAGAGGGGCCCTGTGCGGGAGATCAGTGGCCTGCTCTGTTTCACTCATTTCAGTTAAACCTTGCGTCAATTGCTGTCATGTGCTGTTTAAGGGTTTTCTTCACGAATGTAAAATCATTGATTTGATCGTGAAAAAAAGCTACTGCTGTAATCAACTGTCTACGACAAAAGAAGCCTGTGAAGCAACCCACAACTTTTTGGAAAGTGGGGAAAAGTGGATCAGTACGTACTCACAGCCTAGGAACTACATTATTACTTCAAAACTTTTAAGTTAAGCTTTTCATGCAGTTAATCGCTTCACAGAATATCACGAAAGTATTTAGGTTAACTTGGGTTGCAACCAGCTAAATTCTTACCTTATAGCCCTTCAAAGAAGAACAAGCGAAACACCTCCATCTTAAAGCAGACTGCGGTAAAAAAAGGAATTTCGTTTTCGTGGAATTCTACCTGAAGGCTAGCTAAGGCTGCTATATCTTTCGCAGGCTGTGGTCAGTGGCCTACGGAGTAACTCTTTTAATCGGAGGAAATTTGGCTTGAAGAAGTGTTCGATTGTGGGAGACTGACTGAGTTTGAGCGGTATTAACTTTTTTTTAACTCAATGGGAACTGGATGAGTTCAAAAACTGTTGCATTGCCACGGACTTTCGGACCGGTTTAACTGATTTTAATTGCGGACTTTCCTTGTAAATATGATTAGACTCTCAGAAATAAAAGGGCTCTTTGTAGCTCATAAATAGGACGTGTCTCGGATATAAACCACTGGTTAGATTACGGTAATTTATATTTATCAGTTTTCCAAGAAAAAATGCCGTCGGATGAGAAATGTCTGTTGAAATATAAGGCCTTAGCAATTTTGATTTAGAATGATACATTTTCACTAAACAAAGTCTTTTGGATACAAGCAGTGATTTTCGTCGTAGAAGACTTATTACTGTCAAATAAGAATAAATAACACCAGTGCAATGGATATGTCAATCGATAGCACGTGTTCAAAGTACTTTAATATCCGTGAGAGAACAATATTGTGGATGGTCAACTTAAGTCACCGTCCAAATATTTCACATCTAATTACTTTTGTCAGATCAAATATGAGTCTCTTCTACATTTTTCCTAATCTGGTTTAGCACCCGTTGCAAATATTTCCAATGTAAGTACTCTGATAATAAACGAGAGCGTTTGCGTCAAGTGAAATTGGTTAAAAGAAACTTACTTTTGGGAAATCAAAAGCAAGCAGCACTTCTGGCCGGCGACCTAGAAATTCTTCATTTATTCCTCACTCAGGTGACAGGGTTCACTCACTCTAATTCCTGTCGAGAGGAGGACCCAGGGAATGAGGCAATGAAGGGTGGGGGGGAGGGAGGGGCACAGTATGAAATACACAGTGGTGTGGGTACAGGTTTTCACAGCCAAAAACCCGCCCAAGTGGAGTAATACTGGTATGCAGTCGCTTTAAGCTGAGGACATGGGAATAAACTGTGTTATACTCGTTTGTAGACATTATATACAGTGTGGTCTTTCGGGCCTCAAAGCTAGTCCATAGGGGCTAGATTTGGCCTCCGCCATTTACCCCTTGAGGTGGACTGTTTAGGAATGCATCTCAAAGGGTGCCCCGATCTAAAAAAGACAATGAACGCAGGTACATTGCGTTGCTAATTGTAAGAGAATCGGTTCTCTGTCTCAATCTGAGATATGTTTTATTATCACCGGTACTGATCTATATCCTCGGGTGAGTACAAATAGGCTGTGCTGAGAGAGTAAAATATCCTGACAAAGAACAGAACACCATAACCTGGCCAGATCCTCGACCCAGACTCCTCGTCCCAGAGTCTTGCGAGAGCCATTAGACTTCTGCGTCCCTCACAAGAGATACCGCTGAACAGACACCATTTTAAGACTAATCAATTTGTCCTTGAGTGGTTCCCATATGCGTACTTTGAATGTCTCAAAGTTATGTGTTGTACTCGTTCTGATCCGGCATCATTTCAACTACGTCTTTGCAATTGGGTGGTTTTGTTCTGTTGGTTTCAGACGATAAAATCCTATCTGGGCTCTCCAAATCGTCGTTGCGACGTACAACGTTCTTTTCTTCTGTGCCGCATGACAGACAAAACGAAAGATATCTGATGTATTCTCTGCGAAACTGTTCAGTTATCAGTCCATAAACGATCGGATTCACACAAGCATGAAGGCAATCGAGAATAATGGCAAATTTGAAAATGATGTCCATCGTGGCTTGGTCTTCTTCATCTCCAAATTCCCATAAAAGATAACCAATTTGACCCGGCAGTAAGCAGATGGTGAACAGAATCACGATCAAAGCCAGTGTTTTGATAACCAGCATGTTCTCCCTTTTTCTCCTCTGTGCCCGCTTCTTCTTAGCAGTGGAAAGGGAACTTTGCGGAACAGGTGAGCGCCACAAGTAGATGCCGATTTTAAGGTACGCTGCAGCGATTATCTGAAGCGGAATAACAAACTGAAGAATGAAAAGAGCCAGTGTGTAGGCTTTGCGATGGTTCAGTGATGGCCATTCCTCGTTACATCGCCCGTTTTTCGATTTTGTGACAATGGACAATGGCAGCACGATAATTAAAGAAGAGAGCCAGATAGCAGCGATCCACAGGTAACCACTTCGTTTTTTCATTTTGGGTTTGTACAGATTTGTAATCAGCCTGCAACGATGGATTGCCATGGAAGAGATGGTGAAGATGCTCAAGAAATAAAAGATTGTCAACAAAGGCTGAACAAGTCGACAATAATAGACAGTTTTGTAAATGATGTTGATATACCCCTCGTAAATAAGGATTGGCATGTAAAAGATGATGAACGACAAGTCGGTAATGCCAAGATTCAAAATAAAGAGATCATAGATGGATCTTTTGGTCCTCTTGCTAGAAATGACAGCGATCACCAAACTATTGCCCATTAAACCAGTTACAATGATGGCGATATAGAAACCTAGGCTAACGTTTTGTTCGGTGGAGCTCGTCATCTCGGCTTCCGTGTTGTTCGACATTCCCGCAGCGCACGGTAATCTTGCCCCGTTGCTTCTGAGCCGATGTGTTTCTTTGTGGGTTTCTATCGTATCTTATTGTGACTTCGATGATAGCACCTACGTAAGGTTGATTTTACCCCTAAGACACAAAATTATTACCTATAATTAGCTAGGAAAAAACTCAATGCGGTTCTGGAACCTTTCATTTCACGATGATTGATCGCAGGTCAGGTAATTATCAGATATTTCATGATTTCTCTAAACGTTTTGTTCATTAGAGCTCGTTACTTTGGCTTCCGTGTTGTTCGTAATTCCTGCAGCGCACGGAAATTTCCCCCCCTTTTTTTTTTTAATAAACTCCGGTGTGTTCCTTTTCGGCTTGCTCCGGCTAAAGAATGCTCCACTGTTCTTTTCGTTAGTGTACGGAAGTTAAGTGTTCCATTTAAGACGAAAGCGCCTGTGTTTCAAATTAGCAGTCTACAGCAAAAGCGATCATCCAAAATTATTAAGAAATGCGCTTTCCACCAACTAAACCAACAGGTGACAATTAATCCTCGAGTCCGTTTCACCGGGGACAATTCAAACTTAAGAATAGACTGTTAGGTCCGCTGGCAAACCCGTTCTTGAAGATCTCGGCCGCTGAGCATGGGTAAAGAAAGATAAGGCAAAGCCGGAGAAAGAAGACAGAAAGAGATTCTGAACGACTTTTTGACAGGCTTCCTCTCTGGCGCCGACGTGATGTCTCTTACAACGTTGGAGACTAATTTTATCGCCAAACATTTATATAAAGCATATCAAATATTTATGATGGGATGTTAATTCGTGTTCATCCATCTGTCGGATACTCATTACACCAAAAACCCCAGAACCGTCAGGAAATGCCAAAATTGCGGTGAAAACAATTCACAATTTACTCTGTCAACAAAATTATTTGAACTCAGGTTCGCTATCGACGCAATATTTTTCACAACTACATCTTCAAGTGCTGAGGTAAAAATTTGCATACGACTCCTCTTAATCGGACCAGTTGACCGAGTACCAGAAAAATATTCACAACGCCAGAAATCTATTTTCAGATTATTGGTCAGAAATCTATTTTCTCCCAAAACTAACCTCTTCGCGTTGTTATCAACTTACCATTTCAGGGATATTAAAATGCAAAAAGAACAAGAATGCTTCCGAGCAGAAAAGGCGGATTTAACGCTACCTGCAACGCCTTGACCAAACTAAGCGACAAAAAAAGAAACAAAAATGCCTCAAAGGACGGTTAATTTTTTCAGTGCGCCAAGCTTTATGTTCGAAGTTAAACTTTACAGAAAGGAAGTCTTTACATCGTTTCCTACGTGATAAACATCATTAATTTACTTGCTTCCACTGCCACAAAAAAATTCTTCGTTCAATTTCGCCCAGCTGACGGCACCTTTTGTCAATTTATGACGTACAAATTTGTTAATAAATTTTCTCTGCGTGTTTTAAAGTACCAATTTAATCTTTGAAGAACAAATGCAAAGTTTTTCATTCTATCTGACGGGTCATTTTCTCTGCATGGCAAAAAAATGAAATAAATTTGAGAATACGTGGATTACACGCCAAACACAACGCCTTCAACAACAAGGAGTGAAACAAGATGTTCAAAGGACGAGTCATATGTTCCAGAGGTGCCGAGCGTTTTATTGAAATACTTAGTTTTATCGAAAGGAAGTCAATGACATGTTTGCCTCGTGACATTTTTTATGATCAAAATACCAAATAACAGCCTTTCTGACAAAATAGCAGACAAGGCAATGTTTGCATTTACTTAACATGAAGTTGTGAATAATATCAAACCGTTGCCCCCAGCTAAAAATAGAGACCTTTGGCAGTTATGACAACAACGCCAAGGAGGACGTCAATTTAAAAATTAACACATATTTTCAGTTGGAATTTCGCGAGTGACTGGATGTGCTTACCATCTTTTATGGCGCCGCAAGTTAACCTCAGCATAACGTATAAGAGCAGCGTTGAGTTTCAAATGGAAACTTAAATAATCTACCGTCGGGGTTTCCCTTCTCGGACCAGGCAAATTTTGATGATTTCACGTTGTTATTTTGCAGAGGACGGCTAAGAAATGTACACAGTTTTAAAACGCACGTGCTGAGCTCTTGTTCTGCTCATTAAATCTTTTGTTTTGTCACGTCCTTGTTTCAGTCGCCGTCGTGGTTTGCTAGAGGTCCCTAATAATCATAAAACGGAAGTGTTACAGATCATCATACTTTAAGTTCAAGGAAAATTCTATAATTTGTAAGTTACGTGGTCATTTATGTTTCAGTTAATCGAAGATGGAAGGATTTCCAAGCTGTCAGTGGCCAATTACATGCCTTCAACAAAAATAACAAAGCTTGACCGTTTATAGGGCGAAATAACCGAAAATGTTGGCAAAGCAATGGAAATTCGCACCGTTTGGGACGTTGCTAGGAGGGGCGTAAGGGCACGAACGACCACTTTCGCTGTCAAGAAAAAGTTTAAATTTATTGTTTATATTACAACCTGCCATCCTTCCTGACGCTAGAAGAACACTTGTGTAATGCTCACTTTGAACAATTGTGCGTACTCCCCTTGTATTTTTTCCTGGTGCGTCTTATCTAACAACCTAAGCATTATTCGGTTCACACTGCAGTGTTTCATTCACTGCTTTCTTGCTCTGAGTTTGATTTCTCCCCATCTCCCTCTCTTTTGATTTCTACCCTGATCAGACCAGTGGACAATGCGTACAGTGTCATGACCAGTGTAGCAAAACCAATGGCCAACCATTTATTACGCCGCTCAGATGAGTCCGAGTCATCCTGACCGTATGGCGATGAAGACGGTTGTTGTTGTTCTGATAGTTGAAAAGGAAAACAGCAAATAAATCTCCTACGTCAAATATTTTTTCGCCACAAGCGGTCAAGGCTTTAAGGGAGCCATTTAAATTTAAATACCATATTTCATCGAATAAGCGCCTACGCTCTAATAGCCCCCCCCCTCCCGTGTAAGCACCTACCCCTAGGCCATAATATCAAACAAACGCCCTTCTCAGATAAGCGCCCCCCTCCTTCTCACTTTCTAAAATAGTAGGGATTCAAGGAAAACTTGTTTCTATTGCCGCTTTATTTATAACTTTTAAAGCTTCGACTACAGCGGAATCCGTACAGGAGAATAATAAATGCCCTCCTTCCAATAAGAGCCTCTCCTTTGAGTCGAAATTTTAAATAAGCGCCTGGGCGCTTATTCGAGGAAATCTCTTATCTCAAGGTCTTAAAGACTAAAAGTTGGAAGAAAGTGACAAACAGTACCCTTTTTTAAAGATTACAATTAAGAATGACGTAGTTGTCTTTTGTTTGCTCGCCTCTAGTTCTCGTACAAGGAAAGAGCTCCCTCTTCGGGCCTCTGCACAATCGCTTGATAAAACCGACCTTTCAACTCGTTCGCTAAAAGTCGTTTTATCTTAATACCGCTAAGTGCCGCTTCGAGTAATCATTTTCCTGAGGCTGGTTTCAGTTCAGGAAACTCTACTTCAAACTTCCCATAAAAGATACCGTCGTGTTTCTCCAAAATGAAAAAAATTCGACCAATTATGTTTACAAGTCTGTGATTTCCATTCGTTGTTAATTTTTGCCACCCATAACTGAAAAATGCTTTCCTCTTACCATTTACTTCTCCCGGGAAGTAGCGCTGTAATATTCGTCCACAGAACGTACACAAGTTGTCATATCCTTGTAGATAGTTATACAGTTTTTTATTTGGTAATGGGGCTTTCCAGATCACTGCAAGATGAGCAAATACCACAGCATCAAGGGTGGTTGGACTGTAAGGAACAAAAGATTTTTTATGTTAATCCTTTAATCACTAGAAGTGATCAACATGCAAATTTTCCCAACAATTTCAAAACACTACCCTACAAACAGGCAATTAGAATTTATATACTTATCAGCTAAAGGGTGACTCTCCTATCCTGATGTAAAGCTAAATTCTCTTCATTCATTTACAAGGAAATATACAGCAAGTAGCCAGGAGAACAACAAATATATTTTGAGTTACCTGTCACCAAAAAAAAACTCCTTTCCATCCAGCATTGTGGATAACAGTTTTAGACATTCCAAAGCATCTTTGAAAAGCTGAGAGACAAAACCAAAGCCAAAATAATTCTCAAATTAAAACTGCTCTGAGAAACATAGAAAACATGATATGAAGCTTGTGTTGAAGAAGTGTTTAAAGCCATTTAGATAGAGGTGGAGTGTGTACTCAAGCCCAGTCTCTGTAACAAGGAACGACTAAGAGTATTGTACCTCCCCCCAGATAGGAAGTTAATTAAACATAGCTTATTCCCAAGAATTCCATCAGGTTGCCCTGACAGTTAAGCAGTGCCCGTTTGTATTCACAGCTGGAGAGAGGCATTGCGACAGTTAAGTGTCTTGCCAGGAACATAACATAATGACCCAACCAGCTCTGAAACCCACACCAATCCACTCCAATAGCAGCAATCTGCTTGTAAGGCTACTGCTTCTCCACTTTGAAGCTGTGTGGAAAGCTGGTAATTGTGTAAATGTTTGGGTACAGTAAATATTCAAAAAAGCATTAGTAAGGCCACTTTAGATTTGGAGAACAGGGCAAGCTAAGAAAAAGTACAAACAGTTAAGTGAATGATAATAATGATAACCCTCTATGTTTTTTTTATAAAAGAGGTATGGATTACCCCCCTCTCTGCCCTTCTTTGCTATCCTGTTATGGACTTACTCCATCCTCTTTCACTTTTCATAGACATTTTATCTGTTATAAAGATATAAATAAATAAAAGCAACAACATCCTTGACAGAGATTGAATTCCTGCAGACTTTGACAAATTTATCAGACTACTATTTTAAGGCCTACCTTATTTTCCAGTGCATCATCTGTCACCTCTGAGTGCATTTCATTCGACAGGTGCCTCCTTGTTTGTCTTGAGATGTGTCCAGGGATAAAATAGTTCAGTGGAAAAGGTAATCTTTGTGCATACCATGGACGAGTTAATTTAATGTAATTTGTGTTATCCACCCATAATGTAAATAACTGCAAGACCAAACAAAATTTTTATGTAATTAATTCACCTCAATTTAGTTTGAAATTTAATTTAAGCATCAACAAGGTTATTGATGCAACAATCATGACTGGCACAGTTAAGAAATAGGAATCACATTTTGTACGACTTTCATCCATTACTCTTAGAGAAAGTGCATGTTCAACTTACAATTGCTGGGTACAATTTGCTATGGACCAGTGAAACAAATGCAAGAGTGTCTGCTCCCTGCTTTGCCGTCAGTTGATAATCGGCATTGAAGTTCTGTGTAGGACATAAATTTTTAAAAACCATTTTTACTGACAAGTTTTAGTGAGCAGCAAATTGCAACACAAAGAAATTTGGCACTCTGTGACTACACATAAACATACTATAGCCTTATACCTACTTTTCCTCTCAAGTAATCCATGATCTTGCTAGACGTGATGAGTACATCTTCACCAGATTTTAAAACCGGAAATTCTCCTAGAACAAATGAATTTTCTGTGAAACATGCGTATATTTCATCACTTCTCTGATCATGGACGAGCAAATCTAAAAGTAAGACATTCAGTCTATTTCAGCACCTAATTATCTTATTTGGAATCGATAGTTACTGGTTCCGACTATCTCTGGAGTTAAAGTCCTCACCTATGGAAGATTTCCAAGGGTTGTTACATCGGTTGACGTTTAACGGGCATTCAGCAAATTTAGCGTAGGCCTATAACAAAAATGGAGAAGCTAAGAAATGGCATTATAGATCTGGGCGTAAAGGAAGGCAGTTTACCCACCAAAACCTCCAAACAGCGGACGTCCACCGAAGGGAGATTCCAATCGCCGGACCAAGACAAAACCTCCATTTTGAATTTAGCACAGATTCCCCAGCATTCTCTTTGTTCCTTGTTTCGGCGGAAGACTGGATATGATATTACCGAACTAGTACCCAGGTGGTGCTCTGTAACTGGCGAGACTGAAGATTTCGTTTGCGCAACTTTCGAGTCATTAATTCCGTTAGGGTTCTAAAGTTCTCAGTTGACTTTTTGAAACCCGCTATAGCCACGATTATTTGTTTGTTTTCTTCGGGAACTGATTAGAGTCAGACAGAATTCTACTTTATTTTTTTCAGGGAGGGGAGGACGGAAGGTGCTTGTGGAAGCGAGATGGGGATATAGCAAAGTAATTCGTCTCTGTTTGTTGCAATTAACCTTTTATAACGGTTTAATAGCACTGGCGCACCAAATATGCTTAACCAGTTTGGGAATTGCAAGGATTTTCCTTTTGGAAAATGATCAAAACAAGAACTTGATTGACAGGTGGTCAGTTTATTCATACTGCAGACAAAAACTGCATGGTCAACCTACTGCATACAAAATCTCACCTCAATGAATACATCTTAAAAAGAAAAGACTCCAAGTTTTACTGGCAAACCAGAAAAGTACAAAACATACAAGATATTTTAGAAAAGAAGAAAAGTGAAAATGTTAGAGAAAAATATTTTCCAGTCTGCCCTTTAGAAAAGTTAAGGAAATTCCACGCACAAATTGCATTCAAGTACTTGACCTGTTCACCTTGTCTCATAAGATAAATCTTTGAGCAGGTCCTTTAAAACTTTCCCTTTCAGAAAAATGCACACAATGTATCACTGGAATGCATCAACACCACTATCTTTTTAAGCCCCACACAAAATATATTATTCTCGTTCTAAAAATTAAGTTTAATGAACAAAATGTTTAGGCTGCTGTTATGATAAAAGCTTTAGAAGCCCTTGTACACTGAAGATTTCATTCAAAATAAATACAATGGAAACGTAGTTTACCTTAAGTAGAATGTGATGATAGAATGTAGACAATCAATTGGAGTATTGAAAATTTGGGTTAAAAAATTGTACTACAAACAGGTTTTACAAATAAAAAAGTACTTTGGCAAGTTCTTTTTTCTACACAAAAAGATATAGCTCATAATTTTATTTTGTTCTTCAAACTGAAGGACTGACTAAAAAGCTCAAAATCAGTTGTTACAATTGAAAAATTGTAGCACTACTGAATTACACAACCTTTGCTAGTTTCACCCTAAAGAAGAAGAAGAAAAAAAAAACTATTAGTCACTTTGATAATGATAATAATGCATCTATATAAAGCATTATCCATTGTACTATACTCTAATGTTTTTTAAAACACTCTGTAAGGGATTTTGGCCGGGCTCTTTTGAGCAGTTTCTTATTTTATAAAAGGAAATTTAACATGTGCCCCCAGTTTAGGAATTTTTCAGAAACAAGGCCAGATAATAGGGCAGCACATTCTCCTTCGCTATTTTAAGACCCTGATTGTTGGTCTGGACTAGCTCTGCATAGAACTCTGGAGATGAGGCTCACAGTGATCCTCTAATGCTCGACCAACAGACTCCACTGAAAAGGGGGAACTGCTTGAAGTCTAACATGAAGCTAAAGCAACTATCAATTGGGTGCAACAAGAGCAGCCATGTCTTACCTCACGTTGTCCAGACATCATACTTTGTCGCCGACTGTCAATTTCATCAGTCCTAATGCTGACTTCTTCAATAGTTGCAGAAGCTGCTTCCTACGAGAAATATATGGAGTTATCAATAAGAAAACTGGGCTTCAACAAAATAGCACCATTTCCTCTCCTCAAAAAAGAGAAAAATAATAATGAAATGTAGATTGTGTATCAAATTTACTCAAACAGGCTTTTGCAGCACGAAGATTCAGGGGTCAAAGTCCACCCAACAAATAGAATACTGGGTTGTGGCGAGACAAGACCAATCAATTAATCCAAGCTAAGCTTGCCTTCCACATTTTCAAGCATTTCTTGTGACTCATATATGATATGCCTCAAATTGTTATTGACTCCACAATTCACTGTATTTTTGGACTTAAAACGTGTTTAGGATCATATAGTGCGACAACCTGGCAAGCCCATCTAAGTTAAAGGGGATCTGCTTTGGAATCCCTTGTCAGGAATTACAGCCTATGTCCCAATAATACTTTTAATCATTGTTCCTTGAAGTATTTTAGTATTATTCTTTTTGACTTTTACGGATTACACCCTACACCATTCACCCCTGACTGTGCCATGCCAATTACCAACATTATTAGCCCTTACAGAACCTGACAATGTCAGAAATGGTAAGAGTAATAATACCTTGCTCCAAGAGGAAAGCCTCCGAGTTTAAAAATTTACATACCTTTAATTTTCATTTAAATTTGTAGCAGGGAACTGTATACAATTGAAAACTATGATATATTTACAAATTTACAAAAATAAAAAGAACAAGGTTGATGGATTTAGGTGGCCACTCTCCTGAGAAATTATTTTATTGATCATAAACCTGATGGATTCCTTTCTTGAAAACAAAAATGATTTTACTGGTCTAGCTGGCCAATTCTGTCTAATGCAAGGTGCCCTAGGTCTTTCAATATCTGTATATGAACTGCACAAAATATAAACTGCTTAACAATGGTTGTCAATGATATCAATAAACTGTTGTTATAAAGTTCTTTTATCTAATCAGTTGGCTCTGTAATGAAAATGAGCACAGTCCAAATATCTAAAGGGAATTCCAACTTGACTGGAAAGTAACTGAAGTTCAAAAATTTCCTCTTCTACATCCTCATCAGCAAATTGACAAACACAGACACAAACCTGGCCATCTGCATCTTTCAACACTGTTTTTGTTTCTTTGCCAACACCCCAGCTGGCTTTCTGTCTAAATACCAGTTCTGAAGGTGGTTTATGCTGGCCGCCACCTTGGGATGCCCAAATCTAAAATGAACAAGTTATTTCTTGATTAAAATGATATTAGAAAGTTTCAATGGAAGCATGAATGGCACAGTGCAGAGAGAGTGCCTTCTGGCAATGTAGCCCAGGTAAAAATTACCTACATTTACCTTCCCCTAGTCCTTGGGTTTTCCGCTCACAGAAAGAAGACTAACACACTAAATTCACACTCAGATAGCTGCAATTGTGCCTTCAAATGAATTCTTTTAATTTGCATTCCACGCATAAACAAAATACCATTTACCATTTTGTTTCTGCTTGTTTTCTACCTTAAATCATCTAAATTCTCAAAGGGTAAGTTAATGACAATATTTTGGAGCAATGTTTATACTTAGCACATTTCAGGAAAAGCTATCTGTATTTAACCTACAGACTATGGTATAAGTAAATTTTTCAGCTTTCACTTCCACCCTGACTACTGCCATAGACAAGACATATTTCAAGTGAATTCCAAAAGAAAAAAGAAGCATTTTAGATTTTTTTCTTTCCCTTTTGAACACAAACATAAACTAAATTAAAATATATTTTCTGTTAGAAATAAAGCATGGGTATTCTTTTTCTCCCTGGTATCCCGTACCTTCCATTGATCTTAGATAGTAAACAAAATGTAAAACCACTTACTGTTACATAAAATCCACTTTTCAAGACATATTTCGGTGTGAACTTGTAGATTACAGGTGGTTCCCCATCTACTGATCTTTCCAAACTCCAGCCACCAAGAGGCATATCCTAGGAAGAGAAAAGATTTAGCAGGTAATTAACTATAATCAAAATCTTCCAAAAAAAATTAATCCAAAAAGACAGTAATCTACACTTTCATAACCCTTAACACAGATAAGGAACCCAAAATTGAATGCAAGAATGGGAGAAAAAAAAGGTAGGGATTTAACAACCAAAGGCTAAAAACTTTCTTCCACTAAAAATTTTACATTCTGGAGTAACTCCCAGTCTGCGAAGTTTAACTAAAATTAACATTTTCCAATTCTTAAAACAAAATAAACATTCATGAAAACTCATCAGCTTATCATGAATAAATTGAAAGACTCACATTGGCTCCACTGTTGAACAGCTTGACAAAGGTACCATCTGTACTTGCCTCTTTTATCTGAATGTAACCTTTGTTTGAATACTTAGTTTCTACAGTCTCTTCGTCTGTGCGGATTCGCTTAGCAGCACGTCTGCCACTTTTTGCAGAGGCTCCAAATACTGGGGAAGCTGGGGGAGTTATGTTCAACCTGAAGGATAACTGTGCCTGTTAGAAACTTAACATTTATTTTCTTACTACTCTCTCTTATGGACTAATAACACTTGGCAACAACCCCAGGGTTGTGGCTAAGGAAACAATAAACGAGAAATGAGCCTGCTCAAAGAGAAATCTTGTCACAAAATATTGGTCCCAGTCTCTTCCATTACCCTTCACAGTAAGGCTACCAAGCTTCATATTTTGCAAGATGGCCAATGCAGGACATTGAATGAGAACAATGCAAACAACTGATCATAACTGGATTTTACTCAATATGTCTTATTTGTTTAAGTGGCACTGGTACTCAAGATGGCAAGGAGTTTACTTAATCCTTTTCACTGAGATTTTTTTTGATACGAACAGTTGTGTATGTATGACCTAAAAAATATTCACATCCCTTTACTAAGTAATCACCAGCCAAAATCCAAGTGGCAAATTTTGTTGACAGCCAGTGCCTAAGGAAAATACTGCAACCCTGATCCATTTATCACTATTTTAAAACTAACAGAACACAGTTTCAATGCACCTTGATTCCTCTCCTTCTAACATCTTCCTGTAAGTCAAAATCTCCAGATCAAGAGCAGTCTTCACTCCCATAAGATCCTCATATTCCCTGAGTTGAGCATCAATTCTCTTGCGTAGTTCTTTGATTTGTGCATCTCTGTTTGCTATCGCCTCATCAGCTATCTTTTGGTCACTAGCACGCAAACTTTCTAAGTCTTCAATTCTTTGTAACAAGCTTGAATTCTGTGGGTTTGAAAAAGGTTAGCAACTATTACTTCAAGTTTAAGACTTCTGCTCTCTCTAATAGAGTCTGATTCACCTTTCAAAAACACAAAAAAGTTTCAACATCAGCCCATGTAAATAAAATAGCCATCATTAATGTTCTACACATATATACCTTGGACTGCAACTGGTTTAGTTCTGATTTAATATTTTCAACAGTGATTGACAAAGTTCTTTTTTCTTCTCTGATCAGTGTCAACTCCTCCAAATCCTTTGCGTTCATCCTCTGGAGTTCATCATACTTGAAAAAAAAAAAAAAGTATTTATTACCAGGGTGTTAACCCTTTAACTCCCAGATCAATTTTGTAATTCTCCTTACTGTCAACCATACAATTCTTATAATGTTAGTTCAGAGAATTTTGTATTGGATCAACTAATTATTCCCAAATTGATATTTTTCTTTATTCTCATCACTAATCTAGTTGATACTGTATTGACATTGTAAGGAGAAATTCTGTCTTAGTCACTCATGGGAGTTTAAGGGTTAATAAGCTTGAAGTAGATGGCAGATCAGAAAAAGCAGGTGGTTGGGTTATCATGGACACCATGTTGTATCATCAGATTACAAATAAGGATGGGAACTATTCAGTGAAAAAATCCAAGGCACTAACCCAAACTTCAAATACAGAAACATCTAAACCTATTACTGATAAATAATGTATCCAATTCCACTTAAAAATAGGAGATGTCTGCTATGCAAATTCTCTGTGATGGTATTTTGAACAACAATTGTACTGGTTTTTTTTTAATATTCTATTTGTATATAAGGATGTACAGTAAACTGGGTGGAAATAGCCAGCTAATGACGGCAGACTAGCTGATAACTTTGGTGGCATGTGGGCTCTTAATGTCAGCTCTGACTACATACTTAGATATCATGGAATACTGGGAAGTTTCCTGTTCACAACTTTTAATCTCAAGATCTTATTAGTAATTCTCCTTGCTGTCTGCTACACAATTCTTCATGTGTTCCTTTGGCCAATTTGTATTGGATCAATTCAATAATCCCCCAATTGATATTTTCTTTTCTGTTACCACACTCATTGGAGTTAGAGGGGTCAACCAACTTAGATCTTCATGGCATGAAGCACACTTACCATTTACATTATCACTATGTAAAGAAACAATGTTGTCGTTGTAAGCAGGCACATGTATTTCCCCATCAACTCTTTAACTTTCAGATCAAATTTGTAATTCTCCTTACTGTCTACCATACAATTCTTACAATGTTAGCACAGAGAATTTAGTATTGGATCAATATATTATTCCCAAATTGAAATTTTTCTTTATTCGCATCACTTATCTGGTTGATGTTGTATTGATATTGTAAGAAGAAATTCTGTTTTGGTCACTCATGGGAGTTAAAGGGTTAAGGTGCATTGAACAATTTGTATTGGACATTTTTAATTTACCAACATAACTGAGGTTGAATTCAACCTCGCTTCATGCCTTCTATTTGAAAAGATGGGGCTTAATGTTCATCAATAGAGATCTCTACCTTAGCACCATAAAGACCATCAGTTTCATCTTTATATTGCCTGGCCTCGCTATCAAACATCTCTCTCAGTTCATGTAGCTTTTCTGACAAGATTCCTTCATATCTGTTCTTTGCCTCAGCTTCTATTTTGCTGCGCTGTGACTCTACACTTTGTAACTGAGAACGGATCTCAATCATTTCCTGAAGAAACAAAGAAATGATTCCGGTTAATTCTATATTCCTTTTAGAGAAAAAAATAGACTTTTTGGACATCTTTTCAATATAATGCTGCCCTTCATTTTTTTCATTCTACCACTATAAGTTTTGGTTCTAACAAACATTAAAAATATTGATCGACAAAGTTTAAATACATGATAAAAAATTCACTGTGGAACAAAGTCAAGTTTACCTGTACTTTAATTCCTTATCATCTGATATCAGAGATAAATTTATAAACACGCGATTGAAAGTACAAATTTCACTAATGTGATCCTGATTTTGTTATATTTTCCACCATTGCCTCTGTTGGAATTTTGTTATTTCACAAGTATAAAACTGGAGAGTTTTCCTTCAAACAAAAATCTAAGAAGTTTTTGCTTCTAAAAGTCACTGCTTATTCCCTGTGCAGAAATGTTGATTTGGATTTTAAAAGCAATGATAATTTTGGCTCAAAAGTCAAATAAAAGTCAAACTTTTACCTTACTGTACATCTCTTTCTTGAAATTGAGTTCTTCTTCTTTGGACTGGAGTTTGTTCTCGAGGTCCACTCTCGATAGGGTCTCCTGCTCAAGGGCATATTTAGCTGATTCCAAAGCATCCTTCAGTTCTTGGCACTCTTTCCTTAGGTCCTGGATAACTGCTTCTAACTTCTTTGCCTCTTGATTTACATTTGCTAGCTGTGCATCTCGATCATACAACTTTCTCTGAGATGCTTTCAAGGCATCTTCACTATTCTTGTGTGCGGCGGCTTCTTTCTCAAACCTTTGATGTCATAAACAAAAAGTCAGTGGAGAGTGTGACATTGAACACAAAAGACAGCTATAAACATCAGCATGCTATTGATAAACACAAACCCTTCACATGCTTTCAAAAAAATCCATCTCATTGAAATTTATTGACAATTTTGAATATTTTCGAGGAATTTGCATAATCTTTACCATAATATGCTGCACCTTCCGTTTAGCAAATACTCTAAATATTCAAGGAATATAAAACGGCAAAATGTGAGTCATTCAACGTAAGTTTATTCACTTTTTGTAGGAACTGGATGGGACCAAAGCCTAGAAATAAGTTCAAATCAACAAAGGGTCTGACAATGAGAAAATTAGCATGCTGAACAAAGGAGGTTTCACAAAGTTCAATTTAAAAAAAGTTTGCTCCATGTTTTACATCAAAATATTTAAAGGAACTTACGCGTGACCAGTCAGCGTAGCTAGTGTCTCTAGTAGGATAACTTTAAAAAATGCTCTCGCCTCAAAATGACCGCTCGGTAACTGATCTACGTGGTTTACAATGATAACAATAATTTTTTTACCCGACGCTAGCCTAGGAAACACCCATTACAATGCTGTCTAGGGAGTAACGTAGATGTCTCTCCCGAATAATCACGAATATTGATGCAAACGTTCGTTTGAGTTCGTATAATGTAATTGATGAAATCGACATGCGAGTAACGAAATCAACAAGTTTCCATTTCACCTCAGTCTCGGTTGTTTGAACAGAACGAGTGAAGAAGATGACCGAGCCAGCCGAATAAATTAAGACTACGATCATGCTCATGACATTAGCTTCCACGTGCAGGCAATAACGTCCGAGAGCGCGACCGTCATCAATTTATACTCCTAACGCGACTTTGGAAAACCACTTATCAACCAACCGAAAAGAACTCTTCAAGCGAAAATTGTTATTTTAGAAGGAAATAATTGCTTTTGAAAACAGACAGCCTGCCCATTGGTTTATGAAAAAAAGGTTAACTTACTTCTTCTTGAATTCCTCAACCAGTGCGGAGTTCTTCTTGTTCTCGATCTGCTCGCGTGCCTTGTCCTTTGCGACCTCGTCCAACAACCTCCTCACATCCCTCAGCTCTGCTTCAAGCGAGTTCCTCACGGTTTCAATTTCAGTCTGTTTTTTGCTCGTTATCACAGTAATTTCTGCTGTCAACTTGCTGTTCGTTTCTTCCAAGAATTTGACTCTGTCAATGTAAACGGCGAGACGATCGTTCAAGTGTTGAAGTTCTTCCTTTTCTTGAATCCGGGTCATCTTCGTCGGGGAGGCCACCTCGACCCTCGCTGAAGACGCCGGAGTGCGAGGTGATATTACAGTTGTAGCCATTTTGGAAAGTAAGCTAAACTCAAAGCAAAGTAAAACAAAATTCGCTCAGAAGTTAAGACTTCTAGAACCGCGCAGAAATCTGCTCAAGTTTTGGCGGTTCTCTACTGACATGTGAGTAGATTTGACCAATAAGAGAGTGCGTTCTTTGAAAAATTCTTTCAAAGCAAATAAATGATTGGTTAAAATTGAGGCGTGACTTTTACAGTAACGGTCACGGTATGAAACGTATAACTCCCGCATAGTCTGATCCCGCTCGTAAAATGCACTGCAGAACGTGAAGTAGAATTAAATACTTTCACAAACGCACACATAAATATCTTCCGCATCAGGTGATAACTTAAATTTGTTATATTATCCCTTTCAGTTTCGACTCGAACACCGCTGGTCGAATGGTAACTCAAGAAGAATCAGCCTTTCGAACAACCATTTCACATTTCGCACTTTCAAAAACACAAATATCGCTTAAGAAAAATATGGCAACCGATCCTTTATTCACTTTGAATTCTTCCTCCGCGAAAGCGTCTTCAGGATGATGGAAATGATGCACAGGCTACCCAGGCGGGGATAAAGTCGCGCCCAAATGTTATTGGAAATATTGACAAGAAATGTTACCATGAAAAAAAGAAAAAAGAAAACAAAACAAAACATGTTTACGACTTCTGTTTTAGCTCATGGTATTCTCGAAGAAGTAAAGGTCACTCGAATATCATGACCTCCTCTATGGAAGGATCGTTGAAATGGTTGGCACCATTGATACCCTGGGAAAAAGCAAATCAAGGAAACTTCCCTATGATTACCCCAAAAATAAACATTCTCAATTCCAATTCGACCTGGAAACTGTGGACAAGAAGAGAATCTCCGTAACATGTCTACTGCTAAATCCCATTATTATTATTATTATTATTATTATTATTATATTAAAACTTTATTCATAGATTTAAAAAAAAATAGACTATTTACAGATTCAAGAATATGAATATTAAAATATATACCCTATTGTACATTCTTCTTGTGTACGAAAGAGAATTGTCGTAAAATGACTATCTAAAGACTACTAATAACAATTATAAAAAGCATAAAAAAGTTAATAAAGAAATAAAAACTATCTAAAACTAATAGTTCAAACTGATAAAGAGTTACTACTTAAATTCTGGCTTGCGCACTTTCCGAGGTAATGTCAATATCAGATATATTGGCTGTTAGTATTATTATTAGTAGTAGTATCATTGTTATTATCATTACCATTGTTATTATTATTATTATTATTATTATTATTATAATTATTTCTTAAGGTATTGTTTAGCCCTATGTTTTCGTTCGACTCTTGCTATTTTCACACTTTTTCGCACCTCTTCTACTTCGCTGAAAGGAGACCGAAACGACTGCTGAGTACGATAAAATGATTCTAGTAAGGGGGCTAAAATTTCATAGGGGGAGGGTAAGAGCTCGAGTTTTAAAGAACTTTGTAAGCTAACCTCTCCCCCTGTTACCTTAGTCCAATTACTCACCATGCCTTATTTTTGAGCTTTTTATTTTCCTCTTCCAGATTCCTGACTTTTTCTATGTAAGCCGCAAAACGGTCGTTTAAATTTCTCAGATCGTCTTTCTCTTTAGCAAGAGACATCTTCCTTTTGTTGCGCGTAAGTAGATCTCTGGTCGAAGAAGTTCGAGTTGAGTGACAAGACGACGATTTTACAACAGAAACCATGTCAGAAAGTACACTAAACATTAATGAAAACTGCAAAGAGACAACAACTGTGCAGAGGGTTTCAGCGTTTTAAGAAATCAATGGAATCTTGGCCTGAGTAACAAATCCTTTTCTTGTCACCTTTTCTCTATTCGCTGTCACTTTTGAAAGCTGCTCTTACCAGTCACTCACCTAAAATACAGTTCTCTGTTAAAATTAAATTCACTTCATTAATAGCGCGACGTCCGTAATTGTGTGCGTCATCAGTTGCTCGAGCAATTGGAACATGGTGCATGTCGAAGAACGAGAGTTACTGTGGTCAGTAAAAGAAAATTGTCATTTTATTTTCTTGTTTTCTCGAATTATTTTTCAATTGTTGGATTTTATGATTCTCCTACTCAGTAACCTAACCTTCATGTCCGATCCTAATCTCGTACCCAGACCTCCCACTGCCAAGAAATTTCAGTTCTTATTAGACGTTAGGATCTGGGTTCGAGATTAAGTTGGTTCTTGTTGCGCAAGTTACGCGTCAGAGTGGGAAAAGCTCTCCTGCTCTCACTCATCCTCCATACTGTATCAATTGCAATTGCTTTCCAGAGCTCAACAGAACGTTGCGCGGATTTCCTCTCTTCCTCCCAATTGCCCACCATGGAAGAGAAGAAAAAGGCCGGGTTACATCTCATCCCTATTCATGTAGAAACACGGCCTTTTCTGGAGACGGGATCGGGATCATTGAGTGGGAACTTTCCAACGCAAAATATTCCAACGCGTAATAGGTTTGGGATTGGACAATATGACAAGTGTTTATGAAAGGGGTTTATCTGCAAGTGTTGTCGTTACTTCCTTTGAGTAACAATGAATGAGTTGCCAGTAATCGGATCCTTGCGTTTGCGCACAGGTTTCTGGGATCACCACGGGGCAAACATTGCGACTCGCTTTGAATATGGCGAAAGGTTGTTTCGACGTCCGAAAAAACGATTTTGGAGAGTGATTATCGCTTTTTCGCCGCAGTTTTATCATAAATAGGCGAAGATAATGTCGATACGAGGAAAGTGTAAGTTTTTGTCACTGTCTCTTCTTGCATAGGATTTATAATGGTAATAGGACCGAGTGGAGTCCAATTCGTTCTGTAATCATACGAGTGATTAACAAAATCGGAGGACCGCGAAGCGGGAGTCCGATTTGACAATCACGATTAGGGACATCTCCAGTAGGGACAATGTCTAAAGCAAAAAAATTAGGAAATTTCCCTTTTTTTTTTTTTTTTTTTTTTTTAGCGTAAGTGGTTGTTGCTATGGTTATTGCGATCAATTCTGTGATTGGTGGATTCAGCTGAGTGGACTTAGTATGATTGGCTGCTTCAACTTTCCGCCTATAGGTGTCCGATTACAGCCAACAGTCCGATTACAACTTTACAAAGTGATTAGTGAAATATAGAGCAGCTGATGCACCAATTACATGTGAGGAAACTGTAATGGTTATGATTAATTGTAGAATCGTCATCGCGTAATGGTCTCGAAATATTTCAAATTAGCAATAAATTGCTAGGAAATGACTCATTTCAGTCTTTTCAGTTGTATTTCTACGTGAACAGCCTGTTTTTATACTTGTTAACGTATTAAATAGACAAATTACGACGTTTGAAAATACACTTCCCTAAAGGAGAGAAGTCGTTGTCAGCGGAGATGGAAATTGTCTTTACAGAGTTGTTGTTCTCTGAAAGGATGAAATAATTTATGAAAAAAAATGAGGAAATCCCTTGGTCAAGTGATACTTTGTTTGAGAAAAATCCAAGTCTTTGAGCTGCAACTTCTCTTCTCGAACTTCTTGGAGGATCTTGCTAGGAAAAGCAAGATCACGGGAACCTCGGCAGAAACTGTGGACATGTAATCAGTTGTTCATCGCTCCTTAGGCGACCCATTTGTACCTACCCATCGTCACAAAAGAAAGGGTTCAGCTTTAAGCAGATTTCCAGCGCTCTGTTGTATAACCAAGCCACAAAAAAAGATAGAGGTAGACTTAAAACACGTCCATAAGACTAATAAGGCTTTGTCGAGTTATTTCTTGGCAATTTATAGTTAGTTTTTCTAAATTCGATACCATTACGCGATGTCAAATTCACAACACACATTGCGCACGCATGAAGACAAGTTAATGATAAAACAGCGGCGAGAAAGCAACCATCTCTCTCCAAAATCGTTCTTTTGGTCGTCGGAATAACCTTTCGCCAAACATTTCCTTCTAGCGAGTTGCAGTGTTTGCCTCGTGGCGAACCCAGAATTCTGTGCGCAAACACAAGGATCCGATTACTGGCAACTCGTTCATTTAATCCATTGCGTTTTATGGAAGACTTGATTTGCAGAGGCCACCATTTTCGATCTTCAGAAATTGATGATCCTAACAATATATAAAACTGAGAGAATTACTTCCGTCAGTAACTAGGATTTTTTTTCTTTGTTGCATGTCTACACACACGTTTCTATATCTTTCTTAAATTAAATGTTGACGTCGATTCGTTTTTTCAGAGAGAGACTGGCACTATCATGAAAAAGGGACAGTGGCGCTTTCCTTGAGTTAGATGTTCTTGTGAACTGGTGTTCGTGAATAGGGTACTTTCAACGACAGTTTCGCTTAGCATGCGCAACTGTCAAAGTTTACCTCCGAAACTTCGGTTGCGAGGACATTATTGTACGCTCTCCATGATTATGGTTCAACTTGCTCTTTTGAGGGCCATCCTGAACTGAAAGAACGCTTAGCCAATGGCCATAGCGTGGTTGATGTCCTCCTCGTTGGTCGTTTCGTGTCAAATATCACACAACATAAAAATCCCTAAACGAGAGTTTGCCACGCTGGAACGTGGTTCGTACAACTTGGGAAACAATAAATGGATAATTCTTTGCCTTTGACGGAAATCACACTAGAATACCAGCTTTTTTGCTCTGATAATTCCTAGAAAATGAAAGAGCAAAAATAACACATTCAGCTAATAAAGGACTCCTGCTTAATTCAGCGCTTATGTGCTACTTTTCAGAGATGGTGACGGCCCGATGCTTCCTTTTTTACACGGAACAATTTTGCATGCAAAAGGTCGTTTAAAATTGGTCAAAGTCCTGGATCAACCAAACGTTTTACAGGAATTTCTAAATGAAGTAAATGAAAGGAGCTTAAAAATCAAATGATACGCTAATCTCGGCAATCAGGAAGAAACCAGCCTTCATGTGTCTGGTCTTTGGGGAAATAATCCAAGAATACTTTGGAGAATATCACATAACATACACTAGGTAACTAACATCTTCATGATTATCACCTGAATCAGCCATTGAATCAACCATTTTTCTTTTCAATGAGTTTTCCTCCTCCTTTTTACTACCTGCGGGTGCCGATATCTTAGGGCGTGGCAGTAGGTGCCCAGGCGTAGGGACGGGTTTGTTGGAACAGTATGGCATCTTAAGAGCCTGGAGGGAATCAATAATTCTTTTTAAGAAGTTTGATGCAAAAGTATATCCACAAGCTACGTGACCATCGCGCTGAGTTCATTGTCTCACTTCTTCTGATGTGAAGTGGAGTGTGGTCAGAAATTCTTAACAGGATGGTTAATCATCACCAGCATTTTTACAGGACTTCAGGAGCATGCAAGTTGTTCTAAAATCATAATTTTATCACTTTCTCACACAAGAGGGAGGGGAGGGGAGGGGAAGGGGTTCTCTTACACCCAGGCCCTGCCAGCAACATCCTCGTTGAGATCCCAGTTCATCAACCCCTCACTGCCATTGCCACCTTTACTTCATGGTGAGTGGAGCATTAGAATGATGTATCATTACTAACACAACAGCTGGCAGGACTTAAATCTTGACCAATTGGTTTGCAGTTTTGATCATTCACCAAAGCATATGAGCCATTACCAGCTAAAACAATGTTCCCCGTTAGCGCCAGACGAGTGGATTTTAAAGCATTTTTGGAAAATTTACCTGAGTTGCATTTACTCTGCCAGCAGGATTGCAATCCAGCAATCTGTCAAGCATATCCAAAAGGTCGTCACCAGCAGCAGAAAATATGTCCTTTAAAGGAATCCCAGGGAATTTCTTAAATTCCACATAGTCTGGTAAAGATGTGACACCCTTGGGTAGATAAGAAATATATGATTTTTTTAACATAGAAAAAAAAAAAGAAAAAATATTAGAGCCCACTGGGTTAACATCTAGCCAATTTTCTATTAACTTTTTTTGCTTTTTACTGTATTGTATTGTCCCTGAATATCCCCTATAGGAGAAGATCAATAACAAATATTGTATTGTAATTAAATGAATCTGAATGTTACTCACCGGCCAGGAATCTTCTGATGGAGTACCAAGAGTTTCAAATATTCTGCTGAGTTGATCTAAATCAGAACTACCTGGTAAAAAGGGAACCTAAATGATAAACAGGGAGAGAAAAATATTTTAGAATTTTCACAAGCAAAAATTAAGCAAATCATTGCACAAACTGAAGAAAAAACTTCTTGTTATAACTTATTTAATAAGCTGCAACAGAAAAGAAATAAATGGAGATAACTGTTCAAAGTGCCTTTTAAAATTAATAAATTAATATTTGTTGACCTACAGAAAGATTCACTCACCCGCAGAAGAAGCTCAGCCAAAATGCAACCAACAGCCCATATATCCACACCTGTACCATAGATTCTTGCTCCAAACAGAAGCTCAGGGGGACGATACCACCTGCAAAAAATATGAAAAGAAGAATGAGTCACCAAAGCCTTTGCAATCCCTTTATGGAGTGCTACATCAACAAACAAGATTGAAGAAATCGTTGTATTGCTGGGTATTTCAGATCTCAATCAAAAACTCTGTGAAAAAAAAAATTGATTCAACAGTCCTGACCTTGTCACTACTTGATGAGTATACACCTTTGTGGGACTTCCAAAAGATCTGGCAAGTCCAAAATCACCAATCTTCAAAACTCCTTTATCATCAATCAACAAATTATTTGGTTTCATATCCTGAGGGTAAACAATGCAAACATGAACAGCAGTTATAACCACATGTTTGAGGTCTGTGAGTCTTTCCCCTTTAACACTAATTTCCTCTATAATGTTCTTTTCTTAACCCTTAACCCCTAAGAGTGACTAACATCTAATTTCTCCTTACAACATCACCCCTGAATCAAAAATTAAGGTCATGAGAATAAAGGAGATGATCATCAACCAAAGAAGCTCTTGATTGTTGAACAAATTCTCCTTGTCAAAACCCTAGGAAATGTCTAGGGAGTTGTATGGAGAATATGCATACTGATGTTAAGGAGTAAAGGGTTAATATTTTAGAAAAAAATTCACATCAAGTTCCTGGTTATTCTGAGCTTATCAAATCTTTTGGCTATTGCTATAAGTGGAAATATGTTGATAAAAATAATGCAGAATAAGCTGCAAAGTTGAAATAAAAACATAATGAGTTAAATGACACTCTTCTATCATAAACTGTAGTCAGGCTTGTCAGTCAATGGTGAATTGCCTGATACTTTCAAGCAACAGCTAGTTCACACAGGTCTTTGTTCATTCAAGCAAACTATTCCTTTGTATACTTACCCTATGAAGGATCCAGTTCATGTGAAGATATTCCAAACCTTGCAATGTCATTATCATATAGCTTTTGACATTTGCTGGGCTTAGTACAATACTTGTATCTTTTATTATAACCTGAAATAATGGTAAATACATAATTCAAAGTTAAAATAAACTGTTACTTTTTTTCCAATGATACTTTTACTGAACCCACAAATTAGACAAAAAAAAGGCTAATGTATAGGGTTGCTTTAATACTAAATTACCTCAAGATCTGTTTCCATGAAGTCAAATACAAGACTGATGTTGGACTTGTGACCAAATACATCAAGAAGCTGTGAAGATACAACAAGGAGAAAATTATATGTGTTTGGTGCTAATATAAGATCCTAAAAAGACCACGGGCTCTGCAGAACTGGACTGAAAATCCTGTTTAATCTGATGTTCTAATCTATAGCTATCTTGATGAATGACATCTGGGGCTGAAGAAATTTAAACTACTTGGAGACAACAATGCCAAAATTTTATGCAATGCATAAAAACAATTAATAATAGCAATGTATTAATAGTGTATTTAAAACATATAGCTAATGTCGAGTTGAGAGAATTTAATGTTCTTTTACCCCAATTATGTTTGGATGCCTCAGCTCTTGTAAAAGTTTGATTTCACGCAATGCAGTTCTGTTGATTCCTGCAAAGCAAACAACACTTGATGTTTCTCAACACATCTAATTGATTTTTATTTCAGCAGTCAGTTGTCAACTTCTCTTCAAATGGATCATTGAGAGAAAAGAGAGATGATATAGGGGAGGAGGGTGGGAGGGGGGAGGGGGTTGTCCAAGGTTATGCCAGAGGAAAATTTCACTCAAGACCATGAGTGATGATGAGCAGAAATATTAGGCGCTTTTTAGTTTGGAAAATCTGACCTTAGATCTTCTTAAGAGCTGCTATTAATAACTTACCATCTTTTGCCTCACTCCTCTGACCAAGTTTGATCTGCAAGGAACATAAAATTGTTATGCAGGGTATTAAAAACCGCAATGGTGACCAATCAATTATCGGACAAGCAATACAACAGTAGACGTCCTACAAGTAAGGAAGTGATCCTCGAAAATGCTCTGCAGATAAAAATAAATTGAGGAAATAAGCCTGACAATTTCAAGCTTCTTCCAGCGTCAAAATCATCAAAGTATCCGATAGATTCATTCCCGAACATTCAGAAAAATGTTTTCTTCTTTAAGCACCCCTGTCTAGTAGCTATAACCGCAATGTCTTCCCATCTATGAGTCTTTACCTTTTAAATCAAGTGATAAAAGTGAAACGATAACTAAGATTTGTTTAGTTGTTGATAGCCCTAAGAACGACATATTTCTGCGAGTAGTACTACACACCTTTTTCACTGCCACAATCGCATGAGTTTCCTGGTCTTCAGCCTTGTATACAGTGGCGAACTAAACCCCAAACAAAGGAAAACATTTAAAAGTTATCATTAGGTATCTAATCGCATGACTAAATTCACTATGTACCTGTCCTTCTCCCAAAAAATCAATCTTTTTGTATCGTTTTGAGCGTCCCTCCATATTGATTCTTCTTTTCCTTCATTTGGGACTGGGTACTAAGACCTGGATAACTACGTCTTGTACTACAGCATGTATTTTGCCATAAACCTCGCCGCAAAATTACCATTCTGACCACGCTTTTAGTCCCTCCTTTTCGGCGAATTCGTTGTGCAAGTCAAAAAACGGAAAAAAAGGAAAATATTTGATGTCAGCGCGCCGCGCAGAACCCTGGGCACATCAATTTTTTTCCACTTTTTTTTTGACTCACGCGACGGACTTCGCCCGAAAGGAGGGACTGCTCGTAGTCTAACCTGAAAAGTACCTCAGGTATTTAAGGCAAACGTCTAATGAGTAGAAACTCATTATTGGAGATGCTACACAGTTTTTAGCCACAAAAATGAGGGTTTGAACCTTTTCTTCAAGCTTACTCCGGAAAGAGTCACAGTTTCGGCAAGAAAGGCTCGGTAATTGGACGCACTTTAGTGGAAGTGAGCATAAAACTGTTTGGTTCGCGTAAACTATTTTGCGGTTGGAAGAGTTTCTGTATATAAAAAAGGTTGTTTTCACGCCTGGTCCGCTTTACTAAGAGTAAAAGTACTGTCATAATTTTCAGAGTTTGAAAGAGCAGTTTTCTTTTTAAAATTGACATTCCATTGAGGGGAAGAAAGCACACCGGTACAGTAAAAAGAATCACATATTTTGTATTTCTTTGATCTCTCGAGTCTTGATCTCAAGATAAAGCGAACGGTGAGATGATCTGTCAGTGAAATTTTCACCTTTTCCAGAACATCAGTGGTTGCAGACATACTTTAAATTTAAAATTTTCATTGATTTTTTCAACATTGCGTATGCTTCAGCTAAGTCATAGAGCAGTTTAACCCTGTACAAATAATTTAACGCGCAAATCGCTGTCCATTGTTGAATTTCAGGTCTAAGGTTCATTCGCTCATCAAAGTGGTCTATTCCTCAGGCCGAAAGTATCAGACTCTTACAGAAAGTGCGACTTTTTCATCATCATTCGATGACAAAATTTATTCTGAAGCTATGTGGAGCCTTGAATGATCTTTCTTATTCTCTCTGAGTCGTTCTTCAGGTCTACGTTTTTAGGGTCAAGCTTGAGAGCTGATTCATAGTCTTGAAGAGCTGAAAGAAAATAAATTAAGAAAACAAAGAAAATAAAATCAAGGTCGATACTCATGTTTGGGGCCTTCCTACTGCAAAATTCTTCTAATCTCTGTTCTGATGTTGTCTCACGTTCAATGAAAAAACAACAACAAAACAAAACAAAAAAGAAAAAAGCTGATAACCCATTTAAAAGATATGTCAGAATTGCTACTGCGAAAGCTGGTGCTCTTTTAGGGTCTGTCAACTCCTTATTTTTTTCTTTAAGGGCGGCTGTACACAGGATATTTATTCTGTGGCCGAATCATCTGGTAAATGGAAGTCTATGCAATGATTTATAACACGACCTCACACTTTAACCAAACGACTTCTTCAAAAAGCTGTCGTTACACAAAAAAAGGCGTGTATAATACACAAAAACTATAACGTCAGAAATCCCAAACACTGGCGAACTGGAGCCCTTTCTTGTTTAATCATTCAAGTGTAAATTACGGTCAGAAATCTCCAAGTTTACTATAATTTCCGAGGTTATATGAAAACCGCAATGAAAACCCGTTTACTCACCCAGCACGTATTCTTGTAATTGCATGTACGCGGTCCCTCGTCTGACATGCGCTTTACATCTGGAAGCACAATTGGCCGGAACCGGAGGAACAAGGAGTTCTAGTGACTGTAGAACAAACGTCATCAGAAGTAAACTCAAATGAAATAAAACTCACTTTGTACTAAAAAATAGAAGCTGAAAATTTGACGAGAATCTTACACTTGTACAGTCTTGAATGCACTCTTTGTACTGTTTCAATTGAAGATGACATGCAGCACGGTTAGAGTATAACCTTCACAAAGTCAAGGAGAGAATCTCATTTTCAGCCGAGTATTTTGCTACACCCCGTATTTGTCTAAGTTGTCGCATCCACGTTACAAAAACACTCGTGATTATATTTCTTTTCATTAAAAGGCGTTCTTATTTGTATAACAAGTAGTTCAACAACTGACGAAAAAGACGTGATAAAAAAAAAAAATAAAAAAAAAAATACAAAAACAAGGCGAATCTTTTTTATTCCTCGGCCACCGTTTCCCGTCTCCCCTTATGTCCAACGTTTTCTCGCATTAAGATGATACGGTGCTCTTTTTTAATTTGTTACGATCTTAATATTCTGGTGAACTTGTCTTATTATTATCTTTGAACTTTTTCTAAGACCGGGGTAAGTTTATCTTTTGGGTGATTTGCGAAAATAGTGGGTTCATGGTCTTTATATCTAAGTAGTTCTTCCAGAAAGCTTTTCAATCTCTCTCGCAAAGCTTTCCTCCTTACAATTAATTGCTATCAAATATAAGATGGGGAAGTATTCTGAAAACTGTTTTTTGAGCTCCTCTTTTGAACTGAGCTAAGGAAAGAAAAGTAACAGACGGTTTGGGACAGGGAAAGTATGATAGCAAACTAGTTTTCTTCAGTTAAAGGATACGATGGTATTGAGTCATCCAGTACGATGGCTGCTGTGAATGCATTGATAGCCGCTACAAAGTTTCCAGCCTTGTAAAACCCACTGCCAACGGAACGTCAAAAACATAAAACGAAGAGAAATTTCACTATAAATTTGATTCACTGAACGGAGTTTGTGCTTTTAAAGTACTTTTTAAGTTCGATAAAATTCGACTTAATGAATGTTAAAAGTAAAGGGAAAAAAATTCAGATAAGTAATATTCAGCAGTTTTGGTCATTTGCACTGGCTTCAGGGTGTTTGCTTAGTTTCAACTTTGAGCTCGTGTGGGTTTGTTGTGATACCTATGGATTTGTTTTCAAAGCATTCCACTGTGATATGCTCTGATCATACTTCCCTCCTGTGATGAAGTTTGTTCTTTTCCTCCTTTCTTTTCTTTCCTCATTTGTCCATTTTTGTTGTATGTTTTATACCAGTTAAGATATCATTTACCCTGTCTTCATTGTAACCCTTTTAGCCCTAGAAGTGACTGTCATTTAACTTTCTCCCTAGCAGAATCATGGCTGAATCAAACAACAAAGCCATGAGAATTAAGAGAATGATCACTGATTAAAGAAGCTCTGGATTTTTATACAAATTCTCATTCACAATTCATAGGAAATATCTAGAGGACAGTCTGGAGAATATGTAACTATACTGATGTTGGGGTGTAAAGGGAGAAAACTCACATTCCTTTGTCTTTTAACCACACTGGGTTCATTTCTTCCATGTCAACAGCATCAGTGTTGGTAGTATCTGTTTTTCGGCTTGCACCAGCCATCTTTTTCAGCCACTATGAACAAAAACAAATCTTCATGTTTAACCACTGAACAGAAAGGATTGGATCCTCACAAATTCTAATGGTGTCAAATGTCTGATCCCTCAGTTAAGGGTCAACTCGTTATTTGGAAGTATTTCATTAATTTTCATCTCACACCCTATACTATGAAATGTGAGATGCTTAGACCAATGTAAGACCTGAGAGGCAGGGGAGGAGGGGGCGGGGGGGTGGTGGTGGATGGTCTGTTTCAGAGTTAAGAGCTGTACACAGTAGAATAGCTTCTCAATGAACATTACATGATTATCATAAGAAACTGGAGTAGAAGTAATCACACACAAACAAAAATAAAAACTGGAGGAAGATTGTGACTTACAGACTAAACTGACAAAAAGATGAGTTACCTCTTCTTCTTCTGGTGCTTTGGATTCTCTTGCAGCTGTTTTGAAAACACGAGGAGTGAATGACACTGAAATGGAGCCAGATGCCCTTGGTTCTGGAACTGTCTTTTCAAGGAAGTCTTTCTTTTTTTCTAAAGATGGAGACTACATTGTCAGAACAACAAACTGGAGCAAGGTAACTAAAGAGTATCATTCAAATAAATACATGTGCATGGTTAGTAAACAACAGATCTCAAAGAAAAGGAAACAAGAGATTATGAGAAGGTTTAAAAAGCTACCTTCATTTTCTACCAATCCCCTTAATTTTGCAGCAGGTAACAGCATAAAAATTGACAGTCATACCATTTGTCCTTTCTTTGTTGTAAGGAGCCAGTTTCTTTGCAGCTGGTTTTGGAAGTGGCTCTTGATACTCTCCCACCTCTAGGTCAGCTTTTGTTGCAGACATGTTGGTGTCTTCATATTGATTTACATTACTGTTCGAAGTGACTTTTTCTTCTTCTATGCTTGTAGGCTGCAATTTTTGATTTTCTTTCCATCTCTCAATGGCCTCAGTTGCCTTTTTACGTTCTTCTTCCTTTATGGCATCTATTCGAGCTCTTTCTTCCTGTTCCAGCTGACATTTACACAAACACAAGAAGTTTTAGTCTTTTGTTAATTAAGAGACACTAGAATTCTGTGTTGATTAATTTTGGTCTGAAATTATACTTGTGATCTTATATTGGACTTGCACAGGGCATTTGGAAATCATGCACGTCATTTCAGACCAAACTGCTCTATAATCAGTTCAAAGGAAAACTAGTGCTATGCATGATCGCTATCTGTACAGAATTTTTATACACCAAACCTTCATCTGTTCTTGAAGTGCCAATTTTTCTTGTTCTCGTTTCTCAGCTGCTTTTCTTTGCTTTTCTTTTTCAGCTCTCTCGTGCGCCTTACCAATAGCCTCCTCTCGTTTCTTTCTCATGAATTCTTTGTCCTCTGATTCCGATGCATGTAACTGATTCCATTTGGATGAGCTCTTCTTTAATAATTGAAGCTTGACAACTCCACTGCCAAATGTTGCCTTACTCTTAGTATCTTCGACTTCACCGAACAGGCAGACTTCAAAGATATACGGAGGATAGCTAGCCTATGGGCGATACTCTATTAATATTTTCTCTTCAATAAAATATGACATTGGGAACTCTTCCCATTTCAATCTATCTTAACAGACTGCACACATTCACAACTAACCTTGATATAATCGTCAATTGAAAAAATATCCACTCGATTTGACGGCACTCCTTTCAAAGGAACAGTAATCAAAACCGTTTCATCTGTTTCCTCCCAAACATAGTCCTTCACCTGTATCGGCATTTTTGCTTACTACTTCTCCTACATCATTGCAAAATTATCATCTCGTAGTCGTCCATCTTTGTGTCTCAAATACAAAATCTTACAGGCGCGTTTCTAAGCAGTTCCCAGATCTCTTGCGACTCTTATTTCGCGCCAACTTCAGAGATGACGGACAAAAGCGCTCGACGTAAAGTCGGTGTCGGTGTTGGCGTGTTTATTATCTCATCTGATCACCCTAACTGTGTCATAGTTGGACAGAGGAAAGGCTCATCGGGAAGTGGGAAGTATGGGTTACCTGGGGGACATTTGGAATTTGGGTGAGAAAAAATTACTCTGTGTTATAAATTACCAGTAATTGCAAAATACACAATTATGTAAGTTATTATCTGCCATCCTGCCTACGCTATGAAATGTGCTGATTCCGTTTTAGTGGGAGATGTAGTTAAAAATGCGTCAACGATTGGTTTGAAATGGACCTCCCTCTTGAGAATTTGGTTTTACAGCGCATGCCAGTTGGTGAGGTAGAGAGCCCTAAAAGAACTTCAGACGGGGGTGGGGGTTGGGGGTACGGTGGGAAGCAGGAAGGGTGGGGAGGGGCGTGGGAATAATAAGCAGACTAAAAATTTCACCTTAAATTTGTGCACCAAGCAAAATGAGTTGGAGAGTCAATGCATTGGTTTATCCTAAAGTACTTCCTTTCTATACTTTTAAAATGTTAATCTTTCTTACTCTTTCACTCATCAACCATTGCTTTTGGAATAGTCCATCCCATAAAGATATATTATAAAGAAGCTTTCACTTGGATTTTTCTTTGACCCAGAGATAGTTTAACATGGATACAATCAAGATTTTCATTAAGAGATTTATTTACATGAGAATATAGCAAGGTAACACTTCACAAAACATCTAAAATATCTGCTTTTCAAGGAATTTTCATAAATTCTGGCACCAAAGAGAACTTTGACTCAGTTTCCAACATTAACCTGTGTAAGGATTCTTTAATTTAGCACTCAGCCAGCAATGATCGCATCAAGTTTTCTGAATTTATTAACAGTGAAGAATGGTCTGAATGTGCAGCAAGAGAAACATTAGAGGAAACTGGACTGAAGATTAAGAATGTTTCATTTGGAACTGTAGTTAATGCTGTCGTTCCTGAAGAGGATTACCATTACATAACAATTTTCATGAAAGGAGAAATTGATAACAGCCAGGCAAAAGAACCAGAGAACCTGGAACCAGACAAGTGTGAAGGTGAGGAGAGAAAGAAAACATCCACTCTTCAGCTAGGAAGCAAACCCTGCCAGAGCTTATATCAGTTTATGTAACACAAAGCTTGGACTTATGTCTCTCTTTTTGCAATGAACAGAATGTCATTCCTTCTAAAGGTTACCCTCAATTTTTGTCCAGTTTCTGTTACAGTTTGCATCTTGCAGGAGGTCCTACCCAAACCACAGTTTTAAATAATCAGTGGGCCTCAGGCTTTCTCTATAAGTTAAATTCCACTGTTAGCTTTCAGCCCTCCTGGGGTTGTTCACATAAATGGATGGTTAGATAAAAGGTTCAGCTAAATTGAGGGATTGTTTAGGACACAGCTTTGTTAAACAACAGTTAAGCTTTGTTTAAATAATCAGACCTAAGTGTCTTAACCAAGAGCACAATGCAACAACCCAGCCACTTCTTGAACCCAGGCCACTTAATCCACCACTAACCCTCTGCATTTCCCATTTTCAAAACTCATTATTGTTATCATTGCATAAGCAATTAGTCACTTAGTATCTACACAGTACAATAAACAAAGTAAGAGTCTGTAGAAGTGATGTAAGTTGTTAATTATTTATTTGCTTGGTTTTTGTCTTTAGGTTGGGGTTGGTATGACTGGGACTCATTCCCTTCTCCACTCTTTGAACCTCTCAGAATAGCAAGACTACAGGGATACCAACCATTTGATGATGAAAAGCATGGTCACATTAACTCTGCACTATTTCGCATTTGTTCTAATTAGAACCATACACAGTGTTCATGATACAAGAGACATCAAACACTGTGTTTTAGTTAATATCATCAGATGCAGAGATGAAATTTCAAAATTAAGAACAACTTAAGTATAAAGATTACATTCTAAAAAAGAAAAAAGAAAATGACAAAACTATTGCAAGGAATAGTCTCCAGCACTTGAGTAATAAATGAATCTAAGCTCAATACAAGTTATTTTTGTAAGAAAATACCATCACTTTTTATAATAAAGGCAAATTCAATTTGCACATAAGCACTTTCTCTGTTGACATTTTTGAGGAAAAATTATCTGATTACCCTTACTACCAGTAGAGTCTTTTACACTCTTGGCTCTTAAGTTCAAAATAATTGAGTTGAAACTTATTGTTGAGTACTACTCCTCAGCACATTTTTCAAACATTCTGTGTTAATATTAGATAACAGGCTTTGGATAATTTAGAAGTTTTTAACATTGCCATAAATAAAGATGATTTCCAAGCTGTAATGGTCTTTATGTAGTTATTATTGTGAGCTAACTTGTGAAAATGAATGCCTAGCTTTTTATTGGTTAATTTTCTTCATCAACTAAGCTTTCCATCTGCTCCGCCATATGTTAGTGAAGTAAAGTCCACTTCATGTCCAAGTGCCGCAGAAATCTCTGATGATAAAAGATCATGAAGATAAACACCATCATGTGTATATATCCAGGAACCATCTTTGAAATCGTACCTCTTGGGACCACTGAAATTTAACAGAATAGACAGAATTTTAACAATTCTGAGTAATCTCCAAAAAGTTTTAAAAAGAAGTGCATGATGAAAAAAGCTGAGAAAAGTAAGTTTGTACAAGTAGAGTGAAAAGGTAGACCTAGAGTAAATGTCTCTTGTTTACCTTGTTGGAGAGGACAACCATATTTGTTTGTTAGGGCTTTGTTTGTTGATCACATAGGTACCACGTCCAGCTGAAAGAACACAATTAAATCAAACCTCTTCTTTTTTTAAGCAAACAATTACATGTATAATATGACTCAGTTGCCTTTACATATGTCTCAAGCTAGTTCTCAGATACCTCTGGGATAATTTAGAATTTAATGATATCACTTGGAAAAACCTCACTTCAAAGAGAAGGCAGACGAGAGACTTGGAGTTCAAGAATTTTTTAAGAATATGCATATTGGGCAAGGATGAGAATTATCTTTAATTTGTGTAATAAAAACAAAATAATTTTACCTCCCAAGTTGACTGTAAGAACTCCATCCTAATAAGAAAAAAGAACATGGTGAGCCCTGAGATACTAATTGAGTGTAAATTGTTTAATTTTTTTTTTTTTTAATGACAGCAAAGTGATTGATATGGTTACCTGAAATAGCTAATATATTGTTCTGGATTCTTGTTTTGAATTTTCCCAAATTCTTGTTTCTGTGTCCAACACTTTAACAAGAATTACAAGGTAATAAACAGGTGATAAACAGCTGAAGAGAAAAGCACCCTGCCATTTTTTAAAATTATTTGACACTTCCAAATAGATCAATTCTGGTTCAAGTAGTGGATGGAATTAAAAAAAGAAAATATTCCCTAAATATGCTTGGTTCCTTTTACCTTTTCTCTGCAGGAGAAAAATGTCATTAAGGAAAGTGAATGCTAAGTCACTTTGTGAACCACTGGATTGTGCAATACATTAACATTGATCTATAATAACTCAATTGACACTCACACTCATCTGGACATCATAGTCAGCAGGGCTTGAGGGGCTTTCACCAAGGTCATCAAATAACTCAGCTATGGCATCCAGTGTCTCATCTGCGATACTGTGGTAAGATAACTCATCTAGTGTGCTGAAAGTATCAAAGTGCAATTTCCACTTATCTCTGACATAGAAAAAGCCACGGAGAATTTCATATTGTAGGAGTAATTAAAAAAAACATATTCTTAACTAATATTTTACATTGGAATGAACAAACCAGGATACAAACCTTTCGGTACTGAACGCTCTTGTCAGGGAAATCCTTCTTTGGTCAAGCTGAAATTGTTCAAATTGTTGTGAAAAGTTTGAAAAGAGGTCAATTTGATTGCAAAAGAAACAGCTGGAAATAATAAAAGAAGAAGCTAAACCACGGAGGGTTTCACCTGAAGTCTTTTCGACAGCAGCCCGACATGTGATCTTCTACTTGCAGACAGAATCAAGCTGCTTCTACTGGAAACAACAGAGTAGAATGCCACAGTCCTTACACTAAAGTTTTTAAGGAAACGAATGCGTCGAAATGCAATCATGGCAGATACTGTTCCCTTGCCATCGAAATGTCGAAATTGGCCAGGCGTTCTTATTAATTGGGAGAGAGAGCCTGGGTCCAGAGTTCCCGCGGCCATTTTGAAAGTGGCAGAGTATGAAAGTCAAAGTAAAGCGTAAGTGGCCTTTTTCGCGAAACTTTAACCTAATTTGACTTTGTTTCATGCTTTATTAGATGGAAATAATTTTTAAATCTTACGTATTTGTAATGTGCTTTTTCTTTTCTCTCATGATATGGCATACTACTTGATCCCGCTGTTGCACGAAAAATTCATCAAATGGCTGATTCTTTTAATTTCATCCGTTTGTCACCATTCAGAGTGAGTACAAACAACTTGGCTTTTAACGCTCCTATTATTCGGACCACATAGCTCTTGAGGCCATTTCGATGTTAAGTGGGAATTAGCAACCATAATTACCTATCATCTGTCGAAAAATTTAGGTGAAGTGATAGGGGAAGAGTTTTTTTTTGTATTAAGATGATGATTATGTGGGACAGGGAAGGCGAGATTTCCACTCCTTCATGTTTGGCTTAGGTCTACTGTACTTTATTGAAAATTATTAAGATTATTCCCCACTTACCAGCTGTAGTGAAAGTTGTGACCAAAGAACCCTTTCTGTCATTGCCACCCCCTTTACATGTAACAGTGTCTAGGATGTATCAGTCCCATGTAGACATGTAGGTTTAAATAATTTTCAAGTAAAATGTAGTACAAAATGGTACTGTTAGTAAGTAGTAATATTAGGCCAAGAAAACTGGAATAACCTCAAGCCTGTGAATGGCTGTAGCTTGTGAAGGGTTGCTTGATCTTAAATTACTCACTCAGACATAAATGTGATCATGTGTTCCTTAGGTGGATTGGTGTGGCCACATGGCGCTGGGTTGCCAATGATGACAATTGTGGTATTTGTCGCATGGCATTTGATGGTTGTTGTCCAGACTGCAAGATACCAGGGGATGACTGTCCTTTAGGTAAGATCACAATGTTTTGTTCAAGCAAGCTGCATTACTCTGCAAGTGATGGCATTTTCAGCTCTCACTTCAGGTTATGACATAATTGTTGAAATCAATACTTGTAATACAAATATGACTATTCAGGTGATACTTTCTCATGACATGTGATCTTGAACCAGGAGATACCTTTATAAGACTCAACTATCTGTTTCCTCTTTCAGTTTGGGGTCGTTGTTCTCATGTCTTTCACATGCACTGTATTCTTAAATGGCTAAACTCGCAGCTGCATCAACAGCTGTGCCCGATGTGCAGGCAGGAGTGGCAATTCAAGGAATAGACATGTGCTTCATAAACAGTACTACTCACTATTTTAACTGGCTTTTAAGGTTGTTGGTTTGATGCTTTGAGAATGGTGTTTGCTCTCTTCAGCTGTTCACGGAGTGAAGAATGGATGCTGATAGATTAGGGGATAGTTAGGAGAACAGGAAGTAACTTTGATCAGAACTAAAGCACAGTGCAAGTGTGAAGAGGTAGTCCAAAAGCTGACTTGTCTGTCGAAAATAAATTCAGTACACTTCCACATAATGAGCTTATATCTGAACTCATCAGCAAATTTGTGCTTTTTTAAAGACAAAACAAAATATCCCTACTTTCATTGTAAATTATCCATGTTTATTTCAAAGATTACAATCTGTAAAATGCTTGCTGTGGCTACCTAAGAAAACATTAAATTATTGCAAAACACATTTACATGCTTGTTTTTTCTTTAAGGGGGGCCTGTACACATCATTTACATCCTAAAAGGTCTTGAAATAACTTTACTCTTAGGGAACACAATTCACACTAGCTTAGGAGGAACAGACCAGCACCACATCAATATTACACTGCAAACAATTCAGTTTGAGTGAATCACAGTAAGCTCCATTCAATTTGTTCCAGACCAGAACCCTGATCCTTGGTAGCCACCCTGATGACCCTTATTCTGCCCTTGTTTAGGTCCCTGTCCTTGAGACCCTCTCTGAGATGATCCAGGCTGGCCTGTTTCCATATGATGAGGCATATGGTGGTGGTAGTGGGATGGCGGGTGGTGTTGCTGTACAGGGGTCATCATTGACATGAATGGGTGTCCTGTATGTGGATAGCTTCCCAAAGGACCATGCTGTCCTGTCATGGACAGATTTAACGCTGGTGGTGGAGGTGTACCACCCATAAATGGTTTGTTGTCATTGAACTGAAGAAAGGAACAAAGTATGTCACATTACTATAAGCAAAAAAAATGGTCATTACAAACTAAACCACTTTTGACCCATTAGTTAAAGTTGCCTAATGATAAGAGATTAATATTTGCGATACTGACAAGCACCTAATAATAGAGAATGCCAACACTTGCATAAATGTTATTTGTAGGTGGGAATTGAATCTTCCACTGAGTGTATTTGCAAACATTTTATTGTTGGGTCCTTTGACATAACCCTTAACTGTCTTCTAAAGAAAGTGTCACAGATAAATAAGAGAAATGTGGCCAAAGAAACATCTTCTGATTACTAACCCAGTGAATTTCCTTCCTTAACAAATAAATAAATTTATCATCATTTACTTTGAACACTGCAAATAAACAATATTTTACCTTTCCAACTTGGGGTTTGTAAGAAGCTCCTGAGAGATCTGAAGCACTACTTACAGCTGGACCTGTCAACAGAAAAAAATTTCATAAGCTTAACATGTGCAAAAAATGATCTTATCAATAAGAAAAATTATCAGATGGATGTGTTGATATTCCTCAGTTGAACTGATTCATCAACTCACTGTGTACAACTGATAAATTATCTCTTAATATTACCAGTACTAAATAACTAATATGAAAGTCACAAACCTGAATTAGATTTACTCTGTGATGGTGAAACTGAAGTGTGGTAACCAGACTTCCCAAAGTCATGTGTCTGACCTAAATCATCATACCCTAGAGGCAAAGGAAATAAAACTGTTTAATTTGTAGACAACCAACTAGAAAAAGACAGGAGTAGTTTGACAATAGGCAGTGAAAGCTTCAAAAAATTAAAAAAATAGATATTAAGTACTTCAATTCAGAAGTATCTGAGTTTCAAAAAAATCCCAAGATTTATGATAGACCTGATACCAGGTGGATAACTAACATATCGCATGCAAATGTATAACTGCCATGCTGACCTGAGGTGTAACCAGACTGATACTGAGATGCATTCCCATGAGTTTTTGTTGGCATCTGTTGAAGAAGAGTCAGTATGATTTGAATAAAGTCTCAAATCCTGCTTTTATTCATTCCCCAGCATTTTCAGTTATCTCTGTCTTCTCTGGAAAAAGATACTGTTATCCTTCATATTCTTTACCAGATAACAACAATCTACTCTCCTGTCAGAGACTACTTTAAAATGTACTTAATGCTAAAAAATATTACAATTACCCAAAATTACTTGGGGAATTTCTGTTTTTGTTTGCTTATTTTTTTACAAAGACAGGACATGCAAATTGGAATTGTTTTCTAGTCCAACTTTCAAGAGTTCCCTTCCCCTACCACCAATCTCATAACTTGAATCATGCAACCCTATTTACCTGATACATAGGAGCAGTGTAAGCAGGGAAACCCCCTGCCATCATTCCAGCCCCTGGGTAGAATGCTAGTCCACCATAACCATAGGGATGTGGCATAGTTGTTGCATTTATAAAGGCCTGCTGCTGAAGATGAGGTTGAGGAAGGGTCACAGCTTGGTTCAGGGAAGAAGGAACTGGAGAGGATGTATCAGTCCGCCCAAACTTTTGATCTCCTAACAAACAAAAATTAAGTGTTCAAGTACCCATGAGCACAGAAATGGTAAGCTCCCAGTGAGTTTAAACATAACCTTCCTGAAAAGTTTGATGGAAGAAACTGAGTCTAAATCAAAGAGCACATCAAACCCATACTCTTAAAAAGTCACAAATAAAATTTTAAACAAAACATCCATGGGAAGTCAATTTTCAAATCTGTTGTGGTCCTATTCTTTGTTTCCCTTCCTTTTCACTTTCAAAGTGATCCACAATGGGATCTTGTGCCATTCGGATCCTTGGGATTGGTTATTCCTTTGTTGGAGATTTATTTCATATTGAACTTGCCCCTAAATGCCCATCAGACAAGTCAAAAGGATTACCTCACTAGGACGACCAGGGTGCAAACCTGCTACCTAGCAAGAGTAGTTCACATCCTTTGATGAATACCTCTCTGGAATACAGAAGTGTCTTACCATGAAATGTTGTTGACAGGCCATCCCTACCAGCTGCTTGGAAAGCAGGCATGTCATAGTATTGTGACTGCAGATAAAGAGCAAATGTGTTAGTACATTCCATGAACTACCACTGTTCTGTAGTTATAGATTCTCTATGTGATGTAATTTGATATTTCAATAGCACAATCCTAAGTGAGTCTGTTCCCTTAGTCAAAAAGGTTTGATTTAAGGAGCAATATTAAAGTTCACTTATTTCTGGGACATGATAAAATAATGAAATCTGAACTGAACTGTTTTATGAAGCATAATTACAATAATTACCATTTGTAGTCTTTGAAGATCTTCGTAACCATATGGAAGGGGCTGCAAGATAAAATAGCACCAATAATAAGCACAAAATAAATTTCCTTGGAAACAGTCTATTGGTATACTTACATAAGCATGAATAAGGCCTTGCTGCATTCCATAAAGAGTGTTTAATGGCAAAACTCCAGGAGGTAATGATGGCTTAGCTAAAATTTGGGGAAAAGGAAAAAATATGCCCTAGTTTAATTTCTATTGTCATGACAACTGCACTTCATCCCTTACCAAAATGCAGGACTCATTTATACTTGTAGGTACATGAAAAAATAAGTTATTACTTGTGTGATTTTAAATCAAATTTTTAAACATCTATTTTAAATCAGTGACCTAAACTGCCATTCTGTGAAGAGGGAAAAATTGGAGGAAAACAAGCAATGGTTAAAGCAGTGCTTACAGGTATGGGCATTCAATTTTCACAAAAGTTCAATTTGTAGTTTTCTTTGTTTAAGAGGATAACAATAAATATGAAAAAAAAAAGACAAAAATAAAAAATGAAATAAGGGGGAACATTTTAAACCAAGAGAAATTTTGAACCACAACATAAACCTGGGAAAGGGTGATACTGAAAGTAATTCAGACCAAAGTTACATACTGGTATGAGACACTGGTTTGCCTGTGCCTGACATGGTAACTGTAGTGAACCCTGATGATGTAGAAGCTGTTGACTGGTTCACTGATGGGGGCACAGGCACCCCAGGAGGGGGTTGGAGTGGCTCTACAGAGGACAGATCATTCCGCTGCACTGCAGTTGACACAGCAGAGCTAGTCAGTGAACTAGTTCCAAGCTTATCTTTAGTTGATGGCACTGTTGGTTGAGTAACATGATGTTTCTAAAAGAAACAATAAAGTTATACATAAGTTTAGGCTGTAAATAAACATCTATAAAAGTTACCAAGGACATGAAAGAAGCAGCAACAATAAAAAGCATTTGGAATGAATAACAGAATGCAATGATATTTGCTTGCATGTTGGAACTTCTTCCTTTCAACTCTAATTTAATTAATTTTATGAATCAAATGAGCTTCAACTTTGGAGAAGAACCTCTACCTGGTATGGTCTTGTCTCAAGGGTGATATCTTTCTGTATTGATGAAGACAACCCTGGTCTCAATGGAGATGAGGAGCCTGTTTGAGTCAGATTGGCCCCACTGAGGGAAGGGGATGGAATGGCAGAGGATTGCAGACTGGGGGAAGATTTCTGTTGATCATCTGAAAGAGGCGGTTTGCTTGAAATGACACTATCTCTTGAGTCAAGCTGTGGAGGTAGTGGAATTGGCTCTGGTGTGATTTGCTGCAAGGAAAGAAAATGATAATCACCTCATATCATAGGATCTGATGCACTTTAATCGCTTTGTCTTAAATAACCACAAGGATGTAATGACATAATTTTAAATTCTTTTTCCACAAACCTTGGTTACTTGAGACACAAGTGCCTGTTGTTGACTTCGAGGAGATGGGTGCTGAAAATGTCGAGGTGAACTCTCCTCTAGTGTTGTCACACTTGATGAAGCTGAGGCTGAAGTCGCTATCGTGATAGGTTTGGTGATGGAAGCAGACGGCAGACTTGTCACAGTACGCTGAGGTTCCAAAGGTGGACTTGATGACTCACTGCTACTGCTTGAGCTAAACGTAGTTAAAATTAATTTACTTAATATAATTGAACTCACTGTGAATGATTGACTGCTGCATGTTAACATCATGAATAATAATACAGTTTTCCCCCATTCTGACATAGAGCAATTTATTCACCTTTGTTCATCAGACTTTGTGTCTCCAACTATGGGCAAACTTGCAGGGAACTCCTAACAGGAAGAAAAAAATTATGTCAATGCAGAATCAAATGAAGCAGTGAAACACAATCATTCTATAGGAAAAATATTTTCTGTTCAAACAGCATATGACCTTGTATTGCAACTTACCTCTTTTTTTCGTGGGCTGCTAACAGAATCACCACCAAACTCTAAATTTCCAAACTAAAAACATACCAAAATCAGTGCATTATTAAGGCAATTAAGTTCTTTTAGTTTAATTGATTGAGCCACTAATACCCACTACATTCAAGGCACAGGACACTTACCTGCACATCAAGATTGTCAACCATTGTCCCTGGCATCTCAACAGCTTGCAATGGAATCTACAAATGAAAAATAACAAAGTTAGCCTCATACCCTGGTTAATGCTGAATTTTGCTAAGCTGGTTTATAACCTATCTTTCTCTCTCCCACAAAAAAAAAAAAAAAAATTAGTAGAACCTTACTTACTTAAACTTGAATGAATTAAACTTCCAGCTAGATTGAATTTGAAGCCATATTCCTTGAAGTGCATTTTTTCAGAAATAACTTTCACTACCTTGAGCTCCTTGAAACATAAAACTAGTGTGTTTTGTTTCCATTAAAAATTCAGGTTAATAAGGTGCTGTTGCAGTACTTACCTGGCTTTTCTGTGACTTCTTTGGTCTGCTTGTGCGGGGCTGCCTCTGTGGCTGAGCTTGAATTGTTGTTGAGGAACTCTGAGGCGCCACTCCAACAGAGGAAGACAGAACAACCTTGTCCAGAAGCTTACTGATAGTGTCATTGTGCAAGTTACGAAACTCACCAGGCAGAGGAATACGAGGCATTGAAAAGTCCACCGCCGAGAACTGATCTTTGCCTGTGGGTTGATTTGTAGCCAGCTTTGAATGTATTATGGCCATGTCCACACTGAAAGAGGTTTGGAAATTTTCGGAAGGGTTTAAAACAGAATGCCCTTCTTGAGGTAAATTTATGGTACCTATTTTCAGAGCAATATCTGTTTTTGTTTCCAGATTCTGTCAGAAAAACTAATTCTAAAAATTTTAAACAAACATATTTACACTCCAGTTTTTTAACCCTGTAGTGGCCCTTGTAAGCTTACAGCCTTTTCCCTTGTTCTTAAAAGCTTTGGGCCTCTGGTTTCTTTACTTTTAACAGTCAAGTCAAGGTTCACCTCTCGGGAGTAAAGGGAGCAGTGCTCTCTGGAGCCTTCTGTCTGCTGTCTGAGGTTGGCACCGTTGGCCCTGTTGAGCTAGGAACTGTAGGCCTGTCCACATCCCATGAGACTACAGAGCTATCTGCATTTGCTGGCCATGAGTGAGAGGAAGAAGTATTGTTGAACAATGTATCATTTGTGTTTGATGTTGTTGTCTGAAAAGGAGTATACAACAAATTAGTAAATTTACAGCTGCCTCCCAAGGGTTGCCACTGTTATACATAAGCCTCTTCTGAACAGAGAAGAAATAAAAACAAAAGGCAAATACTGCTACAATAAAGTAAACATATCTTGGTGAAAGAAGTGAATTGTCTCAGTATCAATTAATCCCCCTTGCCACGAAGGCAATGTTTGTTGCACTCTACCACACTAAGCTCTTTTTATTTGTTCATTTGCTTCTGCAATCAGACAGACATTTAGGTTGTACCTGTTCAACTGGATTCCATTCTTCAACCTCCCACTCTTCAGTTGTCAGAGGTGAGACTTCTTCAGCTTCTGTTGGTTAAAAACAAATATGATAAATTCAACAAGTTATAATAAAAGTAATGATTTTCCCACATAATGCTCCTCAAATAATAAGGACCTATGTGAATAACTTTATCAAATCACTCACGTTCTGTGTCTTTCTCTTTTGAAAGATGATCTTCATTTTCACCCCACATTTCTGTACCTGTTCAACATACACAAGAAGCAAAGTCTAATTCCTGAAATGTTTATGTTGTAGGATCTATTTAAATATATAACACAATAATAAGGGGGCTTAAAAGGGAATTTTTCCCCTGAGATGTTGTACTACTGAAAAATACTTCAACAAATGAGTTAACATGCCAAATACTGGAACTAAGGCAAATATATAAGTAATGAGATCTAAATATCGCATCAAAATAAAAAGAACATGAAAATGTTAGGAAATAAAAGGATACATCTATCAAGTTATTAGTCATTTGTCTGCTACAACATACCGTTCACTGTTGGCCCATTTGCTGCGGTTGAATTAGATGCATTCCTGTTTCCTCCACCATATCTGTTGGATCTATCTCGCCCACGGGATTGGAATGATCTCCTAAATGTTTGTAAATGAAAGGCAGTAAGGACCCATGCGAATATCTTGCTAATCAAATGCAGTGATCAGCCAGCAAACTTTAAACATGTGAGAATCTGAGAGTCTGATGTGTGATTCCTTGTGAAGGCTCAGAATTTCTTTTTGTCTCATGCTTGTGACAAAACATATTACCACCCTCTTAAATTCATAACCAAGCTCATATTTGCCTTTTTGTTGATTGTACTTAAACAAAATGAAAAAAAGGGCTGTTCTCTTACCCAGGCCGTCCACCACCTCTTCCACCCCTCCTTGGCGGGCCACCTATTATTAACCAATGAAGATAAAAAAATTAAAAACTACAAATACAGAGGAAGAAAATGAACAGAGCAAAATTAACACAGAAGGCAGCCTGATTAAGAAACTTCACACAATAAAGAATGTTACAATTATTTTAAAATTGGTAATGTTTTAACTTGTGACAGACAAGTCATTATTTGCATGATTATTGGACCCTAACTTATTTCAGTCCCACTAAAAAAGAACAAAGTTTCCGTGCTAAAAAGAACAAGCCATAAGGCCAACAAAGCACATGCTACAGACCTCTGCCACCTGGTTTTCGATCATTCCATCTGTCTTCCCTTGAGCCCCTTCCACGTCCACTTTCTCCATGATGTCTATTGTTGTTATGAATTGCTCCTTCACTCTTATTATCCTTATCTGAACTGTTGTTTTGCTCTCCACTCTGTCTGTTTCTGCCTTGAAATTGCAAAGAAAAAAACAATTTTGAAATTGACATATTGCTGAACAACTGACTGATGAGATACAGTAGCATTTACAGCTATAACTGTAATACTGAAAAAATGTCCATAGGATATTAAGCAACTTGGTCATTTGACCTCACAAATAATTCACTTTCTTCAACCATAAAGAGTAACAAAGATGATAAATTCTACATTGATTGTTAAATAAAGACCTTTTTCAGAACAGTACTCAACTGCAAATTCAAAACTTGCTAAAAGTTCAAATCCCTGAAAATGGAACTCGCATGCAATCAATCGTCTCACTTTTTAGAGAGTGTATGGAAAAAAGCCTTTGGTGAAATCTGATAGACTGCTAGATTCTCCTTTTAATTGTCTAATGTTCAAGAAACATAGGAAGAAACATAGGGAGAAAATGATATAACATTAAATTTCAGCCAACACTTAATTCAACACTCTCCTATGTCTGTAACATCTTTCTTAGTATCACACTGATGATTGATTTACACTTGAAATTTAATCATGGGGGAGAGCTGTAGTATGAGAAGCTAAAAAAGTAATGGTTTGTACCTTTGCCTCTTGGTGGTCGTTGCGTGGCAGGTTTAGTAGATACTGGAGCTGTAGTCGTTGGTGTTGTTGTCTGTGATGTAGGGATGATTGTATCTATGCCTTGTGAGACAGGAGTTTGACTTTTCTTCTTTTTGTTTTTTCTCATGACCCATTCACTCTACAAAATTAGAGTTTGGTTGAAACACACATTGTCATGGTGTCATGAAATTGTTTAAGTCCTTACATGTTACAAGTACAAGGTGTACTAATCATTCATCCATGATTTTACCACAAAATGAAGTTTAAATTTTAAGCCTAACTTTTAATGAGTGCTTTCACACCACCGGTGATCCTGTAAAATAGAAGTCAAAGTACATGTAGCACAGCTGTGCTCACATGTAGGTCTATTGACAAGTCAAGCTATAACTACTATGTTGGGGTTGTACCTTAGGTAAAGTAATGACAACAGTTGGGCCAAGTGACCCATCCTGTATTTAAATTATTCCTAGTTTAGCAATTAAACCATGCTTACAGCTAAGCATGCTTGAAAAATTCACTCCTGTAGTCCACAATACTGGCTGCTAATAATAAGCTATGTTGTCTCTATTAATTAGTAGTCACATAAAACATTTCATTATACCTGATCTTGGCTTCCCTCTAACAAAGCATTAATTGTGGCTTCTGTATCAAAATTACAATCATGCAGTGCAATGCTCACGACATCAAAACTGTATCCTGTCACATCTGACACCTAAAGAAGAGAAAAAAAAAGGTTGGGATACAATCTGCGACAAGTTCCAAAGACATGAACTGGACAAGTTATGGTGAGAATATGCACTAAGCAACCAGCCATCTGAAACAGATTGTAGTAACTCACATAAACTGCATATGAGAGCTGTGAGAACCTGTGGAAAAGATGCTTTGCTACATTATGTATGCATACTGGACCATTTCTTGCCTAGCCTTTTCCTAGTTACCATGTGGAAGTTTATTACATGCAAGTCAAGGAAAATATCAAATTCAACACTGTCAGGTGAGCATCAACTTTTCACAGTGATTGATAAATAATATCAGTAGAATGAATGATTCCTGATATTGATTTATTGATTAATTGAATGATCAATAGAGTGAATGATGGACTGATATAATAAAACATACCTGTTTGATCTTATCTCTCACCACTTTAGAATCTTCTGTGCTTAGAAGCTGGGCATATCTGATCTGTTCTGCAGTTGGCTAAAAATGAAAACAGCTGTTAGATATATATCCCAAAAATATCAGTAAAACCGGTGACAACAATAACACGCACTGGAACCTGTCAGATTGCCATACATGCATGAAGCATTTAGCAACTGTTGAAACAATTAAATCCTTGTCCTACCATGACCACTTGTCTCATACTTTCTAATATGATCTAACAATGGTGTTGAAGTGCTATATCACACATAAGATAAGTCCCCTCTAAGCTATAAAACTATCACAACATCCTCATAGATGGCAAGACTTAAGAGCCCTCCTCCTTATATTTCAGAAACAAACAATATAGGTCTTGGTGTTGAGGGAGAGAAATCCACGATATCCTAAATCAGTTGGAAGCATTGGTATTGTCAAAGTTTGTAGCCTGTATAATGAATAATACTTAGAAATTTCATTTTGACCCAAGCAGTCTCTCCCATTTTCAGTTCTCCAATTGAAAATATTTCAATATCAAATTTTCTCCTTGAATGTTTGAATCTAACTCATATTTAGGTGCAAGATGATTCTTACCAAAACAACTTTTTTCAACAAGAAAGGCAATTCAAACTTGGTGGCAATGTATTTGGCTATTCTTGATTGTTAAATTCTTAAGAGGACTTCACTAATTTAGAAAACTTAATGAGAATAATCTTGCTTCATAAATCAATATTTTTTTGTTTACACTTGCTGACTTACTGTAGTTTTAAGGTTTTACATTACGTAGAATTCAATTTCAGGTATGTTACCTCTCAAACTTAATTTCAAAGCACATCAAATACCTTACAGTCAATTATGGACTTTCAAAATCAAAAAGTGAACTTAAGTAAAATCAATTTATAAACATAAAGTCTATTAATTATTATGGCACGCCATAAATTGTCATGTATCAGTGGAACTCAGAAGCTATCATCAATAATGAATTTCAAGATTGCTTAACTATACTTAAGTTAAATAACTAGAGACAAGGAACGTAAATTAACCAAGCAGGAATTGAAGATCTACCTTTTTGGTATTCAAGCCATCTGTGTGTTTGCTTTGTGATGTTGGTACAGTGGTAGTTCCTCCTTTCATTTTTCTAGTTCCCTAACTGTACAGTATATACAAGGTATGTACAACGTTCCTGTGAAACAGAGCAAAAAAATGCAGAGTGAGGACATTCAAAATATATTACTGCTTGCTAGGTGGAGATTTGACGAGTACTTGGAGACATTAAAACCCGCCTTGCGAAAAATTTCGATGTGAGTTCAGAGAACGGAAGTGCAAGAATACGTCAGAGACATCGTCGATACTTAACCTAATTTCTAGCAATAATGTAGTCCTTGAAATTACAGATTTCTTTCCCGTACAATAAAGAAAATGATGGTATCTATCAGTAGTTGTTACTCCTCGAACCTATTTTGAAGAAAGGGCAGGCATGTAGTCAACACACAAATGACAACGAACTACGAATGAGTCACGAATCGAAATTGGTGAATGACCACCGTCGATAAGCAAGCACACATTGACACTTAAGTTCAACTTTTCAGACGAGTCAAACACAATCAAGCTATGGTTTTCGATGGAATCTCTTCACAGCTGAATGGAAAGCAAAACTATAGTCTTTGAGATAAAAAATTATCGCCAAAACATCCACAGAGAAACTCCTTATTTGTTAGTCCCACTGCATTGGCATTTCCCTTGAACTGCACATGTGCCGACCGCTGTAGGCAAGCTTTCGTTTCATCACTCGTCGTTTCAGACTTAAACATTCAAGCTGTACAAGGCCATCGACGATATAAATATCTCACAACGATTTTCTCCTCCTCAAAGGCTCGATAAAATAGTTTGAGTCGCTCATCATCATTCGCGTTTCCTCCGTAGAATTAAACCCGGGTGTATGGCAAAAAAATGCAACAATATTTCTCCACCTCGCAAGTGTAAATTGCAAGATCCATTCAAAATACAAAGCTTTGTCGTTACATACGCCATTCCTTATTAGAAATCCACGAACAGGAAGAGATACTTACAAATAGTTTGGCTGGAAATTAGAACCGAAGACTTTTGCCGCTGCACCAGACATGCAGGACACAATACATGCGTTTGGCGAAAAAGTTATCAGGTCACGTGCTACAATTTTGGCGCGCTCTCGCGGGAAACTGGTACCAAATTACTTTGCGCTGGTGCGCTATTAGTGCTGTGTTAGAGAACGATGAAATATTTCGAAGGGTTTTCATTTTTTTAATTTGAATTTCGGGTTAACCCTGATCTTTGTGGAAACGTAATCTGTATTTCTCATCCTTGTGAGCAAAACATAATATACAGCTACTTTTCGAGTTGTCCGTCTTAGGTCAATAGAACCTCAAACAACTGTTATCATCTATCGCGATCAGAAAATCCCGTGTGCAACCCCAGTTAGACCCTTGACTTTATAATTACTTGGTAATAGATGATAAAAAATGGATCATGGGTACGGTTTATACCACTAGGTTATTCTTACCGTTTCTTACTCACGGACGTTTCGTAAGCTTGAGAAGCTCTTTCCTGGTTTCTAACAATACCATTAAGACTTTGACTACACAGAAATCGATCGTATGCTTGGAATTGAAATATGTTTGAGTAATGATTCTAAAAGCGTTGTTCGTTTCTAAAAAACAAAGGGAAGTGTTCTCCGTTTCTAACAAAAAAATGAAGCGTTGTTCGTTTGGTATTTACAGTCTGTATTTGTTTCTTCGGGCGACTTGACTTTTTTTTTCGGGCGACATAGCTAAAATTTCGGACAACATGACTCGGGTTTCGAGCGGCATGACTTCGGGCGAGATGACTCCCAGGCGACTTGACCGGCTACCCATCACAAGGGGAGAATAGAATGTTTTAATGAGTGCCGTGAAAACAGATTTGTTGAAGCGTTAACGCTATCGTTTTGAGAATATAAAATTGCTATGGTTTAAGCATAAGCCGTTCAATTTGGAGTACATTTGTGGTGCCAAGTTTAGCCTCTAAATTATAGTTTAAGGACAATCACTGCTAACACCTTTTCAAGTTGACCAGCTTTATTAAGTTTACAACAAATTTAAGAATCTATTACATAATTGAACCAGATGTACAGGTCACTTCCCAACACATTCAGTCACAAAGACAAATAACAACAACAACAAAAATAATAATAATAACCAATAAAATGTTCAATCACTTTTCTATATTACACTTGATCTGTAGTGATACTAAAAAAATCAAATTATTTCCAGCATTTTAAAGCTGAGTTTTCAGTGAACTACTGTTCAATCTTCAGTGCAAGGTGGGTATAGTGCTTTTAAAAACAATGCAAATTACTCTTCACTGGAAAACCAAGATGAAATGAAAATCTGAACAGGATTGAATTAATTAAGTTAAGAGAAATATTTCAAACTAGCATAGCAATCTTTACAAATAAGTAAATGCAAATTTTTCAAATAAGGATTTTTTAAGAAAAAAAAAGAGTTTTGTTCAGAAAAAGTCCATGAACTTGTCATAGGAAGCTAATGGTGTTGACAAATCATGTGACCAGACATGTCCAGGATAAGTTTAGTAATTCTTGCCTGAGTATTGTCGTACACTGAAAGGAAAAAAACAAAAACAATGCAGTTGTTAGCTATCATAGATGGTAAAACCAAATTTGTCCAGGCATAAAAGATAAAAAGATTGTCACTTTTGGGCACTATTTGGCCAATTTCTAGAATGAACCTTTAATTTATCATTTAACTGTCTTCAACCTGACTCACCTTTGTTGAAGAAGAAACTGAGCAAAATTAATCTGGGATTGGTTGCCCCCAATTGTGATTATCCTGTCATTTGAACCCGGAAGAGGATCATCGATCTTTATGTTTGCACCACTGCGATTTCTGCAAACATACAAGTCAATGGTAATGCAAAATACCAACATTCACACATTGCAGCACTCTTCATTATACTAAAAATCATTTTCGGAATTAACATTGAGTGTATCCATCTCATATTCTTACCTTATTTGTCTTATCCTCTCTCCTCCTCTTCCAATAATAGACCCCGCCAACTGTAAAGCACAATTTAGTTGACATTTTTTTAATGCAATTCTACCATTAGATTTGAGAAGTTACAATTTATATGATGCATTTGGATACATAAAAAAAACTGGTTTAAAATTGGTAAGAAAGTGAAATTTCCATTTTGATATTGAAGACCTTGATAAATGTTACTTACATCTTTAGGAATGGTAACTTGTGTCTGAGTTTGTTCTCCTCCTGCTGAAGGTCCTCCTTGATTCCACTGACCTTCAACACAAAATGCAGAGAAACAGTTTGGTCACTAACACAATGCTTGATTTTCTATGAAGGATCATTTCTTAAAAGGGTTGATGGTTCAAGCCTTACAAAATGACCACAATTCTCCATAATTTATATGCTTTGAGCTTTAAGGAAAGTGTTAATCACTTAACAATGTAAAAAATTTCCATGAAACTCTTTCACACCCTTACATTTAAGGAGTGATTGTTGCAAGAGGAAGCTTACTAAAAAAGAAAATATAAATTCAATATTATATAAAATGTATTTGCCACCAACATTACACAAAGAAGAAGTATACCATGCCCAGGAATCATTTTTCTAGTTTTTTTGCCTTAGTATGGATGATTAAGGTACTATGAAGAAGACATGATTTTTACCTCCCATATCACCTCCCATGTTTCCACCACCCTAATATGTTAAAAGAAAAAGTAACAAATCACAAATGTTAGATCAATCTGCCTTTACAGCTGCTAATACTTTTAAATTGCTGGACGAAACTGCAGACAAATCATATACATCTGAAACTTACAAAATCTTGTGAGTAGTTTCCTCCATATCCCATATTATCACCACCACCAAAACCACCTCTTCCCCCACGGCCTCCACGAGATCCTCCCCTTCCTCCATCTCGACCACCCCGTCCTCTTCCTCCTCCACGTCCTCGGCCACCTCCACCAGGTCCATAGCCACCACCATAATCCCAGTCATTCATGCCAGCTGGGTCGTACAAGGACACTGACCCCTTCAAGGGAGACTAAAGAAATACAAAGTATACTTAATCAATAACTTAAAAAAAAAACCCTACAAGGGTTAGCCAGAAAAGCTTGTTTATTGCCTCATTGAGGATTAAATATTGATAAAACTTCCTCCTTCACTTACTTCGTTTAATTGATCAATAACTTCTTTAACACAGTTCACAATAACCTCATCAGAACCTGTGGGACAAATCTCACATTTAGGATGTTATGTCAAGTACAGAGGTGAAAGAGTTACAACTGAGGTTGAAGAAACACATAAATGATAAAAAAAAAAACTCACCACGAATGGACACAATTCTTTCTGTTGATCCTGGTAAACAATCAGAATGAACCTGAAAGTAATAGAGAGGTATACTTTGAAAGGATGGTCACAAAATCATAAAAATTAATTCAAGACACCAAACAATTTCCTGCCTTGTCATCAATTGACAGACTAATAAAATTAAGTTCCCATATAAAGTGCTTCATGTCAAAACCACTCACCTTGATTTGTGCTCCAGTTTTCTGCCACAAAATAAAAATAATTATCAGCAGAGAACTTCTCTTAAAGTATAGTTTTTTGGTAAAACTAAAATTGTCCAGAAAACATCACCCAGCAAATTTACCTCCCGAGTTTCCTTTATTTTCTGTCCTTTTTGCCCAATCACACTCCCAACCTGACTTCGTTGTACTAGCATCTGGATTTCTTTCCCATTAGAACTGGATTGGCGCTACAACAAGATCACACAAAATAATTTAATTCTGTCTTCAGTTTATCTGGCCATTCACTATCAAAGAGAATCAAGCAAAAGGTAGAAACAGATAACCAGAGGAGTATCCCAGCCAGTCTTTGAAACTTCATAAATGACTATTTTTTATCAATTTCAGCCTTCGCTTAAAACCCTTCATAAACCACAAAAGTACATCATTCATGGTTTAAAAATGACACATGTCAGTCAAAGCAAATGCAAATGATTTCAGGAACATATATAGCAAAAGAACCAAACTTTGTTGCCAACAAGATGTGATCTCTTTTGACCAGAACATATCAAATTGATTAAAAACTTACCCCACCGATCTTTGGTAAGCATTCTGAAAATATGGCCATTGCATCATCATAAGCAGCAGTAATGGTTAACACACTATGAGTAAAAATAGTTGGGAAATGAGAACGAACACAGCCCTACATGCCTTAATAATTTAGAGAAAGCAGGTTGGGTAGAGATCATATAAACATAAGCAAATATTTGTTTTAAGAATTTTTCTCACTTCAAAGTTACCATAAAGTGATTGTTAACACTTTTTTATGATGGTTCTCCTTATTTCTGATAAAAACGTGTCTATGGTAGTAAAGGCTTCCTAACATTCCAGAACATTAGAAATATAGCAACGAGCACCACAGAAAACATTAAGTTTCAAGACAACATAGGGTATCATACAGCATGAGTTTACACCTACTGTATAACATTCAACAAATTCAATACTGGCCACTGGTTGCCAAAAAGTCTGGCAGTTCAGTTAAAGTAAAAGTTTGAGGCATAACTTCTATCTATAGTTAGAATCAATCCCTCTAGATATGACAGCATTACACTGCTATGACATGCAGTGTAATGTACAGGAAGGCAGGACACACATTAACGTGACGCATGGGACATACCGCTCGGGGGTATTGGTATCCGGGACATTGACCACTGCTTTGAACTTGGGTGAGATCACAACAGGGACCAACACGGGCGGGTGTCAGGCAGGTAGATGGATGGGAACGGGTGGATAGGGCCGGGATGGGAACACGGAGGGAATAATAGGAGAGAAAAACAACAACAACTTAGCAGGGATAAACTACTATTCCAGAGGCAGAACAGAGCATCTGACAAATATGAAGGTACTTGGTTAGCTGGATAAACTACAAGGGAAAGGAAGGAGTTAAACAGAATGCAGTTCAAAGCCTAAGCCTGGGAAAATCATAAGTCATTAAACATTCTAAAGTGGAACAGAGGCTATCTTGTGAGGTAACATCCCTTTAACAAAATGTACAATTTAATGTGGATGAAATACTTCATGTGGAAGTCACCATAGTATTTGCTAAACATGCATGCATGTATAAATTTGATATGTTTCTTATATATACACCAGAAAAAACCAAAATCTGTCATAATGAGATTAGAAAAATTTTCAATAGCAACATCACACCAGTAATAATGAACCTGACGAAGCAGAAAAAGGAATCATTTGGAAACCATTCATACATAATTACTGTTTACTGACACAAATTGGACCAGTAATCAAACATTGATCACTTTACAATTTGACTTGACACAAAACTGTTTAAGGTGTAGAATAAAGATAAAATAACATTGCTCCATACCTCACTACGTAATCTTTTCACATTCTGTCCCCCCTGAAAAGGAAAACAAATTTTTATCAAAAGGTGCAATACTCATCAACAGTTACATAAAATTTATTAATCTTAAGCTTTAAAATACTACTACAAACACAGTGAAAATTATCTGTCTTCTGCTTGTTTCTAAACTTTAAAACTACCTTTCATTTCATATCCCATCAACTTTATTAAATGCTTCACAAAGCCATTGTCAGCATGTGTAAAAACAATGTTACCAACCATGAGATACAATAGCAGAGCTTTCATCGGAGTAAATAAAATTAACAGGACTTTCTACCATCACATAGGTATTACCTTGCCAATGATACCACCAGCATCCTAAAACATTTAAGGAAAGAAAAAAAAAAGTATCTAAATTTAGAAATAATGTATCTCTTTCTTTAATCAAAATCTCTTTACAAATGAGGCTGGTTAATTCAGCTCAAAATTTTAATTTGAGGCCACAACAATTTTTTGCAATTTGTGTAAAGATTTTTTAAAGCAACCTTTTCAATTTAATGTCACAAAGTTGCTGGCTTTTCTATCATTATTTCTTTTAGTTTTAACATTTTTGGAAAAAAAATTACACTAAACCTACATGTAGCATAGGAAAGTCTAGTTAAAAGTAAACTATGGTTCAACCATTTTAACTTTTTTTCTTTGCCTTGTATTTATTATCATAACTGAAAACAAGTGAAGATTACAATGAAACTAATAGCTGCCAAACAGAACCACACTGACCACTTTATCAAACTATAATCCTTTTGGAAGTCTCACCCTGCTCTCAAGTAGAAAGCGTAGAGTTGTCTGTTCTCCACTGACTCCACCCTCTTCATCTTTCACCCTCTTTGCATGAACATTGCTATTGTAATCCTCTTCAGCTGGTCTCTTCATCCCCATTCCTTTATCATTTTGAGATAAAAATTAAGTTTCTTTTAAAAGAATAAGAAGCTAACTCCAAAATAGTTTTATTAGGAAGCCACAGTTTGAAAAAGATGTTCTTGAAATTGTTTTTAAATTTGTAATACAACTAAATGTGACTGGAACTTGAATCCTCAAATGTTCAACCTCATGCATTTAGGCCAAAATGCTATTAAGAACCTTATCTAAAACTTGGAAAAAGTATATATAATCACCTTGATCAACTGCAGGTTGGTCCATGATAAATAACAAGATGTTTCTTCTAAATAACACTCTGACCTGTTGTAACAGAATGACAGAATGTTATTTCACCTAACAACTGCATAGGCAAAGTTTCACTACACCCTTCCATTCTAAATGAATGGTCAGTCAGCAATTTCTCCTCACAATATCAAAGTGTTATCAAAAAAAAAAAAGGTAATGACCATAAAAACAAATTAAAAATATAAACAAAATTTGAAGCAGAACACTGGCAGATAGTGGGGAGAAACCATGTGAGATCTTGGAAGTGGTAAGGTTACATTTTGAAGAAGGTGGATGTTGCTGAATGTCAAAACAGATAGTCCCCAGTTTCAAGATTTGCAGTAAAAGAAATTTAACCCCTGGGCAGCTGACAAAACCCTGCTAAATAACTAATGAGGAATGCTGGCTTCACTGTAGGTTCTCTTGTGTATAAAGAGCCGACTACTGGGATGTGTTATATGAATATACAGTGTGAATGCCCTAACATTAAAAACCTTTTGAGAGAAAGGATATTTTTTAAGGAATAAGTGTTGATATAGGCTCATTTTTGGATGGTTGAAAGAAGACCTAGCTCATGGTGGACTAACACTGAACAGACATATCACTAAAGTACATATTTCAGCCATGTGACAGAAAAATCTGCTGTTTCACAGAGAGAAACATTGTAATATTTCATTCCCATGTGACTGCGATAATTATTTGTTTTTTTAGTTCACATGTCATGATGACATCTTTGTTGATTTTTCTCAGGATTATTCTAAAATGAAGGCTTTGTTTGCATAGTTGTCATGCCAGCAGAAATTTATTCTGTCCTTCCATTTAACTAGTATTAAAAATTTTGAAAATTGAGGCTACTGTAGACTATATATTTCAGAAAAAAAATGCATTTCGGATGGCTTCATGGTGATCCTTAGCTTGTTGAACTCTAGTTAACAATAACTAATCCTTGGGTACATCTTATATACTTCAAGCGTCAATCAGCCTTATATCAAAAACAATAAAATTATTATTCTTCCATTTTAGTGATATTTGAAATTTATGGGAGCAACCAGAGCTCATCAGGCTTATCCGTAAGCAACATGATGCAAGCACTGCCTGGCCTCGAAAAGAAAAATTTACCCAAGTGGCCAATCACACAAAACGGCGAACTACGAGTGCATTTGACAAGAAAAGCTAGTGCCATTTACTAGACATTAACTCGTTATCTATCCGTCTTAAGGGGTGGTACACGATAGGTTTGAAGGAAGAATAAAGACCAATTTGCCGAATGATTTTGGTAGCGTTAAAATAGCTTTAAGACTTTGGTGCAGGCAGGCGTGCAGATAATTGGGGCGATTTTTCGCAGCTTTAAACCAGGTACATAAAATATTAAGGACAGTTGAGATAGAAAATGTATCCTTTTCACATTCCTGAGCTACTCTTGTGCGAAAAGGTTCTTTACAAAGAGAAAAAGCAAATTTTTACTTACCAAATTTCTCCTTTCACCTCTTTTTTCCAAAACACCTGGTGCACGCGTTTACAATTTGCTAAGCACTGTGGGTATAAATCCATAATGCTTTTCGAACGAGCTAAAGATTTGTGTCACATGACTCTTCGGACTTTGCGGTTGTTTCATTTTCATGTCAATTAACTGTTTACTTTTGGTTTCTTTTTCAGGGGAATCATACGAATATCAGAAATTTTAACGTATATGGCAAAAATAATCCGATTCCAGGCAAATTTTTTCCCTTTGAAGTGTCTTGATGCTAAAAATAACAAGGGGATTTACCCCCTGAGTTGCGTCATATTGGCTTAGTAACCAGCCACGTTGCCTGACATAACATGCTGGAAGGCAGGGAGTAAACTTCAAGTGTTACGCGTTTTTTGGTTAAAAAAAAAAATTTCATGTCGCAAAGTGGAATTTCAAGCCTGTTTTACTACCATGGTAAGCAGTGCTCTCATCATCCTGTTGAAGTTTTGTTGGTCTGCATCACTGGAACTGTTTGTTTGTTAAGTTTGAATATATACGATGCAACACATTCTTCGGAAGACCTAGTCGAAAGTTCCGGCGAGAAGGTTAGTAGATTATTTCAGAATTATCGAAATATGAATGACTGAATTCAATTTTAGACCAAAATTTATATTTTATGTGGCAAGTAGGTCTGATAGAATCCAAAATAACGTCCTATTAGGAGGGCTTTCTTTTGTTACTGGTCATGTCGTGACTAAATGAAAAGCTTACAGTAAAGATATCCACAAGTGTTTACATCGAATGTCAGGATATGATTTATGCCCTTTCACTTCATGAAAAATTTTCCAGGTAACCAGTTTAATTTCGTGCTGCTGAACGAACAAGGAAATCACTTGAAAAACATTTAAGGAAATGGTTTGAATAGTGTGAATTTATAGCCATAAGCTAATCTCATTTGCGGTGTGCAGATTTTAATGTAGCGGAAATCGTCATCTTGATTAGGAAGCAGTGTAAGAAACCCCCTCAAAGCTTTATTTGGTTGTCAAGGACTTGAGAAAGCAATTATTTTAGGTAATTGCTTTTAATAAACATTTCACCAAGTGTGTAATTTACCAAAGAAGGGAGTTTGTGGAGTAACACAAAAGAAATTGCATTTGTTCAATATACTGTCAGTGGCTACATCCTGATGTTATTTACAGTTTGGTTAATTGATAGCCATTGGAATTACTGTAGGTGTGAACGTATTATTTGAAATTTCCGCCCTAATCATTGTCACAAAAATGTTATGAACAGGTTGGAGCAAATCTGATATAAGAATTTTACTGTCCTAATTTGGTTCATTTGTCTCAACTGAGAGAGGAGTGTGGACCTCCAGGGCAAATTTCATTTTCACACGATCAGATGGCAAATCCGATACAACACTATTGCTTATTTGCTTGTGTAATCTTCATATAAATCCAGACAATTTGAATATTTGAGTAAACATATAGGTTAATGTGAAGAATTTAGCAGGTATTTTAGGTATGATTTGGTGACATTTGCCATTTTGTTTAATTTTAGATATCTTTACCAGCTGGCTTACATGTTGGCCCGACGAGTTATTTCTTTGCTCTTGTGTGCATTTATCTTCAATGTAAAAAGCTTATTCATCAAGGGTCTTCATATATTTTAGGTAAGATAGTCATCTCTACAAGTAGATACAATTTTGATTTTAATGCTTTATCCTAAGTCTAACAGTCAAAGTGATACAAAAAAAAAAAAACCATCTTGAAGCAGGCTGATATTCACAGTGATGTCAGTCTTTTTAAAATTCTTTGTTCTGTTTTGCAGCTTTGTTGGAATTAGCTACAGCTGTTTTCAATACCTTTTTTTTTTTTATTTCTAGAAGTGTTTCATTGATTAAACTCAATTTATCCCAAATAAAATGTCTTGAGCCATTTTTTTCTTTTTTATTTTTAGGATTTGTATCCGTGTTTGCAGTCTTTTCCTGTCTAGTGTTTGGTTCTATAGTGGCTAATTTATATGGTAGAGATTTTTGGGTTGTAAGGTGAGGCTCTGGAGATGATTCATGAACTCTCTAACAAATGTTTATTTAGACCTAATCTTTTATTTAATATTTTCCTGTCAAAGTTGCAAACTGTATATTGTAATGGGTTATCAAAGATGTGATGATTCCAGAAATGTAAGGGTGTGTTTCGCCAAATGTCTGGCAATGATAACTATTTGTTTCCTTCCAGTGGGTTAAGCATAGATCACATGATCTTTTTTCCTGTGATACTGATTTTTGACTTTCACTTTCACTTAAGGAGTCAGTGAGATATTATCTACCCTTCACACCTTGACATCAGTTTGCATATTCTCAGTAGTGTTCTATACATTTCCTAAGGTGCTACAAGGAGTCAACAGTCAAGAGTTTGTAGTAATATTCAGACTGTTTACTTTTTCAGGGAGGCTTTACCATATTTCTTTCTTCTAAGTGACTTCAATACAGCTAGTTCCTTAGTGAAGCACACTCTTCAATCTTCGACTTATGTGAGTATATGGCTGGCTTTCAGTTGGTGTGCAAGATGTAGAGTGAGAAAAGGGTAGTGTAGGTGTGTTGAAGAAGTCGCAATATTTTGCATTTTATTTGAACTGACAACATGAAAAGTATGGGAAGAGTTTGGTGTATATTACAAATTGATAATTTAGTGTAATGGACTGAATTAATAATGTAACTTGGCTACCATTTAAAGTTTTCTGAAGCTGATGTTTTGAACATAATAGCCCATCAGAGCAAATATAGTTATATTGTTGTATGTTATATTGTTTTAATCCAAATAAGGGTAAAGCTGAAGTTGTGACAGTACTATAGTAAGTAGCAGGGACTGACACCATGACAACAGGAGCGGAGGATATATTGTGGAGTAAACAAGAAATGTTTAACATTTTTGAAGTTACAATGGCTGTAAGAAAGGGGGTATTTGCAATGGAGCATTAAATTTTCAGATCTATGTTTAGGTTGTTTAAGTTGATTTGTTAACCTCTATTTAATATTAACTTAAATTCCATGTAACTTTTTAGGATGCTGTTCCTGGCAGGATTGCAGAAAGTATTTGCTACCTGGGTCCAACTGTAACCCTCAATACGCTTGTTGGTACTTTGGTGATTGGTGTAGGAACTCTTTCAGGTTTGTGCAGTGTACAGTCTTTAGTTAAATAGTCCTTCTCCTTTTTAAAACAGAAAAACAAAAACAAAAACAAGTTTTCTTGATAGCTCCTTGCTACCCATATGTACCCCTGGATGGGAGATGCACTCTGAGAGAAAAGTGTATTCCCCAAGAATGCAAAACAATATCTGTAGTTTAGCTAGGATTCAAACCAAGACTTCTCATGGAAGAGTTTATCTTATTAGCCACAAGGCAAAACCACTTCTCACTTTTCTTTATTTATATTGATGTGTATTAAATTTGTGCTTTTATTTTGGCAACACTTATGGAAAAAAAATTTTGTTTTGCATAATTTTCTAAGTAATAAATTTGTTACATTTTTTTCTTTTTTTTTTGGCAGGGGTCACTGAGCTGGAGACCATTTGTCAATTTGGATGTTTATCACTGATCACTCATTACATGTTATTTATGACCTTTTTTCCTGCCTGTCTGTCATTGTTTCTTGAGGTATGAATACAGGAAGCTTTTTGTATGTTAAGCTGTCTGCAATTTCAAGTCCCAGAGAGATTAATTTTGTTTGGATTTGCTTGAAACTAAAGTGAAATGTCAAACTTTTTATTGTCTCAACAAAAACAGGCACACAGCAATAATTTTCCATAAAATTGACAATATGAACCTTTTCTAGCAAAAACAGTTAATCTTCATCAATTTTTTTCAAGTAGTTCCCTGAATTGTTCTTATAATAACATCAAAATGAACCACTAATTTTCCCTCCTTAGGGAAAGACAAGAAGGTATTAAGCCTGTTTAATGTTAAGCCTGAAAACCTGTTATATGTATTTTTCAGTTATGCACAGGAAGAGGAAATAGCAAACCAAGATGGCAGTTGGAATCTTCGGATACCTCAGAAGAGGAACTTGAGCCAAACCCTGTGGTGCAGCAGGTTAAACTTATAATGGTAAGGCTAAGTGATGTTTCTTTTTCATTACCTTACAGTGATATGGCTGAAGCATTCTATGAAAGCCAATATTTGAGTGATTTTCAACTGAGTGTTGTAAAACTAAAACCAATGGAATTTATTTAAAAGGCCACTTAGAACAAAGGAAAATATTACACAGAGCAAAGGAGTTCTCAAAGTAAAAACAATTAAAGCAAGAAGCAAGCTACCATTGTTTTCAGTGTAGAGTGTGATTGGTTATTGAAGTGGACTAAGTGTTCTGGATCAATCACACAGCAAAGTAAAGCAACTTGAAACCAAAGCAATCGTAGAGTACTTTTGACACCTAAATGAATATACCTCCAATATAAAACTATGCAGAGTATTGAATATACCCCCTCCTGAAAGAGTTCTGTTTATACAATAATGCTACATGTGCAAAGATTGCTTTACCAAGTGGTTGTTAGCTTTCTTGCTCAAGTCAGTTTTAAATAACCTAGGTGGGAGGGTATACATGATGATTTCTGAGAGCTATACATTGATTTTCTAATACCTGTAAGAGTTGTTTTGACATCAGTCATGAGTGTCAATAGCTAGCTGAGGAGTGCTCCTATGATATTTTAAAACCCCCTTCAATATATACAAAGTGAGTATTAAAGTGAGTATATGTACCCAATTATAGTATCTTGTAGGTGATTTAATTAGTGGCGATACTCCTCTTAGTCTACAGGATTAATGTTTGTTCATCTGCACCGATGGGTTATGACTAGAAGTGGTGATAACAGTGGAAATTCATTTAGGACTACTCCACTTGAAGAAGACTGGTTTAAAAGGTATTTGCATTTCATGACAAAGTTATGATACTCAAGGTCAAGAAGAGTTAGCCTAAAATACAGCATTGAATTTCATACTCAGGACTAAGAATTAAACAAGAGGGCAAATGAACTGAACTCCTCTCCAGTCAAATATGCTCATTCAAATTGACGAACCTGAAAGAAGTCTGCAGTGATGCTTGCAAAGTTTGGCTCTATTTATATGATATTTTAACAAATAGACCCAGTCACAGTGAGATAAAGAAAAAATATGAAGAAAATTATGTACATCTATGTAATTTATCTCACAATCATTTTCTTACTTCACAGGTTCTTAGCTGGAAATACTGAACAGGTGATGAAAGAATCCTGAGCAATTTATATCAGTAACTACAGTAGTACTGATGCTATATCTTAAGTTTTAATTTTTTTTTCATGGATTTGCTTAGATTAATCTCAATTTATGTTTTTCTTTTACAGATTGTTGCTTTAGTTTTTGGAATTGGCTTGTTAGTAAGATTCATTATGTATAGTGAGGACAGAATGCATGAGCATGTGGAGCAAACTCACATGGAACCTCAGGAATCCTTCATCACTCACACAGACATAGATAGGAGTGAACAAGAATCAGTTAAATCAAGTGAAGAAAGCATAGCTTCTGAAAAGACTGCTGAAACAAGATCTGAGCCTGTATGCTTGCCCAGAAAAGAGGCTGTAGAGGAGGAAAATCAAGAACAATCTCAGGATCTTAGTTCTAGAACAAAATTAGAGGTCCGTGATAGAAGGAGAACAGTTAGTGAAGGTCATTGTAGTGAGTGCCACTCAAGTGATGATGCTAAGTGTTCCCCAGTGCTTGTCAGGTTGGACAGTAGTCCTCCAAGAGTAGAATACAAAGCACGTACTCTGGAGGAATGCAAGCTGATGCTGAAACAACCAGTATGTCTAAGTTTGTTTTTTTCAAAACCTGAATTACAAGACTACTTTTTGTTATTAGCAAAGTGCAAACCATTTAAAATTGATTGTTTCTTGATATATGTTTCTTGATATATGTTTCTTGATATATGTTTCTTGATATATGTTTCTTGATATATGTTTCTTGATATATGTTTCTAAACAGGATGGAGTGTTAGACTTGAATGACAAAGAAGTACAGATGTTGGTAGAGAGTAAAACTATTCCTGGTCATCAGCTTGAAAAGGTTCTGAAAGATCCAGCACGGGCAGTGAGAATCAGGTACAAAGAGACTTTTGCTAACACTCAAATGAAACAAAACTACAGGATAGCATGATTGAGGGCAGTTGTGCAATTCTGCACAAAAATAATGAAAGCCTCCAGATTTCTCAAGCTGACGTTTATTTTTTATCTCATATACAGTGAAAATATAAGTCTTACCTTTGTGATCCAAGCCATGCAATCAGACTTCAATATTGCTCAAACCAAAATGAAAGCAGATCAGTGTAACATGATCAAGTCATTAAGGAATATTTTCCAGAGGTTTAAAAAATAATTGCTCCAAAAAAGGTGATAACCACAGTATGTGATAGCAACACTACTGCATTCATTACACATTGAATTGTGTTCATTTGAAACATTTTTCAGGCGCAGTGTGGTGTCAAAGAAACTCCTATCTGCTGCAGATTTGTTTGATCTTCCCTATAACCATTACAAGTACTCTGATGTAAGTTGTAATTTTTGCTGTTTGAACCTAGAGAATTAACTCTTAATATCACACTGACATCTGTCCTTTTTTTCTATTTCAGGTAGTTGGAGCTTGTTGTGAAAATGTCATTGGTTACATGCCAGTTCCTGTAGGTGTTGCTGGCCCTCTTTTGCTAGATGGAGAGAATTATCATGTACCCATGGCAACTACAGAAGGGTGTCTGGTAGCAAGCACTAATCGTGGTTGTCGAGCTCTCATGGTAATTTTCCAGTTTGATAACTTTTCTTTAATTTGCAATTTCTGCATGTTGAACCACACCACTTCATCCTCATTATGGTTTAAAATGAACTAATTTTATTCACAAGAAGTGAGACATAGATTTGCAATCCAGCTGTGACAGTGTGATATATCTGTGTTGATTCTTCAACTTGTTTTAAAAGACTTTCTTGAGTAACCAAGAAGATTTTGTTTTCATGAATTGAAGCCTTGTGGCTGTGTGAGCATTACAGTGTTTTAAAAACAATTACAGATTCAGTAAAGTTGCATTTGTAATTACGTTGGTTTGTTTCTCAGCTGAGTGGTGGTGTTCGCAGTTCAGTGTTTGGAGATGGTATGACCAGGGGTCCTGCAGTAAGATTTCCTTCTGCAGTCCTTGCCAGGTAAATTCCTTGTATCATGTTCAACTACAAGTAATCAATATAATTGGATCTCGTTTCTTTACTTTTCAATATCGAATACTTTCAAGTCAGATCCTAGCCTTGTCTAAATAAGTGAAGAATATTAAAATTATTGGAAAACTAACATTACAAGGAATTCATGCTAAAGAAAACAAATGTTGTCATTCCAAGGTATTTACTTTTTGATTTAACATTGAATTACAGTAATGCAAAGCAGTGGTTGGAGGAGGAGAAAAATTTTATGGAAATCAAGAAAGAGTTTGACAGCACAAGCAGGTAGGTTCAGAATTTCAGATTATAAGAGTTAGAATTTTCAATTTTTGGACTCTAGTCTGATCCAGGTCTCTAGCCTTAGAAGAGAGTAATTTTGTGGATCTTATGATGGCCAGCATATCCCCAAATTTTTGGTGTCATCAAATCAAAGTCCTGTCTAGAAGGAAGGGGAGGGGTACAGGCTTCTCCAAACTGATCTGTTTTCCTGGGATGGTACCAACAATGTATGACTCCCATTAATGGATCTAAGTTGAAATAAATGATTAGTATAAATTTGTAGACTAGTTCAATGTATTCTTCTAGACAGATGATTCTAATTGATGAATATAACTTGCAGGTTTGCCAGATTGCAGTCAGTGAAAGGAATAATCGCAGGGCGCTTGTTATTCATTAGATTTGTTGCATCAACTGGAGATGCAATGGGGATGAACATGGTATCAAAGGTAATAGAAATCTTAAATTATTACAATTACATATTAACCATCTGTATCCATTTAATTCCATAATTCAGTAAACAAGCATAAAGAATAAAAGACATGCTAGTGTTTGGTTAATTTTTTTATCATTTTGTTGTGATAGGGAACAGAAAAAGCCCTCTCTTGCTTACAACGACACTTTCCTACTCTTGAAGTGTTGAGCTTGAGTGGAAATGTTTGTACAGATAAAAAAGCCACAGCTATTAACTGGATTGAAGGCAGAGGGAAGTCTGTTGTGTGTGAGGCTATTATCCCAGGGCATATTGTACAGAAGGTGTGTATGCGTCACTTACCTTCTCAGTGCCATAAAAAGTATGCTATCAAAATTTGATTGGAAATCAAATTTAGTGCAGGAACATCTTTAAGTAGTCTGCACCATTTGACCATTCAATGATAATTGTAAATTCATCGTTCCCCATGGAAGGGAACCTTTGAGAAGAATACAAATGCCTAGAAGTATTTTGGGTAAGGTGTAAGGTATTTACTTCTCTTCCTTCCAGGTTTTGAAAACAACAGCCTCCGCACTCTCGGAACTGAACATCAATAAAAATCTGGTTGGTTCTGCTATGGCTGGGGCCATTGGAGGATTTAATGCTCATGCAGCTAACATAGTAACAGCAATATTTATAGCTACAGGCCAGGTATTATTATTTAGCCAAAATGCATCAATTTACTTTTCTTTAAATAGGGTACAAATCAGAATTTGCAACATTATTGTTGATTTCAATGTCAATGCTGATTACAATGCCTTGCTGTTGTAATTGTTTTCTCCACTTCTCAGATTTCCTGATATCCCTGATGAAAAAATAGATATTCTATGGTGGTTCAACTAATGCAAATGACCATTTTTTTTGTAGAAAAGAAAAAAAAAGTTATAAATGCATTTTTCAGTGGAATGAAGACTTATTGAATGTTAAAAACTAGTTTTTCACACTGAATATTTGCTTACAAACTAATGCAGATTGCAAGCTAGTTAAAAATGCCGAAGAAAATGTCTTAAGATTACATCTTACTTTTAATAGGATCCTGCACAGTGCGTTTCAAGCAGCAACTGTATCACTCTGTTTGAGCCATGTGGAGCAACCAAAGAAGACCTTTACATCAGGTAATGCTGCTTTTTTTTTTTGGGGGGGGGGGGAGCAAGACTTGAATCCACAGACTAATTTGTACCAAAAATCAAGTTCTAGATGACTTGCATATCTCCTCTGTCTTTCTAATTTTGAGTCTTTTGTTTTCTGTGATCAGCTGTACAATGCCATCACTTGAGGTTGGTACAGTAGGAGGAGGTACTGTGTTGGGCCCTCAGTCTGCTTGTCTCAAGGTGACTTTTTTTTAATGGTATAATGCTTAAATTATTTGTCCTTACAACAAAAAAATTCTGTGCCAGTAAAGGTACTTACTGGAAAGGATTACCAAAACTTAGTTCTTGAAGTTTAAGAGGTCCACAAAACAAAGTGTTTGCTGTCAATAACTCACTTCCTTGTTCTGAGTTGTCCAAAAAGGCACTAAAATTTTTTAATGATTCTGACTATTTTTATCATTATATGATTGAAAACACCAGGGAAAGTGTTACAAGGGGCCCAAATTGACCAGTGGCAACATTTTATTGTTCTCACCACGACTTGCCAGTATGCCTTTCTCAGATTTAATTTCCTTACAGTCTCCTGCAGTGTTGCCCCTTTTCTTTTTCAGATGCTTGGTGTCCGTGGGCCAAACAAATCAGAGCCAGGGAAAAATTCAACAAAATTAGCACAGATTATATGTGGCACTGTTCTTGCTGGAGAGTTATCATTGCTATCAGCTCTTGCTACTGGTGATCTGGTTAGAAGTCACTTAGCTCTAAACAGGTATCATTTAGAAACAACTTTTCATGTTTATTTGAATAGTTTTCAATTGCTGTCCTTTAACAGCTAAATGTACTTATTAATTTCCTTCCTTTTTATACCCTTAATCTTTTTTCTTTTTGTTGTTGTTTTATTAGATCAACAGTTAACCTTCTTGTAGATGGAGTGGACGGGAGCAAGAATTGTGCAGTGTTGTAAGAAGATGACTTCAAATATCACAAAACAACGGTGTTTCATGTGAAACATAACATCATCAAGCACACATCACTGTGTGCCAACAGTTTTCGTGTAACATTGATATAAGTCGCCAGTCTGTGGTCTGAAACTTCTTTCACCATCAAAGGCACATTCAGTTACAGAGGTCTACCTCTTTCAATGGAAAATCATCACTCTCAACACAGGTCAGATTATGGATCCAGATGTTGTTTGGACAAATTTTTACTGCAACCAAACCAACCACAGTTCATAGCTTTCTGAGAGCTATGAACTGTGGTTGAGAAGATAGGAAGCAAGTCAAAAAATAAGAAAAAATAGGGACTTGACACCCTGCTCTCATGGCAGGCACACTAACTATCAAACAAAGGTGGATTGATAGGTGCACATCTCCTTGTTTTGCAATGCTAAATATGGCCCTGTCAATTGGCCCTCTACAACAACTACTACTTTGGTTACACAGCAGCCAGAGAAAGATTAGGAAGCCACAAGGTTCAGTAACTGGTCAACAACTTTCGTTTTAATGTTTGTACTTGTCAGCACAAGGGTAAAAATTACTGAATAAAAGACAACTAAATTCCCTCTTGAATAAGAGGTTAATAATTTTTAGATTATGTTATTTTCATATCGCTTCATGAGATAACGTCTACATTTGAAACAAAACTCTACAGTAGGCTAAAATCAATTTTAAACCAAGACAGATGTCATGATAGTAAAATTTAAAATTGCATCCTTGAACTCATGTGTCTTGAAAAATTTTATTTATTAAAAACTGTATTTTTAGGAGGAACAAAGATTTTTTCTCAATAGTTATAAATAGAAAACAATGCTCCATTAAAACCTCATTTGCAGAAAGTTGTGTATTTGTTTTGCTCTTGATTTTAACTGCAGTTTAAAGAGTTTGAGATCTGTAAGAGAAGCATATCACAAACAAACAAAAATGGTTCAAAGCATTGTGTGAAGGGGATGCAAAAGCACGGGCAACAGCCTGGGAACTAGCCAACTCCAAACTTAGGTTTCAGATGAGAGGTTGGGAAGGTGCAACTGATGGGTTTATTGTGCTCTCAACCAGAGCAAAGAACCTCTCCTCTCCCCTCCTCTCCCCCCTTCCCTTCCAAACCTTGTGGGGGTGGTTAGGATCTGATTGAGTGTATTCTAACACAAAATGACAGGAGCAAAGCATGATTCTTTGGAGTCCTTTAATTATACCAGTAACTTTCCCAAGACATTTTCAACTTTACTCAGATGTTATTGCTTGGAAATCTCACAGGTACCTTTTATTTTTTTCGTCACATCTTACAAATATATTTACCCTCTTTTTTTTCTCTTTAACTTACAAAGCCCAGTAAAGCACAAAATTAAACTTGTGTCCAAGTAAGAGTAATATTACTCTCTTCTATCCTCCAGATTATCATGAGCATTTTAATCTGCAGTTCTTTGTAATGAGCTGTAAGTAAATATTGGTGGGCTCTTGAACTGTGTAGAAGTTATATCCAGACATAGAAGGTCTTGATTTTCAAACAATCAAACTAAGCCAGAGGTTTCTGTTATGCTGAGGACAAAATGACAAAAAAGTTGGCTCTCTATGATCTTAATAATCCCCTATCAATTTCTCCAAATTTGTTTAGTTTCCTTTGTTGCAATCTCAGATTTACTTTCTCATGTATTACACTGCAAGATTCTTTCTAAGTATCCCTAACTATGATGAACAATAGCACATCAAATTCATTATCACCTGAGGAAAATGTCACGTTAAAGTGAGGAAATGAGTGAAATTGAACCCAAAATTCCAGAGAAGACAGATAACCTTGAGTGCAATTTGAAATAAACAAGTACGAGTGCATTTTTCTGAGACAAAAACAATCGCAGACCTGCCAACTTTCTGCTTTGCTTAGCATTTATTTACAAAACTCTTAGCCAATGAGGATGCAATTGAACAAAGCAAAGCATGATTTCATTCATGTTATAAAGCTAATTCTGAGTATGATGCTTAAGGTTAGGGTTATGAGTATGATGGGCTTATTAACGGCCATATAGAGATCACACGGAAATACAATGGGTAACCTATTGTGAACTAAAGGTCTTTGTCTTACATGTACCTGGTTGCTTCTGAGGTTGATGAATTTGTGAATGTGGAGGATGAAAAATGTTTATTGAAGTCAATTCTCAGGAGCAACTGAGCCAAGTGAGGACTTGCTTGATGGCTCCGAACACTTGACAAGATTTGAAACAAAAGAACTGTTTGTCTCTCATACGTCTGGAGAGAAGGAAAAGAAGTTTCCAGTGAGATAAGTATTTGTTTATAAATTAATTTCCCATCAATGTTTGGCTTAAAAAGAAAAATAATTTAAAACACAGATTGCTTTTTATTCACCAACAATGACCTCATTATGGTGCATGTCACACCACCACTAATTTTGAACTCTGTAACTCAATGATAGAGTTATAGAATGAAAGTGCACTTGTTCAAACCCATAATGGACTTTATTCAAGAATCGTAAAATTGAAATAAACTGCCTTTCTATTTTGTCACTAGGCCTATACCTTAGTAATATTGTCAATCTGGCTCAGTTCTCTCTTAGCAAGACCACTACTGCCTGTCTGAAGAAGAAGCGCACTGAATGATTGGCATAAGTTCAGGATCTCATCAAGGCAGTGTGACACCTGTCAATCACAAAGAGCACACCAATAATGATGAGAAAAAAATTGAAAAACCTGAAAAAAAAAAAAAGCATAGGCACATTTTATCTAGGGCTGGAATTGCTCTGTGCCAAATTAGTTCCCATCCCTTTGTGCCAGTATTGTACACACCCAAACATCAGTATGCATATTCTCCATACTGTTCTCTGTACATTTCTTTAGGTGCTGACAAAGAGAACTTGTTTAACAATTGACAGCTTCTCAGTCGACAATCATTTACTTCACTCTCATTATATTAACATTTGATTTATATATGAAAACTAACCGGTTTCATGAGTAAAAAAGACTGAGCCATCAATGTTGTAAGAAAGTTGTCATGCGCCAAACGGATGGACTCAAAATCTCTAGTGCTGTTGATTTTTTCCACAAGCTGACTGTACTGCGCCTCAAGTACATCCACCTGTATACCAACACAACCAATAGAACATCATGATCCCTTAAGAAACAAAGTTAAATGATTCCATTTAAAAGGGGGGGGGGGGGGTGTTTCATATCAACTCACTACATAAGCAAGCTGGCTTTTTCAAATTCCCTGACTATTTACCTGCCTTCAACAAAAACATAATAGGTTTGTTGGTAGGTACTCTCATGCATATATGTAATGCAAATTCCAGAATTTCCTTTTAATTAAAATTTTCAGTTGTAAGTAAGTTACCTGCAGGTAATACTGTAGATTATCCACCAAGAAGGCCATATGCATCCTTGAAAGCCAGATCTTTGTCATATTTGATAGCTGTGCAGTAGATAAGTGTTTGGTGCCCATGTATGCTGCCCACACTTGTTGAAGATCCAACTGAGTTTGCTTCACTTTCAACAAAAATCTGAACAACTTGTTGTAGCTGCAGAAAAAAAAAACCCACACACAAACAGAACAAGAAGTCAGCTTCCTCATCTCTTAACCAAAATCTTTTCTACATGAGTAGGACACTGTATTTTCAATTTAAAAAAAAATCTTCCTTTTTTGTGGTATCCATTTGTCATATTTAATGTCAATTCAGTGCTCCAAGCTGGTCTCCATGGCTAGTGGAGAATCATTCTTGAGACTAAATTTGCAGCTTCAATCTCCAACTTGGTAAACTGCATTCAGCATGTTGTAAAGTATTCATAACTTTGTGTTTGAAGGTCTTACATTTGATTGAGGTTTCCATAAAATGTATTCATGTTCCATCATTTTCTCCTAATATGAAATACACATTCCCTTTGGCTATATGAGCATCAAGCTTTGAGTTGTTGCATGAATTCCATATTACCCAATGAAAACCACAAAAAAGACTACCCATATGTTCATCTTTGCAATAATTTAAATATACTGCAAGAACAATTATTATACCTTTTGTGCATAAGACTTACTTTTCAAGTACTGCAGGTTGAAACAGAATGTGTAATGGCCACTGTACATCATACTGTAGCTTGACACAGTCCCAACCAGATATAACCACACCTGGCTGATCTGCAAAGTCAAACAGAGAAATAATAGAAAAAAGCTTTTCTCACTTGAATGGGAAAACCAAATTTCTGGACTTCCCCAGAGGATTTGCACCTTAGACAATCAAATTTTACAGCCTGTTCCAAATACAAAGAAAGAAAGCTGGGATATGAGAAAAAGCAGGTAGAGCAAGAGAAAACTAAAGTGTTCAACCCAGTGAGCAGCAGACTGAGACCCCATTGATGACCCAAGTCATAGGCTACTTTAGGTACATAACTAGGTTACTAGTGCCCTGTATAGTGCTAAGATCAATTCTTACAACGATCCTGACAAATTATTCAATAAAATAACTAGTATAAAAACAGTATAAATGTTAAACTTATCATAAACAGTCATATTTAAAATAACTCTTAGATTTGAGTAAGACATATGGCTACCTGCTGAAGCTGCTTTTTTCTTTTTCTCATTTTGAGTACATTCTTCATCAATCACCACAGTGAACATAGAGGCAGCTTCATCATCATCTGGAAGAAACTGAAAATGACCCTTTTAACATTAAGTTTAAGTAATGTAAACATTTACACAAAAAATGACCTTTCTTAAATGAAAGAACTCCTGATAAGGGGAAGTTCATCAAACTGCAAGATTTGCCCAACCCTACTGGTAAACACCCAGAGCCTACAATGAAAGATGGGGAAAGCTTGGTAACTCTTATACACAGAGAAAAAAGTGATCAATTCAAAATACACATTAGCTATTTCTTACTTATTATAAAGGTGTGCCATGCAGTTAACACTTGACAAACTATTCCTTTTAAAGAGCAAGAAAGAGAATATCTTGTAATTGTATAGAGATCTACCTTATGCAATCAGTCTACAAAATGCAATTTTTTCAAAGTTCTCTCTCTCACTTACATAACTCTTATACAACACACCTTGCTAAGAACTTGCAAAAATGCAACATTGGCATCTGAAGCAAAGATTGAAGCAAAAAATCAAACAATGCTACTTTGCCTTTCTGGGAGAAAAAAAAGGATACAAACAAACAAAAAATGAGGAGATCACATGAAGTAGAGGTATCTTAGAAATATTGAGTTGTGTCCTACCATGAGAGGTGTTGTCTGATGGAGGAAGTTTAAGTAAACCTCTGGCATGTTCTATAAATGCTGAGAACAGCTCTCCTCTTCCCATCAGGAAAAAATCTTTTAAAATCTATGATCAAAACAAAAATTACTATGCTTATTATTTTTCAAAATTTTAATAAATTTAAAGTAATAAATTGACTGAAAATATAACAGTAATAATTTCTGTCACACCTTGAAAACAAAAGCTGTCAAGGAATTGGTGATTTTTTTTTATCATTTTGTTGAGATAAGTTCAGATATAAAAAATATCTGATTTTTGCACCTTTCTGTGCAAGCGGTAAAATGTTAGCATAGAGAGAGACATTATGATGTTAAATTTTCTCCTCTGTTGGCATATACAGAGAGGAGTGACACATTAAATGATTTGCACAAATTTTCCTTAACATTTGGAGTGAGGATACAATTTGACACATGGCTGTGAAGATTTTTTCCACTGGACCTAAAGATCCATTCTAAACTCTTGCAGCATTTCAATTCAAGGAAATTTCTTCTTGCAGATGAAGACCATCTGCAAAATCTGAAAAGATTTAAGGTAACTAGCAAAGCTTTCATGTAAGCTTTATTTACCTGCAAATGTTTTAGTAGATTCACATCTTCAACAACCAACTTCCAAAGATGCTGCAGGAGACACAATAAAACAAGAATTCTTACTAATTCATGACAACTGAAATTTTAAATAATGAGATACACATTCTCTACAGATATAATATTCTGTGCCCTTGTTTATTGGCAAGATTGGGATGGAATTCAACTTACCTCAGCAACACACAACCTAATCTTGTCGATTTCATTTTCAAACAGCATCAAATTAAACCTGGGCATTTCTTGAAGTGAATATAATGACCTTGTGAATTCTTCCTCTTTATCCTGAATTATAGAACCTAGAAATCACCACATAACAATCAATTAAGTGGTGAAAAAAAATAATACAAACTACAAAAATTATTTATTAATAAATACAAATAAAAAAAATGACTTACTTCTGTAAATAGAATTGTTATTTGCCTTTGATCCTTTAAACATTCCAACCGATTCACCAATGAACAAAACCTAAACAGGAAAACCAAACAGTTTTAAAATTGTGAAGAATTTAGTCAGTACCAAAGTCTATCAGTATAAAATATATTGTATCACATGATTCTTCTCTGTAACAGTTAGCTGAACACAAATGATCACTTCTCACCTTATCAGCCACTCTTGTGGGGATATAAGATGGCAGCATTTCTGCATTTATTCTGTACTTCCATTGCACTGGTGTCTGTTTCTTGGTGTCACCTTCCTGACATGCAGGTAATGAGACATAAATTCCAATTAAATTCACCCTGCCTTTAAGATATAGGAACAGATAATTGCTGGAAATTCCTATCATGAATATTCTCTTAACATTTCATCTTTTAGATTTGATCTGACATCACCACAACAAAGACATCACCACAACAAATGTATCACCTTTGTTGTGCATAACTTTGGAAATTATTCTTGAACATAAAGTTTTACAATTCTCCTTACCTTTTTGTTGTCTAAAGTAATTGCATGATAATTACTTCAAGTAATTTAATATTAAAGCACAATCCTCTTCGACCCTGGCCTTACCAGTATTTCAGCAAGTTGCCTTCCTGTTATACCAGGTATTCCCAGATCACTGCTGGTGCCATCTTCGGGTATGTCCAATGTATCATCATCTTCTGATGTAACTTCCTTGATGAAAAACTCATAGTGCTTATCAATGTGAATCCCGTGGAGACACCATGCACTGAGTTGCTGGTACATTACACCATGACATACAAACAGGATTCTAAGAGAAAACCCCCCACGTTAATTTTCAAGCTAAACATTATTACATTTAAAACTCCTTTGTGCAATGTTAAATTGATTGTAGCACAGACTTTCCCTGTCTATACATATACATCAGCCCTAATTATCATATCCTTCCTGGTAGAGATGGGCATTATGAGACTTATGTTTCCCACCTCCCCCCCCCCCCCCCCCCCCCCCACAAAAAACAAACATCTAAGCAAACCAAAACATCATGACCCTTATTGGTACCAGTATTTCTTCTTCCAGTGTATCATGCAACAAAAAAAAGAGACACCTAAAGTCCTGTTACAAGGCAAACTCAGAGTTGTTTTATTTGAGGAGATATTACCTCTCTAATGCATCTCTTAAATCAGGGATTCCACAGTTACAGCTCTGGTACAAAATATCCAGAATTTGACATCCTGAAGCCTGTTGACAGGAAGAAAATAGGCAAAAGTCAGTACTCATAACAATGGCTGACAGATTCTTCATAGTGGTTAATAATGGTAAGTCCACATAAGTTGGTATCAAAATGAGATGTTTTCTAAAAGTTAGCACAAACTCTCTCAAAAATGAACTAACATCAAATTCTGGGAAATTGAACCATTTGGTAAATAAGCATGACTACCTTGCTTGCTTGGATCTGTTCTATTACTGACCACAGGGCAGGAAACAAAGCTTGGTACTAAAAGGGTAAGATAGAAATATTCAAGGATGAAAGAAGATGTTATTCAGTGAGTTACACAGGCATACTCAAAGAAAAAAAACTGCAAGTGTTCCCATTAGGAGTCAAAGCTACGACCTTCTGATTAGTACTTCCGATGCTCTACCACTGAGCTACAGGAGACTTAAGGCAGACTAAGCCAATTAAGTAAGTCCATGGTGATAAACTTCTTGCATACTGCAAGGATTGGAATGTCATAGGAAAGGATCATTGGTAAACTTTATCACCATGAAAAGTGCTATAACTATATCCAAAGCTGCTACACATACTCTTGTAAATTAGTTAAATTAGTTTTAACAGATCAAAATAACAACCTCTAGGTGATAAGTTTGAATATTCTCATTACCTTTCTGCTGGATGATGCATGGATATTATAGGGAGAAGATACATGTCAATCACTCATTGGAATTAAAGGGTTAATAAACAAACCTTTTCTAAGCTGTGTTCAATAAAAGTCAGCGGCAGCTTAGGATCTTTAAGAATCTGTTATAATAACAAAATAAAACATAATGATTGTCACAGATTTCGAGAACTGAACTTTGTGATATTCATTTAAAGAAAACAATAAAACATAAAGGTATTAGCAACAGTCATGTATGACTGAAACCAATTACCTGCTTTTCTAAATCGATCAAGCTTTTCCTATAAGAATCCAGGACCTGGTCCAAACCAGTACAGAATGCCTGGATGTACAAACCGAAGGAATCTGCTGAAGTTGTTCCTAGACACAAGACAATGTAGTAGAAATACCGTCTGTTAAAATAAATTCTCGATTTAAAAAATATCGAAAACATAAATTATTTCATAGTTTTGCTTACCATCTTTGGATCGTTTGATCGTTTTAAGATAGGGTGAAACTTCCGAATACTTTCTACGAAACGTTTGAAAGTTTTGGAAGTAAGTCCCAAGTTTGCAGATTCTGTTCAGAAGATCAACTTCACTCCCATGGATAAATGGCAAATCAGTAGCAACCTAGGATGGAAAAATACACCTCCCGTGGGCTAATATTCACCTATAAACTTATCAAGTTTTGAAAATATTGGCGCCAAAGAGGTCTTCAAGATTTATGTACATGTGGTCAGTTGAACATGTACAAGCTCAAACCTGAAGTCCGGCAAACTTTTTGTGTACAAAGATACCACCAGAATCTCCTGATAAGGCCAGCAAAAGTTCGTGTAACATTTTACTCTACAAACATAACTTTCTTCTACTCATCCAAACTATCCGCCATCTTTGTTTTGTATTATACTACGCATGTGTTGTTGCCAGTCCCTTCGGCTGTCTTCTCAGCTGAGTACCCACAATGCATGCGAACCGTCCTTCTCGTTCTCTTTTCGTTGCTTCTTGTGAGATTCTTCTCGTCAAAGAGGAGACGAACGATGAAGGTATAAAAAGTGACATATCCTTGCCCACTTTACGGAACTTTCGATAAAAATGAAAATTATATATATTCTTCTCTCCATGTATGACTCATTTTCCGGCAGATGGATTTCCCTGATCCTAGATTTTTTAGATTTCATTAAGGAATGAACAGAGACAACTGATCCCAGGAGTTATGATCTGGGACAAACTGTTCATTTCGTTGAGAAGGATCTGTGTATTAGGCTTTTTTTTTCAGACTAACGCTTTTAAAATTTTCCTTGTGCAGCACATTTGAATGCGCTAGGAATCCTACCGTTAATTAATTTGATCGACATTTTGATGTTTTGTGAGTACATGTGCACTCTTGAACCATCCAGAGTGGATAGGGGCTGTTCTGATCTGACAATGCTAAGTCTATAAAATTCTCCAGTTCAGTATTAAATTACTGGTAAAGTCTTCCGATAACAAAGTCCAGTACTTTTAGATTTTCAAAGGAACGACATTCAAGGTCCTTTCTGTGCTATGATGAAGTTATATAGTTAGATTGAAATGTCACGCTCTTTCTCTTTGCTGGCAATTATATGACCACTTTTTCTAAACCATGGATTGTGCCATATGTGGAATCTCTTATAATGTTTCCATGAATGTAAACCATGCCTTCATTAGAATAACTCCTTGAGTTATAGTTATGGAACTGACAGGTTGTTTATTCGTGCTGTGTGGTTGGTAAACCTGTGGAATCATTTGGTGTGCTGTGGTTTTGATACACTCTCTTTTTCTATCTTTTTCTTTTAGCTCAACATTTCTTACCCAGCCACTGGGTGTCAGAAGCTCATTGAAGTTGATGATGAAAGAAAGCTGTGAGTATTTGTTAAATACCTGACATATTAAGTGTAAAGATGTGGATACAATTGTGATGATGTTGATTCTGGCTTTCATATGTAGTTAGTATTACTGCAAGCCAGCTTGAGTTTATATTTGCTCAAATGTAATCACCCAGTTGTAGTGAAGTAATAGGTACAATGGAAAAGGCACTTGAGGTCATATTAGGATATGTCCCATTGAGTTAATGGCTGGAGTGTGGTCACTTTCCTTGGTTTAAAATGTTCAGGAGTACCAGTACTCTCCCCCAGTGGAATTTTAGACCATTGCAGTGCCCCCCCCCCCCCTTTCACCTCACACTTTGTCAAGATTCTCTGATAATTCACCATTAGCTATTTATGCTTGCCTGCATTAGCTATGGGTAAAATAATAGTATTTAAAAAGCCACAGCTAGTTTGTTTCCATATATCAAAATCAAATCATCCTACCAGGGGTTAAACTGGAGCCTTGCAACCCAGATTCTAACATGCTACACAGTAATCCTTTGCGTCTGTCTCTAGAAATGAGCCATTTTTATTTTTTCCCTCTTAGGCGAAACTTCTATGAAAAACGTATTTCAGCTGAGTGCAGTGCTGAATGTCTTGGTGAGGAATGGAAGGTCAGTCAATTTTTAAACCTTTCCCTTTAGTATCTAGATACAGTACAGCATGATGTGTCTGTAAACCTAAATACAGGTGACCTATTCACCTAGAAAATTTGTTTTTAGTAATAATAATAATAATATAACAGATTAGGATCCAATTCAGTATGTAATCTTGCAAGTAATCAACAGAATTACACAACCATAAAGCAAGAGTCTGGTTTGTTAATTACAAGTGTGATTACAGACAGAATTGGACAACAAAGTCGTTTTCATAATTGATCAATGCTATGAAAAAATTTAAGAAACAAACTAGTGATCAGTTACACGTTTTCATGGAAAAAAAAAAAACCCAATAGTCATCTTGGTGAAATGTGCATCACATGCACATGATGCATACTGTTCAATTCAATGGACATGATGTATACACTGTCCTATTGTGATTAACAAAATCAGAGGACCCCAGAGGGGGAGTCCAAATTGTTGATCACAAGTACAATTACAGACGTAATCATAACCATTACAAATTCCTCAAATATTATTGGTGCATTCGCAGCTTCATCTTTCACTAATCACTCTGTACAGTTGTAATCAGACAGTTGGCTGTAATTGGACATCTGTAATCAGACAGTTTAAGCAGCTAATCATGCCAAGTCCACTCAACTAATCCACCAATTACAGAAATGATCTCAACAACCAAAGCAACAACAACTTATCAAAAGAAAAGCTGGGGAATTTTCAAAATGGAGGAATTTGTAACAAAAGACCTTGTATCCACTGGAGATATTTGTTCTAGGTGTATTTGTTTTTTTGGAAATGAAATGGTTATGGTTAATTGGTAACAGGACTTTGTATCATCCAATTCTGTCTGTAATCGTACTTGTGATTAACAAATCAGACTCTCGCTTTGTGCTTGTCCAATTTTGTTAATCACTCTTATGATTACAGACCGAATTGGACTCTACTTGGTCCTATTACCATCATAAATTGGACAACACCAAGTCCTGTTACCAATTAATCAGAACTATGACACAATTTGAGAAAGAAACAAGACAATTTTTTTTTTGTGAAAGAAAAAATCATAGTTAACTTGGCAAAATGAGTGACAACAATGCAAGCTTATGAGGGGTACTGTCCACTTATGTAGGCATAGCATGTCAACTCTCCTATTACACTGTTCAGTTACAAACATGATGCATACACTGTCCTATTATTGCTAAAATCAGGCTGGTGATAACCATTCATGTTAAAGAATTTTGTCATATTTTGATTAACTATGTTATTAAATGGTCAATGTTGCCTTTCTACAGGGATATGTGGTCAGAATCTCTGGAGGAAATGACAAACAGGGATTCTCCATGAAACAGGGAGTCATGACAAATGGCAGAGTGCGTCTTCTGCTCTCAAAAGGCCACACCTGCTACAGGCCACGCAGAACTGGTGAACGTAAACGCAAGTCTGTGCGTGGCTGCATTGTAGATGCACAGCTCAGTGTGCTAAACTTGGTCATCATCAAGAAAGGTGATAATGATATTCCTGGCCTCACAGACACCACTGTGCCTCGCCACCTTGGCCCTAAGAGAGTTGGCAAGATCAGGAAGATGTTTAACTTGTCCAAGGAAGATGATGTGCGTCAGTATGTTATCAGGAGGACACTCCCAGAAAAAGAAGGCAAGAAGACAAGGACCAAGGCTCCCAAGATCCAGCGCCTGGTCACACCTGTGGTGTTGCAGCGCAAGCGTAAAATCTTGGCCCTGAAAAAGATGAGAGCACAGAAAGCCAAGCAGGAGTATGCTGATTACACTAGGCTACTTGCCAAGAGAGCTAAGGAGGCTAAGGAGAAGCGTCATGAAATGCTAAAGAAAAAGCGTGCTTCCTCAAGTCACCGGGAGTCAGTGAGCAGTGCAAAATGAGTGCTGTGTAAATTTGAAGCAATAAAGATAATTGAAACACTGCTGATTGGTGTTGTGTTGTTGTTTTTAATTGCATCAGTCAAAATCACTGAACCTTTTACAGATCAAGTGAACAGACTTCGTTTTGTGGTATGTTGGTTGTAAAAAGGTGAAAAAAATATCTGTTCACTTGAAGTGCTCTGTTGTCACCCATAATATATTTTTTTTAAATGACTGAAAATAATGGAGCTTTAGTTTAGATTCTTGACCTCCACCAGTGTTCAACTGCCCCATATTAGGACCAGTTCTGCAAGATTTTAGAGCACTGCATCAGCTACTACAGCACATTAAGTCTGACAATGAAGTATACCTATTTGCTGGTTAAGTATTCTTCACCATATTTCTTTAAAAACATTAATCAATTATTAATAATGTTGAAATCAAACTAATTACTCACTTTCTTTGCATAATTTAATTTTTTACAATATGGAACTATAATTACTAACATCCCCATATGATCCCAAAGTGGAATTGCTCAACTGTTACAGTTATTTAAAATCTCCAGTTTACTCATTAGAGCAGTGGTGAATGATAAAGATGAGCAACTGATACTAAAGGTGATGGCCAACAGGTGCTGGAGTTTAAGTCAGTTATCTTTCTGACTTTTAATTAACCCACAAACCACCAACAAAAATTTGCAAAAGAAAGGGTAGAAAAAAAGAGAGAGCCTGGTTTATATTTAACAATTATTTCCCCAGTGAGATCAACAAAAGGTGCTAAACCACACTACAGTTACTTCAGTCAATTCTTTGTATCGCATGTTTATTTATTACATTTTTCCCAAAATATTGTGAACAAAAACAGTCTTGGTATATATGTACAATTCTTTCTTATCTTGGTTTCTGGTTAAGCAAAGAAACCAATGAAAATAAAATTTCAACTAACAAGAGTATTCAACCTCAACATAGATACCTACATTTTCCATTTTGATTGAAAAACATCTTGAGAGTAGATTCCAAACCTTGCTTTGCAAGCTGATCTTAACCCAGTCCTCATTAAAACAACAGTTTATCACAGTAAGGGTTCCTGGATTAAGATTACACTCAAGTATGTTCTACACCACTAGTAAGATGTCGGATATGGAAGTTCACCACATATTCTGCATTAGTTTTCTGTACTGAGATAGCAAATGGGTAGAGAGGGTGAAAAGTGAATGCCACCAGCCTCTTTCCTGTTGGTGGAATTGGGCGACCCAAAAAACCAGCGTGGATCTTAAATTTCAGAAGCCCTGAATCCCTAGAATAAAACCTGCAAAGGAAAGAAACATCAGCAACACAAATTTTGCTAGGTTCAAGTTCATCATTAACAGAAAAAAATTTCTAAACTGCAATTTTTTACAAAGCTGTGTACATTGAAATTTAATGAAGACATTGTTAGCCCTTTACACCCCAAGATCACTTTGCATATTCTCCATTTTGTTCTCAATACATTTCTAGTGGTACTTACATGGAAAATTTGCTCCACAATTGAGAGCTTCTTATAACCTTAATGGTTGATGCAACAGTGATAAGGTAAGGAGAAATAAGATGTCAATCACTCCTATGGGGGAAAAGAGTTAATTCCCTATTTCAGTTGTCCTCTTTTACACCCTGAGAATGAGCAATGTGTTAAAATATCAGTGGAGGATGTTGGTGTTTAAAATTTTTCTTCAGTTCAAGATTCTAATGAGATATAGTGGTACTTCTTAAGTCAGCTAAAGCTAACCTTGTACCTTATTGGATGATCTCCACATGCTTTGGGCCTTTCCATGACAGACACCCACTTGTCATCATATTTAAACAGGGACAAGTCCAAATAAGGACTGCTACTGTAAGATTGGGAGCTGATTGGCAACTGAGCAAGAAGACGCTTGACAGCTTCAGTATACCCTCCATATTTTGCATTAACAATGGTGTGCTTGAATCGTCTTTGAATTTGGCGGGCAAAAATATTGCTTGAAGCTGAACAAGTGAATTGCGCTGGTGAATGCAACATAGCATTGCGAAAAGAGTCACAGAACTGTTCGAAAAGTTCTAACAATTTCTCTGAAGTGTTTTCAAACACAGCCAAGACTTTGGTTGTTTCCATGTCATACACGATAAAGAATGATGGCTGTGAGTTTGGATCTGGGACCCTCAGTGTTACTACATCTTCACTGGCATACTTTATCAGTAAAATCCTACTATCAAAAAGTTGCATCTTCCACATTCTCAGAGCTCTGAACAGTTCAACATGCTGATAAAATCTCCCCATAGCTAAAGCAGTGCCTTCGTTATATGCACATCTCCACAGATGGGCCAGAATTCTATGTTTCAGTCCATTCAGACAGGTTTCCATGTATGGTCGCACAATGGGTTGGCCATTGGCATCAACATTCCTGACACAAGTCAGCATAAACTCATCATCCTCATAACAGAATCGACCAATTGTGCGCACATCAATAAACTTGCCATCGGATGTAACCTGAAAAATGTGAATCTGTTGCTGTTGAACAGATAAAACTGCAAGAAGGTCTCTGTATAAGTACAGTCCCTGATTGTGTGATAAGAATATCTTATCACACTTGAACACTCTGGAATCTGACAGCATTCCAGTTTTCATATCAACGATGTGGATTGTGTAGTCTTCCAGAGGTGACCTGGGATTAGGAGAGACCGACTCATTGTTGCTGTAGATATCAAAGAAATATGGATGTGGTTCCTCTGGGACATACGAAGCTGATCCAACTATAACATAACGGCCATCGTCAGTAAATAAACTACACTCTCTGTTCAAATGCTCTCCATTTTGTGCCACGGTTACAACGGAGCTGAGACGGAAGAAGCTACTGAACAATCTGCTCCTTATCTCAATGTCTGGCGATTCTTTAGCAAGCAATTCCTCAGCTGCACTTGGCCCTTGGAACTCGTACACCTCAACAGAGCTTTGATCTAATGAGAATGCAACGAAATAACGGCCATCTGGTGAGAATTTTCGCAGATAGCACGGAGGTGTTTCAACATTCACAATCGTGAAATTTGGAAAAATGTTTTGAGTGAAAGCTCGTGCTTGATGCCAGTGAGTTCCGGGTTTTGGAAAATGAGTCTCCCTCTGACGTAGCCTCCACACTAAATTCTGGTTTGGTATTCTTCTCGGCTTAAAATTTAACTCATTCATCATCACTATAGGCTACAAACATTGGAAATTTGCGGAAAATACATTAGCTAACTTGACCTTCTATGACCCGCCATGTTCCAACATATCATCCGGGAATGTATGCATATTTGACAGCGAAATACTGGGGCGAACAGCTGAGTTGTCCACTTTTTCCCTTTCAACATGGGTGAGTGTTACTATGATATCTACATTCGCTTATAAATCTGGAAATGTTCCTTTGAATTAACAGTGATACGGTTGTTTTGAATCACAGCTCTTCCGTCGTCTTCCTCGTTCCTATTTGCGACAACATTAACCGTGCTGACTTTCGCTGGAATGCAAATGTTCAAAGCAAACTTGGCGTCCAGCGAGTGGATGACCATATTGGGGGGATTCATAGGATCACAGTTCTTCGTCTTCCTCCTAACTGTATCCTCTACTATCTATGAAATATCATATGTGAGCTCTAGGATATTCATCTAAGGCTTGGCTGGAAAGATTTCATTTTCGTGATTCTTTGACATTATATACGTTGAAAGCATCCAGATTCACCAAGAACAAAGACTTCCATTGATTTGAGTGTAGTAAACCTTTACAAGGTTTTTTTTTTGAACGCTTGAAATGTCTCTTGATGGTACTTATCAGAGACTCGTATGAAAAAAGTAGTAATCAAAGACGTTATCTGATGGGGATTATATATCTGGGTCAAGTTTTGTAATTTTTTCGTGATTAGATTATTGTTAGAAGCCAGTGAAATAAGCATCTTGTTTATGAAACTAATTTATTTGAAGTGATTTTCTAGTGGTGTGAGTCTTAACATCCGAGTTGCGTATTCCTTGACATTTAATTCACCAGGCAGTAGGAAATTTGGAAACAACCATGTTTGGTCGAAATTTTCAAACAAAATTGTTCCCAGAAGGTACATATTTTGAATTTTGTTGACGAGGATCCAATTGTTGTTTGTATTGGTTTAAAGAAATGAGACATTTCTTGAACCACTAATTATTTACTGTCTCTGAACACAACTCAAAAAGAAGCTAGCACAACATGATCTGACAGCCAGTGGCTTTCCACCAGCTTCTGATAACAGCCCTGCTTTGGCTCTTGTGAGTAATTATCACTATAGATGCAGCCTTGCAGTAACCATACTAACCACTAGAAAACATCAAAGTGTGGGCTCCAGGTAGTGACAATCTTCGCCTTCCACCAAAGTAGTTCAGACCTGGTATCTTAAACTTAGACTTATGTGGTCTTTTTAGTTTTCTTTCTTTTTATTGGATCCTCTATTTTGCTCCCTTTATAAAATTAACACACTAATGGCTGGTACAACTTGGAAACAAAGGACAATGAACAGTATTAAGGATGTGCTAGTGTCCAATCCAGTTTTTTATCATCCAATTTCTTATTTACCTATCATCAACTGAGTATCCATGCATGTCTTTTTAATATATTGCATTTATTTCATTTTCTTCAAGTTATACTTTGTCTGGTAGTTGCAATGTTTGCCTCTGGCCTAGTCCACAGAGTTTGTGTAACAACCTGGTAAGTTGATGACAATTTTTTTAACCATTCTAACAGTGTTGTTGGTTGTACATTTATTTACTTTTGTTGTTGTATTAAGCCACAAGTTGTTATCATAAGGCAATGATAACCCAGTCTGGGATCAAATTTACACCCCTTAATTCAGAGTTCACAGCACTAGCCTTGGCCACTTAATCCATCATATTGTTCATATTAAAATCTGAAGAACCCAAAACTAAATTCAAACTATATTGAACCATTCAATACTCTTTTTTTTACCCTTCAGCTTTCTGTTTTCAATGGTAGCCATATACTACATTAACAAGATTGCTGCTTCCACACATGCCCCAACATCAAACCCTGTCCCTCCACAACAGCTAAAGACCAAGAAGAATCGCTGAATTTTAGCTTGCCACTGAATGTTAGTTTGATTATTTACAAAGATTAGAACCAAGCAAAATAAAGTTCAGTTACTTTTTCTGAATTTGGCTGCTTTATTTGAATACTTATGCCTTAAATTAAAATAATAATTAAATGAATTCTGAATGAAGGACACTTATCATTACAAGCAACTCTAGAAACAAAGGTACAATATTCCACTATTGTTTTACATAAACCTTGCCAACATCATCTAATAAATTAATCTCAAAACTGGACAGGATGAATCTTTTTTAAGTAGTAAAAATAATTTAAAAGCCAAATTCTTCCTATTAGAACTTGGAATCTCGAAAATAACCATAAATTAGAGTAGAACACAAAGCTGCTTAAGAAGAACTTGCAGCTTGATAATGTCCCACACTTGAGGATCATGACTTCTTACAGAACTGTTTACAACCAGCACAATGTACAAATTTCTCAAAGACAAGACAATGTAGTTTAACTAATACCCTGAGTGTTTAAATTTAAACAGTCCTTGTCAAAGAAGCAGTCCTGATTTAATCAAGTTCATTTTTAAAGGCTTCATTTGAGATCAAGTATCATGGAGCTTAAGCAAAGCTTGGCCTGTAATAAAAAAAAAACATCAATTATTTAAGTGCTTTAGCATAGGTCTGTGTAGAAAACAGGAAACAAATCATATTTCTTGTGATTACAAGACCAGCACTGAGATTTTTCAGTCTTGCCAACAGTTTTAGTAAAGTTAGAAATGTCAGTGATTGACAAGTAACCTTTCACTCACCAGCCATACGAATGAGCTGCTGTCGTTCAGCAAGATTCTCTTGCCAGGCTTCCATTAACTGGAAATATCTACAGCACAAATTCAAAATTACTTTAAAAAATAAGAGACTTTTTGTTTTTCAAACACAATTTTACATCAATTGTTTGAAGCATTCTATTTTGAGGCTCCTTGTTTAGTTGCTATTTTTCCTACCTGAACAGCGTGTCTCTCTGCCACAGTGTCTCCACAGGGTGGTTCTTAAGATCAGTCAGATTTGCTTGAACTGTTGTGATCCAGTCTAGAAAATTTAACATAAAACTTTGCCAAAAAGGAAAGTGCCAAACACCACAGAAAGGAAGAGGGTGTGTGTGGGGGAGGGGAGGGAAAAACCATCATCAGTGTAAGGTACAAAATGTCAAACTAGATTTCCACATATACACTGTAAGAAGAAAGAAAACTTACCATTTGTCATGTCTTTAGCTTTGTCATGAGCAAACTCTCCATGTAATTCTGGTATTGGCTGCTGGTCAACTCCACTCTGTTTGCTCCAGCTGTTCCTCTTCTCCCTTAAAACAACAACCACCATCTCTTATGCATGGATCACCAATCAGCTTGATTCGGTCAGTTGAAAGAGTACTTTCATTGTAATGGTTGGGTAATAGATGAAAATTTAACTCTTAATTGTATCTGATTCTCTGTATTTTAGAGTTTAAGTGACTTTTAATTTAGAGACTTTGAATTTTGAAAAAATCCTCAAATAAATCACCACCAGTATTTGTGGTGATTATACATTACTTTCTTAGACATTTTCCATAACCTAAAACCTGATCAGGTTGCTTCCACAAAGAAACTTACTCTTGATATAAGATCATGAGCAAGAGGACTATGCTACCTTATTTGAGCAAGTTTGTCTCCTAATGTAGCTAAAGGGTCAGGTTCATTTGTTTCTGGTTTTGGTTTAGTTTCTCCTTCCTGAGGCAGAGAGGAGGAGTCTTTAATTCCACTGTCATCTCTGTGCTCAAAGCTTCTTCTTCTTCTTCCTCTTCAATCTCTGCTAGTGTTGACATAGGTTCAAGCTGTTTTCCTAGTTCCTGGAACAGGGAAGCACCCAAACTGCTAGTTCGCCTAGATAGATGAAAAATATTTTTTGCAGTGTAACTAAATTTTTTAACATCAAGGTTCAATTGGAGTCTGTTGTTGTACCAGGTGTCTCAGTAATAGATACCTTGTTCTACTTTGCAATCTGTCCTTTCTTTCCAGCTCCTCTGCTAAGTGATTTCTCATTTGTTCTGCTTCTATGGCTTCAGTCTGCTCTTTCACTTGTTGATTAAAATCCCTTCGAATGCTCTGGAAGTTCATGACTGCAACAAGTACCAAATAGCTTTACAATGGCCTTGAGACTACTAAAATCTTCCCATGTCAGCCTAACCCAAATTCAACATTCTCCTGTCTCTTGCTGAATTTTGTTTTATTCTAAGATGATGTCATGAATATTTGATAATCATAAGACTATGTGTATATACCCCTAACTAACCAAGTTTAGTCAGGTCCTCACTGTAAGTTACAGACCAATTTTTTCCTGCTCATTTTCATAGCTCAAGTGGGAAGCACATGGATCATAAATCCATGTGAAAAAAACAAGGTTCTTTAATTTACAGTTTGGATTGAAAAAACCTGGTTAGTAAGATATTATCACATCTTAAAGTTCAAAAAGAGGAGGAAGATTTCAATTCAAACAAACTTTTGTATTTAGTGGGTGATACAACAAAATACAGCCTGCTTAATGGACTGGTCATAGTGCATATGCTGACTGAGAAATATACTAAGATGTTGCATATTCAAGAATAGTAATCAGTTTTTATCAAAAAAAAAAGGGGGGGGGGGTAGCATGACTATAAGATGCCTTTGGCCATAGCCCCATCCTTGTTCAAATATCCCAATATCAGGTGAAGGTGAATTTTGCCCTCTAATCTTTGAAGATGAGGAAGTCAGCTTCAGGTTACTCTCATAATAATTAAAGAAACTCATAGCATGAATACCCATAATGCCAGCAAAGATATTTCTGAATATGAAAGCTCCAATACAGATCCATAAGATGATGTAGATCTCGACTGTGATGGGGTCTACCACTTTGATAAGATCTCTGAGGATGTCATACCAGTGATCCAAGGTGAAGAGTTGAAACAATGTGACCAAGGCATTACCAAGGGTGCTGCAATAGATTTGCTATGCTGATTAACTACTGGTAAGACAATACTAAACTATTAATGTGCATAGACATGGCGAAATTGAGAAGCAGAAGGGGAGTCAGGCAATCTGTAAATTGTGGACGTACAGGTGTGTACATTTACTATTGTGATACCTTGGAATTAGGGGCATCACCAACAAATTATAGTACCAAAATATGCAATGTTTTGACAGGAGATTTACCTAAAACTCTGTTTATACTTGAGGTCTGTTCTTTCTGACTTGGAGTATGAAGCAAACATGACTGTTCCAGCCACAGCAAAAATGTACATAAAAGTCATCAACAAAATGAGGATGAATGCCATTGACTGGAAAAAAGATAAAAGTTAATTGGTGAAGGTGAAGAATTTACTAAGGCTGAGGACATTGGCTAATGAAAGTATTGTTAATTTAAATTGGGCTGTTTTATAAAGATATCTTCCCTCAAATCCATGTTTTATTTGTAAGTTGTTTCGCTTTCAATACCTTAAATGCTTTGAGAATGGTAAGGACAATGATCCTTAGCTGGGCAAACCTTGATACCTGAAATGATTGATAACAAATGTTACATTTACTCTATGCATATAGTTATTTAATTACTGTATTCTTACACTTCCAAATCATATTTCAATGAAAAAATTTACCACCTTTGCTATTTTTAGGTACTGTTTTCTATAATTTTTACCATATTCATAATTATGAAATAATTCACCAATGAACAACCATAACTGTAGTAAGTATTCTCACCATTTTCAAGGATCGCAAAATTCGGAATACTCTCAAGTTTTCAGCAATGACAGCCACTTCTGCTGTATTTTTTCCTGATGACAGCTCAATGATTTCTGGCACAAATGACTAAAATCGTTGAAAGGATTGAAATGAAAGATATATTTCTACTTGATGCACAAATAGTAGTGTGAAAGGGCAGGACTGAGGTACTGAGGATAATCATCTATGTCAGCATATTGGTTTATGCTATATTAACCCTTTGACCCTGAAGACTGACTAGCATCTAATTTCTCCTTACAATATCACCCTTAAATCAGACATCAAAGTTAGGAGAATAAAGGAAATGATCACCTACTCAAGAAGCTCTCAAGTGTTGAAAAAATTATTGTTGTCAACACCTTAGAAACTGTATAGAGAACTGCACAAAATATGAAAACTGATTTTAGGGCATAGTGGGATACTGTGAAGATCACTCTCGTTCATTCATTTTAATTGGAGGGTTAATAACTATTACTGAAATGTTACAATTGGTGTTCATACATACCATTACCGTCACAATGAAGTCAAAAATGTTCCATCCATTTTTCCAAAAACTCCAGAATCCATCAATCCACTTGAGGATTATCTCAAGTACAAAAATGGTCAATGTGCAGTAATCAAAAATTTGTAAAACCAGTTTTAGTCCATACAGTGAGGAATCCTCAATTTTGGATATTTCTGAAAAATGATAGCATAGAGTGCTAATTTTTGATTCAAGGGTTACTAACAAGTAGGATGATAGCAGATTAGGGATACTAGTTTTTTTGCTCACCGGCTTGGATTCCCAATACAATAGAATTTGTTATGATCAAAATCATCATAAAGTTTTGAATCCTTGGATCTGTTGATAGATTAAATCACATCACATTGTTAACAGCCACTTTACTGACACAAACTTGATCAATGCACCTTTCTGTTCTAATAAAGGGTAATTAATGATGGAATTGGAACGCACCATGATCATTTGAGTAAAAAAAGATAAGCCATCATCATTCATTAAACAAACCTTCTATGACAGTGTGTGCCCATGGTCCAAGTGGAATAGCATTTTTGTTCTTTACTCTGTTCAAGCGACGATCTGCAAAGCGCTGTTCATCTTTCTTAGAGTAGATTTGAAACTTGATCAAGCCTTGGGGAGTCTCTCTTAAAAGTTGCTTCATAACTTCGTCGTCTGAAACAAAATTTACGGGCAACCTATTAAAAAAATTCTACAATCTCAAAAACTGAATATAGAGCCTGGAAACGAAGGAGAAGAATTTTTAAAGAGTTGTTGCTTTCCAAGCTTTGCCAACGTCATACCCACTGATATTTAGAGGCGAAGAGTTTCCTCGAAATATTTGACCAGAAATGATTGGTTGCTAAACAGCATACCTGAAAGATTTCACAGAATATCGTGAAAAAAAGATACCTGTTATTTCGTTGGAATAGTATTTTGGTGGCTCTGCGCCGCTACTATTGGCAACCCTGTCGATAAGCTGAAAATCCTCGATGAGTTTTGATCTGAAGATCTCCGCTCTTGGGGCCAGCTCGTCCATCGTATCTTCGTTCATCTCCTTTACCCCGAGTATTCACGGGTCTTTTTTATATCTCACTCCTCATTTGGTTAATTATTAGGTATGAAGATCCACATCCCACTGATTACTTACAGTCATTTCAAAGAAGAAGACAAGATGGCGAATTTTGAGCGTCGCAATCCTCGTTCCCAGATTCTTTCCTTGCTGTCTCCTCTCTCGGTCAAGTTTAATATGGGTTAGCAAGGGTTAGCATAATATAATATTCCTTCCTGGGTATTGTTATTATGAGATGTGAGGTATCGCTTTGGTCTGGGATATGCTAACCCCTGGTGCAAGGCGGAAGAGGATGGGAGGTCAGCTCAAAAAGGAGGGGTGGGCGGGAACAAAAATCCCAGCTTTCCACACGGCGGCCTCAATGAAAACTCGATCAATACAAATTGACTGAGCATAAGGAACTTATCGAAGCACGCGTCTTACCAAAGCATCTTTGATTGCTTTTTCAGCTCCACAAATGGTAAAGAGGTCCAAAATGGGTATTGAGCGGAAAAACCTCCACCGTTCGACAAAGCATTTCCGTCGCTGCCTCGCCCACTTAATTAAGAATGACTGAATTCATGGCCCGCTGGTATACCTTTTTTCCTTGGTAACATTACCCACCCTTAAGCAAATAAAAATCAAAGAACTTTGATTTGCAGTTTGAGGGCATACTCGAATTTATTTTTTATCGGAAAAAGAAGGGGCAGAATACAAAGACAATCTCTTTTCTCTCGTTGACCCCTGACTCAAACATTTTCGTAATTTTCATACATAAAAATTTACAAATCTTTTATTCCACAATTCTTGTTTCTTTGAGTGTAGAATAAAGCATTAATTGTATTTCTGTGTCTTTCTTTGAAACTGAATAGAGATACAGACGGACAAGTCAAGGCATGCTCTCCTTTTACTCACTTGATTCCAGCCCAAAAGTTTTCACGTCCACTAGTATTTGTTCGAAAATGAAGGCGGTATCCCAGTTTGCGAACTTTCCCCTGAAATCTTTCAATCGGACGCACCAACTGTACGTGATTTCACAGTCCTGTATCTTATCATCCTGTACCTACTGAATGTCATTCTAATGTAACCGTCGACTTCAAAGCTCTTTGCTCTATCCAGGTACCACGTATAATGTCATTTTAATGTCACAGTCGACCTCAAAGCTCTTTGCCCTATCCAGGTACCAAATATTACCCACCCTAATGTTCGTTCCTTTTTTTGTGACGCAACTGTTGAACCTTGTGAGCGTATGCGAGGAAAGAGTCTCATATCAAACCTCTCATGGTCAAGTATTCCAACACTTATGCAAATTTCCCGCTAATTTTTGCGAATTTCCTCTCACCTCACCCCCCCCCTCCCCCCTTCTCAAACTTTCTCAAGAAAGGCATTTCATAAAAAAATGGAAGACGCCGAACAATAGAGATGATGTCCATTCAGGACTTCAAATGAACCAAAAACTTATGAATAAACGATTGAAATATTAGATCACATCTATTATCTTAAGTTTCATCGCCTTTATTCTGAATAATGAATATGAGCAATTAGCAATTTCAGGGTCTAATATCAAAACGCAACAACGCTATAGAATGTGTAAATGAACCTCATTCAACCTGTTCAAGCAAAAAAGAATATGTCTCTGGGGAGGAAATTTTAATCAATTCCGTCATGATTTGAAACATTCCCACGCACGTGTTTGGTACAGGTTATATAATCTCCATTTCGCAGGTCTTTTCACTACTTCTGAGCCCTGCTTTTTTTAAGCTAAACTGCCTGTGGTTTTTCCAGAACTGAAGTCTCACCATGTCTGAAGAAGACTCTATTCCCCAGGTTGTCATCGCTAAACCTAAACACCCAAAGTATACCGAAATGGTGGAAGAGGCAGTCAAATATTTCAACGAGAAGGGAGGCTCTTCTCGACAAGCCATAACCAAGTACATCAAAGGAAAGTATCTGGTCGGTGAGACCGCTAACAATCAGATTAAACTCGCGCTGGTCAAAAGTGTCGGTAAAGGACGCCTCGTGCAAACGAAGGGAGCTGGAGCTTCGGGCTCGTTTAAACTTTCAAAGGAAGTGAAAGAAGAGGAGAAGAAAGAAGAGAAGAGACGACTAAAGAAGGAAAAGAAAGCTTTGAAAGAGAAGGAGAACGCTGAACGGGATATTGACAACAACAACAAGAAGAAGGCGAGTAAAGTTAAGAAAACCAGTAAGAAACAACCGAAGGATGTTGACGGCGAAGACAAAGAGAACGAAGAGAAAGGGCGACCAAAGAAAAAGTCCTCAAATAAAACCAAGGAAAGTACAAGTAAAAAGAAACGTGAGGGTTCTAAGGACACCGCAGTGGAAAAGAAGTCGAAGCCTAAAGTCAAAAAGTCTACGGTCGCAGAAAGTAGTGAAGGAATTAAGAAAGCAAAGAGGACCAAGAAACCTGCAGCAAAGCCAAGTGCGAGTAAGATATCTTCCACGGGCAAAAAAACCAGCGAAAAAGGGAAGGACAAAACAAAAGTTCTGAAGTCTAAGAGCACCACGAAAGCGAAACCCAAAAGCAAAAAACAAATATGCAAGGAAGATTAAGAGTAAGTTTATTTCTAAAAACAATAATTTTGCATTTAAACTGTAAATAGCTGTACATAATTCGGTCTCTTCAGTTTCCAAATCCTTTACTCGTGCATTCCTCAAATTCTTGTTAAATTGTGAAGACCATGTGAACGGCTTTTTGAATTTTATGTCCGACTCGCGCCAGCAGCCTTCAGTCTGTTTAAAAACGCTACAGTAGTAATTATGTTTATTTTTGTATTTTTAACTTTTCAGACAAATATCAACTGTATTATTTTGAGCTGTACAGGCGCCGAGTGTTCTGTAGAATAAATTTTTGTTTTTATTTTGAGAGTTGAACGAGTTCTTATTTTTGTGGGCTAAATTTGTTTTCAGTTTTATTCTCCTAATCCAAAGTTTTTGTCAAGATTTCAGCATAACCCCATACTTTATTATGCATACAGTTCTTGGATGAAGGAAACAATGGCAAAAAAAAGATTACCTTAGGGGCAACGGCTTTCTTTTCGAATTGTATGAGGTTACACGTAAATCTTTCCTCGATCTTTTTAAAGACAAGATGAATTGATTGGATTTTAACAACTGAGGCGAGTTTGGCCACCATAAAGAATTCTAAAACTGACGTTCCGAGTGTTGGCCCTTTGGAAACTCATTTCAGTGGCTAATTTTACATTATAAACTCGGTAGATAAAGCCAAATGAATTTTTCCACCGACGTTGAAACACAGTTCCTCTGAAAACTTACTTCCCTTCATTCATTTTTATAGACAATGCGTTGATCCGGATAAAATTTAGGATTTATTATTGTCTAGATAAATGTCGCAATACCAACATCAACCTGTCGTACTCCCACATACAAAGGCTATTATTTTCAGTGAGAATTTTTCCAGGCTGACGGCTTGTCGAAGTTATGTGACGTCAGAGTTCAGAGACAAATTTAAAAACGGATGTAGTTTTTTTTTTGATTGAGATGGACAAAATTCAAACTGTCCCTCTCGGCTGAAAAGAAAACCACGAGAATATTTAGCCATTGATTTTTTATTTTAAAGCTTGCATCGGGAGAAACGTTGAACAACATTGAATAACGGAATGATCGAATTAAGTGCGACAGAAAGAATGACGTATACGTCATAATCTTAATTAGCATCTAAAGCAGCAAATTTAAGCTTGATATGACGGGAGCCTTAACTGCTTTTGCAAAAACACAAAGCACATAAATTTAACCAGGAGTATCGCTGCAAGAGAATTTTCTGGCCACGATGGAAAGCGATTCGAGATCAGAAAAACAACATATAATTCCTATAGCAGATCGAAGAGTATCCCCGGCTGACTCGGACCAATCAAATGTAAGTATATAGTTACATCAAATTTCAACCTGTTTTCAAAAACATTTTTGTCTGTTTTTCGTCTGACGCACAGATTTTCTTTTGATAGCTTCATATTTCAAGGAATAGTTCTGAAAAAAATGGAAATTGACAAAGTAAAAATTTATTAACACCAAAAGAAACTAAATTGAGCTCCAGGTTGGCTGACTGGCATTTCAAAAACGATCTGAAATCAAGTAGCTTTTTATTGGATCTAAAAAAAGAATTATTTTTAGTAAAGAAATTTCCTGAACATGCAAAATCAGACTCTAACGACTAAAGACTCAACGATTTGTTGGTAGGTGTTTTTCGTTAACTTCCAACTTTTTTTTGTCTCTTTGAACAGAATTTTCATTTGGAACTACTATCTCAATCGTCAGACGATTTGTTGAACACTTGTCGTATCTGCAGAGATGAAACTGTTCGTGGATTGCTCGTCAGTCCTTGTCTCTGCTCAGGAACCTTAGGGAAGTGTCATGTTCAGTGCCTGGAGGAATGGCTTTCAAAGGCCAACAAAGACTCCTGTGAAATTTGTGGCCATGAGTTCCACGTTAGGAAACTCCCGAGGTCATTTCAAGAGGTTCGTTTTATCCTCTTGACAGAAATCATGTCACAAGTTTAGGCGTAGCCAGTGTAAATTGGTTTTTAATTTTAGAGTTTATTGAATGTAGTATTTCAAACTGAAATCATCGCTGATGATATCTAGAGACTTTATTTGCAGCCAGATGTTTTATTCAATTAAAATATTTTTATTACAACTCAGATGACAGGCGTTGAGCTCTAGCCTCTTCGTTGTTAAAGGATATTTTTTTTCGTTTACCACAAGCGCGTGGCTGATGCGGTTTCTTCATTATAGGCGCGCTGCTCCCGATCAAAAGGTTTGGGTTCTAGTCCTAACTAGGTTTTTTGTGTTATGTTCTCAGGAAAGGTTCATCTTCGCTCTTAAAATGCCTCTGAGGTTCTCAAATGCTAATACTCTGGGATAGCTACTAGTCCAAGGGCTAGAACGTGGTACAAATTTTTTACCCATAAAGAGAGTTAGTTTATCACTATTTACTTACGTACAGTTTTCCTGTGGAAGTATGCAGAATATTATATCAAATTATTCGATGGTAAATTAAAAAGAAGAGTGTTGACTGGGATGAAAGTCGCCGCGCAAGCACTTATGGGACCGCTCAGGGGAAACGCTGGTCTGTCTGAATTCCTTTTTGAACTTGTTAACCCATTTTCCTTTCTATTTTTCTTTTCAGTGGTTCACGAAAGGCCAAAGCCGCCGCGAGCGCCGTTATCTCTGCGGAGACCTGATTTGCTTTCTAATCCTCAGCCCTCTGGTGTTTGCCAGCTCATATCTCTGTGCGCAAGGGGCATGGCACTACATGGCACTGACCGACACGTGGACTGGTGCGGGTTTGATCGTGCTCAGTCTGTTTCTTTGGTGCATCTATGGATTTTGGTTAATTGTAACGCTGAGGTTCCATCACAGATGCTGGCAAGATTGGAGAGAACGTAATTATAGAGTGAAACTTGTGAAAATTGAAATAGTTGACATTAAGGAAAGAAGAAAAGACGAGGGTCTCTTGGAAACTTCTGTTTGATAAAAGCTCCGGAATGGCCAAGAAAAATACCAGCATCTTAAGGGAACGGCGGACAATAATAGCGCCACCAGTTTATGGTTTACTAGACCAGATATCTGTTAATAAACAGTAGAGCACAGAGTGTCGATCTTTGATATATTTGTCATTTTCTGTCTGATCCTTAGTCCTCAATGGGTGGAGGGGGAAACGGCCAAAGAGGCCAAGAATCATGAAAACAGCGGAATTGTGATGTTTGGGTTTGGCTTATTGATTAAAATTAATCATAGACTGAATGGAATTCAAAAGGAAAGAAAAGAAGAAGGAAAATATCACGAAGATGACTTGGAAGTTTTCCGCACCTTAACTCACTATTGGTATATCCTTATTATTTACGCCTTATATGTTGGGTGGTCGCCTCTGAAAACCGAGCCATCATATTGTTTTAACACGGAAAATATATTTATTTGCCTGTCAATGACAAATGAGGAATAATTCTCCACAAAGAGTCGGGTAAAAATTAGAGAAGTACAAACTTCAATATCAATTATCCTGCTAGAATGAGTCGTCTGCAATGGGCTTTTTACAGAGAGGGGGGTTGGGGGTGGGAAGGGGCGGTGTTTTAGGGGATGAAAAGTATAATAACTGTTTGAACTGAGAAAATTGGAAAGCGTCGCAGGGTAATTACGCGGATACCAGTCTTCATAGGACATCTTCAAGATACTCATTTATTTTGTACCCTACACATAAGAGTCAAATGCTTTTTGCGCTTGAGTTTGATTGGGACCAAGAGAATTTCAACATCGATCAATCAGTGTTTTTTTTAGGTTGGTGATCATTTTATTTATTCTCATGATCTTCATGATGACTGTAAGGAGAAACTGGTTGCTGGTCCAAACGTGACAGTTACATAAGGTTACATGCACGTCCGCACAATTCACTGTTGTCACCAGACTCCAAAATCCCCGCCGGTCAAATCAACATGGCGTTTAGACTGTGCACTTCAAGAATTTTACGAGCCTCGGTTTTGCCGTTTTCTTGGGGAAATTTCAGCAATTTTCCGGTAAGAAGCTTTTATGAAATGAAATATTAACAATATTTTGTATTGACAAGTGTAATCGTTTCTTTTATCGTAGATTAAGAATGGAATATCTACCTCTGCAATACTCTGTCAGGTAGGGATCCCATTCGATAAAATGATGAGACCAGAAGGTTATTTACCTATATTTTTTGTGCAATTCTTATTCATTGATGGACATTAAAAGATTCTGCGAAGTTATGACGCGAGTATCTGTCTCATCGACAACATTGCCTTCTGTTAGCGCACATTTTCCACTTATGTAAAAGTGCATGTACATATCTTGGTAACGGTTAACGAGTACAAGTTGGCCCGTTTAGGGGCGGGGCAGGGGGTTAGGGAGGGGGCGGAGATTGGACAAATCCTTAGTAACTGATATCTGTGACATCTACTCTTGTACATCCAGATAGACCTTTAAGCCAATTATCGACAGCAAGTTTGCTTTTAATATTTTATAGAATTTTTTATATGTAATTAAAATAAAGCGGTGCATTTTAAATGCAGTTTTGTGCAACATTTGATACTTACTAAAACACACATCTGTCATTTTTGCTCACAACTTCATGTTTTGGTTGTATTGGAAGGGAATGGAAGAAAAATTGTGGAAGCTTGGCAAGCTCAACCATGTTGCAATTGCTGTTCCTGATCTAGGTAAATTAATGCTTATGAACAGTTGGAGTCATCAAAATGACTATTGTCATGTTGACAATCCACCTGGCAACTTTAATTGTCAAATTTAGGTATGGGAACTTTGTTGAATTATTTGTAAATTCAACCTGATAAAGGTTTGTTATGAATTTATTTGCACCAACCTCCTATTAGGCTATCCCACTCAGACAATTCATGGATGGAGAGAGACACTGTGAGAGGGAGGTGTGTCAATCAAGAAGACAAAATATTGACCTAGCCAGATCTTGAACCTAAATTTCTCATTTTACTGTCTAGCACACTAAGCATTAAGCCACCATCTGCTATTATATTTAGAAAATGAGTTATATCTGTTTTTTGTTTTTATTGTAGAACAAGCGAGCAAGATGTATAGGAGTGTATTAGGTGCTGATGTTAGTGATGTGCAAGTGAGTCAAGTTGAATGAAGCTGAAGTTAATCAAAGGGTATATGGAACCAAAGGTCCTAAGTGACATCTGATAGAATGTTAGATTCTCCTTTCAAACTCTCTCTAATTCCCTTGTGAAACACAGGGAGAAATTGATGCTGCGTTGAGAGCTGTTATTTCACACACCACTTACTAATATATTATGCAACACATGAAATCTTCTCTGTTTATAATTTATATCATTATGAAATATTTAATCAATCCTTTTTTCCTTACTTAGGATCTTCCAGAACATGGAGTATCCACTGTGTTTGTTAACTTGGGGAACACTAAACTTGAAGTAAGTCTTGTGAAAGGTTTTTTTCGTCTTTGCCAATTGGTAACCTTTTCACCCTTTATCTCCCAGATTTTCTTTGTCACACGCTAATGACAAGATGAAATACATTTTTGTCCATTTCCTTACTGAGCTCAAAACTTACCATCTTTATTATTCTGTTTACAAAAACATGATGCTATTGACATTGCTGATCCTAGCAGTATGCAGGGTGCATGTCATACATGAGCTTTGTACTGGGCCTCACTCATGGAGTCTGTGGCTCAGTTGTAAAGCATCAGAGGGTGGAATCTGAAGGTCTAAGGTTCAATTCCTGATGAAGACTCAGAATTTTTTCTTTTTCCTATGCTTGTGACAAGATGAAAAACCTCTTTCTCTATTTTTCACTGAGCTCAAAACTTACCATCTCTCTTGTTCTATAAACTGTGTACTTGTTTCTCTAAATGTATATATGACAAACTAGAATGATCAATGAATAATATTATTATTTTATCAATAATGAGGATACAAAATCTTTTGGGAAAAGGAAAGCAAATGAATAATTTGTTCATATATTATCTTTCATCAGCTTTTACATCCTTTGGGAGACAACAGCCCGATAGCTGGTTTTCTGAATAAAAAAAAAGATGGTGGAATTCATCACATCTGTATTGAGGTCAGGCAAATATTTGTTTTCAATTTTTTGTTGAAAGATTTTGAATGAGCTTCCCACACAGAGAAATTGCCTGTGGCCTGTGACTGTCACATTCCTTTACACCAAATTTTTATGTAGGTTGATGACATAAAAGAGGCTATGAAAGATCTACAAGAACATAATATTAGAGCCCTGAATCCAGAACCAAAGGTGAAAATGAAAATATTAAAAAAATGTAACTCTTTATTTAGTTACATAACGTTTGTGACTAAACAGTTTTCTGAGTTCAGATTTTAAGGATTTGTATTTTGGTATTTTTATTATTTGGTTAGATTGGTGCCCATGGTAAACCTGTAGTGTTTTTACACCCAAAAGACTGTGGTGGAGTTTTGGTTGAAATGGAACAAGCATAAGACTTGCAGAGGAAGTTAGAAGATTTAGTATCTCTGAGCTCCTGTTGGGATTTTCCAAAACAATAACTTGCAACTTTATTGACTGAGATGAGAAATTCAGCCAGGTTAATAGCTGTGAAAGTTTACTTCAATGAAAACTCATAAGATCAGTGCCTAGATTTGCAGTGGTGCAGCTTTAATTTGATATCTTGCAATTTGATGGAAAACAATACACAGCATAGTTATGCGGCAAGGAATTAGGCTGGCAAGCTCTGTAGCTCATTCTCTTGAATTGCATATAGAGGTCAGTTGAGTGAGTGATGGATTTGAAAATGAATGCATCAAAACTGGGCCATTGGAATAAGGCACAGTGGAAAGTCAGTGAAGAATTGTAAGATTTACTTCACTCAAGGATGATTTATAACTGAATTTGATCAGTGAATTTAATTATTATATCAAAACCAAAATCAAGGTACAGTTTACTTGAAAAAAAACTCCAAAATGTAATCTGCAAAGAGCTAATTATAATCATTATGTGTAATAAGTTATAACTGACATGTACTGACCTGGCTGTAAATTGATGAGGTTCAAATAACTTATGGGTGTAAAAAGAACGGATATTATCAAAATGAAGGCTTTGTTGTTAGTAAATTAATTTGGCTTGCATTCTTTTGTGTTTTAGAGAGATTATTTAATTGCCTAAAAGACCACTTTAGGTAACTTCTTTTAAATATTTGGGTACAACAAGATATATGATATTATGGTCAATTTAGCTGGCCCTGATTCATTTTAAATTGATGCATCTAGAAATATTTGTTTTCCGAATTATTTTTGCTCAAAAACAAAAATAGGATAGCGTTCTGATGCCAACAAAGAGTTATTGTAATCTTAAGTTGAAACTTTCACTCTGAAATTTTATTATTTATTTCCAATAACAATTATAAGTACTTAAGATAGGAAAGGGGATCTTAGAAAAACTTTTTATACAAAGTGTTCTGGTTGTCAGTCTTGCTACCTGTGCCTTACCACTAGATTTACCACTGGTCTGATATCAGGTCAAAGACCTGTCAACTGATTTTCTGCTACAAACTGCAAGTTTGTGGGAGAGTCAGTGTTAGCCATAACTGTCTTCCCATTATGTTCAGGGGTGGATTCAGGAATTTTTTTATGAGGAAGAGTTGAAACTTTGATTCAGAAACTAGAGCCTGGATGAACTGAGAAATATTTCAAGATAAGTGAATTTTGGATACTGTATGTTTTAGTAGTAACATGTGATCCTGTTAGTGCACAAATTTTATTTAAAACAAAGCAAAGAACATGGGCCTGAAGGAAGAGAAGGCCTGGACCCAGATCCTCCACCTAGATTTCCTACTGGTGCTTATTTAAAGCAAGTGAAGATTCCATTAGGAGATAAAACAGAGGATGGAACATGATGAATTTGTTTGAATTATATGCTAGAAAATGAAGGGTTAGGGTTAGATGGTTAAATTGTTTGAATAGGAAGAGAGACTCTATTGTGCCTTTTGTTGAGGTAATAAGGTAAATATTTAGTCCATGTAGTTACTTAATTAAGCAAGCATGGTTACCCTATAATCTAGAAGTGAACTTGTTTCACATTTTTCTTTTAGTTTTTTGACATTAACCTTAAGCTACCTCAGATTTTCTCTTCTTCTTCTTCAACTTGATGTAGTTTTAGATGCAATTATCAATATTAGCAACCAGAAGTGCTTGGTTTTACAATGTAAACTATCATTAATGAAGGGCAAATGTTCCCCTGCACATGCACTTGAATATTGATCTTTGTGTTTCCAAGCAACATGCACAATTTTAGTTAAATTATCATGCAACATGTAATATATCGTTTCAAACACATCATAATTGAATAAACAATCAACAGTAAAAATATCATAATTTGCCCTATGTAGATCACTTATTGTATTCGTTTCTCTTAGCAACAAATGTTGTGACGTGATTTCCGGTGCAATACTGCGGATGTAAATCATGAACAGTAAGACTGCGGTTGGAGTAATTTGGATTAAGCAATCTTCTCAATTAACCTCGTGTCATTTCAGGAGTCTTTTGTGCGACGATAGCGAGTTATGGTAAAATTTCCAAGGCGATTCTTGATTATGTAAAATTCTTCCAAGCCTGCTCGAGACACAGAAACGACCCCACTCATCCAACGTGTATCAACGCCGAAAACTGCTAAAACAAGAGCATTTTCATGTTTTGTTTACAAGCCGGGAGTTTCTTGTAAAGAAGCACTTAGTCTTGTCATCAAAACGCGCTCTATTTTTGAGGCACCAAAGAAGACTTAGCAAGAAAAAGATCGAACTTAACATGAAGCTTTGAATATATTTATGCTTTGCGTTCCTAGTCGCTGAGGAGAGTATTCTCATTGCGTGGAATGGTAATTTTGCTTTAAACATATCACTCGTCACTGATCTGTGCCAACTTCTTGACAGCTTACGTTGCTCTGGACATTATTAATTTGATGCTTGAAATAGCTATTATTTGAAGAACATGGACTTGAGGTCGCCATATCTTAAACGACGAACAGCGGGTGCAACATAGCTTACATAATTTGGCGAATATCCCTTGAGTTCATAGAGGATTGATAAGAAGGCTGCAGTGCGCTAAAACTTCAAAAGCTGGGGAAAAGATTTTGCAAAAGTGCTCAATGTGTGGAGCGCTTGGAGGACGTAATCAAAATAGAGTTGTTCCTGTTTCTGATCTACCTTCGGAAAGAGTCGAAATACGAAAAGGCAGGTGGTTGAGAGTAGTGCATTACAAACCTCGAATATCGAGGTCCGATAGCGGTTATAGCCGTGATGATCTTCAGTCTAATCGCTCGGCTCATTCGGCGGGTTCAGCCACTTCTGGAGTTGGTGATCCTGATTACAAGAAGATAGTTGTAATATTTTTCATACATGGAGTTGGTGGTAGCGCTGATCTTTGGTACGAACAAGTACAATACTTTTGCAAGGCAGGTTACGAAGTTATAGCGCCTGACCTGCTAGGACACGGGCAAAGCTCCGCACCGAACAAAACAGCAGATTACGAATTTTCTGAACTTTCGTATGATTTACTTCGTTTATTTGATCGATACCATAAGAAGAGGAACGTTTTAGTAGGACATTCGTATGGGTAAGTCTTCATGTTTCTGTACATCTGTTGCGCCCTTTGTATCCGATGATTGATCAGTTCCTTACGGAACTATATATGACAAACAGCCCGGCCCCGAGGGTACTTTCCAAAGGAAAGCGATCTGACTCAACGAGGAGTGTCGTGTGGTGCACTTTGTACTGTGCTTGCTTTCATTCCAGGAAGTTCCATAACTGATTGGTATTTATTCTAGCTGCTTCACATTCCTTGTAAATTAGTTCCGAGGATTTGCTGTTAGACCAATTTAATTCTACTTGTATTATTAATCCCACTAGGGTATTCTTATTTCCTGTTTGCTGGATACTGTATGGATGTTAAAGGGAGAAGTAACAGGTTCATCACTTCTAGGAGTTCAAGGGTCAACTGATATTTCCTTGTTTCTTGTTACTTGAAAGGGTGGATTAAGTGGGGAGGGTAGGGAGCAATTAGGATGCAGCCATCTGTTTCATGTTTTTTTTTTGGTTTTTTCTTATATTTTGTTTGTTTGTTTGTTTTTTTCTTTGGTGCTTGTTACTTTTGACAACTGAAAAAACTTTGTCAAAGAGTCAGCACCATGGTGGTTGGCAAGCCATGCCTTTTAACAATATATTTTATAATTTACTCAGGGCATCATTTTGTGCAGTGATTGCATGTGAGCGTGCTCGACTGGTGTCCAAGATGGTCCTTATATCTGGAGGAGGTCCTACACCACTTGTGGGTGTGGGTACCTGCGATGTGTTCTGCTTACCAACACTTTTACTGTCTTGCATCAAACCTGTGTTTTTGTCTGTCTATGAGAGGTTAGTCTTGCAGAATAAACATCTTCAGCATGACCAAGAAGAAAATTTTTTTCTAAAAGTTGTTAGATACTCAGCTGAAATAAACATTTTCAATAGTCATCTTGAACCCCCGGCTCCCAAGTTACAAACTGAAGATGGCAAAATTATGTAGAAATGAAACAGAGTTCTCATTAAAACCAAACAGTTGAGGAGGAGAATCATCAAATCTGAGTAAAGAATTACAAATTACTTTCTTATTACACAATAACTGGTATGTCTGGTTAAAAATTTCATGACTTTAATTTTTTCAGGAGGGCATACAACAGCGTGAGAGCAAGATCACTCAGGAAGAAAGTGAAAGCCTTTAGTGCTCCACCTTTTGTAATGAAAGCTGTTATGGCGGGACAGGTCAGTAAATCCCTCTGAGTCTTTAAATGTTACATTTTGGGTAGTGATATTGTTTCAGAACCACCTTAATTTAAGAATAACGTGACAAAGAGATCTCAGTGATTTTGTGGTTCATCTTTAGAACATGGTGTAATACATAGTCAAACAATGTTTTCCAGGTGTGGGAAGATGGTGATGAGACATATCACCAGGAACTGATGGTGCCGGCATTGTTGATTTATGGTGCACAGGACAAATTTGTAACTCTTGAGGAGGAGCAATGGATGCAAGAGGTTTGTGATTGAGCAACAAAGTTTGTGAGTCATTCCTTCAGGATTTTATACTATATTTATTAACTCTACTTGGTTCCATTTGTAATAGGTAATATACAGTTCATCTTTAGAGGTTATTCAAGATGCAGGCCACATGGTTATGGTAGAGTCTCCTGTGAGGTCAGAAAGCATTTTTTTTGCTAAAACAGAGAATGAGTGTATTTTAGAGAGAGTATGATTGGATGCTCTTGTTTTGAGTTCCTGTACTGACTTTACTAGGGCTGTACCAAGAATTGGCCTAGCTCTGTGCCAATAAGTAATTTTTAGTTTCATATCATTTCTGTTGAGAGTGGCTCTCTCATTAAGTAACTTTCTAAATGGATTTATAAACATTTATTAATTGAAACAATTTTCATTATTATCATAAATGTCTTTGCCATCTATACAGAATAAGTTCCTCACTCATGTTTTTTTAGCAGCACACGTAGCTTTTTATTGTGGAGTCTTTTTTGTACATCTAAAAAATCTAAGGACTTGGAAGTGCTCAATTAAAATGAAGTGAAATATTGCTTTTCTGATAGAATTGTTCTATTTCCTTTATTTTATAGAGTGAACTGGTTGATATATAACTTTCTTCAGCGTGATGCCACCACTAGATCACTACATGCTGGAAGTCAGTCTTGTAATCTTTCCTCAAAGGGATCTCTTCATGTTGCATCAAAGGATGAACCAGCTCCTTCTCGCACTCTCGAGGCTGGACTTCAGACAGTCTCTGAAAGTGTCAATGAAGAAACCAGACAACACTCAAGTGGAATGGCACTTGAACCTTCGGGTAAAAATTCTTTTAACATCCAAAGCTCACAGGCTTCTCTCAATGTTCCAGGAAATGTAGCATCTGCAAGAATTTCTACAGCAGATGATGTAGAGGAAATCATACCATTGCAGACAGGAGACTCTGAAATTTGTCTAGAAATTCCACAGATGGTTGTCACTGCCAATAATGCTTCTCAGCAAGAAACTCAAGATGACACAATGCAAGCCCTAACAAATGATTTTCAGTATTCAGATGGCTCCCTTAGGAAAGATAAGAAATCAGATGAAACTAACGTTAATGTGTTAGTGAACAGTTCACTGTCCCCAAGTTTAGGAGCAGTTCAAATAATGAGACCTTTGGCTGGTGTAGCCTGGACAAAAAACAGCGCTGGTTCCATTGCAACAAGGAGATCTTCGCTTAATTCATTTCTCAGGCTTTCCAGTAAGATGGAGCCAAGTGGCTCTAAAAGTGCACCATCATCTCCAGTGAGGGAAAGATCCACAGAATTTAAAAATAAGTCTGTCCAATAATTTGTGAATGACTCAATTCCTCTTATCTATTTAATGTTAAGGGTCACGGGATGTACATATCAATTTTGGTCATCATGTATACTTAAGATTCTTGTAAAAAATAATTCACATGGAAAAGTATTTGCACAGTATTTATCTTTAATTTAATTGCAAATCTGGAAATCTGGTTATCATTCTCTATGGTATCTTCAGGAGACCAATGTTCTACAATTCAAAAAATGCTATATTTAAATATATGCTGAGCCAAAGGCTCTAGGTATTTCACTTCACTACACAGTAGTGCAGAATTAGACGCAAAACATTCTACCTTTGTTACATTTTTAGGTACCCAATAGATAGGCAAAAATGTACTTTCACAAAAGTAAACTTGTTAAAAAAATGGAAAACTATCCTAGATTCCATCAAAAATATGGTGTGAGGTGAAAAAGAATGTCACTGAGGACCCTCAAACAGGCCATGATACAATGTACACAATTAGGGTTAGATACAATAATGATAATATTTTAAAATAACCTTGTAATGTTTGCCGTTTTTCATTAGCTTGAAAGGGGCATTCATTTGTCTCATTTTATGTATTTGGATAGAAGGGTTCCTATTTAAAGAAACATGGAAAAAAAATCCAAATTTAAACTGCTCATTTTCTAAGAACATAACAGGCAGTTTGTGGTATTTAGAATCGCATTACCTCAGTTACAAAGGAAACACATTAAAATGAATCCCTAGCTGGCACCAGATTGGTGTTTCTTTTTGAACAAAGAATTTTGTATGTGTCATTTGTTCAGTCTGCTATGATTTTGGGATGTGTGTAGCTTGGAGATTTTTGACTGAGAATTATCAATAACAATTCTTGACAACAGAGATTGCTGAAAACCAGCCATGCAATTCTGCAATCTCTGTTGTTAATGAACATCAGATGGACCAGTATGAATAAATCTGTGAGCATTTGAGCTTGCTGTAGCTTTTGAGTCGTCATTTTTTGCTTGAATCTCTTGTTTGGGTAATGGATCAGCATGAAGGGCTGAAAGGGCATACTCAATGCATGGAAGGTACAACTTTGTCCATTGTACAGAAATTAGAGTAACATTACCTAGTAACATGCAACAGTAATGCTTTTCACTAGCTATTAGATTTGATGACAGGGTTATGCTATATAACTGCACAGGGATTACAGCAATTAGATTTCTTGTTTAGTCTAACACTGTAAAGCAAAGTGTAAGCATCTTCTGATGTCACGGTTGATAAATCACCATAGCGATTTTCCACTATGTATTTGCACTCCATACACAGCCAGTGTCTCTCTTGAGGTACATCAAAGGCCTTTTGACGTGTTGCAGCTTCGGAACTTGGTTTAAAGTTGCACTCTACTGCAGCACCTTGCATGATATTCTGGCCACATCCTGGGCATTGTATTGTTCCAGTGGCCATAAAAGACTTGTTCAAACAGGTAATTACCAAAGAATCCAACAACGATCAATTTTGGTAGACTGGTCTTGACTTAGCACGACGAGAGGCTGAAATTAGGAAGAGGAGTATAACATTGGTCAAGCCACTGATAACGACATTGAGAAAGCTGTGTCACAAGTAAAAACCTTTCTTGGAAAAAAAAAGTTGAGGAGTGTATATAACTCAAGTGCTAATGTATTAGCATATTTTAATGAACAGATCCTGTTTATTGATCAGTAAGTAAAGCACCTTAGTGAGCACCTTAATTCGAAAGTGAATTGACATCTAGCCTCACTACTTAGCTACACTACCCCTTATGTTTTTTTTAATGGTCGTATGCTTCTGATGTAATAGATCAGGTGAAATTTTCATGGCAGGAGCTAGTTGGTTTCGAAACTTAGTGATCCAATTCCACCAGACGAAGCCCTCTGGATTTTCTAACTACAAAACAATTTTCAGTTGAATTACTTGCTAATTGCTCAATCATTATACTAATTATCAAAACCAAATAGCCACCCAACCTTATGTCAATAGAAAAGTCTGCCTTTTCTCTCTAAAACCACACAACATCGTTGTTTTACCGGCGATATAATTTGGTAACCCACCAAAGCATAGTGTATAAACTAACGGTGTTATGTATGCTGTACCCCTAACACTTTGGAAAGTTCTCCCGAAGGTTCCTCTTCAAGCTACTACTCGGTTATACTTTACTTTCATGGTGACAATAGTTCGGACACTTCAAATCGATCTAATCTGATTCTCAATTAGCCTATACCACAAATGATCGATGTTCCATTTTGGACTTCATGCTGCCAGATAGTTGATGTCTTTCAACTGAGAAGTTAGAACCTCACCTTTCTCTTCAAATGTCTGAGAAGCTCAGTAAATCGATGGATTTGCACAAAATACTTGGGTGAAGTTCTCCGAAAAGTTGTTTACGCTTAAGTTATTTACAACTTCTCCAACAATACATTCTCGCCTACTTTATTGGCCGGGTGTCACATTTTTAACCAATCACAGCTCTATGCCGCTGAAAATTAACGCTGGTTGAATTAACCGCGGGACTATCTTCTACTAAAATGGCGACCTGTAGACCAATCTCATGCGAGGAGCAGTGATTGATTTGCAGCTTTTTATTAGTTATGACGGTCCAACAGAAGCGAGTCGCGTCCCTCATTTTAAGAGAACATTATGGAGAAATTGTAGAGAAGGTCGGGACGTTTTGTATCGCTAAAGGACTTCGTCCTTTGAAGGATATAACTCGAGGAACCAAACTACCTCAAGGCCAAGTGCAGAAGGCGTTGTGCTGCCTCATTCAACATCATTTTGTCACATTTGAAGTCAATAAGAGAAACGTTACGTTGTACAATGCGTGGATTTCTAATATCCTTCTTCGTCTCCGTGCTCCGCGGTACATTTATTGTGTGAAATCTCTTTTTGGGTACACTGGCGAGTTGATAATAGATGAAATTTTTCAGCATGGGTCTTCTATCATGAGCACAGTTGTGGACAAAGTTGCGAGGCATTTACAAGAGGATAACATTGATTCAGATGAGGATGAGATTCGAGTTTGTTTTGCTGATCTCGTGAAGAACCATTTTCTTCAAAGATTGAGGCCAATGAAAAGTGAAGAACAAACCATGGGCAACAATAGTTATAATGAGGATGACCTCTATGCTCTGCCACCTGGAATGAACTTGCAAGGTGTTGTAATGAAGTGTTTTTTATTTATCATAATAGATCTTGTAAAGGCCTTATTTTGAAATAATGCATCTCTTATGCCAGTCACTTACATTTCATGAACAATCCCCTCTGAGGATTTTTCGCGGCACTCAACTCTGAGACTGATACCTCACTCTAACCCATAAAGTACAACTGTGGCGTAGTGACTGCTTTATGAGAAGTCAACTCTGTTTCTCCCTACCCATTCCTCCCCACGCATTCCTCACTCATTACTCTTATAAGGTAGAAGTTGTTATCTTGATCTAACACCATACTCTTGTAACTAGTTTACAAGGAAATGTGTAGCCACTAGGGGGGAAATTAACCATCAGGCTCCAGTTGTTCAAAGGGTATCTAATGCTATTCACTGGATAAATCTCTATCTGTTGGATAGCGCAGTACATCTTGTTAACACTAATCTGCTGGATAGCAATTTATCCAGTGGATAATGTTATCCACCCTTGGCCTGGATCTTGGGAGTTGAAGGGCTTAGAGAATGCTATTTAAGGATCATTCAAGAACACAAGAGAGGTGCATAGAAAAGTATCTTGCATCTGCTTTACAGCAGATGCATGGCGTTGATGTAGTATATCACTATGTGCAGGTCATGGTTCAAAACGGAAGAGAAGTACTGGTGATGAGGGTCAAACAGCAAAGAGGCAAAAAACAGGAGCAAGGTATGTACTAATATTTCATAACTGTGGTAATCAACACTTTTTCAATTCTGATGAATGGTTCTCTATGATAGATGTTAGTTACATTTTATTTAAAGACATTAGCAAGCATGATTTGTGTCTTGTTTCATTTTAGCTACACTGCTGGTGGCAGAAGCTCTGTAAGTAAAATATAACTGAAGTATCAAAAATTCTTCTCAGTAATTTATGAATTCCTCTGCAAGATTCTTTTCAACTTGACATTGCATATCTTCTGTCTAAATTGGTCTCTTGCCTGCAAAAAGTCAGAAATATCAGGTTTACTATCAAGAAGAACTTTGACAACCAAGTTACCATGTAGTGATGATGATGATGATAATAATAATAATAATTACAAGAATTTATATAGCACCCTTTCCGTGAGCTCAAAGGTGCTTTACAATAATTGTAATTCTAAAAAATAAACAAAAACATTTGAGTTATTAAAGAAAATATATAGCAGTTATAGAAGTTAATTTTCAAAAAAATAAGATACAATCGACTTGCTAAGATGCTAAGATTAACTAAGGAAAATATATACAATAACAAGAAAAAAAAAGGTTAGTCAACTAACTTATAAAAACCTCTCTAAAAAGTAGTGTTTTAATCTTATTCTTAAAAACATCAAGGTTCTGGATTGATCTTATGTCATCAGTTAAGGAGTTCCAGAGCTTGGGCACAGTAACTTGAAAAGATCTGTCGCTGTAAAACTTGAGATTAGACCTTGGTGTTACAAGGAGTTTTTTTGAAGAAGATTGTAATTGCCTTGTCAGAGTATAGGGCTGAATGAGATCTGCTATAAAATATATATAATGGTGGTAACATGATAAGAATATTGATAATAATATTAATAATAATAGTAATAATAACAATAATAATAATAATGGTAATAGACTACACATAGTGCACATCATCTCAAAGTTCTAAGGTACACCAGGGTTTCATCATCCATATTTAGACAATCACTACATTTGTATTTTTGTCACTGCTATTCAGGAATTAAGCGATGATGGAATTTTATGGCAAGTGAACTTTGCAAGGTTTCATCAGCATTTCATTGATGAGGTACAATATTTAGACACTACTCCAGGTAGTTTTCACTTTAACGAAATCTTCGTACAGCTAATAATCGTTGGAAATTTCATGAAGCTTTCTTCTGGGCAACTCTACTTTTAGACTAGCTAAGGATTTCATTTTTTTTGTGGTAAGTTGTTTACAGGCTGTATGAGCAGAGTTAGTTGGCTTGTCCAAGAAATCAACATAAACAACTATTAAAGCCATGTCATCCTAGTCATGGATACTGTGAGAGAATTACTGATAAATATGTTACATTAGCACTCTCAATATAGATGTATTTTGTCCACCTTCATTTCTCCTCAAGACTTACTAATGAATTTTAAACATTATTTCCTAGAATATTGTCACTGTTGTAACCAAGAAAGTTGATAAGGTAAGTAGGACACTTAGTCAGGAAATTTACCATCAAATTTTTTGGCTACTGATATGTTTATATACTTACATTCTCCTAAACCAGGAAATGAAATTCTTACAGAATGCTTGTTTATGCTATCTGTAATTAACAAATTGACCAAAAATGATTGATAATTAATTATCATTTGTCTTTTGTTTGTTTGTAAGCTCAGTGAAAATCTTTCCTAAAACTCTTGAACGTAATTAGATTGGTATTAGGTCACATCATCTCAGATCATCCTAGGTTATTTTATTTCTGAACTTATTGTAACTTATCCAAAGTTGATCAAATGCTTTTATTTTGTGTTGCTCAGTTTGCAGGGGAGATTGTCAAGACAATGTTGAAATTGACTGAGCTGGCAAGAGATCCCTTATCACCGACATCACAAACAGTATCACTTCATGAGGTAAGAAGCTGCTGACTGAATTTTTTCTTCATTAAATTGATAAATACAGCACTGTGTTCTCTGAATAATATCAATCAACAGATCTCACAGAATTTGTCTGTAACTCCCAAGATGGAGAAGGCACAGATTGTTCAGTACCTTTCACTGTTGACAGATGAGAAGGTAAGGTTATTGTCCAAGATTTGCCAGTTGAGTTCTTTTGCAGTGCTCTTGTCATAAATTTTGGTAATTTATCATTTTCTAGGATAATTTGGTTTCCAAAACAGGAGAGAGTGGAGGAGGAATGTATTGTATAAGTATCTTTTTATGGCCAAATGAAATCATAGCTAAGAAAATAGATTGTTGATTTTGATGATATTTTTATACTCCTTACTGGAAAATGTGGCTAAGGCTTTCGTTCCTGTATTTATGATCCATGTTCAATTATCTTGCTGGGTGTATTTTGGTAGAATTTGCATTCCCTTTGCAAGAATAGTTTCCCTTGACAGTTTTTTAGATCTGCAAAAGTGTGTGGATACCTTGTGCCAAAATGTGATTGAATCCATTGTTCAAGAGAGGTAAATAAAAGTTGTTCCATTGGAATTTAGTCAGCTTACCCACGCTAGAATCTTAAAAGGCATTACTCCTTTGACCCTAAAAGTGACTAGCATCTAATTTCTCCTCACAATATCATCCCTGAATCAAACATTAAGGTCACGAGAGTAAAGGAAATGATCACCAACTAAAGAAGCTTTTGATTGTTAAACAAATTCTCCTTGTCAGCACCTTAGTTAATGTACAGAGAACAGTATGGAGAATATGCATACTGATGTTAGGGTGTTAGGGGTTACTGCAACTGTTATTTTAAATTATTATCATAAGCAATTTCATTACTGTCATGAAAGAATAGGCAATTGTCTACTGGGATGTATGCAGTGTTGTGTGTCTTTTTTTTCCTTATTTGAGGTTAGTGTTTTCTATTACATTGAAATTCAGGTTTGGTTCAAGATGCTTTAGAATCTTCAGATTGCTACTTCTTAAGAAACACATGGAACAGAAACAGGTGGAATGATTTGTTATCTTGCTTCCCTTTACCATTATTGTGAATTGTATGTTGTGAACTTAATATCTTATAAGTTCAAAATAACCTTGATGTAGTAAGACAGACATGTTTTGTTAACTAACTGTTGAAGACCAACTAACTGACCTACCAGGCATTAAGGGTCAATTCCAAACCAAACAGTGAGTATGGCGTCAAAATATACAAAAATGTCACACATATATTGAAAAGGTTTCTCTGAAGCAACCAGATCTTTAACCCTACCACTAACAATTTTTTTGTAAATGATTATGATTTCAAATCATTTCAATTTGCAGATTGGTGAGTTGGCCATGATTCCATCTAAAGATGTCAAGGAGCTGCTCTACAAACTTTTCGCAGAGAGGTTTATTGCACTACAGGTAAAAAAAAAACTGTTCGTTAATCATCTTTAAAAAGCAATCAGACTTGTTTTCATAACATTATGCTTTTCTCTGTTAACAGGAAATCCCTCGAGCTTCTGATTATGCCCCGTCAAGAACAGTTTACTTGTTTTCTGTGAATCTTCCACAGCTTAGTAGAATGCTGCTTGAAAAATCCTATCAGGTGACCAATCAGATTACTTTTAACCACCAACTGACATTGATTATAGCAACTTGTAATGTCAGAACATTTCAACACTTGAGCAGTGAGAAAAACCTATCACAAGGGTTGAAGAAAATGAAACTCTTGCCACTCACACAACATGTATTTGCACAGAAACATTCACAAAAAATTAAAACAGTTCTTAACCCTTAAACTCTCAGAAGTGATTAACAGGCAACTTCTTGCAACAATTTCCATATAATTTCTTTCAAGTAGGTAATGAGAATACTCAAAGTTATCAGGTAGAAACATTTTTCTCAATCTAACACCAAATTCTCATAATTTATCCACAAGAAAATGTGTAGCAATTAGAAAAAAGAATTAATCCTTTAACCCTTAACTCCCAGAAGTGATTAACATGAAACTTCTCCCTATAATATCTTTACATTATCTAGCAAACAGGTAGTGAGAATATTCAAACTTATCAGGTAGATGTTGCTATCTTGATCTAACACCAAATTCTCATAACTAATTTACAATGAAATGTGTAGCAGCTAGAGGGGAGAATTAACAATCAGATCTTGGGAGTTTAAGGGGTGAAAGTATTAATTGGGTTCACCCCAGTGTGAGTTGTATGTTACTGAGACCAAATTCTATTGAAAAGAAGGATTTAAGTCCATCACTTGCTCTTAGTCTTTTTTAAAATGGTTGGTATTCAATACATTATTTGATAAGGCTTTGTGATATAGTTAACACACATGGTTCTTTTTTCCAGGCACTTGGGAACCTGATGAGCAGAAGGGAGACTGAAATACAGGAGCACAGGTATGGAACATCGCTTCTAATTGATTCTGTTGTATTGTTTCAACAAGTATAAAAACCTATGAAATAACACTGGTTCCTCCCCAGGCATCCACATATGCATGCCACAATTATTGTAGGAGGCAGGGGTGATAGGCAGTTCCAGATGCTCAGTTCATAAAACAGGGGGAAATAGTAAAGGTGTGCAAGTAGTGTTGGAGTGAAAAAGGAAGGAAGGATTGGTTTGGGCAGGTTCTTTACCCATCAGGGGTGGTATAACCTCTTTTGCTAATGAGAACAACCTGCTACTGTTAACCCTTTAACTCCCAGATCAAATTTCTTACTCTCCTTACTGTCAATGATACAATTCTTATAATGTTAGGTCAAAGAATGTGGTATAGGATCGACTAATTAACCCTGAAATTGCTATTTTCTTTATCCTCATCACTTATCTGGTTGATATTGTATTTAAATTGTATGGAGGAATTCTGTCTTGGTCACTCATGGGAGTTAAAGAGTTAAACATAGAAATGCTATTTTCTGATCATTGGTAATACAGAACCCAGGTTTTTTTCCCACCAAGTCCTGCATTGACCTTGCTCATTTTTCCTTAGACGTTTAATTGAAAAGAAAGAGAGAGTGGAGGCAACCATAAACACACTGAAGGCTCAACATGGTGAGGAGACATCAGAAGAGGCTATAGCTGAGCTGCGAGAGCTTATTATTCCAGCAGAACAAGAGCAGCTAAAGAAACTTAAGCTTTCTCTTGCCAAGTAAGTAACGTCAAAGTCAGTCACAGCAAGGGTTTTTCTACTGTTCATTTTCACCATGCTCGAGATCACTTCAACAAATGGCATGTGTTCAAGATCAATGTAATAATTTGTGGCTCAGTGTTGTTTCTGTTCTTACATTTGTTAACAGTAAACTTGTTGTTAATTTATGAAATTATGTACTTGCATGCATTCAACTTGGATCTATGAGGAAACAAACCCAGTGCAATTTGACCAGGAGACCTCTGTATGTCAATTCCAGTGACTCAGCCCATTTTACCACCTTTTTCAACCATTCAGAGCAGGAAATATATGTCATTTTCAGATATATTAAATATTCCATAAACATTTGCAAAGAGAAGAACAAAGTTAATTTCAAATTTCTTCAATGTTGAATGAAGCCACTAAATTTGTGCCTGACTTTGTCTATAGGTTGGATCAGAGTGAGCTGCAAGTAGATGAGACCATTTTTATTCTATCCCAGTACATTTCTTCGCATTAGGATGGAAGACTGAGATTTAAGAAGAAGCTGGAAGAGACTTTTGTGTCTGTTGTGTCTCTAGTTTGGCATGGTCTAAGGAAGTTGCTGACTAATGCTGATCCAGTCAGTTTGCAGACCTTCGCTTTTCTGTGAGGCCACAATCCAGAGAGTGAAGGTCACCATCCAGAGAGTGAGTGATTTAAGAGCCATGGGGATTTGATGAACACTAACAAATTGAAAATAAGAGGGGAACAACAAGAGGGGTTGCTTTGCAGATGGTGATTGGAGAGATGAGGGAACCACATCAAGCAATTCATTAAAAAATGTACACTGCCATCTAAATTAAACCTTAAATTAAAAACAAACAAACAAACAAAATCATAGAGGCCTCTGTCTCTATTACTTGTTATCAATGTTCCTTTTATTTTCTTGTCTCTGTGTATCACATTTTACTTTTGTGTTGTAGATAGAATCTTTGTACTCTACTTTTAAATGTTTTGAAACACCTTTCATAGGTAGTAATTTCAGAATTCATTGCGCTGTGACAAACTAGTAAGCAGTTTATGTGATTATATCTAGAGGTATCGTATCTGTCATGTACTCCAATGAAAAGGTTCAATGATAAGACTTATTCTGTGTAAAACATGACTATGCTAAGTCATTAATGTCATATTTATTATTACATTCTACTGTATGTCATTTTAAAATATTTGCTTCTCTCTAGCATACAATGCACCTTTGCATAAGACATCTATACACTAATTGTTACATTTTGCTTGTACTTATTACACTCATAACCGTTTGTTCATGCAGTGCAATAAATTGACTGCGAAATGAAGATTTGACATTGGTCAGTGAAGACATTGGTGAACTAAATCAAAGTCTGGCATAAATTATTAGTAAAATGAACATCCATTGTGATGTGTGGGTTGAAGAGTTGAGTTTTAGGTGAGGATGGAAGAACTCTTGATTGCAAACATCTTTGTAATTAATGGTGATGACATGCCAGGTTATTTTAGCAGATGGCTTGCCTGTTCTTTGTTACACTGTAGACTGTTTTGATGACCCAACTTTCTTTGCCCAGAAGCATTCTGAGTTCTCTTTCCAACTTGGTTCACCTTGTTCGTAGACTTCCTGAAAATGACAATGAAAGGTACAATAAGTAAATGTAGAACGTTCAAAATGCTTCTCTTATTTTATATTGGGTTTCCCATGTAGGTTTAATGGAATGATAGCATTACACTGTAGAGCAATTTTAAATTAAATTCTGACATTAGCATAGCATCTTGGACTCACACTATAATACAACAGAATCAGTATATGACTGTGAATATATGAAAATCATATAATTATGTGAACTGCAGATCAAGAAATAAATTTGAAAGCAATCTTCGCAGTAATGAACACTACTTATGCAGTAACAGCCTGAAAAAATTTCAGACCTGTAAGGCATTTGAACCCAGGATCTCTACCAAACCAAGGAAGTACCAACTGAGCTAACAAGCCAACCATGAATTGATCATTGCGGTATGTTGGTTTGTTATAATTATAGGTTTCTACAAAAGTATATAACCCACAGAAACAGACTACATGATAAAGATTAAGGAATAGGTTAGAAATATTTCATTTCCACATTAAATCTCAATGAACTGAATTGTGGTTTTGCAATGATTTCCATTCTTAGCCTTGCCTCTACCTACTGTTATTTGAAAATTTCAGAAAGTTCTGAATTTCCATGGAAAAAGGTTAAAGTAGGAAGAAAAAAGGTGAATTTCAAATGTACCTTTTTCCATATTGGCACTGTTGCTTTTAAAGTATCTATGCAGTATTGTACAGCTTCAAGAGAATTCATCCTGTGAGCTGATGAAACAGCAATAATCACACTGGCCTCTCCAATGGGTACCACCCTGCAAAAACATTGTTATTTGTGATCAACTATTCATCAAACACAGTTTCTGAATTACTCAGTGACATTAAAATTGAGCAACGAGGTGCACTTATGGTTAGTGCACTGGACTCCTGGTCAACCAGGCTGGTCTCTACCTTGGACCACACAAATGTCAATAACTGGGTGCATTGGCCAGCCAGCCAAGCCAATATGCTTACAATATTTTTACTATAATAATTATGATTGAAGGAAACTAAATGCACCAAAGCCCAACATGAAAACCCCTAAAAACCAGCAAGTGGATATAAGGGGGAACATGTTTCCTCAAACAAGGCAGTGGTGCCACCCTCAGGGTTTTAGGGCATCCTATGAGTAACATGACGTTCGCAAATAGATGACAGCCACTCAAGGAAGTATGCAAGTACAGCTCTAGGTTATGCCTGATGAGAACATGACAATGTTTCAGGAAGAAAAAAACTGAATAAATTTAAACAAAAATGAAACCTTACAACTTAATACAGCGAAGGCTGACTGTATAATGCCTCGCCCTTCTAACAACCTTAAATTGCAAACTGCATTCCCATAACTCTCTGTGCACCTTGCACCTGCCTCCAGTCTTCTGATACAAGCCAGCAAAATATGAATTTATGCATATTACAATTATCACAAATTACACATTCACAGTGCCTCTATCCACCCAGGGGTACAAAAGTGTCCCAGCCAGTAGTCAGACAAGCCTGGTTAAATGCTAAGGGGTAACATTGTGATGGACTGGCATCTCACCCAAGGAAGAGTAGTGATACTCCTTGCTGTTTCATGCCAAGGAAAGCATGATAAGTTCCCACTGGATGGGGCACTTGGCTTGAGTACAGATGAAACCTTCTAAAGTTTAATACTTTCTCCTATTTTTGAACCTGGCAAACAAGGGTTGAACTTACCCAATTCTATGAAAGATGGCTATTTTGATCACATCCCATTTTTCTCGGACTTGCTTACAGATCTTGCGCATCTCTGACCTAGCCATAGGTATGTATGCTTCGTATTCCAAACGCACTACTGTTTTTCCTGACAAAAAAAGTTATTTGTTAGAGCAGAAGTATCATATAAATTTCACCTCTACTTCAGAGAGAATACCATAGCTTTGCAGCAATTGACACAATTTTGGAATAATAACCTGTTATTTCATGTAAGACTAAGAAAACTGTTGACATTAGTAGACTCAGATCTCTTTAAGGACAAGCAAATTTTACTAACTGGAGGAATCTGAAAATTACAGCACACAGTCAATTTGTAATTTTTTGAGGGCTGAAACACTATTGATTTAAAGATGTAAACTAGCACTAACAAACTGTCTCACATTTCTTCTTGTAAAGACTATAATTTAATAAATGAGTATGCTGATAACAGGAAACATGCAATTAATAAAAAACTTGATGATCACCTTCAAAATTATCTCTTGTAGTCCCTAAAGGAATATAAAACACAGTCATGTCATAATCATGAATGTTTACTAAGTTAGTAAAAGACATTGTATTGGAAAACTTAACTCTTAACACCCTAACACAAATATACAAGTTCTCCATTCTCTTCACCATTCATTTCCTATCATATTCACATGAAGAATTTGTTGAACAGCGAAGAGTACTTAACTTTACAAGCATTTCCTTTACGCTCATGACCTTGATATTTGATCCAGGAGTGATACTTTTTGGAGGAATTAGATACTTGTCACTTTAAGGAGTTAAAGAGTCCAAGTAAAGAGAAAAAAGTTCCCCAAAACTGCATGTTAATTATTGGGTGAATGATGGTCAACTGCTAATGGTTTTGGCAAAAGTACAGGTCAGCTACTGACAAATAGTTGGCTGACCAATAACCAATAGTTAGTGATGCATTAGAGATGTCGATCAACTAGTTGTCAGTGACAACAACAGGTATTTTGTCATCTATCACTCAAAATTACACTTAACCCTTTAACTCTCAGATCAAATTTGTAATTCTCCATACTGTCAATCATAAAATTCTTATAGTGTTAGTTCAGAGAACTTAGTGTTGGATCAACTAATTATCCTCATATTGATATTTTTCTTTATTCTCATCACTTATCTGGTTGATATTGTAAGGAAAAATTCTGTCTTGGTCACTCATGAGAGTTAAAGGGCTAAAGTACACTGTGATTAATGGTAAACTAAGGAGATCTTGTAACGAGGTAGAGAAAACTAGGCCCACCTACAAACAGTGAGATTGCTCCAGCACTTGGAGCACCAACAATTTCTGAAACCTGATCAACATGAAGGTGATCTGGTGTTATAACGATTGTATCATCTGCCATGTGTAAACTGTGTGCCTTTCCTTTACTGAAAAGGAAACAAATTAGAGTTGGGTGAATAATTTATTGCAGGTGCATCATCTGCAATATAGAAAAATAAAATACTCCAAAACCAATCAATTATATCATGCAACACTGGTGGAGGCCAGAATTTGAAAGCAACTTAGCATGTTTGCTGACTCAAGCATCTCAGTTTGAGGATGAAATTTGCATGTTAATTGAATTTATTAAAAATTTTGTAAGAAAAGAAACAAGTTTTGCCCCAAGGAAACAAGTAAATGTTTTGGGGTGAAGTTGCCATACTTGCTACATTGAACTTGTTGTGAACTGGTAGGGCGGCAGAGGGGCAGGACTTCCTCAATTTCAACATTCTCTGAAATTCATAATATTGAACCACCTTGTTGACAAAAATCTAACATGCATAATTTACTTCAAACTGAATGTAACTTAATAACCTAAATGAATAAAGGAGGTAAGTTTTTGAAGAAACTGTCAGTGTTGCTGTGCTAGTAGGAGGTACTTATCAATAATTTGGTTTTATCAACTGAGTTGATGATGTAAGTTGGCTTCCTGAAAGAAAATTTTCGCTGCGGCAAATTTTTATTTATTCAGCACATACAGAGGACAAAATTATATTATATTGAATAAATTTTAAGCCATCCGCATTGAGATCATGTTCCCTTGAATTATGTTGAAAAATTACAACCCTAAACTGCAAATTTTAATATAAATTATAGTGATATTTATATGTTATTCCATGCGTATATCAAAAATGAAAGATCCCTCCCATTCTACACATGGATGAACAATATCTTTAAGTCACGTTCCCTACCTCATTTTTGTATCCACAAATATTTCAAACGAGAAGTATATTGTAAACTTGACAAAAATCAGCCCCTGACAACCTTCAGAGTCAGAAAGTTTGTGTACAAGAATTTTTGCATGGAGAAAAAACCATCCCTGCTAAGTAAGCAGCAGTTAAAAATAATTTTAATGTTGTTATGTCTGTGATGTGTGTTTTTGAATAACTTGAATTCATTTTCCTGAACAAAACAATACCATAGTGCTTAGCAACAAATTAGTCAGTGGTACCAATATTATCATCAGAAAGAAGTGACTGTTCCAACATGTTGCATTCTATAGACACATTTCAGTAACTGTAGGAACAGTTTGAGATGGTAAAAATTTCAGTAAACAACAGTAGTAATTATGTTTAAAAATAGTATCATTGTTTGCATAGAATAATTCGAGAATAGGGATTCAAATCAAAATATAATTGATCTAGAAGGGAAATGACAGGTCAAAAATTGTCAATGCACACACATCTGGATGAAGGGACACAAAACAATAGACTCAGAACAAAATGAAAGAGTTTTTTTTTTCTCCCCAAAAATATACAGAATGCTATACAATGCTCTGGAGTTTTGCATATTATTGAATAGAAGGTTCATTATCTGTAATTACTGAAGCAAAAACTGGAAGTCTGTCAATTAGAATAAGATACATTTTGGCTACAATGTTACCCTAAAATCTGAATGTTAATGAACATCTAGAAACAGCCAGAAAAAACTGGTAGAGGGCAGACTGATGGGAGTTAATATGTTTCACAATCTCGTTCATCTTTCATTAAAAAATGTCCAGTCTGCCTGTGTCAATATTGATTCTAATACACATTTTAGATCATATATTGATTATAATGCATATTTTAGATTATATGGGGTCCATAAGCTAATATAAAAACAAAATTTGGTGAACTTGAAAATCAGCTTTTGACAGCCCCTTTTAGTGAAGTAATTACAAATACATATAAAATCAGCATTACTGGGAGTAAAAAAATGATACAAACAACTTGTTTTCCAGTGAATATGTTAACTTGTGCCTTGCAAGAGAAATTCTTCAAACATATTTTACTTGAAATTTGTAAAATTGTTTCCTTTTAAAGTTGTGATACTGTCATTGTGACAAAACTGTGAAAAAAATATTGTTATGAACATTATCAATTTGCATACCAAGATGAACTATATTTGGTAGACATCATTAATTAAAATCTTTTGTTCTGTTTGACAAGTCAGCTTGTGTTTAGAGTAGAATAAGGATAAGCAAGAACAGTTCTTTATTGGCAAACATCTTATGAAAAATCTGATTCCCCTATACATTTTATGGCAAGGCTTTAGGCGATACTTTGGATAAAGTTTTAACAAAACTAAATGCTGAAGATTTTCCTGTAGGAAACACTATTGCAACTGGTTGGTAATTTTGACTCTTGCAATTTTTATTCCCCCTTGTTTTTATGATGGGTGAGAGAGAAAAAAGAAGCTGTCAATTCATACACAGATGTTTTAAAAACAAGTGAATTAATTTTCATTGGTTCCAATATGATCATACAATAAGTTTTATCCCCTTCATGGATATAGATCAGCTGCCCTTGACAGATGATGTCAGTCATTCTTGATTCCTGACAATTCAATCAGCGGTTATTGATATTTTCTCAGTCAACTGGATAATTGCCAACCTCAAAATGGTGATGACCACATTTATGACTGTTGTTACACCTGCTTGAAAATGGTCAAGTCCTGCAGTCATTGGTCAAGAAATCAATTTCAATTTGTCAAACACCTTCATTTATAATTGTGTGTTTGCTCTGATCGGTGATATAATTTGAATAGCCGCAGCAGATTGCTTATCTTTGAGAAAAGGTTTACAATCAGTTGTTGAGGAAGTTTGACAAAAATCTGAGAATTTATTTTTGGAAAATTTTTTGCCATATATCAAAGTGTTATTTTTATTGAGTGTGTATTTGGTAACTGCTGTGGCTGACTGAATACTTAAATTACCTGGGACCCCTTTTAGCCCCTTTTTACAAATAAGTCCCATATTCCCTTAGTTCCACCTCATAATTTTAGAACCTATTTTAATAAATACCTTTCTTCTTTCATTTCAGCCACCACTAATCGGTGGGATAACTGCGACTTCTTCGCCTCCGTTAAGAATAATTTCTGACTCCTTTTCGATGTAATTTTGATTCACGGCGATCACAAGGTTTTCCTGAATAACTGAAAGACTTAAAACAAAATGAGCGTTCGATTGATGAGTTTATACTCAACAAAAGGTAACGCAAATCGATTAAAACGAAATATGTAACGTGGTGAAGGGAGTGTTCTACCAAAGTACAAGATGTTTTGGGTATCCTGTAAAAGAAAACTCTGATAGAGTATACGGAATCTTTCGAACCTTAATGTACAAAACACTGATTCCACAAAGATCATTGACCCATAAGATTCGTCTTACCTCGGAAAATTGTTGAGGATACCAGCTATCAGATCTCTCCCCAAGAGTCTCTTCCCAATAAATATTTGTGCCGAACGCTGTTCCACTAATTCACGGCTTTTAGCAAAGAACAAAACAGTCACCTATTGAGTGGAAAAGAACAATAGCAAAACTTTTGCATCTTTCAAAATAAGCTCTTCGACTTATGCAAATATGCTCAACGTAAACAAAATAATCTGAACGAACGCGGTCACAATAACGCATGGGTACTTAAGTCGAGTCGCGATCACTTGCAAAAATAAACCAACCTCGGAAAGAACGTGCTGTCGGTTGTTGCGACAAATAAGTAATTGTGGAGTTTAAGACGAAAGGATTATATTCGGTTTTTACTTTAAGATTAGGTTAATTAGTAAAGTTAATCTGAACGAATCGCATGCTTCCTCGCCGATCGCACACTTTTTAACACCTTGGAGGCGATACGATCTCCTGGATGCTCGATTTTTACCTTGTCGCCGCGATTGACTTTACCGCGAGAAAAACCACCTCTTGTAAAATATAACTATCGATTACAAAAGTGTTGACTTTGTACGTCTAAAATGGCATGAATGATTACGTCTCCTAGGACAAATGCTATATCTGCCATGGAAATAATTTTTGCGATACTGAATCGTAAGTTGAGCAATCGTTTCCATTTCTCCCGAACGCATGGCTTGGCGAGAGGAATCAGAAATCAATCTTAACTTTCTAACCTTAACTTTGTCTGTCCCATCATTATTTACGTGATCCATCAATGATTTCAGGAAAATATCACAAGACGTCCACAAGGACAAATATCAATGATTAAAATCAGATGAAAATGAGCTGATGTTATACTTTACCTACAAAATCAACCAGGCGTGCTAGATAGCCGACATGTAGTATTCTAACAAGGTATTTGATTGGTTATTCTTTTTTATCCAATTAAATGCTTTGATAAAAGTGCAAGTTAGGTTATAACAAATTCGTTTCGGTCCTCTTAACCTGATAGCTCAAATTAGTAAACTAAAAAGACATTTTGGATACAAATCCACGAAACATTCGAGAAGGAAAAAAATTAATCGAACACTTTGAGGTAATCTGTGGTTTTAACACCGTAAACACTCCTTGCCTTCAGGCAAGCTTTATGTCTATTTGTGTTATTCACTATTATATTTGATTAAATCATTTTTGATTTCTTTAAGAAGCGTCAGGATTTTTTAAGCTCGCCGCTTTTCCGTGACGTACTCATTATTTAAGCACGGTTCACAGATTATATTCTGCGCTCTGTGCAAAGGGAAGGGACAACATCAGTGTAGATTACATACAGTCTCTCCTTTTCGGCAAAGTCCGTCGCGAGAGTCAAAACTGATTAAGCGAAAAAAAGCGCACATTGCGGAACTCTGTGAGGAAGGCACACAAAGACGTACGAAAGTTGACGATCATTTCGACATGTTCAGCGTGGAACATCAAAAAAAAGGCATCAGGGAAAGATCTAGATGAATAATAATAATGAATAATAATAGTAATACACCTTTTGTCCAAAGTGATGAAAAGAAATATTGACGGCAAAACAGAAAAGTATCAAAGATGGTATTTACTATCATGCTTTTGCAGAAAAATGGATCTGTGCTTTGCAGTGTCTCCTTTGGTGGGGAAGTATAGAACTGCGCATTGCACATTGCAAAAATTATGAAAATTTTCCTTAACTCATTAAATTCCGCACCCAGGCTCTTACTATTTCCTCAGTAAGCGCGGAAAGCCCAAGAAAGGGTGGGTAACAACACGTGCCCGCATCGGCGGCGTCTTGGTGACAACATGGCTCTCAAAGTAACCGTATGGTCCAGCTCTAATGGAACTGTGAGAGCCTGGGGAATACGGCCTCTTGATCGACCCTTTATCGTATAGAAGGAAAAAAGAAAAACAACCCTTTCACCTTGACCCAGGGCGAGGTACTTATGTTTATTACAGCTGATCATTAAAAATTTTTCCAACAATTACACAGTGCCTTTATTCTGCGAAACTATTCTGCTACGCCTTCGGTTATTGATCAATTGAAGTCATATTTAGGAAGTTAAACATGATAATCAATCTTTTAACTGATTACTTCCAAATGATATTTTTATTCAAGTCATTTTCCTTCTTTCTCCATTCTCGCGACCAAAATCAGGTCATTTACATCTATCGGTTCTTGGAAGGAACGAATCAGCAACTTCTTCCATCTAGAACGAAACTCGACTTTGGGGATGTTTACCACATAAAGAAAGAACAACTACCAGCCAGTTTTTGTGTAAAGGAAAGACTTGCCGGCAAGTTCTTTAAAGGTAATGTATTCACAAACACGTTCTTTCTTTGCATTGTTTCGTTGTTGTTGTTGTTGGTTTTTTTGTTCAGGGTTAGAACAAAAATTGCTCGATAGATTGGCTTAAGTTGGAGTCGTGTTTAAATTGTAAATACCCTTGACATTTTCCGTTCCTCATTTCCAGATGTCGTTCAAAACTTTGCCAAAATTTCTGCCATTAAAATTTGATTTGAATACGTGCAAACAATGTTTTAATTTAGTGCCGTATTTTTAAATGACTGATTAGAGTTTTTCTCCTCGCAATCCAATAACATGACTTAATTCAATTTGTGAACGAAAAGGCGACTTAACGAACGCGAAACATATTAGCAAATAAGATTATTGTCCAGTATAATCAGCTTCGTCTAATCTTTCTAAAATCCGTTTCATTTATTCCTGCTGACTATCTTTTTTAAAATCATTGTCATTTTCCAGGAATTTTCCCCTAAGTTCTGATCGCCTGAAAACCTCACGGTTTCTTGGCACGAATCTTGCTACCAAACCGATGCGGTGAAATGTTCAGATTTTCCTGGAATAAACACATGATTTTATCAACTTCAGGAATGTCTGCTGGGAGAAAGAGCAAATATTATTGCGGAAATCTATATATTTTTCACTCTAGGTTCCCAATCATTTTGAGACAGTAAACAAAACTTTAATCGAACTCGATAAACGTTTCCGTTTTTGGGAGTGATCTCAAGGGTGCCTTGCTTAATTGATTTTATGACAGTCGTCGCTTTTTCTTTGTACGTTTTTCAATATCTATCTATTTTCGTCAGCGCTGTTTAGTGATTAACACCTTTTGTTTCGAACTTGTTTACCTTACAGACGCTTCTGATCTTTTTGTGTTTCATAGTAAATTTTTCAGCATTGTTCCTTTTCACCACTAATGAGCAGACATTGTCAATGTTATTCCTTTCTGATTTTCTCTGAATTTACGAAGTTTTTTTTTTCGATGTTCTTTCCGCAAGCTGGTCATGATCTGTAGGATTTCCATATTAATCTCAACGTGCTGTTAGCTCAGTGACTTTCGGAAAAATCTAAAATTGAACTTTTCATGATTAGTTGGAATAAAACCTTCTGTAGTCAAAACAGACCTTTATTTTGTCTATTTATAATGTGAGCCACGCGAAAACATCGAAAAACGGAAAAACACTGAATCGGAATTGTGTATTAGGGAAATCATCAGCAGATCGTTTCCATCAGTTTTTGATTTGCGCATCGAAAAAATATTTAATTGGAAGCATTAAACTTTGAAATCGTATTTGTATAGGAAACCATCCGACCAACTATTAGTTACAACATTCTAAGATCTGATCGATGCAATCCAGCCTTTTACCGAATTGACGTTTTCGTTTCTTATCTGATATTTATGTAAACCTGAAGTCCTTCATCCATCTTCATTATTCGAGACTAGGAGTTTTACTTTCAATTTCTCTTTCCCGGTGAAGGGATCATTATTGTTTTCGATTAGAAGTGAAAAAGTTAGCGAAATTTATAGACCGCATGTAGAGAAATTAGCAGCTCTTTTCGTACCGCAGGATTTTCAACGAATCGATTAATACGCGAGTTGAACGTGTTCTGGGCAATAAATCGCAAGTTCCTTTGGTCAGAGTTTAATATTGTTTCACATTACGACGCGCTTTGATTGGTGAAGAGTCAACTGCTATCGATTAGAGGAAGGCAGATTTTTTGTAAATTCGATTGTGGCGAATATTTTTGTCGCCCAGCTTAGCAAATCCTTTGATTATCCAGTGAGTTTTATTAGAGGCTAGACTGAGGAGTCTTCAAAGTCCTAGAGAACTAAAAAAATTGTTTCCCGGTTGAAACAGATCTTTGAGATTTTTGTCTGGTTCCAGAGAGGGTCGTTTGAGATTGTCATCGTGAAAATTCAATTTTGGCCATCACGTAAGATCCGATAGCAGCGGGATGGATGACACTTATTGTGAAGTAAAGCCGTTAATGTTCTGTTTTCATTTACATAAATTTAGTTTTTCTCCAAAGCCACCTGCCTAACTGACTGAGTTGTCAGAGCGACTACGAAGACATTAAACACGAGAGCAACTTGCTGAAATTCCGCTAACGATTTTACATCACAACATCGACCTTGTGATAACTGCATGAAACGGAATCTTTCAACGAGGACTTCCGTACAGCACTCCACGTCCATCAGTTCCTCTCAAGCTTTGCCTGCTGAACTTAGGGCTTTAATAATTGAACATGAATTAGTTGGGTTACTGTGAATTTTACGCAGCAAATGATTGTTTAGCACTGTATGCATGGCGCGCGGGTCGTGATGTTTATGAAGGAATCAATTGGAGGAACAACTTTAAAGAGTTTTCGAGGCTGCTTGATGACTTATGTTTTTTCCGTTTGTCAACTTGTCTGGGAGACCTACTCTTACTTGAGTGAAAATTCTTAGTTATGAACTTGAAGTAATGAAACACTGACTGACTGGTAGGATGGTCAAGTTCGCGCCTGTAATATCTAGCGCAGCCGTTGCGAGAGCTCAGGGGAACACTTCGCGGACAAGAGCATCAAATGTGCCTAATGGACGAGTAAGACTGCCTTCTCTATACCCTGCAATATCACTAAAATCTTTACATGGACGATCAGACGGCAGCGAGTCAAACACAGGTTTCGAACAGGCACCAGCGAGTCGTCTTTTTGGGCAGCCATCCATTGATGTCACAGAACAAGGATATGACAAAGATGGGACAAGTCTTTCAAGAGAACTGCACGGTGATGAAAACGGAGCCGTCCCGTCAAAAGTTAAAGGTTCTTCGATAGTGGTCGGGGCTGCCGGCATTTTGCGGGCAGCAACGGCTATCGCGGTAGATAACACGACAGCAGAAACGACAGTACATCAAGCAGAACATCAAATAGAGGAGCCAGAATGCGAGGTAAGTAACTTCCGTTTCTAAATTTTTGGTTTCTGTAATGTCTACGGGTTTGCTGAGGGCTTTAGTTTATAGTTCCCAGAGAATAACTTGATGTGAATGAGAGCGGTAGATTTAGTATTGAAAGTTTCGGTCGCTAAGTAAGGTGACAATAAGTGGACCCACAAATATCGATATTTATTCTGGCAGCTGTTGAAATTTAGGTGCCTTGATGAGTGCAGGGCTTTTTTACATTTCTACGGATTTCTGTCCCATTTTCTAAAGTTTGTTTCTCTTTTCTTTATTCGTACATCCGGTGCAGGGAATGGTTTTCGTCAACGCTTTGTAGCTGCGGGCCTATTTTCATATAGATCACACTGCGCTATTTGTTTGGGCTTTCCTTGTAACAATACTGACAACAGTAATTATTTCCCTGTTTTATTCAGCGATACCCGCTCGTGGCTAATCAAGGCGCAAATATCTATCTTCATGTCGTCACTTTCGTCTATGGCGATTTTCGGTCAAGTTTATTGTTGCATGCTTGTTGTATTGAAGATGGCTTACAAAACAAAGTTTGCGTTTGAACAAGACTCTTGAGCGAATCCGCGGCTTAGCAGTCGGCTTTAAGCAAGATTACTAGTTTTTAGAATTTTAGGCGATTTGACGTAGTTCACAGTAGCATATATTTTAACTATAACAGAGAGATTTGAGTTGCCTAAGTGTTCCTCATAATGTGACACCGGTGTTCCAGTTTCGGGTGAAACTCATCGGCGAAATATTTGAATTGAATTTACAATCTTATTCGACTTTTTTTCGCCGTTCATCCTCTGATATCGAGTCGGATTTGTAGGGGGGGTCGAATTATTCAAATTTTATATTTTGTCTTGGGCGAATCTATGTATAAAATGATTGAAAATTCGTTCCTTTATGTTTCATATAAATTCTTTGTTGTCGTTCAAAGTATGATGTCCGTGTTTCGTGTTTGAGTGAAATTTGTGTTATTAAAATTCCGCTTGTAAATTGATTTCGTAGGTTTAGTTACCATGGAGACCCTGTGTTTGTGGTTTTATCATCATCATAAGCCTTTGTCTTTTTAGCGTTGCCCTGTGTTTTCAACGTGAGGAAAGATGTAACTTCTAATATTTCACCGTGGTTCTACACAAAACACGATATTTCTGCGTGTACTCCGACATAAATTCGGTCAACTCCACTCAAATACGTATTCAGTGTCAGCGATAAGAAACAAAAAAAAAGCTGATTTTTAAGTCATGACAAGTATTACATAAGAAACGAGAGAGCAGTTACCCAATATTTTCTCTTGATAAGAAAACATATTTTATGGGGAGTTTTTTTGAAGTAGAAATTGTGATGTCATGCGAAATAACTGTTGGTTTCGAAAGCGGATCATATTTATTGGATGAAGTAAATAATTTAAGTACACAGTGTTCAAATTAAATTAGCTTCGACTGGAATGTCGTCCATCAGGTTATATTTTAAACGAGACATCATTTATTTCCCGATCTTTCTGGAAAAACGTTATGTCAGGGTGGCTTTTGTCTCATTTAACAAAAATGTTTTCTTGCGCCACATAGAGAACGCCCAAATTTGAAAAACAAAGCTGGTATATTTCGTTGTTTCTGATATTTAATTAATTTCACATCTTTCTTGTGCGCTTGATAAGGGTTGTGTGTTATCTAATATATAGTAAGTTGTGTAGAAATATCTGGCTTCTCGTATGAATTCTCGTGCCTCCTTGAATTACGATACTCTTTCTTCATTGTGCTATCATCACATTAACAAATTATTGTTTCCTACTGGTTTGGCGAATAATTTTTGTGCAGCTTGAACAGAAAGCCAAAAGCACTGGCTCAGTAAAATTGCATACTTGCTAAATTAATTGAAAGATAAAAATTTGTCAATGCACGTTTATGAGTGATTATAAGGAGATATATGCTGGTGAAAGTAAGTCTTTTAAACAAAGGTGTACGTGAATTTTTTTTATTCGTTCGCACGTTGAGTACAATATTACTGATATGGCTGACGTCTGTCGTTAGGTGACAGTTCTTTCGTCAAAGACATGAGCAGAGACTAAAATAAGTTTTACCTCAAAAAGTTAATTTCTGAAATATATTTACACTTGGGTTTTCATCTGGGTAATCGATGATCAAAATCCGGGCCTGGCTTTGATAACGACTTCTAGAGTGTGGTTGCTATCGCCTTGAGGGTAAACCGCGTGAGGTTTAAGATATTTTCACGAAATGTATGACGTTAGTGAGTTATGCCTTGAAGTTGACAGGAATCAAGCGATCATCACTTTAAGAGAGGAAACTGATAAAGTAAGGTTGGCGTAATGTAAACAACATGAAAAGGTGGCATGTCTTGTTCACTGGTGGTTTCTTTTGACTTCCTCAACTTATCAGACTGTTAGAGGAGTTAAATTCAAAACTTGCTCCATTTAAAAGATTCAACCTTTATGGGGATATTCCCGGAGTGTCTCAGGGGTATCTCTATACCCCAGTATACCCCAGGAGAGCTACTTAGAGACAACATTAGACTCGAATAAGTTCCAATGAGGAATTTATTTCGTTTGGCAAGGTTTAAAAGTCATATAATATAATGCAAGGATTTCAGGATTTCGACCTTGGGTTGGGTTGTGGGCTGAATGACTGTTGTGGAAAATGTTCTCAATGAAAAAAACTATCAACCCAGGAAACTCTTGGTTAAGTAGCTGGAAAGGTTTTCAAATACTCTCCACCCATCCCCCCCTCCCCCCCCACTAAGTCCTTGGAGAAAGGGCGAACGTAACAAACGAAATGTGATCAAACGAAAACCTTCAAAATGAGACTTAGCAATTTGTGGTTAAAGTTGAGGCTCAGGGTAAGGTGTAATCGGGTTTCACTTGTTTAAAGAGATTTCTGCCTTCAACCTCTGAACGAGAAGGTGACAACTGACTGCCGTTAAATGAAATTTAGACCAGTTCAAAATAAATGAGTATCATAATTCTTTTCCGCTTTTTCACTCAAGTACACGAAACGAGTATATCAGTTGTTCAGAAAGAAATGACCATTAACACAGTCTAGAATTTTTTTTTCTGTTATCATCATAATCATATATTTTTTCAAATTATCCGTTCCGAGATTCACAATTGAGTTCTATCTGAATCCAGAAAGCAGTGTTTGAGCAGCCGCTGTCCAGATAAAATGCATGCTCGTTAATGGAGAAGTGCCCGATGGGAAATATTCCTCTAAGGATGTTACTCGATACTGTTTGCTTTTCTGGAAGCCGCAAAGTACGTAAGACATCTGTTTATATCTATCAACAGCCCTTTGAGTACAAAATTACGGAGCTATTCAGTTACAAAATTCTGCCAGATCTCAGAATTTGATTTGGTGGTAGGCTGATGCCAATATGTCGTATAAAATATCTTTGATGCTCTTTGCTCTTTTAAAATATAACTGTCGAATTCTCTTTACCACTACAACAAATTTTCCTTGCAAAAGTATGAGCATTTAACGTCACTTCAACACAATTTTAACCTGAAAAATTTTAAGCGACGAATGTCAGAGAAGATGCGTAATTAGTTAGTTTTCAGCGGCGAAATTTACCCTACACACTGACACCTCCGACCAGAGCAGCATAAAAGATTCTCGTTAATTTATCAACAGCTCCATCAAGTTGAAATACGGCTGTCATAAAGGTTGTTAAAATTTAAATACTGCACAAAGATAAACAGGTGAAGTCTAACTATAGCTTGTCTTCAATGTTATTTTATGCATTTTAAGAATATAACCATTTCACAAGTTTTATAGAGAGCCTGTGGAACAGTAGTATGCCTGTAATTATTTGTCAGTCGCAAGTGGATAAATATGTAGGATTTTTTGGCTTCACTTTGTCTTTAATCTGTTTTGATCCATTTATCCTTTTTGGAAACGTAAAAGAACTCTACGCAAAGCTGGTCATCGATCACTTCACAGAATCAGACTTTGCTTGAAAGTAAAAAAAACTTTCTTCATCCTGTTGTGATCCGATGATGATTCAGTTTGTCAATGCCTTCAACACACCGAGGAAACACAATCCGCTATGGAAGAATGCCAAATTAGTAATTTTACCATATTGAAATAATTATATCTGCCAACTTATGTCACTCTAGAAGTGAGGAATCCATTTATTGCAGAAGGGTTTCACATCGTCATACAAATTCACCATTTCCTTTCCTCTTTTTTTTTTCTTGATTATTAATTGTCGAAGTCAGGCTCATCGATCCTTTACTTCACTATCCTTTTTTTATGCAATTGTTTTTTCGAATTCTATTACTAACGAGCGCGTGCTCAATTCGAGTAGAGTTCATCCTCTCCAGCTCTTTTGTTGAAGAGGAAGTGTAGAGAACTCGGAGAATTTTTTTTGCTATCCCAATGGAGTCCAAAGTATTCAATATTCTTTCTTCCGGTCCAATCTATTCGTTTAAATTTCTTGATTGGCGAGAAATTCGAGCTCGAGTTTGCTCCGACGGAGGCAGGTGCGACGTATACAAAAGTATCCTTGGTGATTAGAACCAGATACGTCATATTCACTTGACACCAAACAATCTCTGTGAATAAACCCCAAAGTTGCACAGAAGTCCAACAGCTTCTAAAACCTGACAGTTAAAATAGCAAAGGCGAAAGGAAGGTATTTGCGAGTCTTGGAGTGGTCTGTTGTATGTCGTGCTTGCAGCTCGAAACGGTAAAATCTGTGTTGATGATCTAGCGACGATGTATTTATAATAGCTCTGTACGACCGCCGTCTCAACGTGAAGCATGCTTTTAATTTGTTTGTTGAGATGCAGTGGAAGGGGGAAACGTTGTTGATTTTATAAATGCAGTGTCCTTCGGCAATATAAGATACTGAGAACATAAGCTCGAAAAAGTCTCCTCTGCGTGAAGCATTTTAAAAATGCTAATTCAGCGTCTTCACCACAATGAAATCAAGCGCCAGTTTTAGAATATCACCAAAGTCTTCAACTCTTTCTGCCAAAATCAGCGGCGAGGTTAACACTCGGAGCTCACCTGGGATACCTATTAACGGAATTTCTCCGAATTCAAGCCCAAGTGAATCACAAACATGCCACAACTTTGTACCAGTATCACCCGAATATATTCATCAACCCCTGGAGGACTTCGATTCCCCTCAAACAAATGTAAGTCAAACAAATTCGTTAAATATTGGTATAAAGAAAGTTTAACATAAACACTTCCTCTTTACTTGTTTGCGGAGAATCAGTCGCTTTTCACCTCATGTTATATAAGCCCAGAACATCCTCCCACAGTAAGTCAAATCAAAGGATGGTTGAAGAGATCGTTGAGAACTACAAATTTTTATATTTATCATCGTTAATTCTGCTCGGTAAACTACATGACACCGAAACTAATTCTTAATGGTTAAGATTCCCCGAAAATTAATTTCCTATGTCGCGATAATCTTGGGCCATTCGATGCCGTAGAATTCCATTCCCTGACAATTCAAGTTTGAAATTATAGAGAGCTATCTAGGAAGGCGAAATCATATCTGTCAAATTTAATTTTTTTAACTGCCGATAGTACAAATAACTTTAGTGAACATTGCGTGGCCTTTGCTTGAGAAATTCTGGTTAGAATTAAAACTGTATAAATTGCAGGCATTTCAGTAATCTTTGTCGTTGTATTTTTATTACTGAAAATAAACAATGTTTTCTTAAGAAATTGATTTAAACACGGTGCAGACACCTGCGATCGTACTCGAATACAACATATGTCATTTACAAAATTTTTCGTGAAAGCCAAGGAAATGAAATATTTCGTTTTTGCGATTGGTAGGAATAACTAAAATCCTGTTCATTAAACCCAGCAATGCCATTAAATTAAATGATTCGTTTCGGACCAAAGCGCAACACATATCGCAGGTAACAAATCTTTGACGAGCGCGTGAGAGTAATTTCAGTGTCAAAAGACTTCCGAGAGAGAATCCTCTTGGAATAAAATCATCAATATTTTTGTTAATTGAGCGAAAACAATCTTGCTTTTCAAGTTAAACCTTTCCGGTGTAGCCGACTTTTAATGTGCTACTGGCTAACGACATTAAGTTAGTGTTATAGGCCTTGGCGCAGAAATAACTGTTAAATGTTGTTAAGGGAATATTAAACGTCTTCCATGATTTTAATATTTAAGCATTTTGCTTGATCCTAAATCATTTTGACAAGGAACCTACGCTGGGTACTTAATCCCTACAAATCCTTACAAAAAATATTGGTAATTCAAATGAAATTCAGCTTTTATTTTGTTCATGTGTCAAGAAAATCTTCAGGACGACAATGGTTACACAACGAGTTAGGTTTGCCTCCGACAGGCCTTTCAGATAAAACAATTAAAGAAATTGATAATTTAGACTCAGAATTCACATGCAAATGAAATACGTCCGTAAATTGTGAAATATTCATAAGCATTTCCTCTAAAAAAAGATCACCCCGTGGTTTCCGTGAGTAATTCACATGCAAACTCGTAACTTTTAATATCAAGAGGAATAAAAAAAAAAAAAACAAAAAAAAAAAACTCACGGGTTCAACTCCTTGGTTAATGTTTTGATATTTACTTTCCGAGAACCTAAGTCAAAATGATAAACTAACGATAAACTGGCCAGCTCCCATGACGAAGAATCGAAGAAAGCCAGCACGATAAAAATACACTATATTAAGATGATATGAGCGGAAACCAAGCACTTTATAAACATAACTGACTGTACTGTTTTCTATGGCTATGATAGAACATTTCAATGTTTTCGATATTGTTAAAAAAGAAAATCATTCTGATCCAAGGGTACACGGTATGCATCTCGCCGTGCGTGGTCGAGTATCTTGTTCTGCTTTTTTAGGAAGATCAATTGAATCCGACTTTTGACCCATTTCCTAAAGCTTGAGAAAATAATTCAAATGGTTATGACTTCTTATAGCTTTATGTCGTAAGCACTATTATCGATGCGATAAAACCATGAAAATGTATGATTTCACTATGAAGCTATCGTACTAAAGATTTTAATCCAATATTTATTCCTATATTTTGCAAATTGTTATTGCTATAGCTTCCTCTCGGATACTGAAATAAAAAGCTGAATGTTGTCGGCATTTGTTGAAGGGTTCTGTGTAATTGTATTTACACGGCTTACATTTGCTAAAGCTTAAAATGTGGTATAAAATTAATTAATTTTAAAGTTAGGGTCGTCCCACAAATTTCGCGCCTTTTCCCGCAATCGACATAGGGTCGAATAATTTTCCAGCGCTTGGTTACGGCTGTTCTCTGCCTCTGTGGACTTCGTCGTGATCGCGGTTGGCGTAACTTGAAAAACTTGCCTCAATTTTTTCTACATAGCCATTTGCAATCAGTTTTTTCTTCTCCATCCTAAGCCATCCTTGGGTTTTTTTTTGGTTTATCATTGCCTCTTTTGGAGTAACTTTACGAACAAATATTCTGTTGTTCCCTGTAAATTGAATCTGGTTTTCCAACTTTGAAAGGACCCCAAACCACCCGTCGTAACTTCTTTTAGATTTCAATAGCTTCCGATGTAAAGTGGTCTTTCATTCGGTTTTGAAGCAGGCTTTTAAGCTTCTATATGCTTGGCAGTGATTATCATTTGACACAAACATGAACAATGCACACGATACAACAATGCACAACGATGGCATGGGAAACCAGCGCAGGGTTTATTAATAAGAATATGGTGAGTGTGGCTAATGAACGACTGCCTCTCAAAAATACGTCAGAGCTAAACAACACTGTTAAATTTTCCTTTTGGTGAGCATTCGATGAACGTAGGCTTTAAGAGTGTAACAGTCAAACCTAGTTAAAAGACGGATGACCAAGTTTGACTCATGTACGTCACAGCATGCGTCAAAGACGCCAAAGTTAGTTAAAGCGTCGACGTAAATTTCATTCGTCGCATTAAAAATTTGTCTGCTTAGTTGTTTTAAACCTTTGCAAGAAAAATCTAGATTGTGAAAGACATTACGGATGATTCACTTAGATCACCTTTACTTATATCACACATGATTTCTTCTTAAACCATGCACCTTTTCATGAAACCCGAAGGAATCTCTACTTCCGATACTAATCAAGTAATTTGTGAAAAGCAACGACAGTAGAGTAATGTTTTCTGCAAACGAAAAAAATTAATATCTTGCCGTTCACTTAAAGACTAGATCAAGATATGCTTTGCTATTTAGCTTTGCAGTTCATTTTAGGTTAATAGCAAATAGCAATAATGTAAGAGCTCATTTTTGCCGTTGTTATTGCTATAAACATGTTTGAACTCATTTTAATATTTTCTTTTTCAGACGTTTGTGATAATTGCTACCCGACTAGGAAGACAATACGTGTTTAGGTTTAGCAAAGAGAAATCACTTTATCTATTTGGACCGTTGAATGCAGTGAGGAAAGCAATAATTATTCTTGTTACGAATCAGTATCCTTTTTAAATAGAACATAAGAGAAGAAACATATTCTCGAAACCATGACTTCTATCTCCACTATTTAGAAGTCTACAGTGTTGAACTGTGCCACTGGCTGCTTTTTGAGATTCATAAAAGTTCCTAACCCTCCGAAAATCATCTGCAAATGAGGTTAAGACTCTCCTTGCGGACGCCGCCATTTTGAATCTTGCGTAGCAGCCTGGCCACTTATATGTGACTTCATAAGGTTTTTGCCCCCTTTTTCCATCTCTCATTTTCTCAATGAACAATTCGGAGTAATCAAAAAGAAATTTTGACGCCTATTGTGATTTATGCGAAGATCACACCAACAGCCGTCTGCGGTGAACCAATTCTAAGACTTCATTAATTTGCCGAGTTAATCTCAAATGGCGGGGTTCATTGTAAAATCTCATGAAGACAACTATCCTTTCCCTTAGGAATCTCTGGACACGATAAATATAAAACTTTTGTGCATACTCTGTAATGGCTGGGGTGAAGACTATGGCATATCAATGTTGCTTTTTGGGTGAAATTTTTTTAATTGCATTAAACGTGTTGTTGTATATTGATATTAGGAACCCGATTGGATTCTTTACAATGTAAATAAACTCGTAAAATGTTATTTCCACCTGCGTTAAACTATTTTATCGTGCATGAAACCTCAGTAGTAGTGCATAATTGATATAATTCAGCATAGAATTTTGGGGTATGGCGCAATCCTTTAGGTTTCGACAATGGATTAAACATATTTAATCTCCTTAACTCTACTATAGATTTTTTGAATTGTTTATACTTCTAACCATAATAATAAATTGTATTTTTCTCGCCATAAAGAATGCTCCAGAGGAACCAGAGTAAGTGTTCAAACGTTTTTGTCTAAGTATCGCATGGTGTCACGCGGAAAACTGAATGTATAATCGGATACTGATTTGGTTTTATCGACCCTAGATTAGCCCTGCTCAGAGCCTTTCGCTCGAAACATCCATTAGTATAAATGTCATTTGGAAATAACTAACTTAAATATTACCCTTTAGATCTGCTTTTAGTGAACTGTCCCTTAGTATCATTTTCATCTATATCAATCTATGTTTTCTCTTTTCTAGGTATGTATTTGCTGCCATATACACCGTTGAAATGATTCTTAAAATCATCGCTAAAGGATTTTGCATGCACAAATTTGCCTATCTTAGAGACCCATGGAACTGGTTAGATTTCGTTGTTGTTATTTTGGGGTAAGTACCACATTATGTAGTTTTTAACAACATAGGTTTATTAATTAAATACATTTATGACCTACAGTCTTGTGACGCCGTTTGCACCTCCCTCCTATCTAATGAAGGGGCTTTTCGTGTAATTTCTTTACCCTCGTCACCCTAACATCAGTAAGCATATTCTTCTTGCCGTTCTTTATTAAATTTTTTAAGGTCCTGACAAAGAGAATTGGTATCAAAATTAAGAGGTGCTCTTATTGGTAATCATTTCCTTTCCTCTCGTTTACTTGATGATATTGTAAGGAGAAACTAGATGTTATTCACTCGTAGAGGTCAGAGGGTCAAATGCTGCTCACTTATAAAGATAAAGTCGTTTCTTGGAGAGCCAATGGTTTACAAGTTTATTCTTTTCTTTTCTCCTAAACAGTTACATCACCCTTTTACCAAATGTCTACAATTTGTCCGGCATTAGAACATTTCGAGTTCTTCGAGCTCTTAGAACCATTTCGACGGTAGAAGGTGAGGCAGGCGATATACTTTATGCGAGTTTTTTTTATTAATGTTAAATGGATCCTAAGTTTCAACTTCAAGACAGCGTGGGCTCCAAGCATCTAATGTCTTGCTGAAGGAAGTTGAAAGGTTCTCCCTTTAAAGAAAATCAAAGCTGTTTTGGATTAATCTTGAACGAATTGTTTTTCTTTGACAGGATTAAAGACAATGGTGAACGCTCTTCTCAAGTCGATGACCATGTTATCGGACGTGTTAATTCTAACTTTGTTTTTCCTGTGCATATTTGCCTTGGTTGGGATGCAACTTTTTGTCGGTCAGCTGAGAAACAAGTGTGTGAACGACCCCCCGTCATTAGGTTCTGTTGGTTACAATAGGTACATAGCCAATGAAAGTAAGTGACACTTGCCAATCATGACAATTCTTTGATTTAGTTTTGTTTTTAGGTGAAGAAAGGTCATGAGACCAGGTGACCTTTATTGATAAACTTGGAGACCGCATTTACTATGATGCAATGATCAAATATGAGCTGTTCATTTCAAATAGGAGATTCCTTTTCTTGGAAGAATTGACAAATCTCCTCAGCAAATGAGCTTGCTCTTTAGCCTGAGTTTCCATTTCACCAAACAAAAAAGCCATTTTAAAGTATTTTGCAGATAGTATGCGCATGTAGGCACAGAAAAGGAGTCAACTTTATTTGAGTAATTTTTGACGGTGGCTGAAGTCTGATGAAGGCCGCACACTGCTACCCATTGACCCGGCCCTACGTCGTCCAATACTTGTGAATCGATAGATTACATGCTAAGAAAACCTCAAATTTATTTCCACAGGTGTTTGGTTCAAAAGTAGCATCGATGAGCCAATGGTTTGTGGAAATGCATCAACTGCTGGGTAAAATGAAGAACTCGTTTTGTTCATCCTAGTAACACCCAAGCGCTTGTGACTTTATGTCAGCTCGACTCGAATTAATTTTAAAAAAATTCAAATAGCGCAGATTTACCAGCAACGTTAACTTCGCTAGTTTGTTCCTCAGCAATACAAGTTTAAATTCAATCGTGTTGTAATCATGGTTGGCTTAGGCTCACGGTTAGTGCATCACGACATAATCTTAGAGCTATATTTTGACGTTAAAGCAACTTGACGATACAATTTTTTAATTCTGTACTGTTTTGTTTTGGTATCATTTCAGTCACTGTCCGGCTAATTATACATGCTTGTCTGTTGGTGACAATCCTAACTATGGTTACACTAACTTTGATAACTTTGCCTGGTCTTTGGTAACTGCTTTTCAACTTATTACCATGGACTTTTGGGAAAATGTCTTCAATTATGTGAGTACACAGTGTGATACAAGAGAATATCAACTGGTTTGATTTTATAACATCTTCTAGGTAGTCACGGTATCTTATCAATATTTTTGCTGGCAGGAAAGGTACTTTACTTGAATACCCAAAAGAGTGGATGGGTAATTGTAAATTTTCATGGAAAACTTGATAACAGTATTGGGGTCTATTTGCGAAAGATTAAGCTTTCAGCTAGGAGAAGAAACGATTTTCCAAAGCTACTGAATGATTAAAGAATGTTAGAGGCTCCATGATCTTGTTACAAGTCAAGAAACTTGTTTTTTTAAATGTGCCTCCTTTCAAGACTAAAAAGTGTTTAGGAGGTATCACCTACCTCACATCACTTGGCGATTAGTCAAGAAAAATTGTGCCCTTCTTGACCAATCAGGTGCAAAGCTAAAAATCAATTGCGATTGGTTTTCTCGCATATTTCCGCACTTAAGGCCAGTTGTATGTATTTCAAATGGGTTTTACTTGTTCCTTTCGTCTTAAACTTTATCGCGATTGGTAGTTTGATCGGACAGTTTGATTACTTAACTTTCTAGATTTAAAAGAACCATGCAATTGAGAAGCGCTCTTTTTTAAATTTTCCATTCGATTATTTTATTGTTAATTTTTCATTTGTTCCAATGACAGGTTCTCGCCTCCATGGGTTCATGGTATGTCTTTTATTTCATGTTCGTGGTTTTCTTTGGTTCGTTTTATCTCATCAATCTGGTCCTTGCCGTGGTGGCCGTCTCATATCAACAAGAAGTTGTATCTATGCAAGAAAGGGTAAGATGTTATGTAATGATCAACTCACTACGCACCCTTACCCCAATGTACATCAAACAAACTCTGTACGAGTATTATGTGCAGTATCGGTCACAGAGCCTCCATTACCCTTGCCCAGCGGAACGGGCCGTCAAGGGATTAGAACTGGATGACGTGCAGTCATGACATGTTCCGGTGGCCCTACGTTGTCCAGTGTTTTGAATGCTGCTACAAAAAATTATGGTATACCGTTTTCGCGAGAGTGTAACCAGTTTTCTTTTACGCATTCATCAGGCCAAGTGGGTTTTCTATTATTCTCAGAATCAGATTCTAGTTCCTAGCGTTTTACCATTAATAACCATTATTAATCTTTTGCTGCAGGACAAAAACTACGAAGAGCTTAAAGCCGTTGTCTCCTCTTATTCGTTTCACGGGCGAGCTGTGCCAAAACTCCTGACCGAGAGCGGAAAGTCAAAACCAGAAACCCTGGTAACAAAATGCAAGCTCTCTCTTTGTGCTCCTTGTTTTAAGAGTTGCACTGGATCAAAATCGCACGAGACTAGGGTAGTCAATAATGCTAGTGAACTTGATGGAAGTCACACAAGTTTGCGTTACTCACCATGTGGGTCACGTGCGACGGAAATGAAGAGTGTAACGCCAGAGCATACATCTGTCACGGATAAAAATGAAAATTTTCCCGTTGTTAAAACGTCGAACAAGGAAGACACACAGATACGATTACCGCCTACTAACTCAATTGATACTCGATCCAAACAACTTTCGTCTTCACCAAACAATTCAAATTCAGAAGCTGGTGAAATTTCAAACAGTAGATTTTTAGAGGTAAAACCATCATGGACGACAACTTTGAGTATCATTAGCGAAAATGAAACATTAGACAATGACAATCATTCCGCGAATGGAGATGATTGTAACGGAATGAAAAAAGTTAAATTACCCGGAATATCTACGGCGTCATCACCCACAGTGAGTCCCCGGTCTTCAACGAGTTTGGAACCCCAGAAAAAGGACGCTAGACACAGGAAAGAAGAGTTGTCAAGACGGAAAAAGATTCAAAGACATATTTCTAAGCTGACGATGGATCCCTTGTTTGATATGTTCATTACATTTTGTATACTTGTAAATACTTTGTTTTTATCTTTGGAATATCATGGAATGAACGAGAAATTTAGAGTAGCTCTGGCTGTTGCGAATATGGTAGGTATAGTTGAACTTGTCCAGTTATTTTTTACGAAACAACTTTTTCAGGAGCAAAGGAGGAAGGCAAAGGGACTGTAGCTTGTCTCGATGCGGGAAGTGTCACTAGTGTAGCATTAAATTGGTTTTCCAAAATATCCAATGCCTTTATCTTCTCACAAATCGTTTAATCAGGAGTATGAGTGGTCAAAAACAATGATGTGGGACTTTTTTTTTTGGAACAAGTACATTTTTAATTCGATCAAGAACGTATCGGACAAAGTCAAGATCATTTTTGGAAATTGAGTCAGAAGGTACGTTTGGCTTGGTGTGCGATGAATCCCCTACCCTACCCCTCTCCTTACGATCCACTACCCCTGTTAATTTCTAGGAATGAGCTTGAAAAATTGGATTCTGTCAGTACAGCTCCTGTTTAATTCATTTTTACAAAAACGCTGAGAAAGCAGCCAAAGTTATAGCAAAAAGTTCAGTTTTTCACGGCGAGAATCGTACTGCAGTTTTCTAAAGGCATGAATCTTTTTTACCTTAGGTTTTCACGTTTGTATTCGTCTTGGAGATGGTCTTGAAGTTGATTTCTTTAGGTCCACGAGGTTACGTGAAAAGTCGTTGGAATATATTTGACGGTTTCATTGTGTTAATAAGCGTTGTGGACCTTATTCTCGAGCTCGCTGTTGACGGCAAAGGAGCAGGACTCAGTGTTCTTAGGACTTTCAGACTTGTAAGTAATTCTTAGAAGCCTTTTTAGCCTTTTTTAGCTTCTCAAGCTCATCCTTGCTTTTCAGCTAATACTCAAACATTTGTAAACTGTGAGTTTTAATTTATTATACGGTGCTTTCTCGATGTAACATCCAATATGACTGATGGACGTCGTGGAGGCGAGATCAATATTTTCAGTTAAATTATGGACCTCAAATAAAGAATGGTCGTTCATTTAAAAAAACGAGTTATGTTTATCTCGAGTCTGAAATTTATTTAAGAACGAACTATTTGCTACTGATTCTCATCAAAAACTAGCAAGGTTTGTTTAGATTTCTAGCTTGGACATCTAGTTTGTCGTATTGAAACATATAAGAATACTTGTGGCGGAACCAAAATCTGCTAGTAAAAGTTTTCTTCCTTTGACCTAAACATTTCTGTCTTTTTCAGCTGCGTGTTTTCAAACTTGCCCAGTCCTGGGAGACAATGAACATGTTACTGAGAACAATCGCCAGTAGCATTGGTCAGCTTGGTAACCTCACCTTGGTGTTGGGGATCATTGTGTACATGTTAGCAGTTGTCGGAATGCAGCTATTTGGAAGGTAATATGGAAAACAAATTTTCCTGAATGGACTTTTTGACATGAAATGAACTGGACATAATGTGAGTGTTTTTCTCTTATGCAGCGTCTACACAGAAGAGAAATTCGGCGGCGATATTCCGCGCTGGAATTTCAACGATTTTGGTCACGCTTGCATGATGATATTCAGAGTACTTTGTGGAGAATGGATAGAACCGCTGTATGATAGTATGCGGGCGACGAGCCCCGTGTCCTTCCTGTTCTTTCTGACAGCTTTAGTCATCGGAAATTTTTTGGTGAGTCGTACGAGAGATTCATTACTTGCTTATTTTGAGTAAGCATGTATGTGGTTATGTTCAAAGAAACAACGTTTTCTAATTTTGGAATTCGCTTTGCAGGTTTTAAACTTATTTCTTGCACTGCTGCTTAATGCCTTTGCTCGCGAGTCCCTCAAAGATGACGCAAATAAAAAGGGGGAGTCCAAACCGAGCAGATTTTTTCAAGGGGTCCAGCGACTCAGCAGAGTTCTGCGCCTAAATAGTGTGATCCAGCGGAAAGCGCAGGTCAAACCTTCACTTGGTTCCCAGGCCCTTAGCGAGGATGGACCAAAACCAGAGGGAAACTCGGAGAGCGGAGGTAAATCATCTTTAAGAAATATGTTCACCTGCTGAAACATCATTTTGTGAGAGGGTTAGCAAGTGATTTCTTTTACCTTTACTTTGTCACAGACGTTCTTAATGGTACTCCTGCGCTGATGAATGCAGTAACAGCTTTTCAGAAGAAAGGAAAACTCAACAGAGACACTGTCAAACGGGTAAGAGTTTGAAAAGACCTATCATGTCAGCGAGATAGCTCAGTGTGATGTCTTATAAACGTAGCGCTCAGTTCCTAAAACATTGGACTTGATGTTTCAGTCAGTAAGTGTCACAGGCATACCATGAAAATTTCCTTTTAGAAGTATGGTTGTGTTACTTACTGAAGAAGCAATAGTAACAACGGTGATTATTAAAAACAAACAGGCTAAACAAAGAAAAATGAAACAGAAAATCCGTCAAAACCAGTAAGAGTTTAAAAGGATATTTATGAAATAGTCTGGTGTGGCTATTACACTTTTTTCATGATTCAGCTGGGTCATGGTTCTTTTTTCTAGCAGTGAGTGTCACAGGCATACTATGCAAATATCTTTCAGAAGTATGGTTGTGTTACGCACTGCATGAATAACCAGGCTTTTAATTATGAGTTGTTAGGTTAAATGAGTTGAATTAGATGGTCAAATTATTCCGAGGATCCTGTGGCTCAGCGGTAGCACATCTCAAGTTCATGATCGAAAAGTATCAATCGGAAAGTCGTGTTCATAGTGCCACTGGATTCTATACTTTTTAGCAGTTAGTGCTACAGGCATAGTATGAAGTTGCCATTTAGAAATATGGTTGTGTTACTCACTGTTACTTACTTAAATCGACCCTGACTATGCCGTGGATCGGCGAAAGCTTGGAATAAAAAATAAATGCAGAAGCTCAGAGCCTAACCCGAATCTTCTATTTAATCCACCAACATGCTACTGAAAGACAACTTGGAACTCTGTTTACTCTGACTCTGTTACAGTAAATTTCTATTTCTTTTTCGATTATGCTAGTTCCCCTTCCCCAAGATTCACGATATACTCTCTCCGTTCGTCGTTGGTTTGTCTCATTTAGATTTGACGCAACTCGCTACTTGATTTGATTCGTCTAGTGTTCAAACAATAGCGGTGGTTAACCCACGATTGGACAAACAAATCTGCGTGATCATCAGGTGCTGGGAGGCGAGTATATACCATAAAACGCAGAGACCTTCTCGAATCCAACCAATCTTTGTTATCTTTTCGTCTGCAGCTTTCCATCGCAATCGAAGCAGCAAACAAGGACTCCATAACTTCGAGCACAGTACTAAGCTTAGCTCGTTCGTCAGCAGCCATATCCAGCCCGCGAGAAAGTACCCAGATTGACCAGCCGGCTGATCCCGCCATGACAGAGGTGCAAGAATGCTGTCCATGTTGCACGAAACGCTGCACTTGCAACTGCATCGCTATGTGGAAACGATCCAGCGGTTATCGTTTGTGGAGAAACGTGCGTCATAGGATCAAAAAATTTGTCGAACATCGGTACTTCGAGTGGGCCATTCTCGTGATCATTGTGGCTAGTAGCGTAACACTGGTAAGGTGCTGAGAGAAGAGGCTTGAGATCTTATGGGGAATATAAAAAGGTCTTAGAGAAGGATTTTTCGAATTGGAGACTTCTTAGGGGCATTTTCCGGAAGTTCAGTGATATGGCGCTGATATTCTAAAGAAAGAAAGAGGTTGCTACACTTTGCCCTCTCATACGCTCCTCAATTTTACTCATGCATTGAAACATTTTTGATTTGCAAACAGTCTTTAGACGTTTAATACAGACAAAGCAAAGGAACTTCGTGTCATTTGGTTTGAACGAATCGGGAGAATTATGTTCTTGTTGTCGTTAATTTGTTCAATTAACTGCATAGCCTATGTACTTTCCATCATTTGTTCCAAGCCACATATTTGATAAAGAAACATTACTGAGTGTTCAAAACTCTGCAGTCGAAGGATGAAATACCTTAACTAGTTTAAAATAATCTCAATATCCAGAAGTTGTAGTTGCTGTTTTGCGAAACCTACTTAATTCATATTTCTTAGCGATGTTTAAAGATTGCCTTCCTCAGTCAAAAATTTTCTTTTCAGATTTTTGAGGACATCCACTTGGACAAGAAACCAACACTAAAAAAAGTTTTGGATTATTTAAACATCGTTTTTGCAGTGGTTTTCACTTTGGAATTTATCATGAAGACAATCGGCTTAGGCTTAGTGACTTACTTCAAGAATGCTTGGAACTGTTTAGATGTGGTCATTGTCGCTGTAAGTTAAAATTCTATACGTTTGATCAACTTAATTGTAAAATGAACATTTCATTGATGGATATTCAAAGAGTAAATATTATAAAAGAGACTTCTTTGAGATTCATATTATTAATTTTTTCTTCAAATCTGCAAACACTTTTATCGTGGAATGCATGAGTTGAAGATTAACTTTGCAGAGAAAATATATTTAGGAGATAGATCTTTAGTTCTTTTTTTTTCTTATTTATCATTCTCCCTAATTGACAGCTTTACTTCAATTATATTGATTTTTTTTCAGATATCCATTCTCACGGCTGTTGAATCTATTGAAGAACTAAACTCTGTAAGAATATAAAATCGATAGTCATCAATAAATGTTTCTTAATAATAACTTTCTCTTCTAACGTAGCTTATCTCATATGTCCGAAACTTGAAGTTCGAAAACGTTTTAAACTTTTTTTTTAAAAAAATAAAATGTGTAAACTATTGGATAAATGTTGAATTGAAAGAGAGTTGGTTATTTCCTAACTATGGCTACTAACTTGAGAAACTAAAGTTTAAAAAACGTAAGAAATAGTTTAAAAACGGCTTTGTGTCAAAGAAAATCCCTTAGATATATGAATAGATATATCTTTCTTCTCACTTTCTGGTCTCAATGGATAAAACTTGATCTAATGTTATATAATAACATAAAGTTGGACTAAACAAAACTGTAGTTTCTTGGCAGTTGATTACTCATGATAATGATGAGCCAATGGCTTTCATTCAATTATTAAATCAGTCAATCAGTCAGTCAATTCTTTAGCTAGTCAGTTTGTCATTCAAACAGCTGATCACTCAGTCACTTATTCATTCATTTCATTAACGAGTTAGTAAGTGAGAGAGTCGGTCTGTTATTTAGCGCCCAGTCAATCTGTCAATCAGTCCATTTGTTGGTCAGGGAGTCAATCATTCATTCAGTTGGTCTGTCAGTCATCTTGTCAGAAATTAAAACTGCCTTACCTATATAGTGAGAATAATAACCTTATAATAAAACATACGTGTCAACCATTTATTCACAGATGTCACTCACCGTTGTAGCGAATCAAACTACAGATGGTGACAGTAGCCTGGCGGCATTTCGTTCCCTGCGTACATTGCGGGCCCTCAGACCTTTGAGAGCCATTTCCCGCTGGGAGGGTATGAAGGTAATGGGCTTCAGCCATTGATGATAATCAAATCCATGAAAATTAATTGTAAATTGATCCTGTTTTGATTGAAATCCATTTGACTATTTTTCACAAAGGTTGTGGTGAATTCTCTGCTGTTTGCAATCCCTGGAATTGGCAATGTTCTACTGGTGTGCATGGTGTTCTGGCTGATCTTCAGCATTGTGGGTGTTCAGTTTTTCGGAGGGCGTTTTTACAAATGTATCGACAGCAACGGGAAAAGGCTACCTATCAGCATTGTGCAGAATAAAACGGATTGTGATAGGCTTAAACTTCGTTGGGTAAATTCGAATATCAATTTTGACAACGCTGCGAATGGCTTCATAGCTCTTTTTCAAGTGGTGAGTTCGTATAGTTAGTTCGAATACATTTAAACACTTCAAAACATCCCAAACATTTAACATATTGTTCTGTTACAACCTCTGCTTCTCTTTCTCTTGTGCGCATGAAAAAAAATTAAAAACATCACTTTCCCTTCAATTTGGTATTTTAGAGGTGCTCAAAGCTTTCCGAACGGAATAACAAACTCATATGAAACCATTTGCTACTCCATAATGTGTTTAATCTAAATTTCGAATCAAGATCTGACGCTCCGCAGGAAGTCACTGTCCGTTGTGTCGATTTATAATAACAAAGATAGTAAGTTTCTCTGGGAAAATTATCATGAGGTTTGCCTCCACCCTCCCATTCCTTTCCATCAAATATTTAACCAAGACTTGACACTAAGTCATTGTGTTTGTACAGGCGACATTTGAAGGTTGGATGGAGATCATGAGAGACGCAGTAGACGCTAGAGAGGTAGGAATGTTTTCTACGCTCCTTGGCTTCACGCGTTTCCCTTCGGTTCGTGAGCTGGCTCACACTTCCGTCGCAAACGTTGTTTGATCTTGTCATGCAAGCGTTCTATCCGGGGGAAAAACATTGCGTCACCTGCCTTCCAGTTTTTAAGAAGTCGATGTGATTTTTTTAATTGGCAGTATCGCAACACGATGGTATGATTTAGACCTCAAAAAATCTCCGACAACCGTTTTGTCTTACGATATTTCTACAAATTAAAGATAAAGAAAAGTTTTCTTCTCTTTCATTTTTAGGTTGGACAGCAGCCGGAAAGCCAGCACCGTTTCCTTCCTTATTTATACTTCGTTGTGTTTATAATCGTCGGTTCTTTCTTCACCTTGAATCTTTTCATCGGAGTTATAATCGACAACTTCAATCGACTGAAAAAACAGGTAAAAATTAAAGCTTTACCATCGCTCTTCTGGTTCCTGATTCTATGTATGATGGTGCTCCTGTTCTATTTTGCTGTATTTGTGAAGTGTAGAAACTATGCTTAACAAACGCTCAACAGGGTGAAAATTAAGGAAGCAAAGCGACTTCTTGCAACTTTTTATGGCATTGTTCGGTCAATAGTTAGCTTTGACATAAATAATATTCCATAGTCACTTATGCTGGAACAGGGAATCTCGTGTGGTTAATTTGAAAAACGCATCAGTTTTGTTTACTTACTCAAAATTCTAGCTCTGTTCTATTCATCGATTCAGCTCTAGTGACGACGAAAAGAAAAGTCACGGATTTATTCTAGAAACTTTTTTTTTTTAATAATTCCATGAATTTGTTTCTTCTAAAGTATGAAGACAGCGGAGCGCTTGACATCTTTCTGACGCCGTCCCAGAAGGCGTGGTTCAACACTCTGAAGAAAGCTGCGAACAAGAAACCGAAGAAAATGATCAGTAGACCCGGGGTCAGTACTTCATGTAAACTTGTTTGAGGTCGTGGCATAGGTGTGGCCAAAAGTAGAATAAGAAATTTGTGTTTTATGATTGCGTACTCTAGTTAGGAATCGTCGGATAAGCCTCGTATCGCTTTGCACACGTGATTTTCTAGAAAAACCGATCTTTTATCGAAATTGACAATCAGAATCGAGAAGTAAACGGGCAGGTTAACGCTTCACCTACTAGAGGTATTTACTCGTTCACGATTGTAGAGCCTTCGCCGAAAATTTGTAGCTTCTCAAGCTTCACCACAAAAACCTTGTTATTTAACGGCAGCACAATTTAGAGCTTGGACCTATAACAAATGTTCTGTTTTGATGCGAATCGTTCAACAGAAGACTCCACAAAATATACCCATTGACGCATACAGACGCAAGAGTGAGGGTTAGTGAATTGTCTTGTTATTGCAGGTGAGATGGCAGGCCAAAGTGTTCGATATGATTCACAGCTCAAGGTTTGAAACCGCGATAATGGCGATGATCTGTCTCAACATGCTGGTTATGATGATTCAACATTATGGACAGAGTGAAGAAGTCCAATTCACACTGAATATCCTTTTTACAGTTATGAGCTCTGAAAAAGATGTTGAACAGTCAAGTTGATAAATCGTCATTAAATACAATTTTTGCAAGAAAACGGTGTGCTACGTAAGGTTGGCGGTTTGACTGACACGGGAACATGCTACAGTGAAATAGGAAGGGTATACTCCAAGGAGCGCACTGTAAGACCAGACAATTAATTAGAAATTACTTGAAACAAATGGATGAAAACACAACGAACTTGCCTCGGAGAATGATCATTTTTTTTAGCTCAACATGAACTAATAACAGACCCGGTGTTGATCTTTTTTTAGATCTTAATGATCACAATGAAATCCTAAATATAACTATTTTTAAAAGTTGCGTCATGGAATCTGAAAAGATTAAGAGTACATCATTGTTTAGAAGGTTTTTATATTTTCCTTAACTGTGATCCTGATTTTTCTCGGGTCCTCACATGTTATAAATCTCGTCTTTACCGCCATATTTCTTCTGGAAGCTGTGATCAGGATCGTTGCTCTTCGTCTACATTACTTTACACAGCCATGGAACATCTTCGATTTCACCATTGTGATACTGTCTATTATAGGTAAGGAGCCTGCCAGAGTTATAATAACACACGTTTAAATCTTGGCTTGACTTATCTTCTTTCGCATAGAGGCGAAACTGGTGAGAAAAGTTGCACTCGAGTTTTTATAGACTTCGTTTAACTCCTCTGGTTTGCCAGAAACAAGCTAAGTTATTGTTATTTTTAAAGTGGACATAACAAACTGAAATCTTGTTCTTTATCTCTGATAAATTGCTTGAAAGTTCCTCCATTTCCCCAAACAAAGTTGCCTGAAGTTAGTGAGCATTTCAAGTTATAAACACCATGAAACATTAAATTGGGGGGAGATGATTGTATTCGCCAAAGAAAAAAAAATGAAAGAGAGTGTGAAGGCGTTCGCCGGTCATTTAAGTCCTGTCTAAAAATGTTTCTTTGGCGAATACAAACATCTCAACATCTCATAATAAGCTTACGCTGTCAATTCTTAGTTTTTTATGACACCAGTGAAGGATAAGTAAGTTTTGTGGTTGACCATTGATTTCTTTTTGACCCATACATAAGATCTGGCTGGTGGTTTATAATAATTAATTGTAATTGATGGCGGTAAGCTTAAAAGGATAAATTTCAGCGGGATTGCGGTAAGCTTACGTAAGAGAATCTTCCAGCATGTATATCCGTTTGTCTATCGAAACGTTTTAGTCAAGCAATATAGAATGCCAAAAGTTTCTAGGGGGCAATTTTTTAATGTGAACATTTGCAAGAATTAGCTGAAACGCTTTTGTAATCGTTCGATGAAACGCCTTTTTATTGTCATTTTTCTTTTGTGAATCAATGATCTTGTATTCACTGATACGACTTTATATATATCAAACCTGTGGGGTAGGTACTCCATAAGTATTTTCCGAGTGGTTCGGAAGGAAAAAATCTTTGAGAAACTTAACTACCCTTTTATAGCTTTCATGGTATTACTTTCACTTGCATGTTGTAACTGGAAAATAAAATGTTATGGCTCTTATTTTTTTTTGGATTATATTTCAATGGGCGTGAAAATATTTACTGGGTTTTACATATTCGTGTTGTTATTATGTGTGAGCTGAGATATTGTCATTGCGGGAAGCATTATACAGCTCTTTTCTTTCGCCTTTAGGCACGATATTTGTCCACCATCAAATTGGTTTTCCTTTAGTTTTGTCTTCCGGCACTTCAAACGAACGGAAGTTTATATATTTTTATTTCTGGTGGTGGAATTCGCTTCAGGCGAATTTGATATTAGACTTGGTACCGTGGTGCTATGTGGCAAGTTTTAAAAATCTTTCTTAACGACTTTTGTACTTTAACAATATTTAGTTCTGTTCCCTCCGTTGTCTAAATATTCGTTTTCTGTTTATACTGTTGTGCCTTTCCCGTATATTAAAGCTCTCAATTTAAAGACTCCTTTTTCTGAAATTAAGGGCGGTATTTTTAATTCGAATTACTTCCACCACATAAACCGCACTCAAATTCCAATCCCACGTGGAAACAGAAGCTAAGCAACCAAGTCGAGGACTCTAAATTACGATTGAATCTATCTAACTTTTTTACATATATTCTGATAATTAGTCGCGCGACGAATGTTTTTTTCTTGGCTGAAATTCGGTTGTATTACGAAAACAAAATTGCTCAAAAACCGCAGATGTGCAGTTCGCTAATTTTACGAAGACCGAGGAAACTGCGTTTTTAAAGAATCCGAACCATGACAAGAAGGTGTGCACTCCTAAACTGCTAACCCTTTAAAAATAAAAGACAAAGAATCCCTCCGTGAGTAAGTGAGACAGTGGAACAATATTGAAAAAATCACCTCTAGAGTTAGTTTAGGAACTTTCTCTGAAACATGTAGCCGGTTTACTTTATGATGTTGTTTTTTGCGTTTTTCAGAGTCTCAGTTCTTTTGATATTAAATTCATGATTTAAGGGGAAAAAATCGTGTCTCTAGATTCTTCGAGACAGTTGTCTTTGAAAATCTAAGGCCGCACACACAATACGCGGTGAGGTGGTGATCTTTTCATTTAGTGAATCTTTCCTAAGAGTGGGCAACATCATGCATTTCGTTCGCGTAGTTTGTTTAAGATTTGAAAGAAGCTTTTCCCTGGAAATTGAAAGCCTAGACACGACATGAAGAGAGCGCTAAGTGAGTGCTTGATGGAACGAACAACTCGATCAAAGTTGTGTAAGCAACTGGGTATCAAGTTTGCCTGAAGAGAACTGATTCGCTTCACTATCAAACTGAATTCTTCGAGCAAAACAAACGATGTTCTCCTGTTGTGTTTTGTGTAAGATATTATAATCTCTTGGTTTTTATATTGCGAAATCATGTGCCGAAAGCAGTTTTCGCATTACACAATCTGATTGGTTTCTTGCCTCTGATGTTGCGGGCATTAGAGACCCCTTTATTTTGCCCAACCACTCAGTAAGTTCATATGCATGTACAGGTATTGATTTTCTTATTCTTTTCGTTTCAGGCATTATCGTGGAATATCTTGACTACAGCTTCATAGTCACCCCCAGTTTATTCCGCGTGGCACGTGTCTTCAGAATTGGACGGCTGCTACGTTTTTACAAAGGCGCACGTGGTATTCGCCGGCTTCTTTTTGCTTTGGTGATCTCTCTACCTGCTCTGTTCAACATCGGAGCCCTCCTCTTCCTTGTTATGTTTATTTACGCCATCATCGGAATGTCATCGTTTGGTTATGTAAAAAAGACAGGCGCACTCGACGAATTAGTGAATTTCGAGACTTTTGGCAGTAGTATGTTACTGTTGTTCCGTCTTTCCACATCTGCTGGTTGGAACGATGTATTAGAACCGCTGTTAATAAAACCTCCAGACTGCGATGAAAATTATCTAGGGCAACCAAATGGAAACTGTGGAATACCATGGCTAGCAATCCTTTATTTCTTCACCTTTATATTATCGACTTTTCTAATCATTATCAACATGTACATAGCTATTATTTTAGAGAATCTAAGCCAAGCTCATCAACAGGACGAAGTCGGAATCACGGATGATGATTTAGAAATGTTTTATACTCACTGGGAGCGGTTTGACCCGAATGCAACCCAATACATTCTTTATTCGCAGTTGTCCGACTTTGTTGACGGTCTCGAACAGCCCTTGAGAATACCGCAGCCGAACAAATTTGCTTGTATTCACTTAAATATTCCCATCAAACAAGGGGACAGAATTCACTGTTTTGATGTGATGCAGGCTTTGGTGCGACGAATTATCGGCGAAATTGAAGAAGAAGGCTCGGTTGCGTTCGCGTTAATGAAGTCCCGCATGGAACATCATTTCGTGAGCGCTTTTCCAAAGCGTGCTAAAACTCAGACGGAAAGCACAACGTTGAAAAGAATTCAGGAAATCCGTGCTGCTACCATAATTCAACGATCTTACAGGCAATATCGCTTCCAACTGGAGCTGCGGCGCTTCCGGCTCCAAAGGAGTCATCAAACTCTAGAACATGCACACAGCTCCACTTCCTTGAGAGGGAATAGTCCGTCTGGAAGCGTTCAGGTTATGGTGCAGGATAGAGCGCCAAATAGCGCACCTCGAGCTACGGTGGTGACAATTGGAGATGGTACTCTAGCTTGATAAATGTTGTGTTTAAGATTTATGATCACCAGCTGGTTTATTTCTTTATCTCTTTGACAATTGGAGATGGTACTCTAGCTTGATAAACGTTGTGTTTAAGATTTATACCAGCTGGTTTATTTCTTCCAGCTGGTTAATTTCTTTCGTTCTTTTGAAATCGTACCATATCCATGAAATGTGAAATGCCATGTTTTGCTCAAAATTGAAAAAAATTCCGAAAAAACAGATATAGAATCTCAACTTTGACTACCAACTAGATTCTCAGATTATTCAACAAACACTTTTCGCTCTTTTGCTGACATTAAGTTAATTATCGGCGGCAAACAAATTTAATTTATTGAAATTGGGAACGAGCCAAAATGGAAGATATGCGGACTATTTTTTTACAGCGGTGTGGACGACTTCCCGCCTCAAACGATAGCATTTTTTATAATTATACGGAGTGTGCAAATAACAATTTCTGAATAAAAACCGTTGCGATAGATTTTCGTGTTTTTTATGTGATCGTTCACTTTTAAGTGAGCTGAAATGTAGAATATGCAAGAGATGTACATGCAAAAGCTCACAAAGCCGGGAGAACCTCAGCCGTCTCACCCTCCACTTGACTTTATTCAAACACAAATTGATAAGAAACCTCAAACTCTTTGCCAGCTTGCTCCGTCCGACGGATACGTTCAAGACCTCTTGTCATCGTCTATTCAACGTGCGAGTACGCTCTCATGTTTGGGTGGTTTCGCTTTACGCCTTTCTTTGGGACACAGCCGCCTGTTACATCATCGAATGCCGCGTGTGGGAACCTCTCACCTTGCCGCTCTGTTTTAAGTCAAAACACATAAAAAAGCGAAAAAACAAAAACATCAATAGCGAAACCTACAATGCCGAGGAGTCACTTTGGCGAGTTCAACCAAGAACTATGTCGGTTTGCCACAAGGTCTATGAAAGGTCGCTAAACATTTAAGAGCTTGGGGTTTTGGCGGCTAAGCCTTTTCTGGAAGTTAACGCCTTTTGATGAATGATTTAGATTTTACTTTAGAATCTCCCATTTTCGCGTCAAGTGTTCTTACTGGTCACAAAGCAATCCCTACCCAAACGTTTCTTGAAGAAAATTCACTGTCAAAATTAACTCCAAGTTCAGCCATCTTACGTCACAATTAATTTCAGGAGTAAAATAACTTAACAATATAATCTGTTTTGTAACAACGCTACCGAGTCATTAAATATTATGCACTTTACGTAAAATGAATTTTCCTTTTTTAAAAAATGGAAATTTTAACTAGCTTTTTTGTCTTCTATGCGTAACTAAGGTGTTGCGATCGAAAAAAAAGATCCACCGATTTATATTTTTGCTCAGTCTGTTCTTGATCTGACTAATTACCAAGAGTTACGCTCGCTCCCTGGGCAATCAACAGTCCGCTCTGATACTGATTACTTCATTTATCATGTCTTTTCCGCCACTTCACTTAGCTTCCATCTTCTCAAACCGCAATATATACTCCAAGGTCTACTTCCTAACATGAAACCAAAAGGAATAAATGAATTTGGGTGTTTTGAAGTGTTCTGAGCTATTTAGTTTCCAATCCGTGCGCGTAGGCTGTCTGGAGTCGCACTGAGTCCTCTCTTGGTAATCAAGGATTGCCGAAGTTTTAACAATACTGGCTTCTGAGGTTTTCAGTGCTGAAACGGAAGAAGGACGGAAATGCTTAAGAGTCTTAACGATCTTAGTCGTGCATTAGTAGTTTTTGCGTCAAGGTTTTCCTTCGGCTTTGCCAGCTCCGATGACTAATCTAACTCAAAAGCTCTGCGCAAGAATTCAGTCAACTTTAGCTTTTGTTGTAAACGGAGAAAGAAGACGATCGCAAAAGAACGGGAAAAATTGTTAAATCCCTTCTTGAACAACTTGAATAAACATAAGTTTTAGTTATCCACTTGGTTTGAAACTGTTCCATGACAGGGATCGAGCCACACTTTATTTGCTGTGCATAAATCTACTTAATTTTTTTTTTACGACAGAGTTCAGCTGAAGAATCTTGACTACATGTTCTGTTGCTACAAGAATTTTGTTCTGTTCACTGACTCATCACCTTGTTTGTACGTGTCATTATATATCAATCACAATTCATTTCACTATACACCCAAACATACGTGACCAAGATAATCTTTATTAATTTGAACATATATCTTATTTGCATATGATATTGTGGCCTTTTTTCTGTAGTATAACATCTTTGCTGGCAGATAGGTCACAGTCATCCCACTTAACTCTGCGGGGTCCATAGCACGACGCATTTCATTAAGTAAGCAGGTTAAGTTAAAATTGACAAAAAAAATTGTCAAATACTTTTAAATCATGTGGAAAGTACAGAAACATGCACAAGTAAATGTACCTGATTGCAGAAAGAAAATAAAGTTAGATACTCTAAGTCTGTTCCGTCTGGGTTACGAGGTGACTAAACATCAATGATCAGATAGTTTTTTTCCTTTACAATTGAAGAAGCAGTAGAGGGTGACTGGCTAAAGAATACGGCAAAGGAGACAAGGCACGGAGGCAGGTTAGGGAGATTACTTTAGATTACTTTACGCATTGAGTCGTTATGTTGGTTATTTTGTGTTTCTTATACATGCCAAACTCCGCCTAAAAAGGCAAAAAATTAATAAATAAAGGGTACCGGATTATTATTGCCACGACAAAGCAAGGATCTTATAAGATATAGATAACATCTTACCTAAAACAGACAAGCTCGGAAGTTGAAGACACCTTCTCCTTTACATTCAAGAGTTCCGCCGTTTCCTTAAGATGTTTTGTCTTGTGAATAGCAGGAAGAAGTCTAAAATATTGCTATGTGACAGGTTCGAGCGAAAGGAGGAATAAAAGATTACGGGCATCAGCTAGCTTCCTGTGCTGATGATAATCGATTTCACCGTCAGAGTGACGAGGGCATTTTCGTTCAAGTTCCATTTCAATGTCCCAAAAGTCTTACATTTTCAAGTCACGTTTGAAAGGCAAAAAGGGTGCTGTTTCAACGTGGACGAATGGCTAACATAAGTAAAGAGCCTTCTAAAATCATTCGTAAAAATGGAGACGCAGAGCACGTTATTAATAGGGAAATTTGTGATTTTGGTTCTCCATCATTCCAGAGCTACTTACGCAAGCGGGTCAAAGTTCAGTAGCAACAGACAAAAAACCGGAAAAGTGGTTAAGTTTTTTTTTTATTCTTTTTTTTTTTCCGGCTTGAGGGCTTACTGATACAAAGTGTTGAAAATAATCGTGCCTATGCTCACATGCACATGGAATTTTTCTTGCATATCGCGTCACCACAACATATCTTATCAGTGGTAAACAGTAAATTCTGTTCGATAGACGCACCTCTATGAGATAATTTGCACAGAGGTATCAAACGAGTTGAACATAGCGCCAGAGGAACCAACAGTAGAAAGTACAAAGCAACTGACCACGCCCCCACAATTCATTCACCTCTTCTTTCGCAGCCTTTAAGTGAATAACAAACAAGTTTCTATTCCTCCCTCTTCCGTAACAAAGCTGCTGTTGATAGTAAGTGTAGTGGTTTAGAATTACTGGTTTAGAAAAATCTTTAAAGATAAATCGTCTTATGAAGTATCAGTCGTTTAGAAATCTTCCGTAAACTCTCAAGTCGAGCCGACACTCGAGTATGCCACTCAGCCGAAAACCTCAGCCCTCCACAAATATTTACGAAAGAAAGCGTAGACGACGAGATTAATGCTGATTTCAAAGACATGTTAAGCTCTCTCAGTTTCCTCTGATAACTAGCGTTTTAAAATCTAGTACAAACAGCCAAAAGTAATTTTACTCTTGTTTACTTTGGGTTTAGTTCAGAAATGACGTGGGAGGGAGTTGTTTGTCTCCTTGATAGAGTAATTTTTTTAACGCTGGAAAAATAATTAACACGTGATTTTGTAATCTTGATTTAGTAAGTAAAAAAAAAAAAAAAAAAAAAACTTGGAGTTGTTAACTGCAACGTTTTTTTTTTTTTTTTTTTTTAAATGAATCTTGTTACAAGGGGACTATGATTCGTCAAATCTGTTGTGTTGGCCTCCAAGCTAAAAGAGGTCATTTTTCGATTACAGTTGTCTCGATATTTCTCCCTATCTATCTCTTGAGAATGTACCACTTTATTGATAACCTTGTGATTTCTATTTTGCGTGCGAGCCACAGGAAGACCTGTTGGCAAGACAATAGACTAACGTAGGTTCTCGTCTAGTGATCAAATTCTTTGTTCTTTGCGAGTTTTTTGCTTTGTTTGACGCAAACATCGTATGATTTGTTTCAAAACGCTCAATTCTCAAATTAGGTCAGGTCTTAGATCTGAAAGATAGGAATTCGTGGGTCTTTCGTTCAGAGTTAACAAAATACGAAGATCTACGATTACAGATATGTAAGCCGAGCTTCAAACTGCACATTACGGACAAAGCTGTCGGTGTAAAGAGATAAATCACAGACATGTTTGTTCGTTCATTTCGCTCAGTTAAAATAAAGAGCCATACAATAGAATTTGAACCACTGTTGGTCTTCGCTTTGAGATGATGAATGAGCAGTGATTTATTTACTTATCGCGACTTGTTAGTAGAATTCCGTTTACCACTTCTTTCAACAAAACAGCTGACCCTGCGAAAACCTTTGGTTATCAACTACGGTAGACCTCGCCCGGAGAAATCGCATCCCACAACTGTGCAATTACAGAAATGCCGATATCTCAGTTGTGAGGAAAATAGTGTAAGAAACAGTTACATAAAGCAGAAAGAGATTAATTTTGACATTCTTACGGCCGGAGCATTGAAGCGGTTTCTTTTACGCTTTGTTGAGTCGGTGAGTGAGTGCTCCACTCGACAGGACTTGAAAATGATGTCGGCAGTTTTCAGACATTAATAGTCCTTAATTGCCCGCTTTTTGTACTCACTCAGACAGAATTATTCAAGGTATGCCTTCTGACGTCAGTTTTAATGCCAAGTGCTAAAAAAACCGAGCAGAATTCGTGATCTGTTCATTCGTACAGTCAGCAAGGCTAACCACGAGGAAGCAAGTTTTCCCCCCTAAGAGTGATAAAACCAAGTCATTTTCCGAGACTGAAGAGAAGTTTTAGAAGTGAGTACAGGTAATTAAATTCAATTGCTGGGGTTGAAAACAAAGAATCAGTTGTTTCTTAACGTATTTTTAATTGTGTGCTACGACATATTCATGACTTCACGCCTCTCGAAAGATAACGTGGCCAGTGACGTGTAGAAGGCTGGAAAAGCCTCTTTCTAAACCGCGTGCTTGAATAACTCAGGAATTTTAAAAGTAAAATTTACTGAAAGCTAATTAAAGTGTTAAATTAAGTTTTAACTAGAACAACACAACTCTGTTCGGGCTTCATCACCTTATTAAGAGCTGACATTTCATTCATGCAGTTAATTTGATGTTTTTATGATCATCTGTTACATTTTTGCATGTAGTTCAAAATCAGTTGCTTTACAAGGTTTCTTTGCACCAATTTTATATTTTCCATTGATTAAAAATCAGCATAGTCGAACATCTTTCTTCGTGTAAAATTACTGAGCTGCGTAGATAACTTTTCTGTTAGAATAAAAGCAACTATGGCAAGTTTAGTTAAGAACAATCAGCCTAATGGCACGCTTTTGTTTTTCACGTACAATAAGCGCAATTGGGCAACCGTCAGATTGTCATTTGTCTTTCTTGACTCTGTTTATTTATTTTTAGTGTCCATGGCAAAAATGTTTGCCATGTGTCGGTAAGAGCTCTAGATGAACATATATACAGGATTGCTTTGTTTTTTTCTGGGTCTCTGTTTGCGAAGCGCGAAGTAGTTCAAACAAAGCCGAGTCCGACGTGGCTGTTGTAAACACTTCGATACTGTGGGAGTGTGCAATATTATGTAAGAGAACCCATTGATAATCAACAAGTGCTGCTCCCTTTTTCTCAAATAACCCACGTTCTCAGATTGAACGGGTCAATCGATTTTTTTCTCAGAATTGAAGAATAATCAATGTCAGATATCATTTGCTACAAAAATACCTCAATTGATAAATGCTCACGGCATCTTTTTGCGAAAAAAATTGGGAAAAAACACTCGCAAAAGAAAAGGAATAACCGAAAAGAAAATGCCAGTTATTCACAAAGCCTAAACTCGACACCGACGAATTTCGGAGGTGGTACTCATTTATCAAACACTGACCGGTCCTTCAATCAACTCCTTTGTGCAATTTTACAGGGGTCAACAGAAACAAAATGCTTACGAAATTATAGACACTAGTTCAGTGTGCTAGACAATTCAAATGTCTCCTTGGTTCTGGAAATTTCCAATCCAAGACCAGAGAATATTGGATATGACACACCAGAACTTTCCAAACGAAGCAAAACGAGGTAAAGCATGCCCATGGTTCATCTGTGTCGACAGATTTCCTAACAACTTTATGAATAAAAGATGGAGTATTAGTATACAAAAGTTAGCCCCACAGTATGATGTTTAGAAGCCTAAATCTTTTGAATTTCGAACTCAGAGGAGAGACACCCTTTTAATCTTGAGTCTCTTGACGCCGCAGAGCTGCACCAGTGGAGGTCTGATTAATTTAGAACTTTTATCTTTTTCTCTCATCTCTGAACGACGTTCGTCTGAAGTGTCGCTCTTAATGACTAAAATAGCAAGGTCCTTGATGGTCAGTCCGCAGGTTTATTTGACGCGCTGAGCGTGAGTTCCGCAATAACAGGTATTATCCATCACGTAGTAGGACCTAAAAGAGCAAAAGCCATGACTAGGGAAACAAAATGTGGTTGACCCGCTCCACAAGTTGAAAAAAGTTCAGAGAAAGGCCGGATTTAGTGAGCGGATTAGGGACCCACTAACTGCGACGGTCACCAACTTTAATTTGTTGTTGTCGTTCGTTGTCTAATTTACTCTAACATGATCATCGTTTCATACTGAGAAAAAACACCTTGTAAACTCTACAACGAAATTGGCTCTCCGCACTGACTTCTGCTCGAAAACTGATAGAACACACATGAATTATTTACAGCCTCTCATAAGTGGGAAGATGGCCGTCAGCCAAAATGTGCGCTTAGTCCACTACAAATAACAGTAAGTGTTTGACTCTTTGAACCTGTTGAGAAGATTCTTATCTCGCTGAAGGCATCTTTGAGTCTTTTATTTTTCGGGGAAGCCGCAAAGTGTCTGTTATCACCACAACTGCGGCCGACAAAATTGAACTTTAAAATCTGAAAAGAATAAAATTACATCGCGTGCCGATATAAGCTTGCTCTTGCAGGTCAAAGTGAACACACACAGCTTGAAAATAAAAACACAGCCAAAACAACTAGGGCAAGCGATGACCTTGACATCAGTTCCTACCCTGCTCATAGCTCACGCAAAATAATATTTACTTATGAACATCCACCAAGATAAAAATTTTAATATTGAATAGGAGATTTCAGCACAAATGCAAAAACAAACATGCGCTGAATAGTCCGCGAAAAGCGCGGGAAACGTAGGCTGGCATCGCGTGCGCACGAACAGTGTGCGTAATGGAGTGTACAGAATGGATTACAAGCCGGTGATCCGACACGCTCTTTGGCGAACACCTGATTTCGAATGTAAAAAAGGAAAGAATCAAGAATTCCTTTTAAATCTTATCGTCAATATGTTGAATGATACGCGGTTCATGGAAAAGAATGCCTGCACGTCATTACCAAATTAGTCACTCTAGGGACCGTGGAAGTGGACATTATATGAGGCAGGGTCTGAAATACGACACCTTTCTCAACAAAGATTAGAACATTCTTTGTTATAAAAAGAAATGCTCAACTTAGCTCGAAACATTATCCAAAGAAAGATCACGAAAGTTGGCGTTCAGGAGCAACACTTAGTCAAAGCAAACTAAAGAAGGTAGGAGAAAAAGAGTTTGTGCAAATTTCGCATTGTTGTTGCCAATTTTTTTCGTCAGTACATGATTAACCCAGGGTTGTTTAGAGTTATTCAGAAGAAAAAAAAAGAACTTACGTTAAACAGAAGTCCTAACAAACTTGGCTTACTCCTCATTAGTCTTCTCGTTTCTAGACAACACAAAATTCAGGCGATTTCACACTGTTGTTTTGTATAGGATGGCTAAGGAACGTGCGTAGTTTTAAAAAGCGCGCACAGAGTTCCTGTTCCTCGCATCAAGCCTTTTGCTTCCAAATTTCTTGTTGCTATTGCATTTGTGGTTTTCCCTGAAGTTCCCTATAGGAGGTAAGTTTCTAAAGGAACTGTGATGCTGCGTTGGTGGGGGAGTATAACAAATTGAACAAGATGATTTGATTTTATAAACAGAGTTGATAATGTAAATTAGCCACCGTAAAGAGTTTCTAAAACTGACGTTTCGAGTGTAAGTCCTTCATCAGAGCCCCCCGAGTTCAAGCAGGCGTGGTCATTTGAGAGATTATTTTCTTCATGTCCGTTTACGATACTTGTTGAAAATAGCCACCGTTTTCCTCGAAGAACTCCAATGAATAGCATTCCTACAGTCAGAATGTAAAGTTCCCAACAAATAAGAAGAAAAAGCTTCTTATTTTCCAAAAGATAGCAATTGTTTCCAAACAGTCACTGTAGTTGTGTAATAGCTCGGCTCGTAAAGACGCTAAACCTTAAAGAACTTAGAACTGAACAAAATCTTCTCTCTCGTAAATTTCAGGGTTAGCAGGGGAACCATTTGACCTTTGAGACTCGTAACTCCTGCCGTCAATTAGCTCAGGGATTCATAATTCATTGGCAATCTTTTTTCGATATTCATGATTTTAACTATATCTCGTTTATAACACGAAAATTCACAACTCCTTCGGATTTAAATGCTAGAATTTATGATTGACGATTCTGCTTTCATCCCGTATAGCTTATATGTTTGCATTAAATCAGTGCGCCTTTGAAGAGCATAACTTACATACTCAGACGGGTTGTTGTCACGTTATTTATTTGGAAGTTCTTGTGTGGAAAAATACTTCACAGATGATACTTAGTTTTGGCTAATCTGCCCTGAAAAATCAAATTAGTTTCGGTTCAATCTTTGTTGATAGAAATGCCTCGCATGATGTGGAAAAATAATAAAACAAAACCTCAAGCTTTACGGTGACAATGGATTAACTAGGTGACTTACGCAGTGCAACTAAAGTACTTACGTAATTGACAAAAAGTTTAAGGGGGCAAGCAAAAAGTGAAGAGAATGATAAAATCAAATTAAAGGTTAACAGCTCATTAAATAAGTTCAAACCGTAGAGTAATGACATTATACTTTGAGAGGTCTGCAGTGTCATTATGATCCAAAATGGAATAGGTATCTTCAATTTGTTCAAATTTGCACTTTGTTCTCTGGAAGGAAGAAATAGCAACGCCCACGCCTCTTCTTGCATCAAACTTTGAGATGTCAGATTTCAGGGTCCCAGTTCTTGAAAGTTTCGGTAGCTAAACGGGCTGGAAGCCTTTCTTTAAAATCAAAAATTTAAATAATTGAGTGGCAGTTTCTTGCACCCTCACCGGTCCATTTGTTTCTTTAGCGAATAGTTTGATGTTATAATTTTCAAAACGATTCAAACCCTTTTTTTGAATGAAAGCAGAACAGCTGTACGGGTCTATTAAGATACCACGACCTTCGAGAAACCCAAGTCGGTCTAAGGTCACATACGGACGTGATGCAATCCCCTGAAACTGATCATGGCTGCTTGATTGTTAAACAGTCAGTCGGGCCACTTTGTGGTGTTGTATACCGATCCACTGAAGTTCAATCAATTTTCAATTATTCATCAAAATCAGGGGAATCCACAGGTAAACTAAATCTTTCCTGAAATCCGCTCGTGGAGCCTTCACTGAATGGAAAAATTTGTCATCACAGATGAATCTTATGCAAAATGGCTGCCAAAACTTTGTTTGAACTTGCCGGCGAGTCAGATCATTCACAGCATGAATTTATCGCCCAGGGGCATTGGAATATGTTACAACGTTTCGTTTTAAAATAATCATATTCGACGAATTAAAAAAGCCATCCATGGACAAAGATCTGTTGGAGTCGTTAAGACGAAGCTTAGGGCTGGTTTATTTCGATGAAAATGCGACATGATTGTGACACTTGAATCATGAAAAACGCGTCACTTGGGTGGAAAAGTACTCTTTATGAACGCGAGAAATTGCATATATATATATATATATGTATAGAGAGAGAGAGAGAGAGAGGCTGTTGTCACGCGAAAAATACGTTTGTCTTATATGCACATATGACACATCCTTTACATCAAACGTAGAAAGAGGTGTGCAAATGTCCGTCAGAGCTGCAGAGAAACTTTCGAGGCTGAGTTTGATCTCAAATAATGCCATCAGTCTGTTAATTTTCGTCCGGTTTTTTACAATACCATTTCATTTTACTTTGAATCCATGTTGGGTATAAACTTGAACGTTGTAATTGCTATAACAGGACAAGGCCAGGAGGAGAATTCCAATCAGATATAGCTCCTAGTTTTAAAAATCCCAGTTTATTTTTGCCATTGTTCCCTGATTTCCATGTCAAAAGACTCGAGCCAAACCTGAGCATTTCCAGTCTATCGGTCTTAATGAATTGTCTTAATCAGTTGCACAAACATAGTTTTCTAAAGCCACTCTTGCACGAGGATTTTAATGAGCCCTGAAGGTAAGAGATCATGATATAACTCTTTTGGCAGAGAAAATATTCTTAAATAATAACACTGAAATCCAATTCATGCTGCAATCGATATTTGTAACTTATATCATTGCATATGAATAACTTTAGATTTTTATTGCAGGGACAGAATCGAATCTGACACATCAAATCAACGACAATGGGTCCAAGAACCACGGAATTTATTACTTTCATTGCGCTGTTGATGTTCTGTACTTTGATAGTGTTGCCCTCAACCAGAGGTAGGATTTAAAGACAATCTTCTGCTAAGTGTATGTGTTTTTCATTTCGTAGATGAGAAAATAAAGCTCCAAAAATGTAGAATGGTACAGCTTTCAGCCATTTTCCTATTACTGCTGAGTATTTATTCCCCTTTGTTGAAATTTTTCATCTGAACCGACTTAGTTCAGTGAATAATCCGTGTTCAAAATGCGTTTTCTTAATGAATCTCAGAGCACTGCTCTTTCAAACAGCAAAATATTACATCTTCTGTTACTCACACGGTGGAAGATGATATCAAACTCACTGTTCTCATGCAAGTTCCCCAACTATAAAAAAGGGGAATTAATCTCTCTAATCCTGACATAACTTACATACTGAGGTTATGTGTTATCTTTCAAAATTATTAAACTATTCGCGTTCCGTTCAGATCCTTGTATGACCTCCCAGGAATATGTGCGTTTATCTTTTGAATTGTATAAAAAAAAAAAAACGATTCTCGTGGAACATCTGGTGGTATTACAAGCCGGTAACTTAAAAACAAAGTAAGGTTAAGGTCGCGTGAGTGGTGACCACTCCTTCTTCCTGATGCCAAATTGTTGCTACGTGAAAAAAAAACGTTTTCATCTTAAATTTATGTCGCCCTCTTTTTGTACAAGAAACGGCATGATTCAGCCATTTCGAGAAAATTTCTCCGGAAATAATTCAAAGAAAAGAGTTCACAAAAACAAGGCTTTGAAGTTTGGTCGAGAATTTTTTATCTATTTAGAGAGCTCGAGGTATAAATCAGAGTGACTTTCAGGCGGATAAGCTGCACGATTGTAAACTGGTTTTTAAAAATCTATAAATGATGTCCGCTATTACTTTGGAAAACTCAGAACTTTGACAGATTCTGGATTGAATGTTAAGTGTTCTCTAAATTAAAATGTACTTGATCAAGCAATTTGCGTGCGGTGACGCAAAACCCACGTCTTGAATGTGATTTCCCCCGGAAATTGACACTTATTTTACTGCACGATTTCAATTAAAGTTGAAAAACTTTTGGCCCGATATCAACCGGATCCATTGATCTGTTGGTTGTTTTAAAAAGCTGGATTTATTACAGAATGAACTTGAATTTCAATTGCCGCATTGCAGTCATTTTAACTTAAAACGCCTTTTGGCCCTTTGTTTCCTTCGCGTGCTGAAATTTTAAATGCATCATAATAATCATAGCCAAATAATTTGAGATATTTCAACTTTTGGCATCCTCTAAAGCGCAGTTCGTCCATAGCTCACTGCTAATTTCACGAACAATCTCTAAGCAGCTAAGCGCCTTTTCTACGTGGGCGAATTGACGACGATCGGAAACACCTATAATTCGTTTTGCTGAGCCAGGATTCGATTTAGACAGAGGAGAATCCCACTGATGCAGATACAAACTTGGCTTCAACCCCACCCCCCTCCCCCTTCTCCCCAGCGCCCTTTAACAAACGTTAATAACTCCATGAACATTCACGAAATCGTGGAGTGGTACTGATCAACAGATCGCTGTCAAACTTGGTCATTTTGGTGATTTTTAGGCGGTCTTTCCAACAGTGAGGCTGCTTTTTCTTGACCGATCCGTGTCAAGAGTGCTAGGGCCTGTTTTCAATAATCCGTCTGCCCACGTATCGCAAATAAGATCATTAGAGTTCAAGAAAATTCACAAGATCCTTCCCATATCTCGGTCCCCCAAAATCTGTGAAGGCAGACAGGAACGTCAATTATAAACTGAAATCTCAGTGTGATACTGCAAATCCCAGCTGTGGTGCCAGATCGTGACCCCAGCCCAACAAAAATAGTTTCTCCGGGAAATAGATGTTTGATTTAACTACACACGACGTGCCGAATTTTGAACTCTGGATCAGAAGTTGTCGTACGATGGAAGACACAGTAACTTACCTACATCCAAGTTTAGAATCCTTCCAATTCGGATCCTTCGCTAATCTTTAATTGTTTGAACTCAATACAACCACGATAACATATCACCGCTTCTTATCGATAGCGTTGTCAATCATTAGTTCTTGATTTACAAAGTGGCCGTACGTTCGCCGACTATTTATCACTATTATAATTTTTACGCACCTTAAATGTGCTTGTATAAGGATAGTTTTGCCCATGCAAGCTTTTGAAGACTGCACCACGTTTACGATCAATGGCGACTATGCCAGTTTTATATACTAGCTTTTATTTGAAGTTTCAATTAGGAACATGATGCCTCCAACGAATCCGACTTTGATGAATTTCACTGATTGCCTTCCTTACCGCAATGTAAACGTTATCGATCAATCTTTCCTTGTAACAAATTGACAATTAGGAGAGGAAACTGACGAAAAAGTGGTTTCCAAGAACAACACACAGTTGCGAAATCTGTCTCGCCATTCAGGATTCAGGTCTCTTCAACCGCTCTGTCTATTTGAATAAGATTACGAGTTATACAGTTTTATAAAAGTGTGAATCGACAGGTGTAAAAATAGACCGCTTAGGCTTCTACATCTCTAATTATAGACTTATCAAAACAACAACAGAAAATGTCCTCTTCACTCATGTAAAGTCATGTTTGTAAACAAAATGCTAAGGATTCAAGAAACTGCGAGAAGTTTCCTTATTTCCCAGCTGCTGCTTTATTTTGCTCAGCTGGAGTCGGAAGAAGTGATCATTTCCGAATTCAGTATAACTTCCTGTCTAAATGTCAGATCAAGAGACAGGTTTGATGGCTAAATAAATTCCCAATCCCTGCATGCAAGCGGCATATAAACACACGTGTAAAAGTGTTCCACAGTCGGTGCGTGTGTTCGTATCTGAAGTGACTAGCGATGGCGCAGAGATCTGCTACCTTGGCGGGCGTCGTTCAGCTCATCAGCATTCTACTCGTCTCTGCCCATGCAGCAAATGGTACGTGAAAGAGGTTAATGTCTTTCTGTTTTTTAGTTTTTTCTTTGCGTGCGTGTGTGTTCGCCTTTTTTTGCTCAGTAGTCGATATGCCCGACAGATTTTCGTTGTTTTTAGTTATGCAAGGAATAGCCGATGGGCGAATGACTGTAATTGTTTTTAAATCTAATACCTTGTTTTTTGCCTTGTGAGAAGTTACCATTTCGTTAATCCTATTCCATACAAATAAATGACAAGGGCTTTTGAAGATTCCACTCGGTAAACTAGCAAATTTCGCCTTCATTTGCCACGATGAGTGAAAAAGAGGATTGCTGAACAAAGTATGTAGGTATGACGTGGACAATCTTCGTTGTCAAGGGACTGTATGCCTAGTCTTCTTCCCAATCAGTGATACAGAAAAACTTTGTCTGCACGGCAAGCCCACAGGTGTTCCTATCTGTTTAATATCTACTCTAAAAATTTGGCAAAAATCACGAGATCTTAGACTTTCAAATGTTTCCCGTGAAGATTTCTCAAACCATCATGGTGACGGACGAAATCCTGGGCAAATATCCACTAAATTGCCTTCGAGAGCTTGCTCTGCACTCATAAGACCTTGTTGTGGAGATCAGCGGAAAGAAAACAGGCCTTTTTGGTTCTGTAACCGGCCTGATCAGTGACACTTCGTCTGTAGCTCAAAAAGGTTTAATCTCAAATCCAACCGAGTACAGATAGACACAGAAATGGATTGATACTGTGCAGATTGCTGTGGTATACATTTCTTATTCATTTATTTTATGCCCACTCTCCTCCTTTATTTTATCAAGTTTTCTATTTTAGTTGAGTTGTAATCCCTCTGGATGCGTTTTCAAGCAACTCAAAAGGATCAAACACTACACATGAATATGAAGTTTAAATTCCGGGTAGAACCGTATGCGTCATCTTTGAACGAACACCTGTGCGAGAGGGCAAAATTTATCTTAATACATGAGTAAAACTTTTCATGTTAAAAGGTTAAACAAGAAAAATCTATTGGGTGTATCATATAGTCGATGATTAAACAGCTTTCTCCGTGGGAGTTTGTTTCAAGTTCTTGAACTTTTTTTTTCACACGAGATCACATTCACTACAGGAACGCAGCTTGAGTGTCCGCGGCAAAGACTTCAACTTTATTTACGAAGTTGCTAACGACGAACGAAGAAGTTGCATGAAGCGTATAGTCGGGCGCTGCAATAAATTGAGTTCTTGATATTATTTTTGGAAGTAAAAGTTTAATTAGACAAAGTCATGCAAAGAGGAGAAGTTTTGAAATGAAAACGTCATGACAGCTCCTTAAAACTGCGCGTTAATGTACATCGTCCTCTTCTTTGGCTGCGATACAATAATAACAACCAACATGCTTACGTTTACTTTTTGCGGTGATTTCCAGAGTTTTAATTGAATCAACAAAGAAAAGTAGTTGTTGACTGCAACAGTAGAATAGTTTATTAAAAAGCTTTGGGTGAGCAGATAAGACTTAGACGAGCCCATTCAATAAATTTCATTTGATGTGTAAACACTTTCGAAGCTGATAAACGTACTTTTCAGTGTCCGGTTAAGAGAATATCCATTTTCTTAAGCATTTTCCCTTTGAATATTGCAATATATGAAATAGGAAATAACGTGTTTTTCAATCGGAACTCATTCAAATAATTCTGGCAGCAACTAGCGGGCTGATTGGAAAGCGGCTTTTCTTCAAGATGGTTAAGTAAGTTGGTCGAAAAAAATATATATCAGGAGAAGACAAACAGGACAAGAAAAACAATGCGTTGTTTTCGATGGAAAAATGAAGTGCATGTTTAGTCTAGGATCTAAATATGTCGGATGCGGGTGGGTGGCTAAGACCCACCAGAGACACTAAAATAACTCAACAATGATATCCACTGATAGCGCGGAAACCCAATCTCTTATCTGAGGGCGGTCTTCAAAATTTTTTTTTTTCCGTCTCCCATTGTTTGTGTCTTACGCAATGATCTTTAGTTCCACTCTTAAATGGCTTACAACTTGTTATATCTTCAGCGGGAAAACCATCTTTTAAGCTGTATGTCTTTATTCATGGTTGAAGAAGTTTTGAATTTAAAAAAGTTCGTAAAATCTGTGCGATTGAATAAACAGAAGGTCTGCGTATGTTGTTTTGAAGTGTAAAAAACGGAAGCCACTCAATCAATGACACTTCTCGCTGTAGAAAGCAAATTCCCGGCCGCTCCTCAACGATTTATTGTTAAAGTAAATTATACCTTGTGTCTGTTGGATTATCCTGCCAGAAATCGATGGATAAATATATCAAATGAAAACACAAATATCCTGTGGTCGTGTTTAGCACTTAGCTAGCTGTGCTCTCTTCTGGCGGTATCCGGTCATGTTTCCTTCATTGGCAATCAGCAATTTGCCAACGACATCATCACACTAACCTCTTTGATCTCTTTTTGGCCAGGGTGGGGGGTGGGGGGTGGGGTCGAGGTACAAGGGTAACGAGAAAGGGCAATTTAATGGGCAACTATTCATGTTCGTGGCAGAGTTTCTGTTATGATTTACCGTTCGTTTTCTTTGTTGTTTTTTTTTCGAAAAAAAGTGTTACTATTGAAAAAAACACGATCCATGATGAAGGTACTTTTATCGACTCTCTAGTTACCGCCGTTCATTGCAACTCATTAGTTCTCTCAATTGAGTTCAACTGTTTAATCCATTTACACATCTTCGTGTGCGGAGAAAATCAGTGCACTCCACATAGTTGCTTAATTGCGTTTTGCATCGAATTCCTAAGCAGGTAAATAAGCACAATGCCAAGCCCATTTATGCTTGGCGCGGCGGGTAACATGATTTTAACAGACGTAAATGTGATCATGAACTCTCTTGTTAGGCATGGAGGGTGAGTCGCTATCATAGGTTGACTTTGTCCCATTCGGTTCTATTAAATTCTACCTTTATTGAGGGCTCAAATTCATCGAAAAGGGACTTCGCGGGTACAAATCGGAATCTACAGGTCTTGTTTTTAGTCAATCAGCCTTTTTTTTACAAGGTAAAGTCTGTAAATATCGCATTATCTCAATTTCATATACAAGAAAAAATATATGAACAGCAAACTTTTAAAGGATCTAAGAATCCAACCCTAGCCGCGAAGATTAGAGGCGAGTACTTCATTCTTTCGCTATAGCTACCTCTGCTACTCCTAATTCCAACGGCTTGATTTAATAAAGTTTACCCTGATAACAGCAATTTTAAGTGAGATCAAGAATGGTGTAACCTCGATGTTTTCTGGCCCTTCTTTGCTAATCTACTAAAATATGTTTCTCTTTTAGGTGCGATGTTTTGTTTTTCGAAACGCATCGAGGTAGAGAACCGCTGCACAGTTCATCTTGCTCATAACCTCAGTAGCCCTGTGAACTGCTGCGAGGCTTATCCAAATGCGTATTACATTATCACCAACATTTCACACCTGACACCAGGTTCAAGGGATCACAAACTGTACATGGAACGTTTGAGATTTTTTGGCGCCGACAACTGTTTTGCATCTTGTAGAAAAACTGTTGGTAAGTTTTTAGTAGAAGTGACAGCCGCTTTTAACGCAGCTATTCAATTAGACAACAAGATGGGATTATTCTTCCATTTTATATCTTTCCAGTAACTTCTGTGCATCGCATGCCGCCTATTTACTCTTTTATTCCCAAGATGTGTTGTCAATTCTCCCCTCCAGCTGATACATAGTTTTCCTTGTAAATAAGTTACGAGAACTTGGTGTTAGATCAAGATAACAAGTTAAACCTGATTGAGTTTGAGTATTCTCACAACCTGTTGGCTGGATAATATATGGATATTGTAGGGAGAAATTACATTTTAATCACTTTTGAGAGATCAAGGGTTAAAACAGGTAGAATCACTTTGTATTTGAAATGATGGAGCGAAAAAGGAAGTAAATCAATAATGTATCTGTTTATCAGTTTCAACTTTTGATCTTCTTAATGCGTCTTCCCCTGTCGCTAAATCAAACCAAATTAAGCGGGGTTATCGGGTGATAGATGATCGCCGTAATTTTACCGCGTGATGCGATTTATGATTTGTGATTACAGATACAGGAAAGAAGTGCAGAGTGAAGCCAAACGGAAAGGTGAAATGTTCGTGTTCCAACCAACCGCGTCCAGTATGTTCGACAGATCTGTGTACGTACAAAACTGAGTGCGCATTCAAGGAAGCCCGTCAGAATGGAAGACTTGAACTTGAGGTGGCTTATCGTGGGATGTGCCAAAGTAAGTAAGGGAAACGTCCAGCATTAGATGTTGCCATGAAAGGTAACAAATGTGCTGCGAGAATTCGCTGAAAAACATTGGCCAAATTACAGTCTGTTTTAAATTACACATTACATGAGCTATGTGGCAGTTATCATTCCCTCAATGTGCAGCACATGATAAATTTGCATGAAAAGTATGCCCCAAGATAGAGAAAGTAGCAAAATAAAATAAATAAATAACATTGTGGGCGATGTCCTCGTAACTTTTATCTCTCTACATTCTGCCTCAAGGCATCCCTCGTTAGTACACGATAAAAAACGTTACCTCCATTGAAAGAGGTTTATGTAATTTATATAGTTTACAGTTCACAAGAAAATAACTATGATGACGATAACGATGAAGATAACGAAGATGACGATGACGATGATAAAGATGACGACAACGGCAATGACGACGATGACGACGACGATAACGACGATGATAACGATGACGATAGTAATGACGATAGTAATGACAATGACGATTGTAATAGAAATGACGTTGACGATGACGATAAAGACAACGACAACGGGGACTACGATAAGTGATAATGATGTTTCTAAATATTATTATCACTACTGTTTTCTCGTAGCTGGCTGCAGGAACGTTTCCTGTCGAAAGAATCGTACTTGTGTTTTGGACAAATACGAGCGCGCGCTCTGTATTAAGTGCAATTATCCGTGTGGTTCATATCACGGCGGAGAAGTTTGTGGGGCTGATAATATTACGTACCAAAGCAATTGTCATCTCAAACAGAAGACCTGCGAAAAAGGGACGACGATAGGTGTGGCGTACAAGGGAAGATGTCATGGTAAAGAACAGCCATCTATCTGTTCTCCTTTCTCCTTTACTGAGAATTTTTCATTTGAGTGTCAGATATTGCCCTGCGATTGTATTGGTTACTGACGCTCCTTAGTTGTGCGCTTACGAATTCTTCCATCGTTTCTCTTTTTACCCAACTCGCGCGGATGGCCTTCGGTGCTCACTTGCAATCAGCGAAACCTCACTTTGTGTCTGTTTTCATACGCATTTGGTTTATTTTTGGTGCTCCGGCTAACTCTTTTCAACTTAATTATCAATTGCTCATTTTAGGGGACGTTACATGATATTGGATGGAATAAATAAGACATGCCATGCAGTAGCTCGAAGGAGCAGTCGATTTGTATTGTGAAAGACCGTGACCTCGAACTCTAACAAGCCTCTTCCCCCTTCCCTGCCCGCCCACTTCCCCAGCAACATTTTTAAGAACTCGATCAAAGCTTTTCATGACGCGGACCTTTTAGCCTGCAACTAAAATATAGATCTTCTTGGCACCATGTCTTATATCCCCCATATATTTCTGAACGTCAGATAATCAGACTCTTGTTCTGTTTTTAACAGCGAGTGCTACATGTGACAGTATAAACTGTGGAAACAAGCTGTGCGTACTCGATCATCAAGGCCGACCTCGATGTGTCACTTGTAAATGTCAGGAGTCCAAGCCGATTGAATGTGCGGGGTCAGGAACTTCCATGCCGACCATAATATGTGGCTCAAATGGGGTAACTTATCAAAATTTCTGCAAACTGCGAGAAGACATGTGTAGTCAAAAGATATTCATCGATATAAAACATCTTGGAAATTGCAAAGGTAACGTGAATAATATTTTACTGTGATATTTTCAACCATAGAGTATGTAAGAGCGATTTTCCTTTGGGTGTCGTCAAACCAAACCAAAATACCATAATTACAACTGCTCATCAGAGCAAAGGCAAATTTCACAAACATTTCTCAAATTAAAAATAAGCAAACTGCCTCGATCGCGGGGAAAAGCGTCTGGTTTTATTTTCAAATCTAATTGGTTGAAAAGGTGGCGCAAATTTCCCAGACCAGTTCAGTACAGAGCGAGGAAAAGTGAATTACGTACGACACGGAATTGATAATTTCTCCAACAGAGTTGCACTAAATTCGATGAACATTGTTACAGGGTATTTCAATAAAGAAGTGAAAGTTTTAAATAGTACGATAAGGTAGAGAAACCCATTAGAGGCAAAATGGATCAAAGATGGCCGAGGATGGATACTCATGTTTGCAAACTTATTAAATGTACGTCTGCTTTGTTGAATTATAGGACTTCTCTGAAAAGCGTTGTCTGTTTCCTTAAAGTTGTTTAGCATTGTCTGTATTGTTAAAAACTGAGGTTTTTGCCTTGACCTGATTTCTTAGGGAAGCTGTCACATCCTCCCCCGCCAAAAGACGAGGTACCAAAACTGATAGCCACTGCGAGTCCAATAGCGAAACCCTCCAAGTCACAGGACGTAAGCAACTACTACATCAGTTTGAGAAATTTGGTAGATATCTTGAGGAAGAATTATCCGTTGAATATAACAACGCCTAAATACAAAAAACTCCGAAACCACGAAAAGAAGATATCTGTAATTAAGCTCTTGGAGCAAATAAAGACGAAGTGGAGAAGGGTAAAGAGCTCTTCCCCTCAATAAAGCCCTGGTTTCGTGCGAGGGCGACATTGGTAAATGGGATTAACGACCAAAAAAAATCACGAATTCACGCGGTTTTGTGAGGAAAACTGACTGATAAAAAAAAAAATGTTATGATGCAATTGCTGCCTGTATGGGGTAAATTATCCAAGAGGTCGACGAATGATTGCAAGAGATACGGTGAAGTTTCCGATCTCATTGGATCAGCTGAATACAATTTTCCTATATCAAAAAAACATGTTTCCGTGAAAATTTATAAAGTACTGCTTTCCGCATTTTACTAAAGTTACAGCGCACAACTTTTACATCAGGTGATTTATTAATGAAAATATTTAGGATATTGAGAATGAAAACTGCAAACTAAGAGCTCTCAAATATTCCTCTCTAAACTTTTTGTTGAAAGCCTCTCACACAGTTCTACAGTGACTGTTGTCAAGTAAAACATATCGTTGTTCAAATGAACTTCTTATATTAAGACGCATACGCGTTTCAGGAGACAATGCCAAACGCTCCTTCCTAGATTCCTAGACAGAATCCAGCGTAACTTCTCGGTTATCACTGATTGTATCATAGCCTCAAGGAAGCTTCTAAGGTTCACAAAACGACCGTATGTAATTCAATGTATTTAGCCTTTTTATGGATGTAAGTTATTTTTTATTGTTATCGACATAGACTTAGGAGAATCTTGCATTGCAAGAGGACAAAAACATGTTTACTCTTTTTTTTATATTTTGCCAGAATTTACTATATGCCTACGAAAATAAATGTAATATAATATCTTCAAGGTTTGTTGCCACTTGTCTGTGTTTGGGAATCTACTGAGGAGGACACTTATTTTCGCAAACTCCGTTGATCCGCAATACGATTCGAAGCCCCTTTTCTTGAAATGGTCCGCTCAGAGGGCTGCCAATTATGAGAACACTTACTCGACCAAGATCAGGTTGTTCAAAGTACGAATAACCTTACCCGGGGTCAATGTAAATTTAAACAAATTTTTTAGAGCTTTGCAAAGGGTTTTTATTTTTCCCGTTAATTTCGAGTTCTATCGAGGTAAACCCCAACAAAACCTCAGATTACACGCGCTTCAGAAATTGTAGCTAAGGTTAACTTTTAATCCTTTATTAGCTTTAATCGCCTTTCGGACAACCCAGTCCAGATGTAATATCTAAAAAGAAGAAGCTTTAAAGAAAAGTTTTCGGGTCAATATTTATGATTACTTCAGATGTGGGCACCACGCAGAATGCGTTTCACCTATGAACATACTATGTGAAACTATAATTCTTGGTGACTGTTGCCCTACGTAGCTTTGCACCAGAACATAAGCCGCTATGTGAGAAGGTCTGATGGTCGATTCGAGGAACACAGCCATCAAAAGTTAAGCATGCGCGCCAATTTCCCGCGCGAAATTCCAAAGGGAAACTCAAGAAATCACCGCTGTCTCCCAAAATAAGCCTAAGAAAATTGAAACAAAAATAAGGATAAGGGAAACACAAAAGTTTTCAAATACAAAGCTTACTCAAGTACAGGTATCTTGCTGATTTACCATTTTGTTTAGAGCCTTACCAAAAAAGTTATACGCTCTCAAAACATCGGATTATATGGTTGCTTGTGGCTTTTATGAGCGTGGAAGCACGCCACCTATTTTCGCACTGGCACAGACGCTGGACCGTTGTGTTGATCGACCCTCAGACCTTCCGACATCTATCGAGTCTATGCGCTGGTGCAGAGCCACATAGAGCGACAGTCGGCATAGAACTCTGGTTTCAACTTCCCACACCATAAGTGAAAACCATTCTGCGTCATGCACACTTCTGACGAAAGCGTCACACTTATGGATGCGAGAACTCTTTTCAAAGCTTCCTCGCTTTAGATATTACATTTGGTTGAAAAATTGTTCTTGCAACGGACAACTTTGTGACCATTTCAAGAAAATCAATTATAATCGTATTCTGAAGTTAGAAAAGTGTAACACAGTGGTCATATGTCTGTTATGACAGATGGCGTGTTACATGTAATAAGTAGCGCGCATTCACTGCACCACGATTGATTCAGGATGTATCAAATCTGATTCAGAGAGCAGAGCAAAACTCGCTTTGTTACCGTAAGTTGCAAACCACAGACATGTTGCTCCGCGCGGAGGTGAGTGACACTTGCAGTGAACCTCTTAGCTGGCAAGTGAACGCGTGAAATAAAACAGCTGTTGACTGGTTTGGTATATTATATAATAAGCAAAAAGAGAAGTCTACAAGAGATAAAAAAAATCAGAACAGCTTTAAACGTTTTTTTTATTCTTACGTTACTGTTGTAACGTTTTTACAAAGCTCAGAGTTTTAAAACTGTTTTAAAATTTGTCCCACCCTAAAACAAATAAATTACAACAAACTCTTTCACGCAAGAAGTTGGCCTCTGGGTAGAAAAAAGTATATGCTAACTTTAAATATTTAAATCCATTTTTACTTTATATGATTGGAAAAGTAAATAGGCATATTTTTTCAATGAAATAACACTAACTAATTAAAAATTTTAGTCTACTTTTTTGATAATTTAATTTAATTATTTGCCAGACTTGAATTATAAATTGTTTTTATTTAGAGGATACCTTTCAAAAGAAGTAATTAGCTGGCGAGTATTGGCTGTTCTCGTCGATGTCACGTAGCACTCCTGGCTGCCAGGGCGACTAGGTGAGTAGCGAACATTCCTTGAAAAAAACGAGGAGAGGATGGGTAAAATAAATAAATTCAATGACTTAGAGTTCCGCATGCTGGCGATCCTTTTGACTTTCAGTATCAGACATTTCCTGATTGTTATTATCCTCAGACTGAGATTCGTGTTCCTTTGTTCCATCAGCACTATCATCTTCCGAATCCTCCTCCTGGTAATCGTCGATGTATGTCAACAGCCGCCCAATGTCGTCATATTTGATATCATAAATCTCCTCGGGGGATACTTTACCATCCTTATTCGAGTCCATTTCGTGAAAATTCTGTCATAAAATCAAAATAACAAATACAAAACTAAAGAAAAGTAAGAAGTCAGAATTTTACGAAGTGGATGAAAAAAGATAACAAGGAAGTTTTTCTCCCGTGTTTATCTTCGCATCTGTTCAAAATAATGATAATGAAAGTCCAAGAACTTATTGTTATAAGATTTGTCAGTGCTTTCTCAATATTTCCTCATTGTTAAATCACAGGGTTCAATCCTTAGAGGCAAAATAAATTATGATGGTAGGAATAAAAACAATGTTCTTGATAAAAAGAATGATGACAATGAAGGTTTTAAATTATGTTGATCAATACTGCTGCCTCTCCTCACCTCTAGTGAAATCAGTGCAAAAACAAAAACAACATACACAAAAACAACATCTACAAATTCAAAACAACATCTACAAAAATGACAAAATGACATTAATGATATTGATAATGAACTGATAATGAGGGCATGAAAATCTACAAGGCAGCCCTTTTTCTTCTAAGTGATGCAGAGCATTTTAGGTTAAGTGAAGGGAGAAGCGACCTCTGACTACCTGCTCTAGTTTCTCTCTTGGTAGAATTGATACTTCATCCCCAAGTTCTTTAGCATCTTCCTAAAAATAAAATGCCAGTTTCCCATCAGTGACCATCAGCATATTATGAATTGATTTAAACCAAATTTAAAAGAACATTAAAAGAAAAAAAATAACGTACTTGATAGACACCCTCTAGCTAAAGGCACACTCCATAAATAGTGAAATGTATGAAACAGAACATGACAGCATGGCTGTGCTCCAGCAACACACAGTGGCACCTGATGTCTTACTTTAACTCTTGGGTGACAAGGGAATCTTACTTTTAGCATAAAAAGCATATGCTGGGCATCTTGGATTTCACAAGCACATTCCACTGCACGTTTTTAATTTTAAGAGATTTTTCCTTTCAGTACCTGAATTAGTTCTAAATAACGCTCCAAGGTTACTGGTGTTTCTCCAATGTTTTGCAAAGTTGCTTGCCTGTGATGAAGCAAAGTGCATAATTACTAAAAGAATAAGTGAAAAACTGAACCATTACATGAAACTGTAAGTCATATACTTTTGGTGGATGTTTGAAAGATAGCTGGACTACTTAATACCTATTAGACAACTACTCCAACCTGATGTTCCCCCTACTGATGATAGATCATGTTTCCAGCCAATTTAATAAGCCCCATGCCTCCAGGCAATTTAATAAGCCCCATGCCTCCAGCCAATTTAATAAGCCCCATGCCTCCAGCCAATTTAATAAGCCCGGCCCATGCCTCTGCCTTGATCCTTTACACCCTAACATCATTATGTACATTCTCCACACTGTTCTCTGATTATACATTTCCTAAGGTGTTGGCAAGGAGAATTTGTCTAACAATTAAAAGCTACTGTAATTTTGTTGGTGATCATTTCATTTATTCTTGTGACCTGTGATTCAGGAGTGATATTGTAAGGAGACGCTAGATGCTAATTACTCTTACAGGTTAAAGGGTTAAAATTAGGGTAAGTGTAAAGACATTTCACCACAAAGGTTTTGCATTTGGTCTGGTTTTGGAAGGAGAGGGTTTTCAGGATTCACTTGGGTTATAATTCTAATTTAAAGTGACCCACAACTGACTTTACCTCAGAGAGGGAGAAAATTCTCAGCAGGTTACAATCAGCTATGACTGCCACACTTTTCCAATCCTTTTGGCATTGAAAACATACAAAATTGTAGAACTTGCATGCATATACTGGTACCTCAGCAAAATAGACTTTAATTTGCTTTCCATTCATGCTAGCAAGACACTATATATTTCATCTGACAAGACCCACACCCTAACCCACCCTTAAAAAAGCACCTCTCTTCAGTGCCAATTTTGTCCAAAGCAGGAAGATGGTGAGGCTGGACTTAAAAAGATTTTTTACTGAATGCGACTTTCAGAATTACATCTACCTGAAGGCTTCTTGTGGATGGAACTCAAAGTGATGAAGAGGAATCAGCTCTTTGTCTTTGTACGGACTGTCATCACAATCTGACTGGTTAAACTTTTCAAAATGGGCCCACCAAATATTCACAGCAAGGTTTCGCTTTCCATAGGAGCGCACTTGATGAACCCATCTAAGATTTGTCATTTGGATAACAAATTAAATCAACTTTGAAGCAGTTCAACACTTTAACTAGAGTTCTAGCCAGAAACAAAAAAAAAACCTCAAGGGTTTTCCTTGAGAAATGCTGTAACAGGAGATAGAGCAAACTAATGAGTGTGTTCTCCCTTTCAGATAAAAAAATCTCTCAGGGCATTGAAATAGGGGATGAATCAGGAATTGTGGCTAAAGAATCATCATATTTCCATTGCATGATGAACAAACTGAAGTGCTTTAAATTGTGGTTATCATATTTTGACCAAATCCTAGTCTAGCAGCATCTAACTGGCTGATCTTGCAAATGAACAAAGATAAATTTGCTGACAGCCCACTTATAAGGAGGGTAAGATTACCTTGCAGGGATAAAAAAACAATCTCCTGGTTCCATGACAGCCTTAAAATAAGGGATTGTCTGTAATCCTGGGAATTTGTACATGTCAACTTGATCTACATCAACAGTGGAAAATGCCCCATGGACCTTGTCAATATGTGCTTGCTCAAGATGAGACTACAACAGAAGAAAAAGCACCCATTGAAAAAACAAAACACAGTCCATAAAAAAAACACAAACATAATTTCCACCATTTCAACAGTCAATGGGTACCAACTCTCAGGCATTTGAGAAATGGACGAATACTTTTAACCCTTTCAATCACAAGATCTGATTGTTTATTCAGTCCCCTCTTGTTGCTTCACATTTTCTTGTATATTGGTTTAAGGGAAGTTGGTACCAGATCAAGATAAGAACTTCTACCTGATAAATTTGAGTATTCTCAGTACTTATTGCTGGATATTGTGTTGAAACATAGGGAGAAGTTAAATTTTAAACAATTCTGGGAATTAAAGCATTAAGTCTACAAGGAGACACTGCAACTCAAAAACAGTAGGCTTACTTTGCACACAATAAGCCCAACCCTTTATGCCACGGCACCAATTAGAGGCTGGTTGTCTGGCTATAAGTCCCTTACACAAAGCCTACCTTGTTAATCATGACCAGTTCTTTTGTTCCATCAAATAGGCAGTTGATGTTATCCACAGAATCATAATGGAGAACTGATTTAGTACCACCACTGCTGAACCAGACAACAGCATCCTGAAGCACATTTGTGTAGCCTCCACAACTTAAACTCTTCAAAAGTGCATATTCCTCTGAAAAAGTAAGTGAGTCTGTGAGCATATGCTGCCAAGTATTTATTAAACTATTATTAAAAATAAAATAGGAGATTATCATCACTGACAACAATAGAAACTAGTTCAAAAAGATTTCCTCCAACATTAGCCCAGTCACTTAAAATGAGGTCAAATAGTTTAGAAATAAGCAAAACATACTTTCAAACAAAGAACAATTTATAACACTTTGGAATTGTGGTCAACTGCATCAACCCTTTAACTTCCATGAGTGACCAAGACAGAATTTCTCCTTACAATATTAATACAATATCAACTAGATTAGTGAAGAGAATAAAGAAAAATATCAAATTGGGGATAATTAGTTGATCCAATACAAAATTATCTGAACTTACATTATAAGAATTGTATGGTTGACAGTAAAGAGAATGACAAATTTGATCTAGGAGTTAAAAGGTTAAGACACAAGACAACCTTTCCCTTTGAGGAAGCTTTACAGGAAATTTATATAGAGTGCGATGTGAGTTGTGACAGTTGTCCTCTCACCAGTCTACTTTGCCACAGATGGACTGCTTATGTATTGGATAAATATGAGCCATCTTGTCCCATTGACAGGAACACAAATTGTACAATCATATGAGAAAAAGTTTTCTGCTCAATAGGGTCACCATACTTTTTGAGGCACCCACCCGTGTTGTCTTGCCTCCTAATATGAAATTTTAACTGCAATAATTGATGAAACACGTACAACATATAGTGTAAATACAGGGGTCTGTAGGTCAGCAAGTCTCACACAACAGTTTACTGCAGCAATTATGCTCACTGATATCATGATACATCATACAAATATACCCATTTCCAAATAAATGCAACATTGCTGGATACAAAATATCCAAAACCACTTTGTGGAAACAAAGGGAATGTATACCCCACTAATTACAATGCTGCTAACTCTATGGGCTGATTTACAACAATAGGTCATACAAAGTTGAAATGTTTTTCTTATTTTAAACTAAACCTAGTTACTAAATGGTTGCTGACCAAGAATAATTTTGTAATTTCAACGACCTACTATACATATCTCAAAACTATACCCACAGTTCCTCTCACCCAGCACCAATCCTCTTGTCTGTGATGGCAAACTAAATATTTCTGTTCTGACTATTTCACTTTGCTGCATTGTATGGAATACTATTTTGTCATTTTCATATGAATTGTTGGTTGATTTTTTCAAAGAAATAAATGAAAAGGTAGCTTGGACAGGGTAACTTGGGAGGGGGGGAAGAGAAGGTTGTGTTGGGTAACTGAGACCATATAATTGGGACTTCAGTATTTACACAGGGAGAGGTTGTCATGCAAGGGACTTGTATGAACATATGAAACTATTAAGGCCTAACAGTAAGACTATCGTCTGCCTGTCAAACTTTCAAAATGGTTAAAACTGTACCTCTCATCTTAGCTGGAAGAGTTTCCACCAAGTAAATATCTTCATCCTTGTAACGACTGATAAAGTCTTGCAACTTGAAATGAAATGTTGCCAGTGATCTGTTTTCTTTTTTACCTTCTTCAACATCAATGCCCTCTTGTCCAAATTTTTCACTATGTTGAAGGTGATATAAAATAAGAATTTCATTCAAAAGAATGAAGTTGTTGTCCTTAAAAAAAAGGGAATTCCAGAAATTTTAAAAGAATTTTGGAGATGGGAAACTAGTTCCTAAAGCAAAATTTTGCTTGGCTTTAAAAATTGAGACATGTTACTACCAAGAAGATGATATTTTTAATGAACTGACACTTAGATAACTAACAAAATTGGGATTTTGAGAGAGAGGATGTCTCCCTCCATTTCACATATCATTGAAGGGGAATTTTTTTTAATTCCATGATTAGCTTCACCAAAATAACTTTACTTTGCTTTGCTCTTCAATGTCTCCAAGTTTCAAATATTTCATAATTTTCAAGTCATTCGGGAAAACAAAATAAGTGGTAATAACAAGACACAGTCAATTTGTTACCTAGGAGCTACAAAATGACATCAAGAAGTCAGAGGGTCAAAATAATGTATTGATTGCTTGAAAGACTTTCAATTGTTCACAAAATTGCGTGAACAGGCGAATCATTAATAGTTAATTGTTCGTGCCGAGTTAGTTTGTATCACGAGTTAGTTTGTATATCTTTTGCTTTTTGTGATACACTAATCTCCCTTATCGTGTTTTTTATCAAGTTTTAAAGGAAAAAGTAAACTTATCTTGGCCTAAAAATGCTGGAGGATATTTAAAAATTCATGGTTTTAAAATATAATGGATAAATCCTTAAGCGTAAAAGGCTTGCCTCAATTCTTATTCAGAGTCTGACCTGATACAGGTGTTTCAACTTTAATTGAAAACAAGCTAAAACTTGTCGAAGGGAAATAGACAGCCCTGCTAGAAATGTTGAAAACAGGTAGCCCGAAATATGCAGTTCTGCTCTCTGTTAATTTTCCGAAGTTAAATTATTAAAAAAAACAATTCGAAACTGGTCGCCCGTAAACTAGCAGAAGTTTCCTTGACTCCTTGATTTCAGAAAATAATATTTCCCTTGATGTGGATTGAATGAATTTTCATCAATTATGCTGACCATGAGATTTATTATCCACCACATATGTTGACCTTACCTTAAATATTCATCCGTCCACTTTGAAAAAGCAGGCATTTTCTTCGCTGCTCCCTTAAAGAGCACAGGTTTTCCCGGAAGAACATTTTGATCAAAGAATTCCCGAGACGATGGAACAAAGTCAGTACTATCCAATACGCCTACAGGAGGCTGATGAGAACCTAAAGGTTTCAGATGACCGGGGGGGTGTTCAGGCTCATGGGCAGATAAAACCAAAATAAAATCTAAAATTAATAGCGCTTTCATTTTCCTTCGGAATAAGTCACTTTAGAGTTATGGTTCTCGAAGGTCATTGTAGTATTCTTGAATATGTCGAGAGTTTTCGAAGAGTCACCGAGTGATGCGCGTCGGGTAATCACCGATGGATTATCGACTGGTTCAGCTGACTTGACGTCACGCAGTAAACATGGACTCAGTTCTATAGCAACTCAGACCCTAACATTTTGACTTCATTAGCGTTACAATAGCTTTGACAATGACCTTTAGAGCTCGTATTATCTGATTACAATTTCTTATTTTTCTATGGTGCTCAAGTATTGCTCAAAATACGATTTTATTTGCTGGTTCTGTAAGTTCCCTCGCCCGAAATATTCGGAACTCGATCGTTTCGAAATGCGGACTAAGCAGGTTGAAGCCGCATTTTAGGTGGTTGTACTTTATAGTATTTCGTCGAGTCTATTTATCTTAGAGTTATTGGAATTCGGCAGTGTAGATGAGAAACACCTAAGGTTTCTTAACCCAAAAACAAGGCAAAATGATGGCAACAAGAAACCCAAAGAAAACCATCGTCAGGGCATCCCTTTATCGAAGGAACAAGGTAAAACCATTAATGAAACAAAAGTGGTTTCAAGGGTCCTCTTAAATTAAATACTAATACAAAGATAAATTACAAATCCAAATAACTTTAAATCTAAGAACTAAGGAACAAAGTATTAACTAAGCTTCAGAATTGCCGGTGTGGCGAATGTCTCAGCTTGATTCTACCAATCTATTCTCAACGGGCGATAAGTATAGGTGGTAAATCTGCGTAATTTTTCGATGAATTATAAATTTTCTGGTGTTTTTGGCTTTTTTTTTTGGCGTTTGCCTTGATTTGAACGATGCATTACTTCCTAAGAATCGAAGTCGACCACAAAAGTATTCGATCAATGTTTGAGTTCAAAACAGCTGAGTGATCATGTCAGTTGAAAGAAAGACTTTAATGATCCTCCATATATACAATATGTTGTTACTAATCTGTAAGCTGTCCAAACATAAATATGAGAACAACATCTGGAGGTCGACAGATCAGCTCTGGAATCACTTAATGATTATTTGTACCACAAATCATTGTCCTTGCCCCAGAAACAGCATTTTGATTTTTGCACGATCGGCCCAAGGGGTTGACCACGATTAAGCTACCTAAAACACGTACTTACCTTAAAATTGCCTTGCCAAAGTGATTGTTTTATCTCAGCTTTCTAACACAGTACAAGAGTTTGTGCACCTTTGGATGTCACTTGAATAGTGGAGTTCATGGTGCTTCCTGGAAAATGTGTGTTTTGCAGTCATGAACTTTTTCATGACAGTCACTATTGCTCTCAGGGCCCATAAATATGATCTTGGGTACCTGAGGCAACCCTGCCACTATGTTACCAGGCCAAGCTAACTTTTAATTTTGAAACTTCTATGTTTTACTTCTGTTAAAGTATATGAACCTTTGACATGATGAAGAGAAATTCATCTTGGGGTGGGGGAGGGGGGGGAAAGGGTAAAAGGGCAAAACAACTTAGGAGGGGGAGTTGTCCCACTTTGGTAGGAAGGGTAACATTGTTAGGTGGGTCAACTTTTTCACACACAAATACTTTGGCTCACTTGCTAAGACAAGAAGGCTCTAATTTTTTTCCAATATGTAACCTACCTAGCTGTTACAAGAGATACTGGTGAGAGGACCAATCAGGGCACTTTTATTAAGTCAGTTATTTCATAAATTGGTGTCTCAGATACAAATTGCTTATATGTACTATAACTTTGAATTTTTCTGGATCAACTTTAATTTTACATGGGCCAGGTAGGTATATGAACAGCTTTAATATTACTCTTACAGAGGCATATCATGATGAAAATTCTTTGCCCTAAAATGATATTATTTTAATATTTATGACGTGGTGGATCTAATGACCACACTTTCAATGAATATTTTTAACAGCATGGACTGACACAGATGACACTGAAGGAACCAAGGAATCTGGAGAGTCCTCAGAACAAATCATAGAAGCAGCTCTTGAGCCACAGAAAGGCAGCTTAATATCAGTGAAGGAAGCAGATGAAACAAACAGAGGTACCACTGAAGATGAAATGAATGGTTCAGAAATAAATGGAGTTCATGAACCTCCACAGACAACTGACACAGAAGTTCCACAAACGACAGACACTGAAGGAGTGAATGGCACCGAAACTGACTCCATGGCAAGTATGGAAAGTGCTACAAGAAAGAGAGTGAAAAGAAATGCAGTTGTACCAACAGATGGAGAAGACAGTGGTAGGCAGACTCCAGAATCTAGGAAAGGTAATAATCATGACAACTAATGTTAGTTAAGCTCACCAATGGAATGTTATGTTGGTTTTGTTGTTGTGATTTTAAATATGTTTTATATGGTTAATTTTTAGGATGCTTTTCGTCATGTGACAAAGAAATATCTTATTTGGATTGTGGAAGTATTTCATCCTTTAACTCCTAAGATCTGATTGTCAATTCTCCCATCTAACTGCTACTCATTTCTTTGTAAAATAGTAATGAGAATTTGATGTTTGATCAAGATGGCAACTTTTACCTGATAACATTTGAGAATTTGCATAACCTTTTTGCTGGATGATGTTTGGATATTGTAGAAAGAAGTTACATTTTAAGACTATGGTGCTGAGAAACCTTTTGTTTTTGTTTTTGTCAAGATGCATGGAGTATTGCTGAGACGGATGCTGATGTCGAATCTAATGCTGCATCAAGTCGACCAAGCTCTGCCCATCAGAGAGCAAAACAGCGCCCTGCAACTGCAGTTACAAGACCAACAACAGCTACTGTACCAGTAGAGAGACCAATGACAGCACCATCCACCCGATCACATTCTCAAGCAAAGCCTGAGGCAAGTGGTAGCTCACAACTGAAATCATCAGGGTTCCGCTCAAAATCAAGTGGCGAAGGAGAGAGACTTGATCACCCTGCATCAATGAATGGGGTGAGAGCCAAAGTTTTGTGCATGTAATGGGACTTGATGTTGCATATTAATCTGTACTGCTTGTAATCTACCAAGGGCATGTTACTGCATAGCCATAGGGGCTATATATATAAGGAGTATGATGTAGAATTACAGCAAATGAATGTCAAGTAGACATGAATTAAAACCAGTTTAATTTGATGAGCATTTGCCTTTTCCAAGCACAGTACATTAAACAAAGAGTAATACAAATAAAACTGGTTTGAAATCATTTCTCCCCATGTATTTTTGTAAACTACAAGATAAATATTCAAATATGCAGTTTATTGGTAATTAGACAAGAAAAACTTCTAAATGAACTTGTTATCATGTTTTAGTCTCAGGAGATTGTCCCATGGGAAGAACCTTCTCCAGTTTCCATTGAGGGTTTGAGAGATAGAGGTAAATTGCAGCCATAGCTTCTTTTTACCTTCTCAACTGTCATGTACAATACTACCTGACTTTGTACAACTACCTAGGCTTACTTATGACTTACAAGATGGCAAATATATAGCTAATACCCCATAACTATAATTATTACAATTATGCTTTACTTATTACTGGTATACAATACTTTGATTTCTTACGATTACTTTCAATCAGAGCTGTTGTTTTGCACAAACAGTGTAACTGTTAAACTTTTCAACTCTGTTTATACATGAAGCCTTTCTATCGTTTTTTTGAAGAAAGTGCATCCAGTCGCAGCAGTGGTATGCTTGCAATACCGCAGCTGCAGGGAGAACAGAATGCTTATATACCATACATCTATGCTAAAGAATGTATTCAAAGGGTAAGTGGCAGTCTTTCACTGCTTCTGTGTGACTATGTGAGCATGAAAAGTAACTGTTATATTTAACAAGCCTGAAAATAGCATTCATCAGACCAATGTTTTGTAAATTTCAGGGTTTGGCAGGCAAAGCTTGGCCTAGTAAGACATTATGACTTTTGAAAAATATTAAATTTATATTTTGTAGCCACAACCACAGTGAGAAAGAGATTTGTTTTCAATTCACTTTATAGTTACAATTCTTTTGAGGCCGTACATGTAGGTGGAATTATTAATAATGTATTGACCAATGTCATCTTCTCTTTGATAACTTTCCTCATCTGCCCAATTTCACTTTTTGTCTGGTTAAAAACTTGTCAGTTGCCTAGAGATGACCTCTTTACAGGTAAAAATTAACAGCAGGCTTGGATTAGAAACAAGGTAATGCAAACTTGGAATGCGAGGGCTTTTGCCGACAGGACTTCCAACTAAGAGACTTAATTTTGTCAGTGATGTTCATCTATGCTGGTATTGGTAAAAATTCTCTGCTATTTTACTCTGATCTATTGTTTGTGGTATGGTACAGGTAATGGATGACATGAAGAAGATGAAAAGTGGTCATGTAAAGGTTGTTGATAATATTCAGGAACAGTACAAAACTCTGGAAGATGATATTCAGGTATCTCCTTGTACATTTTGATGTATACTTCATCTTCTTGATTGGAATTAATCAGCCAGCCTTCCTAAATACCCCTCAGCCTCTCAGACTGTTTTGCTCTAACAAAGGGCTAACACTGGAAAGGTCAGCTATGGAAACTCTTTATGGTAGCCAATTTACATTATCAGCTCAGTTGATAACACCAAATTATCTACATGTATTAAAACCCCCTATCATCACAGCACCACACTGTTTCTTTAGAAACTTACCTCCTTGATGTTTGATTGATAACCTGGCTTGTGTTAACAATTAGTAGTATTCTTTTTTTTCACTGTCAGCTACATGTATGAAGATCCTTTTGACCCATGAATAAAGTTTCTACTATATTCCAGTTTCTATTATTATCAGGAAATCTATAATATACATACAGCTGTACAACTTTTCCAGATTTTTGAAGATGTTTGTTTGTTTTACATTACATTTTAAGCGGTCTTTTTTCTCATATTTGTATTTATTGTAATTATGAACAATTATCATTTTGAATTTGCAGGCTAAATTCAACACCTTTGTTCTTAACTTACGCAATGAATATTCCAACAAAGTCACCACCTTCCGTCAAGTTATTACAATTCACCGTGAGGATTCATTTCGTACAAATACTTACTGGCAAGAAACAGTTAAGGTGAGGTCTTAACTCCACACATCCATTCAGGTTAATCCACCCAAAGTTAATTAGTAAAGAGTTCATTTTGAAGGCAGGTTTTTGCTTATCAAAATACAGCCACAAATAGCTCTTCTATTCAATATGCAAGTTATGGAGGCAAGAGATGCAGATCTTGATTATGTCTTTAGACTTTGTCACCATTCTGTGAACAGCTGCACTCACCTTACCAGTCAAGTTAATTAACAGACCATGGTGTGGGAAATGTGGTGGCTAATTGGTGAATATGGTGATCTGGATCAAAGGGTTCTGGTTGAAACCATTTCCAGGTCATTGTGTTGTGTTCATGACCAAGTAACTTTACTCCCACACTGTCCCCCTCCCTCCCTACTCAGGGTCCAATTGTGTGAACTCAGGAGTGTAGATGATATTTGGAAAACTGTCTGGAAACCAAATGATATGTTGGGGGTGGGGAGGGGGGTTGACCAGTAATTTACAAGCATTCCATATAGGGGGTGTACTTAAACTCCTATTTGCTTTTATGGTGCAGAAATTGGGAGCTCCAAGAGATTAAGACTAAGTGTTTCCTGTCACCATTTGCAGACTTTACAAAGTTTGTTAATATTTACAGAATTTGGTTCTGTCGTAATCTTTTTTTCAGAGTCTCCAAGGGAAGAATCAGGCCCTCTTGAAGGAAAAACGACAATTGTTAGTTAAAAACAGGGAGGAGTTTAACCGCCTTGAAGAAGAGAAGGTGGGAAATTATTTACAGATAAGAATTGCAGTAAAATTTCTTTGCTTCAGTTTTTTACCTTCTGCATGTCCTCCAGAAAACTTTAGTCGTTTTTGCATTATAGACTAAATGATATAGTCAAAAGATCTCAAAAAGGCCATCTATGTCTCAAAAGTGTTTGTGCTTAAGATCCATCTTCATTATTTTAATGAGTTTAAAAGTTATTTTTAAAGTTGTTCAAACAACTTTTCTTCAAATCTATCCACATACAGGCAGAAGCAGTGAAAGACTTGACAAGAATGCTTGATGAACGACATTCTAGATACACAATATGTAAGTAACCAATTTACAATTGTACAAATGTAAACTTGAGTGAAATGTCTGATGATTACTGTATTATTGATCCAAATTAACCCAATATGTTTTCAGTGCTGGCAGATTTTAAAAGTGAACAAGGAAAAGTGAAAGAGCTGGAAGAGAAGTTAAAAGCTTTAGAGGAACAGGGGCTGAGACAACAAGAGCAGAGTCTATCCTTGCATGAAGAAGAAATCAAAGCACTAAAGGCAAAACATGAGGAAGAAGTCACTGAGCTGAAACAAAAGCTGGAAGCTGCTGAAAAAGAAAAGCAAGAGAAAGAAGAAGAGCATCAGAAGTTGTTGAAGGACAAAGAGGAAGAAGAAACAAAGAAAATAAATGAGCTGACAGAAAAACACACAAATGAGGTAGATACATTGAAAGCTGAAATCCAGAAAATGCAAGAAGAAATTGATGCTCTTAAAGCAAGGTAAGGTCTTGGTATCTTTCACACTAGGGGCTCTGTTAACAAGATTAAAAAAACTATATTTTCTTCTTTGGCAAAAATTATTTAGACTCTCAATTATTTTTTAAGTTGTCTTTACAGTTATATTTTAGATTTCCCTGAGAAATTTCTTCAAATATTTCTAACAAAATTTCCAAGACACAAGAAGTTATGCAAGTAGATATTGATTAGATACATTGTGATGCCATGGAAAAAGAATTGAAATTAAAATCAACAGCTGCCCCCCACATGATACATGAACAGCATGAACAGAAAGAAGCCCTTAGCCAAAATTTCAGTTTTGAATTTCACAAGCTATTCATTCTTGCAGTGAATGGAGTGAACCAAGGAGTAATAGTTGCTTGTGTTGTCTGATTACATGGAAGAGAGTAGTCCTGAAAAGGACAGGGGTTAGGGACAGTTATTAAATATGTTTCAACAACCTGATGGTTGAGGATGTTGATGATGTCAGCTCAGATCATCAAAATGTTGGTTGTTATTTCTTCCAACAGTCCCTCTCAGGGCAACCCTCACTGATGATTAGACAGCACTATCAGCTATTCATTACAGGCTAATCTGTGGTGATTGTAATTTTGTTACAGAGGGGCAACAGTCACAACAGGTACTGTAGTAACAACAACTGCAGTGACATCAGCATCCACAGATTCACAACAGACTGAGTTATCTAAAGAGGAGACCCAAGAGGAGGTAAAAGAACAAGCTGAAGAACAGCCTGTGAGTGTGATTGCTGCAACTGCAACTACTGTGACAGTCTTAGACAGTGCTGAAAGGGACCAACTTACTCAGGAGATTACAAAGCTTCAAGAGGAAATTGAAAAGAATAAAGCAGATACAATCAAGTATAAAGAGGAACTTGAGAAGGAAAAGGAAAGGATTTTGGAGCTGGAAGAGGAAATAAGCAGTCTGGGCAAGGAAAAGACAAGATTTGAGAAACAGGCAACAGATAATAAACAGGTTTGGTGATTTCAACTGTGCAAACTAGTGTTAAGCTGTCAGAGTATTACTTTGCTTGACAAGAGCATGATTGAAACTTCCTGTTTTTTAATATGTAGGAACTTCGCGAAAGCAGACAGCAATGCACAGCCCTGCGGGAGCAGTTGCAAGGTTTGCTGGCTGCCACAGCGGTTGCAGGACAAGTGGATGACAAAGAGACAGAAGAGAAGTTGAAAGCTGCTGAAGAAGAAAGACAGGCTTTGGTAGATGAACAGAAAAGAATGAGAGAGGAGTTTGAGAAGTGGAAGGAGCAATATCAACAGGAACATGAGGGCAAGGAACCAACTGAAGATGACAGGTTTGTGACAGATTTTGGACAGATTTGGGAATGGGTGTTTTTCTGGAATCATAAACCCTGTAATTTACTATTAGTGAGTAACCACACTCTGTGGTCAACTGTCTTGTTTGTTTTTCAGGAGTGAAGAAGTTCAAGCTATGATGGAGAAACTGAGGCAGGAGGAAGAAAAGCTTAAGAAAGCAGAAAATACTGTTGCTGTTATGACGATGTTAAAGGAAGGGACGGTTCCTGAAACTGTAGCTACAGGAGGGCTTTCTGATAGTGGTGGAAAAATAGAAGAACTTGAAGACAAGATCAGCCAACTTGAGGCAGCAAGGGATGAACTGGAAGTGTCTGTGGAGAAACTAACAAAGGAAAAGGAAGCTTTGGAAGAGAAAGTCTCAGAACATGAGGAAAACAACAAAGAACTTACAGAAAAGAACTCTGAACTGGAGGAGAAAGTAAAAAATTTGGAGAAGGAAGTGGAAGATCTAAGGAATGAACTTGATGAGATCGGGGATGGAGCCCCTGTGGCCACTCCAACTTTATCAGTGGAAGGACAAGATGTTGAGGTATGCAGTTAAAATATCAAAATAGAAAACTTCTTTTACTTAATACTCTATTTAATGTTAGTTCTTGGAATTTTGCATTACGTCAGTCAATGACTTGTAATTGATGATTTTGGTTCTCCTCCTCAACCTTCACTTTTAATTGTGTGTTTTTCATCAGAACAAATTTTAATTGAAGGGAAGACTTTTTCATCAGGACAACTTTTTTAGATGAAATGACATGAAGGTGTAAATCAAAACAACTCGCTTACAACTTTTACATGGATGTCCATATTGTGCGACAAATAGTATGTAAATCAGTTAATAGAAGTTAGCGAGAAATTTGTGGCTCTCCAAAAAGCTTAATACCATTAGATTTAAGATCATTAATATCTACAAGAAAACAGTTACGTGATAAGAAAAGTTAAAATTGTTTAAAACTAAATATTGAAATAAAAAATAATGGTTCTGAATGAAGAAAATACTGAGAACTCCTATGGATGGTTTATAACTAGTTTTTCCTCAAACAACTCAGTCCTGTTATTCATAATTATCATATTGACACAACTTTACTGCAGGGAATGTCTGGCAAGATTTCTGAACTTGAGGAGGAACTGGCAAAAGTAAATGGGGAATTGGAGCAAGAAAAAGAAACTTTATTGGCTCAAACTGAAGAGATTGAAGCTCTGAAAAAGGTTTGAATATTTCGAGTAGCTTCTAATTATTATTTACGCTGTTCAGATTCCTTAGCCAAGTAGTTGAAAGTTCAGTCAGTAAAGACCCCTATCTGTCCTTGCAATTAGTTACCCCCAAGAGTGAATGGCCTCTAATTTCTCTGCACAGTATCACCCTTGAATCAAATATAATGGGCATGAGAATAAAGGAAATGATCACCAATACAAGAAGCTCCTGATTGTCCAACATATTGTTGTTGTTAGTATCATAGGAATTATAAAGAATATGATAATTAAGGTTAGGTTGTAATGCGTTAAACTGGGTTTACTTGCTGCTCTTGCTATGTTACTCTGCATCTTATCTTTCTTGTTGTTTCTTTTCTTGTAGGAACTGGCAGGTTTGAAGGAAGGCTCATCTGATGAAGTGGAAGGATTAAAAGCACAGCTAGCTTCCACTAAGGAGATGTTAGAGGCTGAAATCAAACAAAAAGAGGAAGTATGTTTTTCATGTGGTATAATTCATTTTCAATGGTATCCTTAGGTGTTGTGCACATAGGTATGTATGCTGATTGTCTTGGCTTATTCTGTTCAGGCATTGGCAGCAGCAAAAGCAAGAATAGAAGAACTTGAGAAGAAGCTTTTGGAAAATGTTCCCATTGACACAGCCAAGGAGATTGGTGCATATCAAGCAAAAATGGTCAGTTAATATTGATTAGAAATGTTGTTGCTGGTGATGATTGTTTGGCTGCAATGATATGGCTGTCTATATGGATTGATTCAGTTACTGTCTAGTATAACCTTGATTTCAAAGGTTGCCATTGTTTGTACCCTTGCTTAGTTAACCCTTTCTCCCCCTGAGGCAGACAAGCATCTAATTTCTCACTAAGGTATCAGTGCTGAATCAAACTATTAGGCTTGTGAGAATTACGGTAATGATCACAAACTTGAAGAGCTCTTGTCTTTTAAGCTAAATTTTTTTAAAGAGTGCTACAGGAAATGTATGGAGATTAGTATTTGGAATATGCATGCTGATGTTAGGGTGTCAAGGGTTAAGTGTTCTTGGGTTATATTTTAGTAATGAGGTTTTATTATTGACTGATCTTTTTGAAGGCTGCCCTTGAGAAGGACAAGGAGAAATCAGTGAAGGATTGTGTGCAGCTTAAAGCCTCTGTGACAACCCTGACTGCAAAAGTTGAAACACTGAACAAAAATATTGAGCTACAGAAGCAAACAGAAACAGAGTTACAGGTTGGTTAAGCTTCAAAAAAGGACTGCAATGTTGATGAAAGAATGATTGCTTTATTGAATGTTTATGTCATGCGCCTGATGGGGAGACTGTGACGATGTTTGATTTTTTTTAACGATGCAAATGAAACAATTAGGTGACCCTTCTAGGGATCGTCTAACTTGCTGACACCACTTAGTGACTGATTGAAAAACAGACTAACTGTTTATATGGCTGATTCATTGATTGACCTACTACTCTGCAAAAGATGGAGAGAACTTTCCAGCATCTGACTACTTACATACTCACTAACGCAAAGATCCAGTTTGCCGTTCTGATGATGGACCTACCTGTATATTTATGGCTGTTTAAAAAATTCTGATCAGATAATTAACGGGTGCACTATATAGTGTAGCGACTAATTGTAATTTCCTGCGTCTGTTTGAACAGGAGGCGAACAAGAAAATGCGTGCAGAGAGGGTGAAAGAACTGAAGAATGCTAAGGAGCAGGGTGATACAAAATCTAAAAAACAAATTGAGGAACTGAACAAGAAGATACAAGCTCTTCAAAAGAGAGTATGTTCAGAAGTTTGACGTTGGTTCCTGAATTTGGAGTAATAATGATCTGATTTTCTTTTTCATTTTTATTTTGGGTAGTGTTGTATCTTCGTGTTTTCATTTCTGTCACTTTCATGGATTTTTTGCAGATCAAAGAACTTGAAGCTGCTGGAGTGAGACCTCAAGATTCCAAGACTGATACAGGGCTTGGTGGAGGCTCAAAGAGAAGAGTAAGGACACCTTCTGTCTCTAGACTTTGCTCGAAAACTAAGCAAACCACAAGGCGGGCTTTCTTACGGATTCTCATTTTTGATTCTGAAAGAGATATTTGGTCAGTAATTATCGAATTGACCTTTGAAATGATCGGTGAAATTGATAAAACAATCGACAACTAGAAGACTCTGCTTATGTGGTTGCCACTTTTTTGCCAGTTCCTTTTTTTAGTTACTTTTTTGTTAGAGAACTTTGCGAAGTCCTTTAATTTATTTTTATATTGTTACAAAGTACATTTTCTGTCCACTAATGTTCCAATTCCCCTAGACCTCCCTCCCCAAGGGTCCCTTTGGTTCCTCCCCCCCCTCCCGTTCCAATTTAACTCGACTGCTTTCTGTTACAGGATTCAAAAACAGCTGTAGACTCGGAAAAATTAAACAAAGAAAAAGAAAAGCTTCAAGCACAAGTTGAAGCATTAAAGAAGGCTGCGCACGAGGATCATAATAGAATAAAACAACTTGAAAAGGATCTTAAAGAGGCTCAGACGAAATCCAAGCCAGCCGGACCTTCAGCTGAAGATGTATGTGACACTAAGACTGCTGCTTAAGTTGTACGAGTTTACTTGTTCCATCTCCTGTAGAGTAACCTGTATTTTTTCTTTTTTCCTCCTCTTGTGTCCAATAGAGAGCGGCAGCTAAAAAGGCGGAAAAGCAACTTAAAGGTACGTTCACTAGTAGCGTCTAGCGTCTATTTGTTTTTATGCGAACGGTGGCATCCGCGCGAGGAGTGCGTGAAGGATAAGTCACACGGCCACTTTTCGCGTGTCTTTTGGCGCGTCATTCGCGCGTCATTCGCGCCTCGAGTTCACTCTCTCACCAACTTTTACCACCTTTCTTGATAGCAGCTTTCTCTTTGTGACATTTTGTAAAATGATAATGGTTTGACATCGCAATATTTCTTCGACAGACTTGCAAAAGAACCTGGAAACGGAGAAGAAAAAGTTTGAGAAAGTTAAAGAAACCTTAGCTAAAACCGAAGAAGAATTCAAAGTTCTCAAAAAGGTTTGGTCGTTTTTTTGCTAAATAAATGAGTTTTTTTTTTTTTGCTAAGTACTTCCCAGTTCAGTTTGGACTCTGGCTCGTGTGATCTGGTTCTTGGGATGACGTTTGAAACGCCAGCTTTGTTAAATTCGCTCCGGTTGGAGAAATTTTCAATTTAGCGTCGAGAGTAATTCAGGATTGCTTGGTTTTGCTTCACTCCGCTCTGTGATTGGCCCAGAAAACTCGCGCCACTCTCTTAACCAATCACATGCAAAAATTAAAGCCTCGCGTGTCTCGTTCACTCTCGTTTCCTCGCGCTCAGTTTGCATGTTTTTTCTTTGCATTCTCATTGGCTCCTTGTCCTTGTCAAGAGGTTTTACCACACTCAATCGACAATCACTCTGTTACATCAATCCTAACTTAAATTCTTGCTAAAAATGTTAGGAACATGATGCACTGCTAGCGGACAGTAAGAAAGACAAGGACACTCTTTCTAAACTGGAAGTTGCAGCACAGGTACGTTTCACATTTGCCATTCATTTGAGTTCACAAACGAAAAAAAATTTAATTTGAAAACGCGAACGGTATATTTACTTATCTCCAATTTGATCATTTGATATTATTGTCAATAACAGGAAGGTCTTGCCGCCCAAGAGAAGGTAGATGACTTAACAAAGGAAGTGAAAGCTCTCAGGGAAGAGAATAAAGCCTTATCAGATAACTACAACAGTGAGAGAGTAAGTCAATAACAGTTGTTCCTTCGAAATTTACGTGTGACTTTTCAGTTACATTTTAACTTTCATTCCTCCTTGCAAGTATAAGTTGTTGCATTTAGTAGTTATTTTTGTGAAAAGTAATGTAACAGGTTTTCGGAGTGTTCCAAAAAGAGAAGAGAGAGGGCTGATATATTCAAACTCGGCAAATCTCCATTGCTTTAGTTTCACTTTCAACCTGTATTTTGATAAGGTTTCTCGACTCTCTTGGTGTTTCAGCCACTTCTTTCGTGCTTTCAACAAAACAAAGCGCGGAAGAGGATTCTTTATTTTACTTTTTTTCCAATTTGGAGAGTTTTGATAAGCGTGTTTATAATCTGTTTTCTGCGGCAGATTTTACGTAAGAAATATTACAACATGATAGAAGACATGAAAGGAAAAATCCGCGTGTACTGCAGAGCAAGGCCGCTCAGTAGATCTGAACTGGAAAGGGTGAGATTGAAAGTTTTTAGTTTATTAGCATTACGTTGCTATCCTATTTGCAGAGGTACGAGCTGTTCACAACTTAAGGCTGTTTATTAGAGATTGGGGTATTCTCTGGCTGCTACGAGCTATGTTTTATTCAGACTTGGAGAGAGCATTCCTGTTACCTTACACATTTCTGAGGCGGCTGTATTTATTCTCCCTATCGTTACCTCGGGTAATGTATAGAGGACAGTATAGAGAATATGCACACTGATGTCAGGATGTAAATGGGTTCACTGACAGATGTTTTGTAACAATTTAGGGTAACCATTCAGTGATCAAGTCACCTGATGAGTACACTCTTATCGTGGAAACCAACCGTGGTCCAAAAGATTTCCAGTATGACGCAGTATTTACACCTGAACACGGCCAGGAGAAAGTGTTTGAGGATACAAATGTAAGTTCTTGGAGTGCTGCTTGATTGAATTACGCAATACCAAAACCAAAGTAGCCTCAGTGACCAATCAAAGGAAAAGAAAAATATCACGTGACAAAAAGAACAAAAAGTAAAAACGAGCAAACTTCTTGAAGCGCAGGGACTGAACGCGAGCTCCCCAAGGCGCCAGTTTAAAAAACATATACACTGTATTTGTAGCGCTGTATTGTATACCTATTTGTGAAGTCAGACTAGTAGTTGTTTTTATTATTGATCCAACCGGTCTGATCTCCTTGACACGTGCATAATTATCCCTATTACTCATTACCACGCATGCTCTTGTGGCCGTTCATGTAAGCGGTCAGCTAAAATTACTGATGCGTTTTTTCTGCTAACCAGGGTATTTGTCTTACGAGTGCTTCAGCACTTGTATTTTAACAGTGATTCTTTCCTTTTTCATGTCAGAATCTTATCCAGTCAGCTGTGGATGGTTACAATGTGTGCATCTTTGCTTACGGACAAACAGGCTCTGGCAAAACATATCCTTTACTCCAAGAAATGAAACTTTTGTACCTAAAACTGAGTAAAGAACGCCAAGCGTAGACGACCCGGTGTGTATAATTTACCCTGGGATATCTATAGGAATAAATCTGTGGGGAATTTCTTCAACTGTTCATTACTTGAAGGTATTCAATGTTGCCGTGGGATATATCCATGGGGGGAATAAATGAAGGAATTTTCCTTTGGATTTCTATAGGAATACATCCTTAGGGTATATCGTCATTTGTTCATTATTTGAAGGTAAAGAGTTTGTGCCCAGGGAAAGAAAACCTGTGTACTGAAATAATTTTTGTTCCAAATATAAGGGTAAGATCGTTGTCTTGTAATCCATTATTTGAAGGTAAATAGTTTGTGCCCAGTCAAAGCAAACCTCTGTACTAAAATCATCGTTGTTCCAAATATAAGGATAAAATCGTTGTATTCCTTAACGCTTCTCACTTATACTATGATCGGTGATAAGGAGCTCAAATCACCTGGCATCGCCCCACGTGCAATGGACGCCATCTACAAGTTGATGGATGAACAAAAGTGAGTAAGATCTGTTTATTGGGCGAATTTCGATGGAATGTCCTGAAAAAAAAAAAAAAGAAGATAAAAATAACAAAAAGAAAGGCAAGGGTTGTGGTCTGGCCTTGCTTACAAAAGTTCTCAAATTAAGGGTACTCGAAAAATTCCCTTTCAAAAATTATAAATTGCCCAATTCACCCTAGCCAAAGTCCCCCGCAAAGTGTTTTAAGGCTCTTTTGAGCATATTCATATAGGGAATGCACGAGATAAATCACTATCATTACTATTATCGTTTAGTTCGTTTAACGCGGCTCGCGAATGTACAGCGTCATCGCATAATACGAAATAATGATCGTAAATATACTTACTTATACCTGGTACATTAAGAAGCTTAACTATTGCACTTTTTTTTCTTCAGATCCAAATTTTCTTTCAAGGTTACATGTTACATGCTGGAGTTATATAATGACAAACTGATTGATTTACTTGCACCTCATGGCAAAGAAGTATCCTTTGAATTGTTATGTTTGTGTTGCTGTTGGTTACCTTCAACACGTCGGTTTATTGTTATGATTTTGTTTGCTACCCTCAATTTCTTCCGCCTATAACTCTTCGAGAAGTAACAGCTGGACGTAAGAGCGGGACACTCATGTCCTTGCTAACTTCAACATTTACCTTATACTCGCAACCGTGTCTTCGGTAGTGTACAAGCAGTCCATCCTTTTCGAGTGCATCGCGCGTGTCCAAAAAAAGCAAATTGTGACTTGCTGGGAGTGAGGCGACTCTCTCCCAGAGGGAAAGGGGAGCGCATTACTCAGATAGGGGTTGGTTATCGAATCTAACTTTGTTTTCCTCGATAGTCACGTATGTGATTCCTAAATATCACTTAATGCAAACATAGTTTAAGTGTTGTTTTACCCTTAACACTTTGAATAGCCCGCAAAACTCGACATAAAGAAAGATAAGAAGGTAAAGAATAAATAAATGAATTAGGATTGAATTAAATCGTAAGCTTTCCTTCCACACAATAACTGATATTTGACGATCCTGACGTCTTTGGTTTCCTAGGGTCTTGTGTTTGTACAGGGATCTATGATGCTGGAAGCAGCTACTAAGGATGAGCTTTGGACCATATTTGAGAAGGGCTCTGAAAACAGACACGTCTCTTCCACAAGTGAGAAAAAAATTTTAATTTTCCTTTGTTAGATTAACCCACCGATTCAAACGAAAACAGCCCTTTGACCACTGAGAGTGACTAACTTCTAATTTCTTTGTATAATACCACCCCTGAATCAAACATTAAGGTTACGAGAATCTTCTTCGTGCACCTTATCATCAACTATGTTCACCACACAACTGATGTTTCTTTTTTTTCTTTTTTTTTTAAGAAATGAATGCGGAGAGTTCTCGGTCTCACCTTATCCTCGGAATCATTATCGAGAGTACAAACTTAACTTCTGGTGCTGTGCTCAAAGGAAAAGTGAGTCTTCCTTAAGTCCCTCTGCATGTGTAATTTTTTTTCCCAATACGCTTGCCAATTTTTTCTGTGAAAAAGAAAGAGTCATATTTTTGTATCCTTGTTACCCGAATTTCCCGTGCGTGACAGAGGGTTAATTATGTGTCTTTATTTTTTAGATAAGCTTGGTTGATTTGGCCGGATCTGAACGTGCCGCAAAGACTGGTGCAAGCGCCGAGCAACTCAAGGTAGTTTTATAGAGAACCAGCAAAAATGTTCTACGATTGTTTTAAGCATTTAATCTCTTAACGCATACGCTCCTTTACAACAAGATCTCTTTTCTTCTTTCTTTTTACCTTCCACTTGCTTAATCAAGTTTGATATGTATCCCACAGGAAGCCCAATCGATTAACAAGAGTTTAAGTGCCTTGGGAGACGTAATCTCGGCTTTATCCAGCGAGCAGCAGTTTATTCCGTACAGAAACAACAAGCTTACCTTACTCATGCAGGATTCACTCGGTAAGAGGGCGAAAAAGATGCGAATTAATTTTGCCTTAGAAAGGGTAAGAACTGCGGGGTTCAGTTGTGAAACAGTCTCATTTTTGAACCAAAACGGATCGACTTATTGTCGTAATGTTCGATTTAGTGGCATTAAGCCAAAACTGATGTAAACACAACGGCCAATCAGAGCCAAGGAATTATCACAAGGAGCCAATAAGAGTTCAGAGTAAAAACAAGCAACTTGCTTGAAGGGCGGGAAAACGCTTTGGTCATCTGATTGGTTGAGATAAAAGCCCCACTTTTCTTAATCACACAGCGAAGTAGAGCAAAACCAATCATGCCCCACTCTCCATACCCAAATGAAAATTGCGCTTCATCGTTTTCCTTGTTATTTTTTTCCCAGGTGGTAACGCAAAAACTCTTATGTTTGTAAACATATCCCCAGCTGATTACAACACGGATGAAACTATCACATCTCTGACGTGAGCATATTAACTTAACCTTACATTGACAACTTGAAATTGCAACATTTCTAAAGTATTTATCGTTTGTCTTACCAAGTATTCACCTCCAATGTATATGGGCACGTTGTTATTTCATATTGTTAGTCTTTCTGGGCGATAAGGTCAACTTCCTACTCCTCGCGTTATTAAACGACATGTCTTTGACAACGTTGGTAACTTGGTTTTTCCCTTCTAAATTGTTTTTAAACTTTTATTTTTCCTTCATTATTTACAGGTATGCCTCTCGCGTTAAACTTATTACAAACGATGCTCAGAAAAACGCCGACAACAAAGAGATCAACAGATTGAAGGGGGTAAGTTTAGACTGATGTCACACTCTAGCTCGACTTCATTCGGTGCTCGGACGCTTTCTTTCAATTTATTCATACCTATTATTATTATTTCAGATAATCGCAAAGTTGAAGAAAGGAGAAACTGTGGATGACGCTGAAGTGGAAGATTAATTCACTGGCTGCGTCATTTTAATCGTAGTTAAGAGGTATTATTTCCAAAGCGCATCTCGATTGAGTGTCGTAAAACGCAAACCATGGTAATCACAATGACCAATCAGAATTAAGGGACATATCAAAAGGAGCCAATGAGAACTCAAAGTAAAAACAAGTGAACCGCTTTAAGCGCGGGAAAACGCGGTTAACCAGGACGCGGTTGTTGTTAGTTTTGAATTGGAGTGGTTGATAAATAATATTCCGATATTTACTGCAGTACTTCGTAAACTGGGTCCCCTGTTTTTCTTTACTACGTTTACGTACTTACTACGTTTTGCGTGCCTGTTCACCTTCCAAGGAATTTCAAGACTAAAGGCTTCCCCGATGGATGGCAGCTGTTCTCGACGTTTTACGGGAAAAAAAAAAAACTAGATTAACCTTGTTAGCCTTTGGTAGAGGCAGGCTCCTTGCGCCAAAAATGTTGTCGATAGCTTTTGTACAAATGGAGATATAAGTGATTTCTGAATATGCAGTATTTTTTTAAGAACTGTACATAGGGTTGTTTTTATTTAATATTTATTTTATTGGCGTTCGTCATGTGATGACGCCTTAGGTATTGTGAAGTACTGGCAACATTTTCAGTGTTCTGTTGGACGCAGTAGCGGAGACATTGCTATTTGCTCATGTTAACCAACCTAGATTCACGAGTACATCATCTGTTCTCTATGTTTATTACGCATCATGTGATTGGCTGAATCTTATACGCATTTTGATTGATTATTGCTTTTGATTTGCCGAAGGACAACCGCTGAGATGACATCTCCATGAGCAACAATTTGCATGTTGCTGCGCTTCGTGTTCCAATTTTTTTTTCTTAGTAAATTTTGCCTTCATCAGTGTGCTATTACTGAACAGGCGCAAGACAACGTGGGATCTATTTGTTTAATGGAAGAAATATCGAGATTTCTATGGAGGGGCGGAGGAGGGAGGGGTAAACGGTTTGTGTTTTGAATCTTAACCTCTTTGAACCCTAAGATCCTTATATTTTCTTGTGCTGTGTTATAACAATGAAGAACAGATGTACTCGAACATCAAGCTTGGGTCTCTTGTGCTCTCTTAAGTTCCCTACAGTATGTTAGAGGGACTAGTGTCCTGGGTACTCGATGTTGATCAGCGGCATAAGTTGCATCGTATTAAATTTACTTCTTCTTAATTTTTTTGTAAATAAGACGGCAACTGAATAAAAAAAGATCTTTGTCTTATCTGATCAATCGCATAACTTTCTGCCATCTGTGATGGAAATTTAATGCACATCGAGATCAGAAGTATTCATTTCAGTATCACAAGGTGCGCCAAACTTCGAAGATTGATAATTTTATCCCTTTTTCGGGTGTCTTGCGCTGGAATTTCGTTCGCGTTTTTTCTACAGAAAGAGAAGTCTTCACTGTTTATCCATATTTTCCTCATCTAAATCCGGCTTGACTGACTGATGATTTAATTGTCAGATCTCAGTTCATACCCTCCCACGCACCACATTCGTATCATCTCAAACGAGGGTAACACATTTTAAATTTTTATCACAACTCAGTCCTGGTTATGTAGAATTTGCTTTTAAAGGTAGGATCCGAATTTTGTTCACTTGTATGGGTTCCAAACAAACTCGGATGGCACAATAAACAAACACGTCAGAAATTTGTCCTTTGAGGTTATTGCACATATTAGTACGGTCATACTTTTATCATAAATGCCTTTTAAACACCATAAAGGTCAAGTGATTATAGTAATCTTTTAAATATTTATGGAAAGATATTTGAATATTTTGTTAACCAAGCAGATATTCGTTGCAATAAAGCCGCTTGGCTTGTGATCATTTAAATAGCTTGCTATGAAAGCGCCACAGAAATAATTGCGTGACAAAACTATTATTGCGTGATCTTCAAAGACAGAGTTGTAGTTACAAATATTTCTGATTCCTTTTTCGTAAGCCGTTTTGAAGGGGGTACCGAGATACATATTTCTAACCACAAAAGTGTGTATATTATATAATTATCTATTCGGAAATGTTTTGCTCGACCGTGTTGTTTCCTCTTGAAACGCCAGCGCTGAATTCAAGTGGTTTTCTCCCTCGAATATTTTACTGTTATCTTATCCCACAGACAAAATCAGCTACCTCTTAGGTCAATTGGATCGTAATTTTTTTTTCAAAACACATATCATTATCCATTAACGCGTGACAAAATCAGTCATCGCGTTACATCAGGAGTCTGAATTCCCCCGATGGTTCTCGAATTATTGCGAAGGTAGAAAACTTCTTTCCACGACTCCATTTTTAAAGATTATCGAATTCCACAACTTCTTGTTTCGAATACCGCTAATTTCCCGTTATTCAGGAAAACACAGTCGATCGATATTTCCGCTAACGAGTTCAAGAAATATTTTTTGTTTAGGACTTTCAAAATGATCAAAAAGAAAATCGATTCTCATCTGTTCTCAACAACCTGAGAAACTGATAGAAAAAAAAATCCGCTCATGGAGGATTTACAAGCGAGTTAAGCCGGTAAAATGTTGATCGCATAAAAATCCGTGATAATTTTATGCCGCATGTAAGTCCCTCGCTCCATATATGGAATGGCACGCATCTGGCTTAGAATGTTGGGAATCTGGGCGTCAGTCGTTCTTCTGTGTTCAACAAAATCTTGTCACTCGAAGACTACACACTGTTTCTTGTTTAATATCGGTTTTGGTCGAGTAGTTCCCAACAGACAAAATGGAGCAGATCAAGAAAAAGATGGCTGTTCTTCGTGACACTCTCGCTGATGCAGAAAAACGGGCTGATAAAGCAGAGGGCGATTTGAAATCGGCGAAAGATCGAGCCGCAGAAGTGAGTACAACTTCAATTATTTGTCACGATCAGCTCGTTTAGCATTAGTTGTTAACCCTTTACTGTTAATAACTACCCTCTGATCGACTTTGGACGGTTTCTGTATGGAAATTTGCTCGATATGTGTAATAAAAAGGTTTCTTTTCAACATATATTGCTCGTGTTGAAGGGTTTACTCATTGCAAACAGCCCGATTGATCATAAATATGGCCGGCCTAAATTCCTTTGCTCGGTTCTCTATATGGAAATGCAAAATGCTCCGTTATTTGCCGACGATCTTCTGTTTTGAAGTAGAGGAGTGGTTATTTAGTCAGCTTGTCATTTGTAAGTTTTATTCATGAAAACAGATAAAGGCTTGTTCGCTTGACGCAGAGCTAATCTTTGGGTCAAATTGATCCATAATAAAGCTGTGGTCGAGTTACAGTAGTTTCCAAGCTCTTCTTTTCATCGAATATTTCACAATTTTCACAAGGTTTTATTGCCTGTCAGTGAAGCTGTATGAAAGATTTAGTGCTGGCAATCGACAGCGATGGTATCAGTATAATCAAATTGACTTCAATATTTGGCACAGTTACAAAATATTTGACGCAATTTCTCTTCACACAAGTGTGTCTCTTCCACAAAAAATGGTAATATGACGCTGAAATGGCTGCTAAATGTTCTCGATTTCATCATGACTAGATCACTAGAGTAGATCAAAACCTATCAATTGAACTGGTAAAAAGTAACTACAGATACATGTAGATAACATAAATTTATTTGGCACGTCCCACCATCTTTGAGAAATCCTATACAGTGTACCTGTTGAATGAATGGGATGAGTCACATTTTATGAATTTATCTATTGCCAATGGAAGACAGAACTATTGATGGTGCCAGTTGAAACACGTCAAGTTCACAACAGTCAGCCAGTTTCTCAGTGAGTGAACATCTGTTGTTGTGGCAGAGAGCTGTCAGAGGAAAGAGTTTTAAGTCATGGCTGATAAAGAAAATTTTTCTAACCAAATGAATATCTCATTTTTCAAGGGAGAGCTCTTCTCTATATCCAGAGCACTACTCTGTCCTTGCCTACAGCTTTGTTAATTTTGCAATTTCTCTTTTTCCCCTACTGTCTGTTTAGTTGTAATCAACTGATTTTTGGTTTGTATCCTAAAAAATCTTATTGAAAAGTCAGCTTTGTGTGATTTCACAGTCATTTTTTGGAATTATTTTCCAACTTTTAATTTTTAGACTGAACAGGAAGTATCTTCCTTAACAAAAGAGTTGCAACAGATTGAAGATGATTTAGATGCTGCAGAATCACGCCTTAGTACAATAACAGAACAACTGAAACAAGCTGAGGCACAAGCAGATGAGAGTGAAAGGTAAGATTTTTTGAGGTTAACTGAGCTAATTTTAATACCATTGGCAATTAAACTTTAACCATCCAACTCTCAGAAGTGTTAAACAATTAACTTCTCCCTATAATATCCATACATTATTTAGCAAACATGTCATGAGAATACTCAAACTTATCAGGTAGAAGTTGTTATCTTTATCCAACACCAAATTCTCATAACTGATTTACAAGGGTATGTGTAGCAGCTAGAGGAAAGAGTTAACAATTAGATCTTGGGAGGGGTAGGGCATGATTGATTTAGCTTTACTTCTTCACAATGGCTCAACTACAATCCTGAACTGAACACCCAACAACCACACTTGCTTACTTACAAGTGGAGGCAAGCTTCCAGCATAGGATGATTACAATTCAGATGTTGGCTGGTGGAAGCCAAATTTATATCACCAAGTTGGATTGATTCTATCAATTTGGCCGGTGGTTTCTATATTTGCAAAATTATATTAAGTTACCTTTGTTTTTTCCCAAGAAATAGGGCTATACACATGAGATACAGGCATAATTTCTTAAGTTTAATTTGTGGAGATGTCATGTGAAGATGGGTAGTTTCACAGGATACCCAGCCTGAGCTGTCATTATGTGCTAAGTAGCTTATCTTGTTTTTCT